AGGGCGACAGTATACAGCCTTGCTGTATACTGTCGCCCTGCCTATTTAACTTATATGCAGAGCACATCATGAGAAAGGCGGAGCTAGATGAATCACCAGTTGGAATTAAGATTGCTGGGAGAAATATCAACAACCTCAGCAGATATGCAGATGATACCACTCTCATGGCAGAAAGTGAAGAGGAACTAAAGAGCCTTTTGATGCGGGTGAAGGAAGAGAGTGCAAAAGTTGGCTTGAAACTGAACATTAAGAAAACTAAGATCATGGCATCCGGTACTCTCACTTCCTGGCAAATAGATGGGGAAGAAATGGAGGTAGTGACAGATTTTATTTTCCTGGGCTCCAAGATCACCGCAGACAGGGACTGCAGCCAAGAAATTAAAAGATGCTTGCTCCTGGGGAGGAAAGCTATGGCAAATCTAGACAGCATACTAAAAAGCAGAGACATCACCATGCCAACAAAAGTGCGTATAGTCAAGGCTATGGTTTTCCCAGTTGCAATGTATGGCTGTGAAAGCTGGATCATAAGGAAGGCTGAGCACTGAAGGACTGAGGCCTTTGAATTGTGGTGCTGGAGGTGCTGCAAGTCCCTTGGACCACAAGACAATCAAACCGGTCAGTCCTAGAGGAGATCAACCCTGACTGCTCTTTAGAAGGCCAGATACTGAAGATGAAACTCAAATACTTTGGCCACCTAATGAGAAGGAAGGACGCCCTGGAGAAGAGCCTAATGGTGGGAACAATAGATGGCAAAAGAAGAAGAGGGACGGCAGAGGATGGGGTGGCTGGATGGAGCCACTGAAGCAGTCGATGTGAGCTTAGGTGGACTCCTGGGGATGCTGGAGGACAGGAAGGCCTGGAGAAGTGTTGTCCATGGGGTCGCGATGGGTCGGACATGACTTTGCGACTAACAACAACACATATAAGAATGTATTTTTATGATTTTTCCTGATTTCTGTAATTCACAAAGTAACTCAAAGCTCACTCAAGACATCACTCATGGACCTGATATTAGACAACATATTTTCCTGGAAAGAGAACAATCTGGCTTGAGTCATACTCAGGCACACAGGTCATATTTGATTTTAAATAACCCACTTCTGTTGTGGGGATGGGAAGGGAACAGGAAGTTAAAATGGCTTAAAGTACTCAGAGTCTAATACACCTTAAGCATTGATTTAGTATGAAATAAACATTACCCATAATACATCCAGTATTCATTATTTATTTGTGGCACTTGTATACTGCACCCCATAGCCACGAAGCTCTCTGGGAAGCTTACATTACATTGCACTGCACTGAAAAATAATAATTAAAGCAATCTAATTATATGTATTAAATTATTTAATATATATAAATAATAAATAAAAAGTAAAAATGCCTTGGGTGATCCTGGTAGGTGACTGGTCTAGTGAGACTTATCCTGTCCTCCTGAGAGCATTGCTCTTGGCTTCCATGACACTCTCAAACACCTTACCATGTTAAGGTGTGCATCCAAGAGGTGGTAATCTTGACTACTCACTTCTTTTACCAATTGGCACAATCCAGCTGAAGAGGAAGCCAGGCCCTCTCCAACAGGGCTTTTACAGCCTTCGCAGTTTCTGCTGACATACATTGCTGGTTATCTGTTGAGATGCCACCTGGGCTCAGCCGTTTAGCTTCACCTCCTACTTATGGTAAAATGTTAGTGCAGATATCTCTTTCAGAACAATGAAATTCTGGATCTTAAGCACCTTCTCTGTCTCCAGTACTTATGTTTGTTACAATGCCTTTATATGAGACTTCACAGAAATATTATTATTATTATTATTATTATTATTATTATTATTATTATAGCATTTCTATGCCATTTCTAATAGAGAAGAGAAGCAGCTTGCTTACCTGGAGCAGTATTTATTTAACACTTTTATATACCATTGCAATAGTCTCATGTCTCTCTGGATGATTTACATAATAACAGTAGTAAATAGCCCATTTTAATTATTATTATTATTTGAACTATTTTAATGCCAAAAAGTTTCCCAGAGCTGGTTACATATAATCTATTAAACAAGATTGTCCCTGCCCTCAAACCTATGATCTAAGAAGACAGACAACAAAAGGATCAAGGGGAAATGAGTTACTTTAATTGAGCTGGTAGGATAACCTTTCTACTAGAATGACTATTGGTGCTGACAACTGAGGGAGGAGAAGCAATGTCTTCATGGAGCAGGTTTTTAACAAAGTTGGCAAGAAATTTGAATTATTATGAATTATTCTTCATTCAAATTATAACTTTCATGATGTGTGAGGAACTATATAGTATGCTCAGTGAGGATGCTTTCCTTTGAACATGCTAAATCTCAATCTCCTTAGGCAGCTTCATTCAAATTTTCCATGTAGCATGAAATGTCTCCTATTCTGGAAACACAACACTATAGCTCTACATTTTGGCTATTTTTTATACAAATAAGAGTAATATTTGTCTCCTTCTGCATTCAAATTACGGCTTCCTCAGTTTGTAAGTAAGTGTGTGGCGTGCCCAGTGGGGTTCTTTCTTTCTTTGAACATCAGGTCCCCAGTGCAGAATCACAAACTACTATTGCATTTTAACTGTTAATATTATTTGATCTTATCTGGCCAGGGCGGCTTATTTTATATTGTATTTTTTGGATTTTTAATGTTTATATGTGTTGCAATTTATTTTATAATTGCTTTTATTTATTGTTTGTAAGCCGCCCCGAGGCTTCGGTGAATGGGGCGGCATAAAAATGTTTTAATAAATAAATAAATAAAATCTAAACTGAGATCAAGGTTTTCTTTGCAAAATGGAGCAGCTGCTGTTCAAGAAACACAAACCCAAATCTCCTGGTGAATGTGTACAATGGCTTTGGCAGTTCTTTGGGGCCTGGCTTTTGTATTTGTGATGCTGCTTCATCAGACAATCTGACCTGGCATCCATATTTCAGTTATAGAAAAGAACTAGAATGTCAATTGGGGTTAACTGCCACCATCAAATCAAACCAATTATGATACAGATAATAATACATACATTACTGTATTTCTTTAAGATGGTGCCACAATGCCATTTCAAGTTAGTTGTTGGAGAAGAAATTTTATATTGAAATGGAATTGTTGTTGCACATGTATTGCACCTGCTTTAAAAAGTGTTACTTCTGTATTTATCCACCTGCACCTATATGTTTTGCAGGTTGTTTACTCATTTTTATATTAACATGTCACATAAAAACAAGTTCTCTAGGCATAATCAAATTATTTTGAAAGAGAACAATACAATGCAAATGTCTAAAGCACATTGCCTGCAGCAGTCTGCTCTTTGTTCCCTGTTTAATCTGAGTCTGGTTGCAAACTTAATTAGTTTTGTACAGACACAAGCCCTTCTTTCTGAAATTCTAGTTATTTCATAAACTTGATTCCTGAAAGAATTTTATTCTGTCCTAGGGACCCAGAGATTTGGAGGGCTGTGTTTGGTTTGCATCATCTGTATAGTCACAAGACCTATGCGATACGACGCCGGGTTACGAAAATCATGGTCCATTCCCGCTACGACAGAGAGTCCCAGGAAAATGATATTGCCTTGTTCAAGCTAAGCAAGTCTGTCATGTTCAATGAGTATGTCCAACCCATCTGCATTCCTGACAAATATCTAATTCTGGCCAAAGGCACTAAATGTTACATAGCTGGATGGGGAATGCAAAGCGAGAATGGTAAATCTTTTACTTTTCCTTTAAACGTAGAATGATAATTAATTTAGTAACCTTAGAAAGCATCTTTGCCATAAGTATATTTGGAGCCCTTTCATACATAATACACAAGGAAATTCTGGTTTATCAGTGAGTACATGCCAGGCTTAGTTCCCTGTTGGGTATACCTTAGTTCTCTACTGGGACAATTTGTTGAATTCATACATTATATTTTTTGGATAAACAATTAGACCTGAACAATTTGTGTGAAATAGTTCTCTCCCATTTTTCCAAGCATTAGACTTTAAAAAAACAGCTTTTTCAGCATTCTTTTGGAATTAATCAGTGGGACAAAATTTCCAGATAAGCTTCCACCTATCTGCAATAAAAGTTCAATCTTTTTCTGAATTCATTATTGACTAGCAATTAGCCAACTGAAGTTCTCTCAATTCCAGTTGTTTGCTGTTTTAATCCAAGAAAGCATAGATTAATGGTGCAGTTTTATGGTCTCTGTGAGCAAGTCCAAGGACCCCAAGGCTTTTCTTTCTTGGAGAATAGAGGGAGCGCCTTCACACAAGACCCAATCTTGCAGTCTTGCTGAGGAAAGGAATGTAACACACATGTACTCTGATGTTGGAAAACACAAAAAGGAAGTGTTTCAGGAGAGGCTTTGAAGCCATACTGTGCTTCCAACATGTTCCTGGAATGGAGGAGGAACTTCTTCAGAGCTACAGCTGGTATAGATAATGTCCTTCACTTTGCAATTACTAGATAGGAAAACTATAAATGGAAACTAGCCAAAATTTGCAAAATGAAAATGGGAAATGCTGTGTACAATCCTTTTGAAATATGCAGGAATGTAAACATCTGGACAATACTGAATCAGTCCATCTAGAAAAAGTACAGTGATCACAGTGACATCTGATCACAGTGATGTCTGAACTCTGTGTATCTTTATACACAGCCACTCAGACTGCTGACTAAATCGCTGCATTTCTGGAAAGATGAAAGGGGAAGGATGAATGGAGGATAAATGGAGTCCTGTACACAGCTCTGTATTCACCTGTAGTTGGCATTAGCTATCAACTAGAGCCAGTGTAGTGTAGTGGTTAAGAGCATGGGACTGGGACTCAGACGATCTGGGTTTTAATCCCCGCTCAGCCATAGAGCCCACTGGGTGACTTTGGGCCAGTCACAGACTCTCAGCCCAACCTACCTCACAGGGTTGTTGTTGTGGGGAAAAGATGGAGGAGGAGATGTAAGCTGCCTTGAGCCCTTTGAAGGAAAAAGGCAGGATATAAATCGAAAAATAAATAAATAAGATTAACTAACTGTCGCAGCTTGGGACCAGGATACCTGAAGGAATGTCTCCTTCCTTATATGCCCTCATATGCCCTTAAGATCTGTGAGAGAGGCCCTGCTCCGAGAACCCTCCTTGAAGGAGATAAAAAGGATATCTACTCGGAGGAGGATCTTCTCTGTGGTGGCGCCCAGATTATGGAATGTGCTCCCCAGAGAGGTGTGCTTGGTGTCAAGTTTATATTTTTTTCGGTACCAGGTTAAAACCTTTTTATTTAACTGTTATTTTAAAAACTAATTTAAATTTTAATGTTTAACAGTTGCTTTTATTTAATTTATTTAATTGTATTTTTTGGTTAATTGTTATTTATTGCTCTTTTATTGTTGTTGTTTTAATGATTGTAAGCCATCCCAAGATGCCATGCATAAGGGACGGCATACAAAAGTTTTAAATAAATAAATAAACTAGAATTTGTGACAACTCTTAAGTCCATGGCAGTATTCTTGAGCCTTGTTCTGCCAACAAATGTAGATAACTCTACAGTGCACAGGGTGTGTGAGCCTGATGCCTCAGAGAGTTGTACTGAATAAAGAACTACCAATATCCAGCATGTTTTCATATTGCTTGTTTCAGAATGCTAAATATTCTGTAATACTCCAGCACTATCTTATGTTTTCTTTTCAGGTACACCCAGTTATCTATTACAGGAGGCTGAAATAGAAATTTTCCCTCTAGAAATCTGTAACAAAATGGACTGGTATGCAGGGACGATATCACAGAACAATCTTTGTGCTGGCTCTGAAACTGGGCATGTTGATAGCTGCCAGGTAAACTGGAGATAATTATTTCTCATCTCTCTCTCTCTCTCTCAAAACCGAATGTTGTGCTTACTAGGTCAAATAGTGTTATACAGTGAGAAGTCACAGAACACCGAAGTTTGTTAGGAAATTTGTAAAAGAGAAGGTAAAATTCAAGCGATTATCTTTCTTGCATAAAATATATAAGATTGTGAGTGTGTGTGTAATTACAGTTGAGACAGAAAAACTATTGCTATTGTTAATGGATTGGATCCAGAATAATTAATCATGATTAATAGATCCCATTGATTTAATTGGGTATAAAAGTATGGAATTTATGCCAAGAGATACTGATCTCAGTCATAGTAACAGTGAACAATTCAGTGAATGACTGCTGAGGCCTTGCCAGATTGCTGAGGCCAAACTGTGTGTGCCTGTCTACAGCTGCAATGAGACCCCAGGTAGTACATACCTAGGGAGATAGCAGGAAAATCAAGGATCTCTTGCCAAGGTAGGGGAATAAAAAGGGAAATTAAAAATTGGGTGTTTTGTTTTCCCTCCTGGTAGACTAACTGACTGGAGCTGTTTTGTTGACCAACTCTGTTTTGGGGAGACCATTAACTAGAAAAGAAAAAGTAGGGCTAATTATTATTTTTGAGTCTGTATGAGAGGCATGTTTCCTCCCCATTTCTGACTTCCTGCCCCTGTACCCCAGGGGTGGAATAGTGTCATAGCAGTATATTGTGGGTTTGTGGACCAGTGCACCTTACAGGGTGGTTAGATACTGTGACCCAGCCATCCTTCCAAATCATTAGACCAATGATTTTGGTCTTCTTTTCTGCCTCTTCTCACATTTACACCCAAATCCCAAGAAATCACATATTACAATTATTTGCAAATGATTTAGCATCGGACAGCTATCTGAAGGGTAAATAAATTAATAAGGAGCTTCCCTTAAGGAAGAGCCTTGCATGATCATGAACAGTGAGGTCAGACTGAGTAAGCCAAGTTATGAAAGTATCTGCATTTGTGTAGCAATGACTCTAGCTCAGTGATGGCGAGCCTTTTAGAGACTGAATGCCCAAACTGCAACTCAAAACCCACTTATTTATCGCAAAGTGCCAACGCTGCAATAAAATCTGAATACTGAGGTTTTAGTTTAGAAAAAACAACTCCTAAATTAACATCTTTTGTCTTAAAAGAAAAACACAGTAACAGAGCTTTCAATGATACAAACAGCTTTTTATTGAAATGCTTTTGCACAATTAATGTGATATCTGCTGCTGTATGCATGCTGATAATTTGTCAAACCTCGGCTCATACTTGGCTAGTTTGAGAGCAACACATGCAGCACTCAGGTCATCTGTTAGTTTGTTTCTTGTATCAGATGTGATATAATTCAAAGCTGAAAACAGCTGCTCACAAGCATAAGACGATCCAGACAAAGTAAGGAAAGCAATCCCAAGTGCTTTCATTGACTTAAAATTATTTGGCAGAGAATTCCCCACTTTAAGGATTTCATTTTCAGAACTACCAACTGTGCTGTCCTTTGTCATCCCTTCACTCTGTCTTCTCAAGTGTTGCACGCAGGTCATAGACTTTATTTTTCCAGATAGAGATTTCTTGAAATTCCAATAGCTCCATTTCCAGATTTTCAAGATCTAACCAGTGTAAGCAGGAAAGATCAAGTTCTTCAAATCTGGCCTTATCTGGAGAAGTAAGAAAACACAGGGTTGTCTCCATCTTACAGAACTGTAAAAATCTGTTAATAAAATTCTCCTTTGCAGCTGCTACAATGCTAGAAAATTCCTTGTAGGTTTCCTGATGGCTTGTAGGATTGTCTGCAAATGTTGTAGAATTTTCTAAATGCATTTTTAGAGTTGGAAAATATTCCAGCTGCCCACCTTCAAGGTCTCTTTCAAAAACCTGCAGTTTTCTCCCAAATGTTTTGATATCACAAAACATCCTTTCTGCTGTTTTCCCTACACCTTGTAGTTTTTTGTTCAGTACATTGAAGTGTAGTGTAAAATCTGTAAAGAACATAAGGTTGTTAAGCCAGGCCGTATCAGTGAGCCGTGGATATTCCTGCCCCTTTTCATTCATAAACAGCCTAATTTCATCCAATCAGGCTACAACTCTCTCCAGGACTCGTCCCCTGCTCAGCCACTGGACATTTTTGTACATAAGCAAAGTATTATACTGTGCCGGAACCTCCTCAAGAAGTGCTTGAAACTGTTGAAAATTAAGAGCACGAGCCATGATGTAATTCACCATTTTTGTGACATTTCTGAAGATATTGTCTAATTTTTTGCTACTTTCCCTGGCGCAAAGAGTTTCTTGATGTATAATATAATGATACTGAATGACTGGATGTTTTGCTTCTTTAACAAAGAACTGTATGAAACCAGATGTTGCCCCCACCATGCAAGGTGCCCCGTCACTAGTAATTGAAACCACTTTTTCTGGTCTTCTGTCTTGTGACAAAAAAGCCTCCACCGCAGCATTGTAGATATCCATCCCTTGTGTTCTTCCAGGCAAAGTCACCAGTTTCACCAGCTCTTCTCGCATGATGTCACCAACAGTATTATGCAAAATTACTGCTAGCCTTGCATGCTTATTTATATCTGTGCTTTCATCCAAGCACATGGAGTAACAGGCTGCCTTTTGTAAGACGGTGGTGAGCTGCTCACTAACATCACTTGCCATGCGCAGGCCTCGATCTTTAACAGTACTTCTGCTAAGTGGCATTTCAGAGATGTGTTGCATGATTTTACCCTTGTTTGGGAAATCATGAAAAAGGGCATTACTCCCAGACAGGGCCATTTTGATAATATCCCCATCAGAGAGGGGCTTTCCATGTTTTCCTATGCACAGTTAAATTTGAAAGCTGTCAGCTGTCAGATGATTTGTTTTAGAAAGATAGTTGCAAAAACTGTGATACTGGGAATATTTCCTCAATTTCCCTTCAAGAAACTCTTTCAGTTTCACCAAGTTCAGCAACACTTTTGTGGTTGGTGTCAAAGTGCTGTCTGACACTTGATGTGCGACACACAACACTTTCACTACACAGAATACATAATGCTTTCCCACTGCATTCAGTCACTCTGTCCAAGCCTCTTGGAATGATCTTCCACTATCTGTTTTCAGTTTTGCTTTTTCTGCTGTAGTCATTTTTTGGTGTTCAAGACTACAAAAAACATGAAATTAAAACAAATGAAGCACCCTATAAAAATCTATCCCTGTACCAAAAATAGCTAACAATATTAGTCAACACTAAAGAATTGGATATTCCCTAAATCAACAATCTATGGCAGTGATTTTCAGCTGGGGTTCCTCTTGAATTTGCTGACCACCAGCACAAGGAGGCAATGTTCCACTGACCACCAGCTTTTGGCCTGCTCTGAAAAAGGCATCTGAGTGTATTTCCTACCTGAGTGTATTTCGGAAGCTCAGGAGTCCTGGCCTGGCGCCCTTAATCTTTCCGAATATGCACATGGCTGCTGGGGCAATCCAGTGCCCACAGAGAGGGCTCTGCCTGCCCCTTGGGGCATGAGTGGCATAGGCTCGCCATCACTGCTCTAGCCCTTACAGTTGGCAAGATTAAATAATAAACTAGGCAACTTACACAAGCTGGAACCAACTGGGAGTTTTGAAGAAAACAAATAAATATACACACAAATATCTCTAGAAAGTACTAATGTAACTTGTCATACCTTTTCTGGAAGCCAGAAAAGCATAGGATAGGATAGAATGGCCATTATTTTAGAAAGTTATAAAACATTTGGATTTGGGCCACATTTGTCAACCTGAATAAATCTAATGTAGTGATTACCTTCAGCTAAATTAACAGTTACTGGCCACCTATTTAGGGCCTTCATACTACAATCAGCTACAACAAAGGTTCTCACTTTCAGCTTTAGGACTTAAGTCTCTGAATCACTGGTAAAATTGAGAAAAGAAATGTGGAATCAAAGAACCCTTTTCTAAGTGTATAACTGGCACTGTGCAGAGTATATTTTAATAAAAAGCAAATATTAAGATTTCCAATGAAAACACTGACAGAATTCTTAAGCTATTGTTTCACCAAGTCTGAACACTATTAGGAGATAATCTAGGTTCTGGAGAATAAAGCTGTAAGTGTAGTGAAAGCTACATGAACAGAAAAAATACTTTGATGTGCAATTTTCTTGTAAACAACTCCCCCGCCCCACACCTCCTGGAGAGAGCAGATGGGGCTAGGGAGAGAGACTGGTGTCACACCATATTCACTGCAACTGCACCTGCACCTGCCCCCACCCCTGGAGACTTTTTTGGGGCTTGACATATTTGGGCAGAATCTTTGGGTGGGCACTGAGGAGCAGTGCCAAAGGGCATTACCTGTTTGATGCTGTTTTGGCACCGTTCAGGGCTGGGACTCCTGGCCTTGTCCATTTGCTGTTGTTTATCGCTTCCCCAAATGATTATTTTGTTGTTCTCATGTATATTTTTAAATCTGTAAACCGCCCAGAGAGTCGAATGGGCTATGGGGCAGTATAAAAGTGTGATGATGAGGAGGAAGATGACAATGATGTTGCAAGTGCCTAGCTGTAGGTAGTGTAGTGCAAGCAGATCTATCCAGTTAAGGCCTTCTACAGACACCCCTATTTTCTAGCAATCAGTAATTTTATAAAAAGTATCATGATAGGCATACGTTAGAGTTAGTAGATCACAATGGCTGTACTTTTGCAACTGTAAGTGCAATCCTCTGAATCCTCTGAAGAAACCTGGCTGATGGTAAAACAGCATGCATTAGTGCTTGCAACCCGTTCATGCCTAATTAACATCTAGAACGCACTGCTAAAATAAACAGGAATGAAAAACTTATTGTGTCAGCCAGAACAAAGGTGTTTTTAAACAAAGAACAAAGGATTTATAAGCCAAAAAGAAACACTGGTGTGTGATACTGGCTTTTAAGATGTTCAGTCACCCAAGAACCCTAGTCCAAACATGGTAAACATTTTCATTCTTGGTTAGCTTAGGTACACCTGCTTGTGGGAAAAGTTAAGAGGATGTAAAAGGGCTCCCTGCACTAGTATGCAGCATGTCCTTGGTAAAGAAGGATTCTTGGAAAACTGGCTTACCACTGCATGTGAATACAGCCCTGCATGGTAGATTTTCAGAATATCACGAGCAATACTCAAATTGCCTCCTTTTATTTTCCAGGGAGACAGTGGTGGTCCTTTGATGTGTGGTTTCCAAAATAAGAAGTACTATCTGATAGGAATCACCAGCTATGGCTATGGCTGTGGCCGGCCAAAATATCCGGGAATCTATGTAAATGTGTCTATGTACAGAAGCTGGGTAGTGTCAAGAGTCAGCAAAAACCCCACTGCAAACATTCAGTGTGTTTTAAGCCTTTTGACTGTGGCATGGGTAACCATCAGTCTTGTTCTTTGAAAAGAAAAGTTCACTTTGCATTCTGTTAGAATTGCTTTAAACTTACTGCTTCCTCTTGCAAACTAGTCTTTTCAGCAAAATTATTTCAACAGCCAGTAGGATTTGTAATGTATTATTTTATTCCCACCACGATTATCATCCATAACTTAGGTATATAAACCGAAAGGCACTGTTTAGTTCCATATATATGTTTTATCTGCTCTAAATGACCTGATGGCAATTGTTTTTCAAGCTGGTCTAAAGAGATAATGCATAGTTTTTGTTTGTTTGTTTTTAAAGCACTAGAAATTTTTTTACATCTAGCATGCCATGTAATATATATTTTACCCCCCAAAATAGACTGAAAACATATTTAATCCATAATGCTGTATATGAGGATATAGAGAGGTATATATGACAGATGCCAAATGTTTCCATACTATTTATAGCATTTTAAAAATAAACTATATGTTGAAGTAGGAAGTGGATATCGTGTTTGAAATTTAGGTTTAATATTTCTTCTGTCCTTTACTCTTAACTGACAGCATCAGGGAGACAAATGCAGGACCCTATTTGTTACATACAAGTTAATTTTCCCAGCACAAATCCTGAAAGTGTTTGCCCACATACAAAATTAAGTGAGGTTTTAAAAGTTTCATGAACTTAGAATGAACTTTAAGTAAGACTTTGCTTATTTTGCTCCCAACTTTTTCCTCACATGTCCACTGTAATGACTTATTTCTGCTTTGATGGAAATTGTAAGATGCAGGTACTAGCAAATTCTGGTTCATGGGAGCTCCCCCAACTGCTGTTGCTAGGTTGCTGGTTTAAATATAATGGCAAACTATGATTTCCATGAAAGCAACTAAGAGAAGCCAAGGGGAAATGATGGGAAATGAGGAACTGCACAGGTATGGTACTTGCTAATGTAATAGCAATCCATGATTTTGCATGTACCCATGGTTTGGTTTCAGTAGCAAGTTTTCCAACACATACGTTCATACCCTTTGTCAGAGAGCCTGCATCTATCTAACAGCGGGGGTCGGAGGGTAGATTGCTTTTACCCTTCTAAAATCTGCCTCCGTTTCAATCATTTGCTAGTAATGCAGCCTGCTTTTCATCCCAGGCAGTTACAAAGGCACCATTCCACTGAACAAAAATGCAAGTAATACTGTTGCTTGGTGACATCAGAGTCTACATTTCTCCTAAATTAAATTGGCTGCTTGGTGAACTACAATCAGGCATTTCTGTAGCATGTGCAGCACATTTTCAGGATGGATGTTAGAATTATTCATAAGCAGTAGCATGGATGTGAATTTATACTTTTATTATTCTCACTTTAAAAACGTGCTATTTTTATCTACAACAAAGTGGTGCTCATTCCCAAGTTAATGTGTTTAGGATGAAAGCATCAGAAGTATAGTCCATTTTACTACTGGAGTTATGATTTAAGTTTAAAATGGCAAAACAGCACATACACAGGAGTCTTTTTCTTTTTATGTCAGAGTTTGCAAACTTTCTGTTTTCATTCTGACATCATTAGCACAGTGTTGGGAACTTGACTAGAGTGATGCACTCCCAAGTCTGATGTGAGTGACTAAACTTGGACTTGACCTGGGAGCAATAAGCAAGTGACTTGGTATTTCTATTGTTTTTACAACCAAATCGCTTTTGACACAAGGAAGGTGGTAGGAGGGAGGGACAAGGGGGGAGGGGCATGGGGAGGGTGGTTGCAATAGAGGCAGTTCCCAGATGATGCACTTAAAAACACACAGACTGCCATAAACCCTATATATATATATATATATCCCTAATTAAGAGCTGTGAAAATCTCTAAGGAACTATGCTACATGTTTACACATATACATATACATCAGTAGTTCCCTAAAAATACTCATGGCTTTTTGTTCAGCAGTTATCAGCTTGAGTATACCCAAGCCACTGTGTTTTGGGACACATGTAGGACCTCAAGGATGAAGCAGAACCACAGCAAAACAGTTTCTGGGAAGGGCAGAAGTGGATTTGCCCAGATGGCTTCTCTCGATTCCTCTGCTGTTCTTTTAAAGCTTGAAATCCTGTTTTTATTCGTAACTTCCTCATTCACAAGGATACATTAAGTCTAACATTAACTGATAGAGCTGGACCTCCTCTTGGAGAATCCTGGAGAATAAGTATTCGATTGTGCTGCTGGAGTGGGGGGCTTACCACTGAAATTGCTTTCTTGAAGTAGGCCTCAAGGGTTATTTGTACACCCATTTTCTTTTTCACATAATAAATGGCCTTGTAGCAGCTGAGGGACTGGTTACAAGGGCAAATGCTAAAGGGGAACTAGATCAGTATTAGCATGCCCATACTACAGATGGAGAAATGATGCTGAATTGACTGCAGAAGGAGAGAGAGAGAACCAGACCCTGTCTGAATAGAATCTGGGATGCTTAATCCCTTCCAAAGTGGCCAAAAGGCCTGTAGATATTATCTAGGATGAAAGCTTCAGCCCTTTTTGGCATACTGCTTTCCTGGCAGAAAGTGCAACAGTGCTTCTCCTGCTTGCTGCCTCTGCTCTGTTTCCAGGGAGATAACAGCACCAGGTCAAGCAAATCATTTTTCTAAACTCTAAACCATTCTTGGGCAAGGTGTTAGAGCGGGTGGTAGTGGGCCAACTCCAAGCATTCTTGGATTGAACTGATTATCTGGACCCATTTCAGTCCGGCTTCAGAGCCGGTTATGGTGCTGAATCTGCCTTGGCCACCCTGTATGATGACCTGTGCAGGGAGAGGGACAGGGGGAGTGTGTCCCTGTTGGTTCTCCTGGACCTCTCAGTGGCTTTCAATACCATTGACCATGGTATCCTTCTGGATAGGCTAGCGGGATTGGGGTCAGAGGCACTGCTTTGCAGTGGTTCCACTCCTATCTCAATGGCCGATTCCAGAAGGTGGTGCTGGGGGACTATGGCTCTGTGCCATGGCAACTTTGCCATGGAGTACCACAGGGTTCCATTCTGTCCCCCCTGCTATTCAACATTTACATGAGAGGTCATCAGGAGGTTTGAGATGACACCCAGCTCTACCGCTCTTTTACAACCAATCCAGGTGAGGCAGTGCCTGTCCTGAACTGTTGCCTGGGCAAGGTAATGGGCTGAATGAGGGCCAATAAACTGAAACTCAATCCAGATAAGCTGCATCCTTACCTGGACAAGCACTGCCTAGCAACAGTGACACATGCTCTGGTAACCTCCCGGTTGGACTATTGTAACGTGCTCCACGTGGGGCTGCCCTTGAGGACGGTCCGGATACTTCAACTGGTGCAAAACAGAGCCGCCAGATTGCTGTCGGGGACCAGTCATTACTCTCATATAACATCAGTCCTCTATCAGCTCCACTGCTTCCTATTTAAGTCCGGGCCCAATTTAAGGTGCTAGTTATGACCTATAAAGCCCTAAACTGCGTGGAACCAGGATACCTGAAGGAACGTCTTTTTCCCTACATGCCCTCCCACACCTTAAGATCTGCAGCAGAGGCCCTGCTCTGAGAACCCTTCATGAAGGAGATTAGGAGAATACCTGAAGGAAGGCTTTCTGCAGTGGCGTCCCGGCTATGGAATGCACTCCCCAGAGAGGTCTGCCTGGTGCCAACATTATATGCTTTCTGGTGCCAGGTCAAGACCTTTTTATTTACCCAGTATTTTAAAGTTTAAATTTTAATTATGTTTTTATTCTAGTTGTGGGTTATTAGTGTTATTGGTATTATTAATGTTTGCATTATTAGTATGATATTTTTATAACTTTGTATTTATTGAATGATTGCTTTAAGCCATCCAGAGATGTGTAGTGATTGGACAGGTTAGAAATACCTAAATAAAGAAATAACAATTCTAATAAAATTCAAGCAACAGCACAGCTTTAAATAAATTGTGCAATAAAGCATTTCAGTGCATCACTAAGAGAAATGCTGATGGGAACATCAGAGGTGAAACTTTCCCACCCCCACAGACACATCCCACCACCACCTCCCTTTTTCTATTAAAGTTGGCTCTCGAGACTTGACTTGAACATTTCTTGCAATGACTTGAAACTCGACTTGGACTTGAAAGTAAAGTCTTGAGACTTGACTCAAGACTTGGAGTAAAGGACTTGAACACATCACTGATAATTAGGAATATAGAAAGAAGTTGCAAATCACAGAGTGGCTGGAACAGGGAGAAATGTCAGTTGTGTGTTTCGCAACTGAAGTGATATATAAAATAATGCACCCGAAACATGGTGCTGGAAGAGAGCCTTGTGAATACCGTGAACTCACCAAAACGCAAACAAGTGGGTCCTAGAGCAAATCAAGCCAGAACTTTCCCTGGAACCATAATGGCTGTCCGAGGCTGACCTACCTTGGCTATATCATGAGGAGGCATGCAGAAGTCAGAAGTGCAAGTGGGAGGCAAAAGAAGAGGAAGAGCAACTATGAGATGGGTCCAGGCCACAAGGGAAGGCATAGCCTTGAGTATGCAAGGGCTGGGCAGGGCTGTCAAGGACAGGGCTCGCCTAAGTCGGAGACGACTTGACAGTACGGAACAACAAATTTTCCTAGCTGCACCACTAGATAAAATCCTTTCCAAGTCCTACTCCTACACCCAGCCTCGTTGTTGCAGTTCAGAGCCCTGTTTGCTTTGTCACTGCGTTTCGCCTTGGGAGAACTCGAACGTTGTGCCCATCACGCTCGCACACTCCCTGCCTGTTTTGCCCGGCACGCCACTCTCTCCTGTTTTCGTCAGCCTACCTAATTCTGTTTCAAGAGCGCCTCCTTGCTCAAGAGATGCAAGGCGAGTGTTACGCCACCCGTAACAAATGATGGCCAGGAGGTCAAGGCCAGAGCGTGCCAGAAGAGGTGGCCTCCGCGCGCCGCCTTGCCGAGCCGCCCACCCCACGTGATGTTGCACGTGACCGTTTCCAAGCGGGAGGAAGCGATGAGAAGCCGCCCTTTTTGTCTCTTCCAAGGACGATGCGGTGGAGTTCCTGCCGCGCATCCTTGTCCTCTTTGGTGGTGTTTGCGCTGCTGGGTGGAGGCCGATCCAGCAGCCTGTCCGCTCTACTCCGTACCAACGGTGAGCACGACTTCTGCCCGCGATACGTCCGGTGCGCCTCGCTAACGGAAACCGCCGAAGAAACCTAGAAGAAGCAAGTTGAGTCAGCGCCGGCACGCAGGCGAGGCCGCGGAGCGAAGTGCGCCTGCGCACAGGAGGTGGAGCGGGGTAGAAACGGGGAGAGCGGGGAGGAACGCTCCTGAAGCCTCCCTGTCTCGGCAGTTCATAAGAAGCGTTTCTACTCCAAGAACAAGCTAGGTGGGCCCGACGGCCTCGGTGGTAGAGGGGATCCTCCGAGTCCATCCCACTGAGATTACTGGGATCTTATCCCAAGTAAGCGGACGCTAGGCTCTTACCCGCCCGGCGTTTCTCTAAGAGGTCGAGGCAGGTGGATTTCCCGCAAGCTGGATACAAGACCTCCTGTTACCCAAGCTTCTCAGCAACTGGTGCCTGCAGGCATGCCACCCCTAGATAACACATAGCCTGCAAGGCTAGTAGCCACTGAACATTTCCTTCATGAATCTGTCCATTTTTTAAAAGCTGTCCAGATTGGTGGCCATCACCACTTCCCATGGCAGTAAATGACATAATGTATATGTTGTGTGAAGAAGTACTTCCTTTTATCTGTCTTAAATCTTCCACCAATTAACGTAAAGGGATGACCCCAGGTTTGAGTGTTATGGGAGAGGGGGTGTTACGTCTCCCTCCCCACTTTCTGCACACCATGCATTATGTTAACACCTCTGTCTTGTCTCAGCTTGCCTGCCTTTTTCCTAAACTGAATAATCCCAATTGTAGCTGTTCCTCATAGGGGAACTCCTTCAGCCAACTGATCATTTTTGTTGCTCTTGTCTGTACTTTGTCCACGTCAATAATGTCCATTTTCAGATAAAGTGACCAGAACTGAACACAATATTCTTTGGTATGGTTGCACAAAAGATTTGTTTAAGGGAAGTAAGATGCTGGCAGTTCCATTCCTAATGCCTAGCATGGAGTTTACCTTTTTCATAGCAGCTGCACACTGGGCTGACATTTTCATCAAGTTGTTCACCATTATCCCAAGACTCCTTTCTTGCTCAGTCACTTCTGCTTCAGATACCATCTTGAAGTTAGGATGTTTTGCACCAACATGCATTACTTGAAGTTAGGATATTTTGCACCAACATGCATTACTCTACGCTTGCTTATACTGAAGTGTATTTGCCATTTTGATATCCATTTATCCCAGATTGGAGAGATCCCTTTGGAGCTCCCCACAATCCCTTTTGGTTTTAACCACCCTAAAAAGTATAGTGTCATCAGCAAACTCGGCCACTTCACTACTTACTCCTAATCCCAGATCATTTATGAATAGGATGAAAAGCACTGGTCCTAATACAGAATCCTGTAGGATTGCACTGGTTACATCTTTGCATTGGCAGAAGTTGCCATTTATTCCTGTCTTCTGTTCTTTAACCAGCTAGTGATCCTAAGAGGGTCCGCCCATTTATTCCATGACTTGTGCCAAACTTAAGCTGAGAGGTAGTAAACAACCAATATAATATTTTTAATGCTGCCATTCCACTGTTGCAGGTCTGGGATTACACTGTGAGAATAATATACCACAACCATGTTGTATAGTCCAACTGCAGCATGAGAGATGGTTGGTTATAAAATCCCTGCATTGCAATGCACTGTTTTCACCCCATACCCCACCTCTGTATGTGTGTGATGTATACAGGGAAATTCTTCCTCTGCTATCTCTGCTAGGAGTCTATGGAGCTCTGTATTTTGCCCTCTGCTGTTGTACTCATATATTCCACTTGTGAACTGTGGGAAGTTTCATAGATTCTGGCACTCACTTAAAGCTCAATTTTCTTAGAAAGTATTTGGAGACGTAGTTCTTTTTGATGCAAGAGGGCTAGAAGCAGGAAATGCCACCCCAAAGCCTCCTCCAGCCAGCTTTTCACCTCTCCTTAACAAGCCATTACTATTACAAAGCCATATACTATTTATAGTATAGCCATTGCAATAAACGGCATTGCAGGAAAGCATCTGGATGAGAAAAGGAAGACTGAACTCAACTGTCTTGCTCTTTCACAAGGCATATCACCCATCTGTTGTGTTGAAGGATCTTGATAATATTTGCGATGATTTTATTAATGATCATTAAAATAAATAAATAGGATTGATTGATCTTTCACCAGGTACTCAAGGAATCCAAAGGATTCTTAATAGCTTTGGAGGATTCTTTGGCTGATATAACTGCTACTCCTGTCAACATCCTTTTCTTACTATAGAGCAGTGAGATGTATAACTCTACCAGCACAGGGTTACTCCATCTGAATTGATAGCTGGAAGATTCCTTGGTTTTCCAACGTCCTCTGAGCTAGAAAATGGACTAGACTCTTGCTGGAGTGCAGGTGGCTTAAAGCTTTATCTAATGTGACCAGACACAGCTTCATGCCAACCATGTTGCACATATTAACACCAAGATATTTCTGTTAAACCTCATGGCAGTTATGTTGGGGGGTGGGTTCCACAAGGATCCATTCTGACATCTCTGTAAAATCGTCGGGGGGGGGGCAGGGGTGAGGCAAGCGCTGTGTTACCCAGCTCTGCGTCTTCATTCCATCTGAATCAGGAGAGAGGGAGTAAGTGCTGGACTGATGCCGGGAATCAGGTTAGGACTGGATGCAGATTAATAAACTGAAGCTAAATCCCAGCAAGATAGACAATCTGTGAATGTTAGTTCCTGTGTCTAGGTATTAACTGCATGGCCTGCGGAGGATGGGTAGCAATCACCTCAGTGGAGTAGGTACATAGTCCACGAGGATTCTTTTATCCAAAGCTCTCAGTGGAGACCCAGGTGGCCTCCATGACATGGAGTATTTTTGGCCAGCTATGATTTGCTCAGCAGCCATGGCTGTTCTAGGATTGAATTGGCTTTGCCGCACGAGACTATGGTCTGATCATTTCCTAACTGGACTATTGCAATGTCTTTATGGTTTCCCTTGAAGCTCAACTAGTGCAGAATTCTATTGATCTTGTACTGACAGCAGTGAGATGTGAGTGTATCACATCAGTTTTGAAAACTCTGCAGTATTTGTCAGTGAGCTACCAGGTCCAATACAAGGAGTTAGCACTAGTGTATGAAGCCTTAAATGGCTTAGAATCCAGGGGTTCAAAGGATTGATTTTTGCCATACTGACCACCCCAGCATTTAAAGTAGATCAATGTGATGTCCCTGCTGTGGAACTTGCTTGTGTTAGAGCTGGCTGTCCTCTATACTGTTGTTATTTAGGTGCCAGTTGGCAAACAATATCATCACTAGACATTGTGGGATATTCTAGATCCCAGCTCCAAGGTTGGAGACATGCTGTGACCTCAGAGCTGGGAAGTGGAGCTCCTATCCTACTCCCCTGGCCCTTTGCAGTCTTCATGGAAAGAACTGCACCAGCTGAGAACTGGGAAAGCAACCTCAGAGAGGGGTTAAACTATCCTTCTGTCATTGGTATTCATCTTGTACATTTAGGTGTTTGATAGCCTAAATAAATAGCATACAACTTCTGACATTAAGGAAGTTGGAGCTGATAGTGCTTCAGGCATGTATAATCTATGCAACAGAAGATGGTCCAGTAAGTGCTACATCAAGCTGATTAGATTAAAGCAATGGTTCTTAGCATCAATTATCAATGCTGTATGTTGACTGTATTTATGGAATGTTCACAAATATTACACTTCACAATATAATTGTGTTTCTTTTTTTAGACTGTGGAACAAGGCCTGCTGTAGATAAGCTAAAAACAGGGGCTCGGATTGTAGGAGGATATGAAGCACAGCTTGGAGCATGGCCATGGCAAATTAGTCTTCAAATTTACCGTCTTGGTATAGGTCTAAGATATCTCCATGTATGTGGCGGATCATTAATTAATAACAATTCAGTGCTAACAGCTGCACACTGCATTAAAGAAAAGTTGTACGTATCCTTCAAATCTAGATTTTGTTTGTCAATTTCTGGTCTGAGAAAAGTATAAAATCAACATGCATTGGCTGAATTTGGAAATCTATATGTTCCTTTTTTGTAAATCTGTTTCTGAATCTACTATCTCCCTTGATCTGCTTTGCCAGACCAGGAGGAGTAGTTTGTGATTATATTCTGCATTTGAGGTATCTGTCAATTTTTACTAGGGAACAAGTTTCTCAGATAAAATTAGAACTTCTGCACAGATACAGAAAAATTGGGTGTGCCCACTTTCTTCTTTTCCCCACCTCCAGAAGCCAGTAGAATACTTTCCTTCTATTTGCATTAAGGTGAATATTTTGAAATCAAACACTAGATTGCCTCCAACAAGAACATAATAGGCAGAGAGGACAGGACCAAAGGCTGAATTCTTCAGCTGAATTTCGTAGGCAAAATCCTATGCCTAGACAGAGTCTAAGCACCTATAGCAAAATTTGGAGTCCCAGCTTGGACTTCAGAAATGAATTCAGAGGGTTCACCCTCTGTCATCACAGCCAGCACAGTTCTTCCCATGCTCCAAGGTTGGAAGTGTTGCCCTCAGAGCTAGCAGTTGGTAGGAGACATGGAAGGAAGGACTGAGCCTCTGCTGCAGTATGATGTAACTTCTGTAACTAACATGTAACTATGGAGAATGATGTGGCTTGAACTCATAGACTCTAATGTGCATTAAGGACTAACCAATTTATTATGGAATAAGCTTTTACTATGACAAAACTGTGTATAAGATCCTGTACTTTTTGCAGTAGTTTTCAGTTCCTAAAACATATAGTAGCATGAAAGATTATCCAATGCTTTTTAGTGGATGCAAGAATTTCTCTCTTTCCTCAATCAAACTGAGGCTTCCATAGTTTGGGAGGAACTGTATATATGCCCTCTGGGATACTTTCCTTTGAACAGTAGGCTCCCATGCTGAACCAGAGACTAATTACACAACTTCACTCAGTTTTGTTTTGTTTTGTTTTTTTAAGGATGCCATGCAACATGAAGCAGCATCTCTTCAGGAATCACAGCCCCAAAGCTCTAAATTTTGACTATTTTGTATAGAAATAAGAGTATTTATCTCCTTCCTCATTCAAATTATGGCATCCTTGATCTGTGTGTAAACGTGTGGCATGCCCAGTGGGTTTCTTTCCTTTGAACAGCAAGCTCCCATGCAGAATCACAAACTGCTTTTGTGTTTCCACTCAGACTGAGATGAAGAAACAGAAACCAGGTGAACAAGTACATTTGCTTTTGCAGTTTTTAGGATTCTGGCCTTCATATTTGTGGTTGCTGCTGCACTAGATGCTCTGCCTTGGTGACCATACCTCAATTTCAGAAAATAATTGCTTACTGTTCTTCTCAATTCTGTACAGAATTTTCATGTTGGTTAATTGCCATCATCAGTTCACTCTCCTTCTAAATGATGTAAATTAAAACATATGTTAGTATGTTTATGTAGGAGAGTTCCATAAAAGGATTACAAAACAGTTGGTGGTGGAGAATTCTTGAATTTATTTTATTATTTATTTATTAGTTTTGTTTGAAAGCCACTGCACTGCACTCTCCATTACCATAAAAGTTGATATGATATGACTGTTGCACTTACTTTGAACTTACTCTGACAAATGTTACTTTGTTATATATCTACATGGACATAATTGTTTTGCCAGTTATAGTTGTTTATTCCTATTAATAAAATGCATGTAAAACATTGCCATTTTCTTATTGCTAGACCTGAGTTTGGCTTCATGCTCTTCAAACTGGCTGAAGCAAGATAGAAGACTCACTTCTCAGAAGTTGCAATTCTATCATAATTATTGGTTCTTAAAGGGATTTTTATTCTGTCCTAGGAAGCCAGAGATTTGGAAGGCTGTGATTGGCTTGCATCATCTTTACTTGCATGAGTCTCATACTGTGCAGAGCCGGGTTAGGGCTATCATGATCCACTCTAAGTTCAACAAAAAAACTTTAGAAAATGATGTTGCCTTGTTTAAGCTAAGCAAGCCTGTCATATATAATGACTATATTCAGCCTATCTGCTTACCTAACACTTCTCTTCTCCTGACTGATGGGACTCCATGTTACATAAGTGGATGGGGATTGAAAAATGAGAATGGTAAATCTTTATTTTTTCTCTTCAACTAATATATTATTAAAAGTGAGAAATAGCTTAATGATCTCAAAGTGAGTACATCTGGAACTCTTTCACATAACAAGGAAACCCAAGGAGGTCCACAAGTGCCTATTGAGTAGTTTTCTACTAGATACACCTGATGGTGCACACATTTGGTGTATCTGTACTTTATATTATTAACTGTACATTTAAAGTATAGACCTAAACAGAATAATGTGTGAACTGGCTCTGACTCATTATGTTTGCTTGGAAGCAAACTTAAAAGGTTAAGGGAGTTTTTCCATCTTTACCCATTTTTGCTGTTTAATCCCTCAAATTGATTGGCAATGAACTCTTTCAAAGTATAACTCTTTGAAAATTTACTGTATTTTAAATATTTAATAAAAAGAAATGGATTGCTTCCAGATGCAGTTTTATTGGGCAGTCATCCAGCCTTTATTGTGCAGTCCCATGCCTCATTCATGGAATTTTAAGGGGAACATGTTATCTTCCACTTGAAACTTGCCATTCATGAAGCCTGTTTACAGGTAACAGCCGCAAATCATAGGTTTACCCATGGTCTGTCACAGCCAGTTTGCATACTAGGGCTGACCCAAACTTACTACAAACTGTAAATTACTTAACCTATAGTATCCAGGCTTAGACATCATGTAGCAACCTCAGGTTAGAGACTAAATATGTAAAACACCCGAGGAACATGTTCAGCATGCTCTGTGGTAAACTAAGCATTAATTAACCAGTTACTTGCTACCATCAGGTACTTTTCCCAATGTTGCTGCTGCCTTTTCCCTTAAAAAATCATTAAGATGAAAATACGGAACAGCTTGAGTATGTCCTTTGATCAGTAATAGTAGGAGTTGTTTCTTTGGAAGCACTCTAGAAATCTAATCTTTTGAACACTTTACATATGTGAACAAATGGAACTGTGATGTACAGATAATGTCTGTTTCTTCTGTTTTAGAATTTCACCTAGAAAAGTTAGTGTAGAGAAAAGGTCTCAGTTCATTTTTGCATTATAGATGTGTAACACTCGCAGTCTGGGCTGTGTATATTAATCATCTAGCTAGAGCAAATTGTGCACAAGTTTGATTGCACAATTCACTTGATAGACTTTTTATCTCAATATATACATAGTAAATTATTAGAGGGACTTATGTGAAGATATAAACATTTTTTAAAAACTAAAAATTTATGGACACTGGGAATTCTACAAAAAAAAAACCTTTCATTGTCAAAACAAATTTGGAAGTGACCAGAGATCAAGTAGTATCTCAGGCTTTTACTCTGGCAAAAGTAAAACCTGATCAGCCTTTAAATTTGTAAACTGCCTGAACTGCATATAGATTTGATTATAACTCGTGGCCAAAACAAATGGACTGATTAAGCTGAGTTAGTTATGCTAGATGTTTGCTAAGCCTGGCATAGCCTTTGCATTGACAGCTTAATGCACTGCCATGCATGTGCTGTGATCCTAACCACAGTGATGTTTGAACTCTGTGTGTCTTTGCATGCAGCCACTCAGACTGCTGATTAAATGGTTGCACCTCTGGAAAGATGAAGGGGCTCATTCAAGGATAGATGGAGTTCTGTCCACAGCTCAAACTTTACCTGAGGGTTTGTGTTTTCTTTACAGGTGTAGGCACTTATATATTACATGAAGCTCAAATAAGAATTATTCCACTAAAAATCTGTAATAGATATGACTGGTATGCAGGGGCAGTGTCAAGAAATAATCTTTGTGCTGGCTCTGAAACTGGACATGTTGATAGTTGCCAGGTAATTCTATTTCAAAAACAGTTGCCAAAAGAAGTTTTTTGTTTCCTGTGTTAAATTATGTTAACTAATAACAAATCTCAGTAGCATCAAAGCAATTGGGACATGGACATTTGGGAATGAAAGAAAATACTGTGGACACCACCACAAAATGGTTCCTATGGAGGATGTGGCTAGTCACAGAATCATAAAATACTTGAGTTTGAAGTGGCCAAAAGGCCATTGGGTCCAACCCCCTACTGTTGCAGGACATCAATTTACTCCATCCCATGAGATGACTGTCCAGACACTTTTTGAATGTCTCCAGCAAGGGAAAACCCTCAACTTCCACAGATAATAGGTTCCATTGTCATACTGCTGTGACAGTTGGGAAGTGCTTCCTGGTGTCTAGTCTAAATCTGGTTCTTTTCACTTGAGTCTGTTATTCCGTGCCCTACATTCTGAAATGAACAAGAAGAGATCTTATTCCTGTTTGTGACAGCCTTTCAGATACTTGTAGAATATCATATCTCCCCTAGTCTTCTCTTCCTGAAGCCAGTTCTCTCAATCTTTCCTTATAGGGCTTTGCCTTCAGTCTCTAAATCATCCTTGTTGCCTTCCTCTGTACCCTTTCTAGCTTTTCTTCATCCTTTTTAAATTTAGGTGTCCAGAACTGGATACAGGAATCCAGATGAGGTCAGACTAGTGCTGAGTCATATAATAGCAGCTGCTTTGAAGCCTGACTATTCATGAGTGAGCCAAAGAAGGATGGTGGGGTGGGGGGCAGTGATGCTAATGGCTAGGAGGAAGAGGGGAATAGTAGGACAAATGAGTAGAGGGGAGAGGCCAGAAGCCAGGAGACAAACAGATAAAAAAAGGTGGTTGGAATATGAAAGCTAGGAGTTGAGCGGAAGAGGGAAATAGCAAAGCAAAGGAGTAGAAGGGAATGTGCAAGACTTGAGGCTAGAAAAAGAAGGAAGATTATTCTAATATTGTGAGGTTATTTTTAAAGACGGCAGAGTGGAGAACTTTATGAGTGCTGTAGGAGGTCCCCATGGATGCCACTTGTGGAATCCCCCAGTTAGCACAATTTGCGCTAGCTAGATGATTAACATAATAAGCTTCCTCCAGTTTGGGAAGATAATTGGTGTAAAATTTAAGCAAAACAGTAATTTCATGTGTGTAATAAAGGTTGAGCTGATGCAAGGCCTATCAACACAATTTAAACCCCCTCTTAATTGCCTCATTGTATCAGTAGCTGTGAGTCATGAGTTTCAAGTCATTTAAGTAGGGTATATTTTTTTAAAAAATAGGCTTGGGTCCTGGATACCTGAAGGAGCACCTTCTTCCCTATGTACCTTTCTGCCCCTTGAGATCTGAAGCAGAGGTCCTCCTCCAGGAGCCCTCCTTAAAAGAGATTAGGAGGGTGGCTACCTGGAGGAGGCCCTTCTCTGCGGTGGCACCCTGACTGGAACACACTCCCCACAGAGGCTCGCCCGGTGCCAATGCTTCTTTCCTTTTGGTGCCAGGCAAAGACCTTTTTATTCTCCCACTATTTTAATTTCTAATTTGTTTTAATCTGTGGTTTTACACTTAATACTGGATGCTGTGCTGCTCCTACTTTTATTTTTATTCTATTTTATTGTTGTTGTGAACAGTCCCGAGACATCTGTAATGGGACAAAATACAAAAGTTTTTAAATAAATAAAGGAAAATTTGGTACCCGTGCACTTAATGTTGTGGTATGATAGCCAACATCAGAATGTCTTGTATTGTTGGAACTGTAACTTAATATTCATTGTATGCCTGTTGTTCCTGAATTCCTAGAATAGCCAGTATTAGATTTTGTAAGTGACCAACCTGAGTTCAATTCAAGCAGTATTATCTAGTATTCAAGTTTATTCCTATTTCTTGGCAGCTGGTATCATCTTCTGATGATATATGAGAGGTATAACTGATAACAATCTTGTTGCATGCTAAAAGATAAAAATGTCACAAGAAACACTGAAATAGTTTTCTTTATTGTTTTCATTTTCCAGGGAGACAGTGGTGGTCCTCTTATGTGCCAGTTCCCAAATGACAAAAAACATTATCTCATAGGAATCACAAGTTATGGCATTGGCTGTGGTCGGCCAAAGCAGCCAGGAGTCTATGTAGATATAGCTAATTACAGACATTGGATAAATTCGCATGTTGCTCTATATAACAACACCACAAGGTTGAGCATTCATTGTGTTCTGCTCTTTTTGACTGTGTTCCATCTTGTCATATAAAAAGCCAATTCTTGTTCCATTATACTAGAATTATCTCAGATTGCTTGTTATATTTATTACTTCCTCTTACAAATCTTTAACAAAAATGATCATTTTACCAGTGCATAGGCATTGTCATCTATTATTTTATCCCCATCCAAGAAAGTGTGTATTCCTTCTGTAATTTATAGAGAAGCTATGTATGTAACAGATGCAAACTGTTGTCATATTATAGATTTTAAAAATAAAACATTTTGCTATTAAATAAAAATATTGTTGACTTTCTGGTTTAATTTCTTCAGTTCTTGAATCCAAACTGATGGTATCAGAGACAAATGTGAGGTTCTATAAATAAGAGTTGCAGTGCAATACTGTGCATCTACTCAGAAGTATGCTCATTAGGAGTGGAGGGTTTTGGCTTGGCTTAACTTTTTGGTTGGTAGGAGCTGAAGTGGTTGGGGCGATGCTATGTCGAGGTGAAAGGAGCAATAGTACTGACAGAATACAGAGGGTTCTCATTGCAGTCCCCTGGCACTTCATATAGCATTGAGCTAACATTATGGTGGGGGAGAGGGAGGTAGAGCCAGGCATAGGCCATGTGCTAACCGTAAAGTTGGGCCTGGCACCAAGAGGAGATAGACTTACAGCTGCCCCCTCCTTTTGCCACTCTGTGCCTCTGAGGATACTAAATTGGGGACAGGGTCCCAGCATCATTTAAGTCAGAGGAGCCACCTGTTTAAGCAATCATGCAGTCCAGGACTTCCTCTACTCAGTGTTCGGTCTGTAAAAGTTGTTTTTGTACTTTTTAAAAAACACACTGGTACCCATCTTAGCCAAAGTGAGTTCTCTGGGGAACTGACCCCTTGCCCTATCATTCTGCATGCTGATGCCATGTCTTGAACTGTGCTTTGACATACAGTCTGTCTTTCCCAGACCTAAGGCAATGAAGAGATATGGAATGGGGCAGGGGAATGTTTTTTATAAAATGCACGTACGTGAATTGATCTTGTTTACACACGTGCTCACTTGTGTGATGGAAAAGCTCAAGGGTATTCTTTGGAAAACAGAATTCTGTACCTAAACCATGGTTAGGTAAAAGAGTGTCCATGAGCACCAGAGCAGCCTTGGACAAATGGGTGCCTACCGAGTTACCCTACAGCTTTTTTCTTTAACAAATTTTCTTACTAGCAGCTGAGATCCTTCAAAGCAAGGTGAGGACCTCTAGCTGCTCTCATATGTCTTCATGAAGGCCTCTGGCTCAGCGTTCAGATACTTTCTTACAAAATGAAAATAGTAGGCAGATGGAGACTAGTTTCATCTGGTGGTGGTGCTCAAGACAGTTCTCACTGTAGACTATTCCCACAGGCCCAAATGGTTGCTTGCCTTAAAGCCTAACATTCTGACATAAGATTTTGTGGCCATTGTCCACTTCAGAGCATTTTTATGAATGATTATAGTAGAATACATGTGTTAGTCTCTAAGCTGCCTTACCAGTCTTTCACCTTTCTGCTGCAAAAGTACCCTTCTGGAAAGTATACCATCAAAAAGCCCAGTGTTCATGCTTTGATTTAAAAAAAACACACCCTCTTTAAGACTGTACAATACATATCATTTTCCCCAACACCTCCCCCAAAATCTTTCCATTGCTCTGAAATAAACACAAGAATAAACTGTGTTTTTATGGCCATTATTTGTGCTTATCAGATTTTTATTAGGAAAAAGATTTAAATTTTAAAACTAAACAGAAGCGAACAGTTAAGAAAAAAAATATGACTTGGAATACTCAAAGTAAACACTACAGTATTGACCTGTACATTTCAGTCCCGAATACGAAGTTTTCCTCTTAAAGCCTCACACAGCAAATAAACGAATTGCAAACTAATGTTAGCCCTGGATGATAAGTCGATTGCAGGGTAGATCAACCCCCCGTGAAAATCGAAATTAGACGAGTCAGAAACGGAATAATTAAAAGGCTTATGCCCGTATGTGCCTTTCCAGTTGACAGTACAGCGGTATACGTAGAAATAATCACTATCCACTTCGGCGTGCCCAGGGGGAGATTGCGCCCGGCATTCAGGCTGCCCACCTCCCGCGCGCTGCTCAGCCGGCTGCAGCCCCAGCCTCGCTAGCGGAAGGGAGAGGACTTAGGCGGACGCGGGAGAAGACGTGGAATCGTGTCCACAAGGAGCTCAGCGTCACGCGGGCGAGCGCAGGGGAAAAAAAGAGAGGGAAGGCCGCCATTTTGTTTCCTCGACGGAGGATGCGGCCTCTTTCTGCTTCGTTTTTGGCATTGTTGGTGCTGCTGGGTGAAGCCCCGCTCAATGTCGTGGCCTCCCTGCTTTCTGGAAACGGTAAGCGACGCGTCCCACGCCCTCCACGGTGTGCTGAGAGCCGTGCACTGTCAGAACAGAGACGAGCCGCCTAGGGGCCTTCACGCCGCCAGAGCCGCGGGGCGCAATGCGCCTGCGCATACGAAGCCGCTGAAGTCTGCAAGCACTGTAGAAGTGGATAATACGTTGCGTGCCCATGCGTGAGGCTCATGTAATGATGAGACCGATCTCATGACGGTGGGTATTATCCTGCCCCAATTTTAGTGGCATTTTAGAATGAAGCTGTTCATGTGGCGATTTGCGTAGTTACTGTCGCTCGCGAAACGGCTACCCCGGTTGCACACATCTCTGCGAGATGTAAATGGAAGTGTTGGTCAGAATTATGTCTCTAGTAGTACTGCTAACATCCCAGAACCCCCGCTTCTTATTTAATTGTCCCGCATTACATGGGGTACAAGCCCACTGCCGTGACGGGAAATCCAGGCAGAGTGAATTGTAGACCAGTGATTTCCAAAGTGGGCAGAATCGCCCCCTCGGGGGTGGTGGAAAGATGTAGACGGGCAGTGAGATAAAAGGGGTAGCAGCGGTTATTAGACGAATTATAGGAAGTCCCCGGGATGCAAACAACCCGTACTTAACGAAACCACGGACTGCCAGAAACCCTATATGACTATCTCTACAAATAGTCGAGAATAATTCTAGGGAACTAGGGAGGAGTTTGACAACACCTGCTGCGTCGTTCCCAGAGAAATTCACGACTTTTTGTAGAGATGGAGATACTCCCTAGAGATTGTTAAGGATATCTGTAAAATATTATGTGACATATTAGGAGATGTGCAATAGTTCACTAGTGATAAAGTACTGATGGCTTTTCCTTTAACAATGTGGGCTTGAGGATGTAAGGAATGAAATCCAAGCAATGACGATACGGGAGGCAAAGTACCAAGCAGCAACGGTTTAATACGTTCTGGCCAGACGGGGCACTCACCCCAAAGGTAGTGCACTGGAGGAGCAGTTTACACGGCCTCTTATTCCCTACTCACACACAAAGTCCCCACCTCCTTTCTCCCATTGGCTGGGATACTGGGAGTTCACACTCTTCTCTGTCCGCCTTCATCATGCTACTCCTTGGTATGTTACCCCCACCTGCTCATACGTTCCATGTTCATGTTAATAACCCTCTGAGTCATAGTTGGAGGCATCATTAATATGCATTAGCTAATTACGCAGCCGTACTTTGCGTTCTAAGTTCAAAAGTTTAATGCCATGTCTACCAATTACATCTTGTAGTCTATTAGTTTGTGTTAATCACAATAACTTTATTAATCATTAAGTGATCTGTATAGCTTTACCTGTTCTGGCCCGTTAATCACAATACCTTTATTAATCACTAAGTGATCCATAGCTTTACCTGTTCTAGTTTGTTAGTCACAGTAATCTTCTACTTCTCACAAGTATAACCAGTGTGTTTTGGGGCACATGTAGAGTGCGTGGTTCCCCTTTGGTTTTTCTGTAACATTTGCCCTTCTAACCAGGTCCTCAGCTGCTACAAGGTCATTTATGATGGGATAAAGAAAATGGCTGTACAGCAACCTTTTAGGCTTACTTCAAGAAAGCAAATCCAGCTGGAACCTGCCCCCACCCACCAGCAGCACAATCAAACCCTGATCCTCTAGCACCAGGTCCATTTCCATCATCATCAGTTAATGTTACCTCAAGAATGTTCTAAACTGTTTTAAGAACTGTTTCTAAATATTTTTTACAATACTGTATACCTACATACATACATACAGATTCTCTTCAGTACCTGTAGTTACCTTATTATATTATTATTATAATTATTACAATGTTATATTGTGTTTAAGATGTTTTAGCAAATATTGAAGTGTTTCTTAAATATTATATATGCATAGAAAGTTAAAATATATACATATACTAAGACAAACATTTGGCTTACTCATGTGATCTGACTTACATACAAGTTTAACTCAAGGATGTTTTCAGGAATGGAACTTGTCTGTTATCGATTACAGAACTGATGCTGTGCTTTACTTTGTTTTATTGTAAGACCGTCCCAAGACTATCTGGTACAGGACGGTATAGAAAAGATAGATAGATAGATAGATAGATAGATAGATAGATAGATAGATACAAAGAAAAGGGCAAAAGTTTGGAAAATAGGACTGCTGAGGAGCCTGCCTCCCCTGCACAGCCTTGCATGCTGCTGTCCACCACAGTTCCCCCTCCCGATGCCCTGGTCAGAGTGGGGTTAGAGGGAGAGGCCAGGCAAGCTGTGACACAGTTGTAGCATGCTGAGCCAGGGCCTTCCTTCCAGCAGGACTGCTTAAGCCAGGCAGCACCCAAGACCATCCATGCCTGCTTTGCTGTCATCACCGCCACCACTGCTGCCAAGGACCTCTGAGAAGATTGCCTCAGTCTCCTGCAGCCCTGCAAGCTGACATTCACCCTGGGCACCCCTCCCAATGCCATGGTGAGGGTGGGGACAAGGGACAGGGAGAGAAAGAGGCCAGGCAAACAAGGGGTATTGATTAATTCACCTAAAGTACAAGAACCCTAGCACCTGTAATACAAAGAAAGAAGCATGGGGGCACTAGGGTTGTCACCCAAGAGGAAAGGGGGCATCTGTAGACTGTGGTCAAGGATGCTTATGCAACTTTTTTCTCTGTTTCTATATGATGTACTCAAAAGTTATAGTGTCCCATGAAATTCCTCTGATCCAAAGAGAAGGTATGTTAGCACCACAGACTTGTAACTTTAAATTCTTTCAGACAATGTCCAGTTTCTGGATGCTCTGGACAAGCCCTTTTTTATATTTTCAAGAGTCAAATGACAGGTTCACCCTTCTGCTCGCTTTCAAGCATGTTTAGGCTGCAGCTTGCCTACCTGCAAAGAATTGCTGTCAGCAAAGACCTAAGCCAATATTCTTTCTAACTTACGTTTTATTTCATGTGTTTAATGTGATTATTTATTTATTTATTTATTTATTACCTTTGGATCCATCTTTGTTGGTTGGGCATTCAACATTCTACTCACACAGATCACTGACGGTCCACATTTGGGATTCTTCATTTCCCACCTAGAAGTGTGGGGAGAAAAACGCTACATCAAAGGAAAACATCTGGAGACTTCTGGGGAGATAGCAGCCTGAATTACAACGGCATTTGCCGCTCTGTTAATTATCTTGCTAAAGACAGTTATAAATCATCTCCTGAGAGGTTCCTTACCTCTCTAATTGGCAGGTGAGCATGAAGACTTTCAGTCTACAGCTCTGGAAACAATGAAATGGCTGGATAAGGTAAGTTGGAATAAGCCTTCCCTACACATACTTTTTTTTTTTCTTGTCCTTTTCCCCTCTTTTTCAGTAATTGGATTGCTTCTTTTCATTTCATTTTATTTTCTGCCAAGGGAATAATATTCCAATTTGCTGCAATTTAGACTTTCAAGGCATTTTTTATTTGCATATTTTGAAGGAATTCTGAAAGAGATGGTCAGATGATTAACGACGTCTCACTTCCAAGGCTGTTTAATGTTTCTGTTTTAGAACTAAGAAATTGACCTTGCATGAGAATACAGCTAGAGATAGATATGTGTTCATTTTGTGGCCTTTTAATGGAGAGGAAGGATAATTGTGCTCTCTGGTCAGCTAAGACTTGTGGCTGAGATTCTTTTTTTAAGGCATTTCTGTTTAAGTATTTGGGAAGGACTTTGAAATGGATACTTTCTCAACACCTTGCTTGAACTGAATTCAGGCTTTAATTTGAAAAATTGTTTGATATTATTCAAGAGATAGATTATGGACATTGCAAACTGACCTTGACTGGGGATTCGCTGTAATGGAGCAGGTAGCTGTCTTCCTTTCTCTGTCACCATTTTGGGGGAGGGGGGAGTAGCCAGCTGCTTGAGGTGGGAGATATTTTGTTGCCGTTTTTGAACTGATTTATTACATGATTTGCTGCAAAGAACAACTACTTCTCTTTGATGGCTTTGGTTGGAGTTTGGATTTGGGGAGGCTATGATTATTCCTGGTTCTTTTTGATCTCCTTGCTTTTGACTTTGAGAGAATAAAGCTGTGAGGCATTGATATTACTGTCATCTGTTGGGCTTGGAGAAAATGGAAGCTAAAGCCCCTCACTATGAAAACAAGGCTGGCACAATATCTCCAGCCAAAATTATTATTATTAACAAAATAATAAATTGATTTGAAGACTATCTTTGCCTCCTGCTGGATCTGGAATAAAGTCAGAGTTCCCTGATAGGGAAGTCATCTTTGAACAATGCCTTTTGTATAGCAATACTAACTTTTACTAATATTTTAATAGAAACAGACTAATAAGTATAATATTATAGAAGGCTATTGATTTTATCTATTTCTGTTTCTTGCTTCTATCTTTATGCAGGTTTTTTTTCCTTTCTCTTGCTCTCTCTCTCTCTCAAACTACTTTTGGCCCCTCTTACTTTCTTTTCTGCTTTAGGGTTTTTTTGTCGAATTGTGAGTTTATTTACAACAATGAAGGAATGTGGAAGCTGGATATTTGGAGAAGGAAGAGAAAAGAAAAAAATGACTTAGAGGAATTACTTGGGAGTAGAAGCTTCCCCCTGGTATACACCTGAATTGCGGGTGATGAAGCAGGCTGGGAGACGGCTAGAGCGTAGGTGGAGGAGATCACGGGATGAATCTGACCAAACACACTTGAGAGACCATTATCGGGCCTATGCTGTAGCTGTGAGGGCGGCAAAAAAGAATTTCTTTTCCGTTTCCATTGCCTCCTCAAAATGCCGTCCGGCGGAGCTTTTTCAAGTGGTGCAAGGCCTGGTTCGTCCAGGTCCTAAGAAAGATCTGGTTCCACCCTCGAAGGCCTGCTGTGATGACTTTGCCAAGCATTTCAGGGAGAAAATCGCTCAGATTCGTCACGAGCTAGACGCTACTAGTGACTCAGAAGTTTCTGGGGAGACACCAATGCTGCCGTCTGGTCCAAAATTAATGGATGAATTTCAGTTACTGCGGCCTGATGATGTGGACAAGGTGCTTGGACGAGTACGTCCCACCACTTGCCTATTGGACCCTTGCCCATCTTGGTTAACAAATAATTCCAAGCACGGGATTGGGATCTGGATCTTGGAAGTGGTTAACGCCTCTCTGGGGAGGGTCGGGTACCTGCCCCTTTAAAGGAGGCAGTAGTCCGACCGGTCCTGAAGAAAGCATCACTGGATCCAGAGATGGCCACTAATTATAGACCAGTGGCCAACATCCCGTTTCTGGGCAAGGTGTTAGAGCGGGTGGTGGCAGGACAACTCTCTTGGATGAAACTGATTATCTGGACCCATTTCAGTCCGGCTTCAGACCCGGATACGGTACTGAAGCTGCCTTGGTCGCCCTGTGCAGGGAGAAGGATAGGGGGAGTGCGTCCCTGTTGGTTCTTCTGGACCTCTCAGCGGCTTTCGATACCATCAACCATGGTATCCTCCTGGATAGGCTAGCGGGATTGGGGGTCGGAGGCACTGCTTTGCAGTGGTTCCACTCCTATCTCAATGACCGATTCCAGAAGGTGGTGCTGGGGGACTATGGCTCTGCGCCATGGCAGCTATGCCATGGAGTACTGCAGGGGTCCATTTTGTCCACTTTGCTGTTTAACATCTACATGAAACTGCTGGGAGAGGTCATCAGGAGGTGTGGGCTGCGGAATCATCAGTACGCTGATGATACCCAGCTCTACCTCTCGTTTTCCACCAATCCAGGTGAGGCAGTGGCTGTGCTGAACCGGTGCCTGGCTGAGGTAATGGGCTGGATGAGGGCCAATAAACTGAAGCTCAATCCAGACAAAACGGAGGTCCTGTTGGTTGGCGGATCAGGCTTCGGAGAGGGTGAATTGAACCTAGTCCTGAATGGGGTTGCACTCCCTCTTAGGGACAAGGTCCGCAGCTTGGGAGTGCTCCTCGTCCCAGAGCTTTCATTGGAAGCTCAGGTGACAGCAGTGGCGAGGAGCGCTTTCTTTCAGCTTCGGCTGATCCATCAGCTGCGCCCCTACCTGGAGTATGACTGCCTGGCGACAGTGACACACGCATTGGTGACTTCCCGTCTTGACTTCTGTAATGCGCTCTACGTGGGGCTACCCTTGAAGACGGTCCGGATACTTCAGTTGGTTCAAAATAGAGCTGCCAGGCTGCTGACGGGGACTGGGCGTTATGTTCACATGACTCCAGTCCTCTGTCAGCTTCACTGGCTTCCCATTGAAGTCCAGGTCCAATTCAAGGTGTTGGTGATGACCTATAAAGCCCCAAACGGCTTGGGTCCTGGCTACCTGAAGGAGCGCTTACGTCCATATATGCCCGCCTGCACCCTGAGATCTGCGGGAGAGGCCCTTCTCCGGGAACCCTCCATGAAGGAAATTAGGAGGGTAGGTACTCGGAGGAGGGCTTTCTCTGCGGTGGTGCCCAATCTATGGAATGCGCTCCCTAGAGAGGTCTGCCTGACGCCGTCGTTATTTGTTTTTCAGCGCCAGGTGAAGACCTTTTTATTCAAATGTCATTTTAATTGCTAATATTATTTCCTTATTTTATTCTTTGGCCAGGGCGACTTATTTTATATTGTAAATTTGTTTTATATTTTTAATGTATTATATTTTAATGTTTTGTGAGCCGCCCCGAGGCTTCGGCGAATGGGGCGGCATAGAAATTTTCTAAATAAATAAAATAAATAAATACATATGTTGGCGTTTTTTTCTTTTTTTCCCTTTTGATCAGTTCTAAAAAAGATAACTATTAGAGCTCTTTAAATTGAATAATAGAGGCAAAATGAAGATTTTATCTATCAACATTAATGGGATAACTCTCCTAAGTGAACTAAAGATTTTAATTTATTTAAAAAGCAGAGAATAGGTATATGTATTCAAGGAACTCATATAAAGAAAAAATGCTCATATTTTGAATCCCAAGCAGCTGGGTAAAGTATATGAAGCTTCAGCTGATTCTTAAAAGAAAGAAAGTATGTAATGTTATTTACATTAATAATCAAGGTTTAAATGTTGTAGATGAATTAAAAGACCCAGAAAGAAGATTTATTTTTCTGAAGATAAGATTACTGAATGGAAGGATATTTACATTGGCAACAGTATATGCCCCAATGATACTAAAGAAAAGTTCTGTGAAATATTCTTTCACTTGATATTGGACTTTCAAGAAGAAGTAGTTTTGGTTATTGGTGATATGAATGGAGTCATAGACCCAAACAAGGATAATTCTAAAAAAGCAAGAAGTGGTAAATTACCTAATGTTTTTACTTATATGGAAATGTGGACTTTCTATATGGACTTTCTATCATATGTGGTGGATTTGTGAAATAACAAAATTTGGAAACTGATACATGTGGAAATGCAGAAAATGTTCAAGACTAAGTTTCTTATGAGTCCCAAGAATATGCTTTTGAATATACTGCCAGAGATCCTTTCAAAAAAATGTCAGTTATTCAAGTATACGCAAGAATCACAATTGCTTCTAAATGGAAATCATTGGAGCCCCCAACAATTGAAGAATGGAGACATAGACTAGCAGAATATACTGTGATGGCAAAGTTAACTAACTATGTAAACAGAAGATAGTTAGAAGAATTCAATGATAATTGAAATGTTAATATGCTCAGTATGACTAATGGGAGTTGAGGAGAGTTTGGAAAAGAAAAAGAAAAGCAGTAGATGACTTGAAGTGATAGGAAGATTTGTTGTTGCATAGGTTAATGTTTTATTTTATTTTGTTTTTTCTGTTAAACTCTCACAGAATGTTAAATGATGGAAGATAGATACTTTTGGGGGATTGAATGTATAGGTTGCACTTGTTTAAAATTCCCTTGGCAACTTTGCTTACTTTGCTCATTTTATTTTGCTTTGTTAATTTTAGGTTGTTCCATTTTATATTGTCTTCATGTATTTGGTTATGTTAAGAAAATAAAAAAAGAAAAAAGAAAACATCTGATCATCTTTTAACTTTATCATAGAGTTATAAAATATAGTTTGACTTTAACATTTCAGGGCTTGCAAGCATTTGAATTGTTCTACCTGCATGTGAATCAGCAGGCTGTCTTGTGCAATTTAGCACTGAATTGACAGGGGAGGATATTTGAGGAGAAAACTGAAAACTTTGCTACAACCTGATGATTTTTAAAGTGGAATGCAAACGATTTCAGCTTTGCTTCTGTTCTGCAGTGTTTACACTACCAGGATGTTGTACAGTTTGAATCTCAGTTCATTGGGCATCATCTTGTTTATTACTGATTTCAGTCATGGATTTTGCACTTTCACCACCTTAGCTGAGTTGTATGTAATGGAGAGATGGAGCTCCAAAACCTCAGATGATATCACTTCATGTCAATAAGGAAAAAGAGGGATACTTGCAGGACTTCAGGGCATAAATGCCATAGCACAAAGCAGTATAGATGTGCAGTCTGGGAATCTTCATGGAATCAGTTTTGCTCCTGTGAATGTTCAGATTTCAGTTGTGGTAAACATGCTTTGGTACTATGTGGAACTGTTGTTCAATACTGCAGCCGATTATCAGTAAGAATCTGTTTTTATCATTGGAATTTTGAGCTTGTTTTGCTTATACTATGATTACTGTGTTTTCCTGAAAATAGGACCTACCTCGAAAATAAGACCTAGTCTTATTTCAGGGTAGGTCCTATAATATAAGCCCTACCCCGAAAGTAAGACCTATTACCAAAAATTATTGGTAATAAGTCTTACTTTTTTTGCTTACTTGCAGAGTGCCAGCGGGGTGCAGAGGGCTCAGCGGGAGGATGCAGAGCGGCTTAAGCCGATACTTCCTCTATAGTCCTGGCTCCTGTGAAGGGCGGAGCAATATCAAATGCACTCCGCCTGTCACAGGAGCCGGCACTATAGAGGAAGCATCAACTCATGCCACTCTGCTTCGTCCGCTGCCTGTGACAGTACCAGTAGCAGGCACTGGAGAGGATTGGTGTATACAGCTTTTGGCAGGAATTGGAGTGCCGAGCAGAGGTGTGCAGAGCAAAAGGGTGCACAGCAGAAAAGTGCAGAGCAGAAGGGTGTACATTAAATGTACATTTTGTACATTAAAAAAGAAGACCCGAAAAGACCTAATGTGTTTTTTTGAGCAAAAACTAAATAAAAAATAAGAGTGTCTTATTTTCAGGGAAACACGGTATGTTTTTAAGTATTGTTGCTGTGTGATGTCAAGTTGTCTCTGACTTACTGTGACCCTGAATGAATGCTCTCCAAAATGTCCTGCCATAGCCCTGCTCTGCTCATACAAACTCAAGACTGTGACTTCATTTAAAGAACTGATCCATCTCATAATTGGTCTTGCTCTTTCTTCTTCTTCTGCCTTTGAATTTTCCTACCCTTCATGTTTCCTCCAGAGAGCCTTGCCTTTTTATGATGTCCCTGAAGTACGAAAGTTTCAGTTTTGTCATTTTTGTTCCCACCATTTTGTCTTTCTGCTGGTACAGGGTATTCATGAAGCCCTCATCCAGCACCACATTTCAAACATCCATTTTCTTCCTAACAACTTTCTTCACTGTCCAAGCTTTCACATCCATATGTAGTGATCAGGAATACTATAGGGTTGATGTTCTTGCCCCTAGTCTCCAGTGAAATGTTCTTATATTTTATTATCATTTCTAGTTCCTTCATTGCTGCCCTTTCAAGTCACAGTCTCCCTTGAATTTCTTGGCCACAGTCTCCCTTTAAATTGATAACTGATCCAAGATATGCAAATTCTTTCACAATTCCAATTTCCTTACTGTTGATCCTAAAGTAATGCAATTCTCCTGTAGTTTTGTTTTCTTAGTTCATCTGCAGTCCTGCTTTTGCATTTTCTTCTTTAACTTTCATTAGGAATTGTTTCAATTAATTGCTATTTTCTATCAGTTATAGTATCCCCTGTATCTCTTAAATTATTGATGTATCTTCCACCAATTTTCACTGCTTCCCCTGGTTCTAATATAGCTTTCCTTATATGTTATGTGTACAGATGGAACAGATATGGACATAGAATGCAGACTTGTTTGATGCCTTTGTCTATAAGAAAACATTCTATTTTTCCATATTGTGGTTCAACAGTAGTTTCTTGCCCATGATACAGGTTGCTCATCGGACAATCAATTGCCCTCTTCTTTCAGGATTATCCATAGCTCCTTGTGATCCACAAAGTCAGAGACTTTGCTGTAGTTTAGAAATCATAGATGGACCTTCTTCTGAAATTCTTTGGTGTACTGCAGTAGCCAACATATATTTGTAATATGATCTTGAGAAACTCTTTCTTTTGGAAATCAGAATTTCAACATTCCTGGCTCCATACAGGGTAATACTCTTTATTGCAACACCTTAAGCATCGCTTTGCTTGTATGGGAAATTAATGTAAGGGTTGCTGCATTCCTTAGCATTACCTTTCTTGGGGGGACAGGAATTTGTATTGAAAGTTTCCAATCTGTGGACCATTGTTTTACATATTTGTTGGCATATTTTGTTAGGATTTGGGCTACTTCAGCTTGAAACAGTTCTGTTGCTAGTCTGTCCATCCTGCCTGCATAGCTGTACATCTAGCATGTTGAGTCACCTTTGCTAAGCTGAAAATGCAAGAGCCTGCAGCCAAATGGGTGACCACTAGGTGTGGGTGACCACGTGTAGGAGTAGAGCAAGGGGTTGGACTTGATGGCTTTATTGGCTGTTTGCGATGTGATGCTATTCTGTGTGCTTTATTTCTTCCAAATGCTTTTAGAGCAGCTTTCACTCCTCTTTCTAATATATCTAGGGTCTTCCTCATAGTATTCCTCTTTGAAGGAGTCTGTCATCCTTTCATCTCTTCTGCACAGTCCTTCCAGATATTGCTCCCACCTTCTCTTTATTTTCTCCAGGTCAGATAGTATGTTTCCTTGTTTGTCTTTCAAAGTAGCTAAATGAAACTTGCTATCTGTTTGAAGGGCATGCATAACTCTTAAAGCGTATGCTTTGTTACCTCATGGGTCAAACAGACTGGAATATTCTTTTGAACTAATATTTGATCATTATGATGAATTTACATAGTCCTGACTTGTGTAACCTCTCCAACAGATGTTAGTCCATTAATAGCATCACAATGCTAAAGGAATCTGATAGGATCAGTTTGAAGTGTACTTGCTGTATGCAGTCTGTGTTTTATTAGAACACTTACCAATATTGCATCTCACTAATATAATTGTGTTTTGATTTCTAGACTGTGGAACAAGGCCTTTTGTGGATGAGATATCAGCAGGGAATCGGATTATAGGTGGACATGATGCTCAACCTGGGGCATGGCCATGGCAAGTTAGTCTTCAAGTTTACCACTTTGGTGTAGGATATTACCATGTTTGTGGTGGATCTTTAATTACTAACAACTCAGTGCTAACAGCAGCACACTGCATTAAAAAATGGACGTATGTACTTTTCATTTCAAAACTTTTTCTTGTTAATTTTACATGAGAGAAAAGTATTGATAAAATAGATTGATCTAATTTGGAAATTCATAAACCTTTCAGTGTGTGTATGTATATATGAATTCATCATATCTTCCCGAACTGGTTTGTCAGATAGGCTAGAAACGTACAGACTGTGTCTGTAATATCTGCTACTTTTACCTGGGGTAGAAAAATCCAAATTAACAATAGAGTCCAAGTGGTTGTAAGAAATACCACAGAAAAACTGTCTGCATAGGAATTCTGTGTTGCTTTTCATGTGAGAAGCCAGTAAATCAGTCTCCTCATCTTCCTTTGCCTGTTTGCTTGGTGGCAAATAATTAGGAGTGGGTTATGGCTGAGCAAAACCAAAATGGATGGAAGAAGAAATAAGCAGATAGCCAAGAATGTTATAAAAGAGGCCAAGGAGGCCAAATTAACTAAATGACCCAGACAGATTAAAATTGGGGAGGGGGGCAAGGAAAAGGATAGAAGTGGATATGAATGAAAAGATTAGGGAGTAGACAGGAGCAAGAGTGAAGAGAAAGAGGCATTGAGGAATACAGTGCTTGAGAGGGGAGCATTGTAAGAAATGGAAGCACAGGAAAAGGAGTATGGGGCCAGGCCAGGCAGCTACAGAGAAACAAGGCTGAGGTTGGCACTGTCTGCTCAGCTACAGCCACATTCAGTAGCCATTCCTTCTGTGGGCTTCTCTTAAGTATGTTAGTAGTTTCATGTATTTGTGAGTAGCAGCAGTTCTGAAAATACACTTAGGAAGAGTAAGCTTCTTCAAAACCAAGGGATCCATGTCAATGGGAAATCTGTGTCTGTCTAACTGTTGTTGGAGTCCAGTTCCCATCTGCTCTAGCCCAGGATGATGGGAGTTTTCTGAGCTTTCCACCCTAATACACACTTCAAGAATATGAAAGAATTATAAGTAAGAATGTGTTTTGTGATCTTTGAAGATTTCTGGTTTTTTATAATAATATTTATATTCGTATACACAGAATACCTTTTACACACATGCTTTGGTCAGGACAGCTATACATATTGCTAAAATTAGTTCAGACTTGATCCAGAAAGCATACAGTCCTGCTTAGAGTGAAGATAAGATCTTGGTTCCCCTTCTGCACTGGTTTTGCAGTGCTGCCTGTGTCCATCTGGATGTACAGCAATTCACAGTGATAAAATTGTTTGCAGAGACTGTGCTGGCTGAAGGTGCTGCAGCAGTTTGTGCCAAAGGGATGATTCCACATTTACAGGTCAACTTTGTGTCCCTGGTCCATGCTGGCGCTCTCAATTTTCATTACCCCAACAAGTGGGCACCTCGTTTTCATTTTTGCTTTCAAGCTTCTTGTAATATGAGTAACACTTTGCAATATAGAAGTAAGTTCAGGAGTGCACAGAATGGAGTTGTGAAGTACTTCATCAGTAGCAAGAGGCGCTCAAGCACAAGTCTTGGAAGCAGCTCCATTGCTCTGGGTGTTAGAGGCCAAACTAGCAGAGATACCATTCACGCCGTCTGAGTGCATTTGTGAACCGCGTTTGAAAAATGAAGAGCAGGTTCAGAGCAGTAGGGAGGCTTTAACCGTTGGTCCTCCGCTGCACTCCCAGTTCAGTTCAGGGAGCCCCGTCACTGTCTCTCTGCACTGCAGCGGGGAAGCTCCCATTCGTGCCAGCGGAAACGGTCCTGGCATGAACCCTCAGTCGATTTCTGACACAGGCCATATTAAGCACTTCCCAGGGCATGCAGGTGGCCTGCTTCCACCTCCATTCATGGCTTCCCTTAAATGGAACCTGAGGAACAAGTCTGTATGAGACAAGGCTTTGGCCAGGATCCAAAGAACAGGGAATTGCCAACAGCTTTGGCAGTTTTCCTCGCTTTCAGAACAGAATTGCAGTGCAACCTGAGGGGGCTGCTGCTCAAAAACCACAAACCCTTCCCAGGTCCACAGGATTATTCATGCCATTATTTGAATGCTGGCAACATAACTGCAGTTCTGATTCCGGGGCAGTATATTTGTCATCCATGCAGTTCATTGAATCCCAACGAATCGCCTGGTGTGGAAGTTAGAGCCCACAGTGAACCAAGACACTCTCCAGTCGTAGCCGGTAGCAATCATGGAGGTCAGGAGGAGATTGATCATGCTTATCAAAGTCAATAAGGCAACAATGCTATTGTCCCTGGACAAGCACACCAGAGACCATGGGATAGTTCCCATTCTCTCCCCACAAGGTTGGAGACAAGGCTCCAACCTCAGAGAAAGGTGTCAGAGATCAGACCCCACTTTCCTGCGTCTTTGCAGCCTATTTGGAGGAAATTACACCCACTCCATCTCCAAGGTCAAAAATTTAACTATGAAGAGGGGAAAAAGAGGCATTCCAGTAGGTAGGAAGGAGAGGAGACTGGAGAGCACAGGATAATATTTATCCTGAGCATCTTTCTGCCTTCTTCACTCCCTCCCTGATGCTTACAGTGTAGTGAAATCTGGTGGATGGGGAGATGAAGATCAACCCTGCAGTTCCTCCCAACCTACTGATTTCAGAGGTTTCTAAACAAGAAGGACAAAATCCTTTCTGCTAGGAGTTCATCCTAAATTATTTGTTCTCTGGGGGAAGAGAGAGAATACAGTTTGACACTCCACCGCGTCTTCTTAAAGAGAAATTGCCTTTCTGTGTTTCCTACATTGAACTCAAACTTCAACACTAGCTATTGGCATGATTTTTGTATTTCTAGTATCTTTAGTATTTACTCAATTGATTCTACCTGTAAATCAGCATGGTGTTAATACTGCATTTCTTTATTTAGATACCACCATTCATGTGCATGAAATATGGGGCTTTACCAAAAAGCAGAGGATATAACCTTGCCCCAACAGGGTTACAATCTAGAAAAAGACACACAGGAAACAACAGATGAAGTAGAGGGCAGAGGAGACCAGGTTGTTCAGGAAAGAATGTGTGATTATTGCAGTTGTCCTTACTCAAGTTGTTGCAGTAGGGCAAGGGAATGAGGGTTGTTCCAAATATTTAATGAATAAGTTGGGTTTTCATTAAACATTAAACTGTCCATTAAACATTTAAAAGGTATAATAATGATGGCATTACCTTCTGTTTAGTTCTTAGGCAGTCCTTGGGAGGTTCTCTTTAATACTAATGCAACACTTTACAATTCATTATATATGTTACTTTAGTAATCAGATCACTATTATTAAACCTTTGTTGTTGTTAGTTGCGAAGTTACATCCAACCCATCGTAACCCCATGGACAACATTCCTCCAGGCCTTCCTGTCCTCCACCATCCCCTAGAGTCCACTCAAGCTCACACCAAATCCTTCAGTGACTCCATCTAGCCCCCTCATTCTCTGCCGTCCCCTTCTTCTTTTGCCTTCAATTGTTCCCAGCATTAAGGTCTTCTCCAGTGAGTCCTTCCTTCTCATTAGGTGGCTAAAGTATTTGAGTTTCATCTTCAGTATCTGGCCTTCTAAAGAGCAGTCAGGGTTGATCTCCTCTAGGACTGACCGGTTTGATCTCCTTGCAGTCAAAGGGACTCGCAGGAGTCTCCTCCAGCACCACAATTCAAAGGCCTGAATTCTTTGGCGCTCAGCCTTCCTTATGGTCCAGCTTCCACAGCCATACATTGCATCTGGGAAAACCATAGCCTTGACTATACGCACTTTTGTTGGCAGTGTGATGTCTCTGCTTTTTAGTATGCTGTCTAGATTTGCCATAGCTTTCCTCCCCAAGAGCAAGCGTCTTTTATTTTCTTGGCTGCAGTCCCTGTCTGTGGTGATCTTGGAGCCCAGGAAAATAAAATCTGTCACTACCTCCATTTCTTCCCCATCTATTTGCCAGGAAGTGAGAGGACCGGATGCCACAATCTTAGTTTTCTTAATGTTGAGTTTAAAGCCAACTTTTGCACTCTCCTCCTTCACCCAAATCAAGAGGCTCTTTAGTTCCTCTTCACTTTCTGCCATTAGAGTGGTATCATCTGCATATCTGAGGTTGTTGATATTTCTCCCAACAATCTTAATTCCAACTTGTGATTCATCTAGCCCCGCCTTTCTCATGATGTGCTCTGTATATGTTAAATAGGCAGGGCAACAGTATGCAGCCTTGGCGAACTCCTTTCTCAATTTTGAACCAGTCAGTGGTTCCATGTCCAGTTCTCACTGTTGCTTCTTGACCTGCATACAGGTTTCTCAAGAGACAAATAAGATGGTCTGGTACTCCCATCTCTTTAAGAAATTGCCACAGTTGGTTGTGATCCACACAATCAAAGGCTTTACCATAGTCAATGAAGCAGAAGTAGATGTTTTTCTGAACTCCCTAGTTTTCTCCATGATCCAGCATATGTTGGCAATTTGATCTCTAGTTCCTCTGCCTCTCCAAAACCCTGCCGGTACTTCTGGTAGTTCTCGGTCCACATACTGCTGGAGCCTAGCTTGTAGGATTTTGAGCATAACTTTGCTAGCATGTGAAATGAGTGCAATGGTGCGGTAGTTTGAACATTCTTAGGCATTGCCCTTCTTTGGAATTGAAATGTAAACTGACCTTTTCCAATCCTGTGGCCACTGGTGAGTTTTCCAAATTTGCTGGCATATTGAGTGTAGCACTTTAACTACATCATCTTTTAGGATTTTGAATAGCTCAGCTGGAATACTATCTCCTCCACTAGCTTTGTTGTTGCTCAGACTTCCTAAGGCCCATTATTGCATTTATTCTACTACTGAATTTATTAGTAGAATGGCTTCCAAGACCCCTTTCTGAGTCTACAGGGTTGATTAGAGCTAGATTTTAATAACTGTCATCTATTATGTCATGTTGGCTGGGTGATGACTGGAATTGTTGGAGTTTTTTCTGTCTAAATATGAATAGGTTTGCACCTTTAGCTGCATTTCTAGCGCAGGTAAGTCTGCCTATTATTAAAGATTCTCTGAAGTTTGGGCTCCAAGTGAATTTGAACATAAGGCCAAATTTTGAAAATGTCCTGTTGCATGGAAAGTTATATACACATTTTAGAATATGCAAGTAAGAAGTACATTTATCTCCTTATCTTCCAAATACAGCTTTAATTGGTTCTAAAGAATATATATTAACTCTGTGGCATGCACACTGATATTTTTTTTAAACTTTGAATAGTAGGCATCAATGCTAAGCGACAAACTCTTTATGCAACTACACTTGGTTTCTAGCTACTGCTCAAAAACATTTGCCCAAGGTCTTTTTGTGCATGGAGAATAGTATCTGCAGTTCTTTGGATCCTGGCTTTAGTATTTCCAGTGCTTAGTTAATGGTCAATACTGTATGTCATGGGTCCTCAAACTACGGCCCGCGGGACCGTTCTGGCCCATCATGCCCTTTCATCCGGCCCGCACCACTGTCCGCCGCCTGCGCACGCGGGAGGCAGTGGTTTGCTCGCTCGGAAATGGTTTTGGACTCGTTGGGAGATCTCCCAGCAAGTTCAAAACCATCTCCAAGCAAGCAAGCTGCCGCTGCTGCCTGCCTCCCCCACACACGCGTGCTCTCTGGTGGCTTGCTCGCTCAGAGATGGTTTTGAACTCACTGGGAGATGCTGTATGGGATACTGACTTGACCTACGTATTCTAGCTTCCTCTTTTAAAATAAAAAACCTTTCTCTGAATCTGAATAGAATTTCCATTTGGAGAAATCAAATTTTATATGTAGACACTACTTAAATCATTCATATAACTGAGTTGTTAGCCACAAAGAGATTCAGTTTTTATGGATGACATTCTAAGTCATTCCCAGTGGACCTAGGCTTATTGTTTGAAGGAAATTTTGAATCTGAATGGAGTTTGGGTCAATGCTTATTGGTGTTGCAAAGGATGAAGAATAAGACTACTCCAGTCTTAGAGACTGGGTTCACATGATGTCAACTCATTGTGGGTAACTAGCCATGGTGGGTTGTTGTGTTATACAAACCTGGACCACTTCCTGCAGGGTGGCTTATTTTAGGGCAATAAACCACCATGGCATGGTCTAGGGGTGTGTGGACCCAGAATGAGTAGGTGTATCACATCAGTCTTATTGTAGGTCCTGGGAAGCAGCAAGTGAGCCACTTGGCAAGAATGACAATACACCCTTGTTGCTTTTGCCAAGTTCACCTGGGCCACTGGCAGTGAGAGCTGTTCCACCAAGTGTCCAAGATGCACTTTAGAGCAACCCACACTGGTTCAACCTCCTTTGTTCTGATGGCAGCTTCTTCTGCATGCACCATGGGTGTTTCCCCCCACCTTTTGAATGGGGGAGTATTTTTCACAATCTGTACAGTGACAGTGCCTCCAAAGAGCCCTAGCAGCACATTCAGTGAAGCCCTCTGGTTTGCCTACTGTTTTTTATTTTAATTGGTCAGTAATTCAGAGATGCACGAGTGCTGAGTCTGTGTCCTGGCAAGTTTCTGATGTCAAAGCATGTCACATCCATGGATAGTGACAGAAACAGGTTTCAAATATGTTACTTTGCATTTACTTGACAGCTGTTAAAATGGTGATCTGTCAAGCAAAATAAAGCCTGAGACATTCTTTGCCAGTGAAAAGGGATGGCAACTACATTATCTGCTTTATGGTGAGATCTTCTAGGTTTTGAGTGCTTTAAGCCATTAAAACTGTATGTTTTTCTGTCAAAAACCCTCCACTGTTTAGCCTTATCGAAAAAGCTTCTTTAAACGAAAGAATTATTTCCACAGCTGTCAAAAGTAAATTATGGATGATGCGGAGAATTCTCAGGGCCAACATTAAAATCTAGAAGTTAACATTGTGAATGGGAAGATATAATTTCCACCCACTTTCACAAGGAAATAATTTATGGAAGTTTTGCTTTCATTTGACAGTTCCCCGTATGACAGTTATCAAATGAAAGCTGAGTAACATATTTGAAACCTGGCCTTATCAGTGTTCATGGATATTCCAGCTGGTACTGACCAGGACAGTGACCAGGCAGGGCAAATGTTGGGCATGTGCACAATTCTGACCTACTGACCAAACAGACAGAGACAGTAAATTAATGAAAAAATTGTGCACATCTCTGGCGCAAAAAAATAAGATAAATGAATGGTGAATAAATGATGGCTATTCCAGTATGCTGCATGGGCAATTTAAAGGGGTTGTCATTGGCTATTACTTTAGAGACTGTGAAAGGCAATCTCTATAAAAACAGGCAGGGAAACATTGAAATGACTGCAAGAGAGATCATGGTTAGAGCAGGAAAAGGAGACAAGAAGGGTTCTGCCATGCAGGTACTGGGATGCCTGTGGGAGAATTGAGGAGGAAAGAGGTGGAGGACAATCCACATGAGCTCAGTCTTCCGAGCATAGTGAAGGTTGTACCACAAACAGCCCACACTACCTAATTTATCCACCGGGTGGGTTGCCATGCTGTGTGAACTCATCTCTGGAGTAAAAATTCTGTAGTAGTCATTAACTTTACAAGGAATTTTATTCTCTTCTAGGGATCCAGCTGTTTGGAGGGTTGTAATTGGCTTGCATCATCTTTTTCACCATCAGTATTATACTGTAAAGAGCCAGATTAGAGCTATCCTGAAGCATTCTGATTTCAAGAAGGAGTCCTATGAAAATGATGTTGCCATGTTTATACTAACAGATTATGTCAGCTTCAACAAGTATATTCAGCCTATCTGCTTAATTGATACTCCTCATTTAATAACTGATAAGACCACATGTTATATAAGTGGGTGGGGAAGCAAAGAGGAAAGAGGTAAATCTTTATTGTTAAATTACTTGATAATCTGTTCAGTGATTTTAGAAGATTTCTTTACTGGGATTACATTTAGGACTGTTTCAAACATTACATCAGAGATGTTGAACCTCTGGTCCATGGGCCTCTGCAGCTGCCAGGTGCTACATTCCCTTCTCTACAATACATGGTATTTCCCAAGTTTTCTTCCCCAATCATACTACTACTCATTGGGCCTTTCCATGTTTGCAGGGCATATTTAAAAGAATAGTTAAAATGATTATTTTCCTTCCTGAATTCTACACTTTCTACCCTTTTCTTGTACCTTTTCCTTTTTTTTTTTTGTTTTGTTCCTTTTTTTTTTACCTTTGTCCTAATTGCATTCATTTTGGCTTGTTTCCAGGTTAATCAATTGCCTGAGTCATTTTGTTTGCCTCTAGGCATCCTGGACATAAGCCAGAAAAAACCAAAAGTGATTTGATCGCAGACATACATTGTAGAATATGCAGTGACTCTGCATATGGTGTTCCGGACAGGCATCTCCAACAGTCTGCTTTTTTAAAGAAAAATCTATTATTTTTTTAAAATGCAATAATTCAGGTGAACATTGAAAAATAATCTTGAGTTGATTTGTTTACACATCCATTATTTACAAAGAGAATTATTTTGACATGTGACTCTGATCTCATTTTTTTTGATTATCCTAATTTCATAGCACTCTATGAGTTTACAATAGTTGCCTCATTTCCTTGTGTTGAATCATAAAATCTGTAAAGGCTCCCCATGTAATATAAAAACTATCTATATAAGTATAATTCCTAGAAACCTTGCTTATTTTAGATAGATTTTCCCTAAAGTCTATTGACAATTGATTTCTTCAGTGCTGAGTGATTGGCCACTCTTTGCTTTTCTAGCTCATTGCTATTTCTAATCCAACTGCCACCCAGTAGAATGTTAACAGTTCCTTAATTTATAAATATCTGTTTTTCTTACCATGTAGATATCTTTTTGCATAGATGGCTGTCATACAGGACTATTAAATAATTTTGGGAGGAGGTGTTTAAGAAAATGGCAGTGATCACAAATTAAGAAATACTTTCCTCCATTTATGGATCTGTTACCAGTGATGATTGGGGACAGATCTGGCATGAATTTAGCTTTCCATTTGTGCTATTAACTTTTAGACCAACAAACACCATTTTCTTAAGGAAGGCACATAAGCAGGTCATGGTGGAGCAACTATAGACACTGTTATTTATTGATCAATTGATTTCTATACCTCCCTTGAGTCAAAATTACCCTCTGGGTGGTTTACATATTTTGGGAGAATAATGGTTATCTAGAAACATTCCTGTCTGGGTTTTAGTTGTCCTGAACACAACCTGTATCAAAAGAAGGACAGGGGGATTGTAACCCTCTTAATCCTGTTTTTGATACAATCAACTATAGTATTCTCCTGAATCAATCCTGTGATCTTGACACTGTATTACATAGACTTACCTACATGATTGATTTCAAAGAGTAAAACTGTGGGGCTATCATTTGGCTCCATAACAATTCAATATGTGGCTCTGCAGGGTGCCATATTGTTTGCTATATTGTTCAACATGAATATGAAGTCATTGTGAACATTCATTAGGAGATTTGGAGCCAAGTGCCTTCACTATGCTGATGACACACAGCTCTGTCTCCCTGTGACAACTGAATCAGGTAAGACTATGCAAGTCCTGGAATCAGTGATGGACCGGGTGAAGGCCAATAAAATGCATTTGAATTCTGGTAAGACAGAAGCCTTGCTGTAAGGGATTCCCAAGTCCGGAAGATAGGCTTATTGCTTGTACTGGAGGAGGTCGCACTATCTTTGGAAGATCAGGTTCAAAGTCTGGAAGTAGTCTTAGATTCACCATGGTGGCTTGAAGAGTGTTTTGCCAGCTTTGACTGCCTCTGACTACAGCCTCTCCTGGACAAGGATGGTTGGCCAGAATAGTATAGAAAAAAGTTGTACAATTCATGCTGAAGCTGGCTGGGGAAGGCTGGAAGTTTTTGAACCTTTTTCTGGCTAAACATCTATAGGATTGTACCCAAAATCAGGTCTAGTTTCCATGTATCTTAGTACAGGTCAATTTCAACCAAACTAACTGCTGAGACAGCAGCATGATCTTAAAAGTGCTATGTTTCCTGTGTCATAAATTAATCATTTATAATGACTAGAACATAAACTATTCTAGAGTACATGGCATACTCAAATTAATGGCACAAGTCATTTGTCTGGGCTTTATCTCGGTGTAAATGATTTCTTCAGTTGCAGACACTGGGCAAATCTTTCTTGAGAGATTTCCTTGACAACACAAATAAGGCAGAATTGCAGCAAGCAGCTCAAGAGCTCCCAAGAGCTGTTGGTCTTGTGTACTGGCCTATAGAGCATTTTAAACAATGCAAGCATACTTCCAGCCATCTATTGTGTTTTCATTACAGGAAGAGGCACCTATATATTACAAGAAGCTCAAGTCAACATTATTCCACTATTTACCTGTAATAGATTTGATTGGTATGCTGGAGCAATAGGATGGAATATGATTTGTGCTGGTTCTGAAACTGGAGATGTTGATAGCTGCCAGGTAAGATAAAATATATTGCCTCTTGTAAACCACTCAGAATGTTTCAGCTATTGGGTGGTATAGAAATGAAATAAATAAGAACAACAACCTGCCATATGGTTGCTTAGTATACTAAAGTAGAACCAAAGTAGTTAGGCTGGGAAATAGAAATTAGTTGAAATCAGTGCCTTTACAGCCTGGAATAGTTTTGTTGGTACATTATCTACTTGAGATGCTTTATGTCTTCCAAATCCTTTCCAAGTAGCTTTCACTCCACTTTCTAATATTGCAGGCTCTTCCTCAGAATTCCTCTTTGAAGTAGTCTGTCATCCTTAACTGTTCTGTAAAGTTCTTCCAGATATTGCTTCCACCTTCTCTTTAATATCTCCAGGTAAGATATTATGTTTCCCTCTTTGTCATTCCAAAAGCAATGTGCTGAGGGTACGGTATATAATCTTTGTAAATAAATAAAATAAATGCAGCATTCCTAATCAAGGTTTGAATTTCTCTTTGATTTCTTGGCTCTTCTGGAAGAGGGCTCTTTCTTTTCTTTTTCTGTTGTTCTTTTCTATGCCTTTGCTATGGCCATTGTAATAATTCTTTTTGTCTCTATATGATAGTTGCTTAAAAGTTGCATTCAGGAATCTGACCCTATTTCTTCTCTACTTGCTTTTGCCTCTTGCCAGTCCTTATTAATTGTGAGAATTTCTTCTATCATTCCTCTAGGCTTGTTCTTTCTTTTTGTATCCTTCCCTATTGTGTCTGGTTTCAGTGCACAGTTTTTCTGCCTCACAGGCAGACTGGTTCAATAATGCAAATCTGTTCTTTATGTGAACTTAAAATTGCATCAGTGTTCTCCTGGTCTTTTTGTTTAACCAGGAAGAATACAACTTCTGCATCTCCTACTTCTAATTACTTATTTGGAATCCAATTATTTGATTTCCATATTGGCTGTCTAGCAATGGCCATGTGAACAATCACCTGATTGGTGCCCTGAAGTATATATTTGCAATAAACAAATAGTTGCCTTCATAGATGTCTATGCGTTATCCCGCTTTGTTTCTGACCCCTAGACTGTCATGTCCTACCTTGAGGAGGATTCCTCAGATGAGGAAAGTCAAGGTGGTGACCTCCAGCCACAGTCAGATACAGGGGTCATGGCTGCAGATCGCTACCCACTATTGGAAGAAGAGGAGCTGGGACCTTTAGGGACACCCCCTGGAGTTCCCCAAGAGCAGAAGCCAGAGACGGATGGAATCCATCCTGTGAGGAGGAAGAACTTTGGCTTCAACAAAAATCCAAACACTCAAAAATGGGAGTTGTCCATGAAATTTCTCGCTGACTTAATTAGCTGGCTGTGCTGAGTTAAAGCTGACTATAAATTAGTTCAGGCAGAGCTGTTCTGTGTTGCAGACAACAAGCAGCATTAACTATGTTTCTAGACTTTGTAGACACAAACTGGTATCTAGATTCCTGGACTGTTTATTGAAAATTCTTTTGGACTCCTCCACCTGACTTGGAGCCTTGAACATGCAGTCACCATGCAGCCCTGACCCCTGGACTGAAACTGACCATTCTTAAAAAGGTAATGCAGAGACTGTGCATTTGTGTACTCAGGGAAGGACATAGACCAAATCCTCCCACAACATTGGATGCTGCCATCTTTCCTACTTTTGTGTTCCAGTCACCTGGGATTATCCTGATGTCTTGTTTTGGTGTGTTTCCAATTTCCTCTTGGACACTTGCATCAAAGATTGTAATTTCTTCTTCAGCATCTGTTCTTGGAATCCAGACCTGAATGATGGCTATGTTGATAGGTTTTCCAAGAATTCTGATTGGAATGATTTGAGTGTACTTTGCAGTGTAGTCCCATACTGCTTATGTTATATTACAGCCATTCAATTTCTTCTGATTCCATCGCTTGTAAAGTAAAACACTTTGTCTCACTGAACATCACCCATTCCAGTCCCATTTTATTCACACCAAGTACTGCAGTGCTTATGCATTCCATTTGTTGTTTTATTGTTTCCAGTTTGCCTTGATTCATACTTCTAATGTTTCATGTTCCGGTTGCGTGTCTTGCACAACACTTGTCTTTCCTTTCACCTCTGTGCAAGTCAGCCACTAGACTTCCTCTTGTCTCTGAACTGGTTGTGCCATTAGTGACAATGCTATTTGTGCTTGTCTTGTGCTCTTCCCCATTATCTGATTGAGTGCCTTCTGACCTAGAATCCTCATGTTTGTTCCGGCACGATCTCTTGTTTCATTTTGGACTGTTTCATCATAGGGTTTACAGGGTAGGAATATTCAGAAGTGGTTTACCATTGCTACCTTCTGCACAGTAGTAACCAGAGTTAGATTGAGCTTCACTCCCAGTGGTGAAAAATCCTCTGGCAGTGTTGTCTTCAACTACCACTGGTGACAAGTAGCTCTTCTTCAGGAGTTTCTCTGTTCATTTCTGCTGAAATCTGTTCTTTTCTACTGATGTGACTGTTACTCCTGAAGAGAGTGGATGTATCTTAGTCTGGTGTCTCAATGTTCACCATTCTCCTTGGATGGCTCTTGTAAGAGATCAAACTAATGAAAGAATCTGGCCTTCTGACAGGATTACTCTTGGCTGCTTTGACATTTTCATCCCCTCTCCTCATGTTAAGTTGTACATTCAAGAAGGGGATTTTTATGAGTATGAAGACCTTAGCAAGTAGCTGAGGAAAAGGATGGCAAAGGCAGAAGGCTTTTAAAGAAATGTAGTTTATTTTCTTCCTGTAAGAACACTATTTGATGATTATGCTTCCACCAAAATGGAAATATTTTGAATGAGATTGAAAATTGTTCTTCTCATCACATACACACTTCGCCATGAAACCTATGATTGTATAGATTTATGTTGTAAGCTGTCCTGGGACATTTGTTAAGGACAGGGTAAAAATATTGTAAATAAGTAAATAAATAGACAGACAGACCATCATATACTTTTAGGTCAGTAGCTTGATTTTCAGGATAAACCTATTGTAACTGGAGATGGAACTCTCAGAATATCATTGATTAGTTTTGTAAGAATGTACCCCTAAACCCAATTATCTGGAAATAAGTTTCATTGAAAATGGATTTTTTTTTAGTATTGAATGTAATTGCATTGTAGGTAGTCTAACAAAGCAAGATCAACCAATTCAGGTTTTCCAAATTAATGCTGATTTTCTAGAAAACAGTATTTTCATTTCATAATTCATGATAGGCATAACTCAGAATTATTGCATCAAAATTCCTCTAAATGCAAAATTTTCAAAATATCAAATTGTCTTATTTTTCAGGGAGACAGTGGCGGACCCCTCACATGCAGATTTCCAAATGACACCAAATATTATCTGATAGGAATCACTAGCTTTGGTATTGGCTGTGGCCGACCAAAATTACCAGGAGTCTATGTGCGTATGAGTTTTTACAGAAGTTGGATAGAGTCACATCTTGCTCTATTCAGCAAAGCCACCATAATATACATTCACTGTATTTTCATCTTTTTGTCTGTGGGATGGGTATCCTTCCATCTGACTCTCTTCCAGTTTACTTGAAGGATTGTGAATTGCTTTATGAACATACTGTTTCTTCCTATAAACTAATATACTTAGCAAAAACAGTATTTTAACAATAACAAATAGTTTATAATATTAATTACTTTGCCCAACTAGGCTAATTAATACCTAATTAAAAATGTAAACCTCAAAAGCATTATTCTATTACATATGTATATGTATTGGCTGTAAATTATATAAGTTGAAATAAAAGAAAAAAACCTTTTGAAAAGTAGGACTGAAAATGATCATTTAGTATATGATGGAAATGTATTTCCTCTTGTTAGATAACTAATTCTACAGAATTAAATGTTGCTTTATCTGCCCAAGAAATTTATCTGCCCAAGAAATTAATTCTACAGAATTAATACGTTGCTTTATCTGCCCAAGAAAATTCAAAATGACTACACAATCCTCCATTTTGCTCCTGAAGTGAGGAGACTGGTTTTCCACAATCATTGCAATACCTATTTTTACATCACTGCACACTCTTCTTCTCACCCCTTTCTCAAACTTGCATTGGACAACAATTTTTTTCAGTTCAAAATTCACACTTTTAGGATAGCCACAGCTCGGAAAGGCTTTACAGAACATATGGTAGTGGTGGAAGCCCATTTAATATTTCAAGACATCATGAGTCTTGATGTCTTAATATTTCAAGACATCATTTTTATATATATGGATCACTTTATCGCCCTCTTTCATCACTACATAAGTGTCAACATGTAACTGATTATCTGGACCCATTTCAGTCTGACTTCAGACCCAGATATGGTACTGAATCTGCCTTGGTTGCCCTGTATGATGACCTGTGCAGGGAGAGAGACAGGGGGAGTGCGTCCCTGTTGGTTCTCCTGGACCTCTCAGCGGCTTTCGATACCATCGACCATGATATCCTTCTGGATAGGCTAGCGGGATTGGGAGTTGGAGGCACCGCTTTGCGGTGGTTCCGCTCCTATCTCAACGGCCGATTCCAGAAGGTGGTGCTGGGGGACTATGGCTCTGCGCCATGGCAGTTATGCCATGGAGTTCCACAGGGGTCCATTTTGTCCCCTTTGCTATTTAACATCTACATGAAACTGCTGGGAGAAGTCATCAGGAGGTGCGGGCTGCAGAATCATCAATATGCTGATGATACCCAGCTCTACCTCTCGTTCTCCACCAATCCAGGTGAGGCAGTGGCTGTGCTGAACTGGTGCCTGGCCGAGGTAATGGGCTGGATGAGGGCCAGTAAACTGAAGCTCAATCCAGAGAAGACGGAGGTCCTGTTGGTGGGTGGTTCGGGCCTCGGGATGGGGGACTTGGGCCTTGTCCTAAATGGGGTTGCACTCCCTCTGAGGGACAGGGTTCACAGCTTGGGAGTGCTCCTCGACCCTGAGCTGTCCCTAGAAGCTCAGGCAACAGTGGTGGCGAGGAGCGCCTTCCTTCAGCTCCAGCTGATCCATCAGCTGCGTCCCTGTCTGGAGAATGACTGCCTGGCGACAGTGACCCATGCATTGGTAACTTCCCAACTAGATTTGTGTAACACACTCTACGTGGGGCTACCCTTGAAGACAGTCCGGATACTTCAATTGGTGCAAAACAGAGCTGCCAGGTTGCTGACGGGGACTGGGCGTTGTTCTCATATAACCCCAGTTCTCCGTCAGCTTCACTGGCTCCCTATTGAAGTCCGGGCCCAATTCAAAGTGTTGGTTATGACCTATAAAGCCGTTAACGGCTTGGGACCTGGTTATCTAAAGGAACATCTGTGTCCATATATGCCTGCCCGCCCCCTACGATCGGCAGCGGATGCCCTTCTTCGGGACCCCTCCGTGAAGGATATTAGGAGGATGAGTACCCAGAGGAGGGCTTTTTCTGCAGTGGTGCCCCACCTATGGAATGCGCTCCCCAGAGAGGTCCACTTGGCGCCATCATTATTTGCTTTTCGGCGCCAGGCAAAGACCTTTTTATTTAAGTTATTTTAACTGTTAATTTATTATTGTATTTATAGATTTTAATATATAGCCAAGATGGTACCAGTTTTTAAATTATTGATTGTATTTTTATGTTTCTTTTATGGATGTTGTGAGCCACTCTGAGGCTTTGTTGCAGTGGGGGCGGCATAGAAATGTTTTAAATAAATAAACATCCACATCAAGTTTTCTTGGTCCTATAGTCTCCCAGTGTGCAGATCAACAAAGAAAAATTCTGGCTCAGCCAGTCTTGAATCCAGTAGTTCATAGATGCACTTCTTGACTTCACTCAAGCCCACCTATCACAAGTCAGAGTGGACACCATGTGATGGTTTGCATCAGCGTCAGCTTTTGCATACTAGTGCCAAGTAACTAGAATGCAACATTTCCTCAAGTTCATGATCTCCACCATGCTAGTATACCTGCATGTAAGACTACTCCAGGCTTAGTTCCTGCAGAACTTCAATTCAGAAACAAGCTCCTGAATCTATCTCATCTCTCTCCCTGGACCCATGCAACGTCCTTAGTTTGGTAAACAATGCCAGTCTGGTGACTCAAACTCTGAATTCACTGCCTGTCTCTAACAGTTAGCATAGATGCATCCCTTCACAGTTGCAAAATTTATTGTGGCTCACTCACAATCAGGAGACTCTGATCCTGTTGGGAAATACCTCTACATATATACCAAATCAGACTTTTGGTAGTCAAAGGCCTTGCAGGTTCAAATACTCAGTCATGGGCCAATCCATCCAAGTTATAATGGATGATAACATCATTGTCTTCTGCATAAGTAAGGTGGGACAAGATCCCTTCCCCTCCTTCAGTTGCCCTTCAGTTTGCGGGATTGGTGCATTCATTGCCACATGACCCAAGTCACCATTTACCTTCCAGGGATCTCCAGCACTCTGGCTAATTCTCAGCAGTCCAGGAACCTCTGCCTATAATTGCCAGTTACAAGGTTAGAGTGTAGTTTCCAGCCTCAGAGCTAGGAATCTACATTGTCCTGTGGCCCTCAGAAAATGACTAGGGGACACAGGATTATTCTCTTGTCAATAAATAACAAAGGAATCAAATGTTTTTTTAAAGAACATGAAGTAATTTCCAAGAAATGACCATCTGTGACATAGGTGCAATGTCTAGGCTCTGCATTCATGCAAAGCATGGGCTCCAATCCATATGGTGCAACCTATATGGGTATCAAATACTTTAAAAACGGCTTCGGAACGCCATACATTGCAGCCCACATTACAGAACTTACTGTCCCATGACACTGCCTTGGCAAAATATCCATCTCGTTGTAGCCCTAACTGATTTTTCATGCAGTAGAATTGGCTAAGCTATTGTCTCTGTAGCAGAGCCTCAAAAGGTAACAAGAAAAAGCATTTTAAAAGCAGAGGCCATGTCTTCCATGCTGCCATTAGTGGATGACCATGTAGCAAGCCACGTCAATGCAGCTTTTCTGTGAAGAACTTTACAGTTGATTGCAGCCACCCACGTCTGCTACTGGGTCTTTCTGGGCAGGAAAAAATATAAAAACCTTGCTCATCCAGGCAAGAAGTATGACTTTTCTGAGCTTTAGAGTCATCTTTAATTAGTCTAGGTTCTAACCACTGGCCAGTTCTTTGGTCTTTGCCTTCTGGTTAGCCCTTTATTCCTGAGTGACTTCCATGTGGGAACTCAGTTCTAATTTCCAGACTGGTGTCCATGGCCCAGCATTCACACAAGCATGGCCACTTTTCAGTTCCACAGCCCCAGAAATAGCCAGGTTCCCACCTATTTGGTGGTGAAAATTTCCTTACTGAAGTGAGGTTCTTCCATGCTGTTAAGTCAGCCTGCTCCAACTTAGTGCCCCTCTTGATGTTTTGGACTACAACTGCCAGAAGCCTTGAGGATTAGCCACGCTGGTTGAGGCTAATAAGAGTTGAAGTCAAAACAGAACCCAGCTGTAAGAGCTAGCTGAGAACAAATTTATTCCCTTTTTATGTGAATTTATTCCCTTTAAGGGAAATTTATTCCCTTTTTCTTGCGTATCTAGAGTATTAGGCTAGAAAAGGACATAGTTACATTTTCAGATATAAAACCTGAAGAACCCACAAAATCAACTCAAAACAATGTACTGGTATTAGAATACAGAAATTTTATCCAGCAATTGGTGTCACAGTTGTTCATATCACAGACCTTTTTTTTAAATAAATTTTTATTAAAATTTTAAACTAACACTAAAAACATCAAACATCACATACACTGGATTTACTGGGTCAACCTCCTACTACATATTTTTTAACATTCTAAAGTCAAATTCAAATCAATTTATAATAATTTAAAAACATCTCTAAGTTTATGCCAAGTCCCGTTTCTCCAGCCAATTATAGAAAGAATTCCAAGTTTGATAGAAGTCAGTATCCTCTTTCTCCTTCAATGATAAAGTTAATCTATCCATTTCTGCACAATCCAAGATCTTTCTTACAATCAATCCATCGGTGGGCAGCTCCTCACTTTTCCAATATTGAGCAAATGCAATCCTCGCCGCTGTAATTAGGTGCAGCATCAGATACATTTTCTGTCTGTTAACGTCTTCCGGTATGATGCCTAACAAGAAAATTTCCGGTTTAAAAGCAAAGGGTTTTTGTAATATTTCCTCCATCCATCTATGTATTTTAATCCAATATTTTTTCGCCTTATCACAAGTCCACCACATATGATAAAAAGTACCCACTTTATGTTTACATTTCCAACATCTATTTGACATATTTGGAAACAGCTAATCGACTTGGTGACAAATACCATCTATAGAACATTTTATATAAATTTTCTTTATACGAAGTTGCTAATGTTACCTTAATGTTTCTTTCCCATAGTTTTTGCCACTTTTCTAGTTCAACATTAAATCCAAAGTTTTGTGCCCATGTTATCATAGTTTCCTTAACCTGTTCCCCTTCCATTTTCCTGTCAAGTAAAAAATCATATAGTCTTTTGATAATTTTCTCATCTGTTTTAAGCATCACTTGATCAAACTCTGTTAGGTCTTTGCAGAACCCCCATGCTTTACAGTCTTTAGCATATCTCGATTGCATCTGCACCTTATACCACCAGGAAATATTAAGTCCCTGTTCTTGTATTTCTTGCCCCAGTTTCAGGCCACCATCCTTATCCAAGATATCGTCATATCTTATCTTTTCAAAGTTCAATACATTTGGATTTACGAAAACTTTCATAGGTGAAAGCCATCTTGGTAATTTATTATACAGTTTCAGCTTTAGTTTTTCCCAGACTGACATTAAAGATCTTCTAATAAAGTGACTCAGAAAAGACCCATGTGACTTAGCTTTTTCATACCACATATAAGCATGCCAACCCATCTGCAAGTCATGACCTTCAAGATACAAAATTCTCTTATTTCGCAAAGTTATCCATTCTTTTAGCCACGTTAACACAGATGCTCAATAATACAACATCCAATCGGGAAGACCAAAACCTCCATTCCTTTTAGCTTCCTGAACCATTTTTAATTTAATCCTTGGTTTCTCGTTTCTCCAGATAAATCTCGAGATTTGAAAATTTAGGTCATCAAAGAATTTTTAATCAATTTTTACCGGAATCATTTGAAACAGAAACAGAAGTTTAGGTAATATGTTCATTTTAACAAGTGCTGTTCTTCCCATCAAAGATAATTGTAAATTGGCCCATTTTTCCAAATTACCTTTAATATCCTTCAATAATTTATCATAATTATCTTCTTTCAAAGTGATACATTTAGCTGTAAATTTCTCTTTTCTTTTCAGTCTTCTCTGATTATCCAGTCTGAAATTTATTTTGGCAGTCATCCAATTTTTTCTTTTTTTTTTTGGTAGAGGTCCCAGAAAAGGAGTAGATGGCCAAGGAAAAAAAACCCACTTTCAACTTATATTCTAATATAGCTTAATTCCACCGTACTTGTTGCTTTAGTTTTTCGCCCTTGAGGAGGTTATAAGAACACAATTTCAGCTTTTACACAAGCCTTAAGTCCTCCCCTCATAACATTAGATTGCCGCGGGGGGGGGAGCTTCCTCCCTCCCTCAAAGGGATTTTCCTTTCTTTGTTCTTGTGCCGATTAGCAACAAATACAGCTTTTCCACAAATATTCTTCTAAGAAGGGAAAGCGATGCTCATCCAAAAGCAATCAAAGAGAGAAAAACACCACAGTATGAAAGTTTCTTGCCAGATATCCAAATATCCTTGGCAGCAATCCAGTATAGAGAAAGATCTTTCTATCATTCAATTTATCATTCAATTTCACACTAAATTATTTATCTTAAATTATTCACCCTTGGAGAGATTTAAAAAAAAAAAAAAAAACCTCCTTCTTTACTTACAAACAGCTCCATCTCTCTCCATCTCAGTTGCCGCTTGCAGTTCCGTGGGGGGGGGGGACTCCCCTCCATCCAAAGGGCTTTTCCTTTTTTTCCCCCTATATGAGTTAGCAAAAAAAAAAAGAAAAAAACCGCTTTCCCACGGGTAATATTGTAAAAAGGAACAAGAGATAAATGTGTCCCAATAAATCCGACGATTATAGCTAAATTCCTAATCTAAACAATCGGCATGTCGGAGACCCATGGAAGGCTGATCTCCTTCCTGTGTTGTCCGGCTGAAAGATGCCTGATTTTCTCCCAGCAGATATGGGATTGCCGTCCCACACCGTCTACGAGATTTCCCAAGCACTTTATCTTCAACCCCGACAGGGCTTAGATTGGGCTCGCGGCCCACCACCGGACATTTACCAGCGTGATAACGGACCTTCGTTAATCACGTTTGTCTTATCTCGACGCCATTACCGGAAGTCATATCACAGGCCTTTCTACCTACCTACTCCAATCAATTGCTACATCCCCTTCATTATTCAAGTTAGCCAACATCTCTCCATCACATTGAACCTGATCAATGTGTATTCCACTACCTTTAATACTTAAAACAACAACAACAAAACCTTGAGTTTGTATGATTTTACCAAGAAATAAGCAAGCCCTTTCCCAAGCTGAATAAAGCAGCTTGTAGTTTTACTTTTGGGTTCTTTCTTACATCACAACATAAACACCCATATTTTTAAAGATGTGGAAAAATAAACTCTTAGGTTTCAAAGTAGATCAGTGATAATGTACTATATTTCTTATGCTAAATGCTCTGTCTGATATTCACTATAAGAGCATTAAATACTGTGCTCCTTTTGTTATACATATTATTAATGAAGATTATTGGCAACTATGATGATACATACAGCTGAGGTTCCTTTTTTCAACTCTGTGCATCAACAATAAATCAACTTTTAATGCATTTTGCTATCTTTGTTATCGTAGGAGCCCCTCTCCCCCCAAAAAACCCCCGATTTCATTCTTTGAAATAGTTTTAAATAGACTCTGAATAAGTACCTCAATGGCTGCCACAGATAGGAATGTCAAGATTTCTTCTTGCTGATGCCAGAGTGTAGGAAAAGGAATAATCCATTCAAGCTGCGACAATCCAGTTTCAGTCTGGACATCAGGAAAAGCTTCCTGTCAGAGCAGTGGAACCAGCTTGCCTGGAGAGTTAGTGGGCTCTCCCACACTGGAGACATTCAAAAAGAAAGTCATCTGTGTGGGATGCTGTAACGTGGTGTCCTGCAACAGCAGGGAGTTGCATCCGTCGGCCTTCATGGCCCCTTCCAACTCTACTATGATTCTATGAATATAATTTTGTTATTATTGTATGTATGTTCCTGGGGACAAATGCCAAAAGGTTTAAAGCAGTCGTCAGATTGACCCGTCTTAGCCCTTTTCAGCCCCTCTGAAAGACGAGGGAGAACGAGGAACCTTGTCCACGTGGAAACTTAGCGTCACGCGGAAAGAGGCCGGAAAAAGCGAGGAGGGAGGACAGTCAGCCGCCATTTTGCTTTCTCGACGGACGATGCGGCGGCGACTTTCACGCCTCGCACCGGCTTGCTCCTTGGCGTTGTTTCTGCTGCTAGGTGGCGCCCCCTTCTACGTCCTGCCCTTCCTGCCCCCTCAAGACGGTGAGCGCGGCTTCCCCACCCTTCCCGCGAGGTGCTGAGCGCCCCGCACCGGCAGAACAGCGGCGAATGAGTGCGCCCCGCGCAGGTTCGCTCGCTGCTCAAGAACCCGCACGCCGTCAAGGCCGCGGAACAGACTGCGCCTCCGTCTTGAAGGGGAGGGGGAGTCCTCGCAAAGTAGACGCGGAAGACGTTGTGGGGTGTAGGTGCGGAAGGTGCGTTCACGCTGCGGGAAGTAGCCAGATGGGTGCGAAGGCAGCGGGACTGAAGAGCTTCCTCCGAGTACGTCCCACTAAAATTACTGGGCTGTGCTCCCAATTAAGCGGGCGTTGGGCTCCCTCCCGGCTGGTGTTTCCCTAAGAGGTCGAGGCACGCGGGCTTCCGAAGATCCGCGTAGGTAGAGAGGCGGCGACGCTGCTGCTTTCCCGGGCACGGGGACAAGCAGAGCACGTGTGCCAGAGGGATGGTCCCGATGCTCAAGCCTCCCACGCGGAATGTGAGCGGGGCTGCTTCACGCCGATGCCCATGTGTTCGTTTTGCCCTTCAGAAGAAACAGTAGCCCTTAAGGAAGCACCTCAGGGTGGCATCGGCAGTTCTAATTCGGAGGTGCTGTTTTAGTGGCCCTTCCAGGTGGATACCACCCAGGTGGCTATTGCTAATCCTTAAAGGCAGTGGGTAAAAGTTTGTTCTAACAAATAGTTCTTCTGAGTCAGTCCTGTGGTACAATTGAAAGCTCAAGCCTACCCGGATGGGAGTATATAATTTACCACAGCCTTTCCAAAGATGATGCTTTCTGCTACGTTGGACTACAACTCCCATTATCCCAACTATAAGCATGGTCATTGCTTATAGTTGCAGGGGATGATGTATTGATTTGGGTCAATACAGCTGGATAATATCTACTTGAGGGAGGCTGCTTGATAGGACTCCCCATCTGGGGTTTCAGAGGGATTTGCATGGGCTACAAACTAATTGGGTTCAGTGTTTTGGCCAGCATACTCAATTCCCCTCTATCTGCTGCAGTGATTCTCTAATTTCTTCTAAATTCAATTTAAAGTGCAATTATTTAGAAAGCTTAAAGAACTTAGAGTCTTTAGGTAGTTAAAGGACTGCCTACACCTAAATGAACCTGCTTGGGCATTAAGATAGCTGCAGAGGGCCCATTTATCTTTCTCCAGAAATAGTTAAAATGGCAGGAAATAGAAACAGGATCTTTTCAATGGTAGCCCCATAATTATGGAACTTCCTTCCTGCTTTCTTTCAGTGATCATAAGGACTTTTCAAAATGCAGTTCATTGGGAGACTTATTTTTATTGTTGCTTGTCACAATCAACTGTTTTTAGAACTGAGGATCAGTCTGAAAGGTTTTGTGCAGTTTTTGTTTTATTTTGTTTAAATATGCTTGCTTGCTTCTCAAAATGTTTTGATATTTTCCACTGCACTGAGGGAAAATACCTTTTGAAAGTTGGTGTGGGTTAGGGTTAGGGTAAATGGGGTAGTGTCAGGGTTGGTGTTGGAGACCCCTCAGCTTACTGTGCTGGGGGACTTCAACATTTATGTCAAGACTGCCCTGTCAGGAGTGGCCCAGGACTTCATGTCTGCAGTGACATGTCCCAAGTTGGCCCCATCCATTATGCTGGACAAACACTGGATCTTGTTTTCTGTGTTCAATGGGTTGGTAGTGATCTGAGTGTGGTTCCCTTGTCATGGACAGATCATTACCTGGTGGAGTTTAGACTTGCTGGCACTCAGATCTTTTGCAGGAGTGGAGGACCATTCAAGATGGTCCACCGCTGGAGGCTGATGAATCCAAATGGTTTCATGTCGGCTCTTGGAGATTTCCCTGTTGCCTTGGCAGGTGACTCTGTTGAAGTCCTGGCCAGACTCTAGACTAGAGAAATGACCATGACTATGGACACAACCACTCCTGAGGCCCATCTCTCTGAGGTGAACCACCCCAACACCCTGGTTTTCTAGGGGACCAGTGGCAATGAAATGAGTGAAATGATGGCTCGAGTGATGGTGGAAAATGATGGTGGAGTGAATCCAATAACTTAAAGGCTAAAGCCTATTTGAAGGCCTATTCTATGGCAATATGAGCAGAGAAAGAGAATGCACAGTCCCAAGCTGATCTGTAATTTTCATAGTATAGTTTGCAGAGACACATTGTTAAAATGTTCTGAAGACATTCATGTTGAGTTAGCATGCCTGATGTATGAGGATCTTTTGTGTATTTACTTAGAAATTACTTAGAAATGCCATTAACGTTGAATATTATTTGGACCTTAATGTAACGAAACTACCCAAAGTGGCACATTGATTACTCAGCCTGAGTTAAGTTAGATCAACATCCTTAGAGCCTGCACTAAAATAACCACTGTGATAAGCAAGCTAATATATTATTTTGGATCAGCTTGTGAACTCTTCAAAAGTTCACAGAAGTTCATTCTCTAATGGCATATGCTCTGATACAGATGTGCTATTTCAGCTGTTTAAAACAGATCTTCAGATCTGCCTCACATGTTTTGTTGCTGAACATAGACTGCATTTTATGGGACACTTATAAGCATTGCATCTTACCAGTATAATTGTGTTTTGATTTCTAGAATGTGGAAAAAGGCCTTTAATAGGCCCTGGAACAGGTCCTCGGATTGTAGGAGGACATGATGCTCAGCTTGGGGCATGGCCATGGCAAGTTAGTCTTCAAGTTTATGAATTACATTCAGGATATGACCATGTATGTGGTGGATCTTTAATTAGTAACAACTCAATATTGACAGCAGCTCACTGCATTAAAGAATGGATGTATGTATCTCTTATTCTAAATAGTTTCTTTCAGTATTTGATATGAAAAAGATGTAGTGACAAAAAAGAAAGAAAGGTGTTGCCTGAATTTTGAATTATATATATATAAAATTATATATAATTGAAATATGTATATATAGTTGTAGCCTGGAACAAATTGTTGCAGTGTATCCCTAGCGCATCACAGTAGTGTTCTTCAACACTTTGAACCACTTGGAACAGGAGCCAGTAGTGCTGATCAGGGCTTACAAGGAGTGTTTCAAGAGCTTGAGCAAGGGAGGACTTTTCAGGGCTTGTACAAAAAACTTTTCCCCCTCTTTATTCTTCTGAAACTTTCTCCCACCCAGCTATTTATTTACTATATTTTTAGTCTTCCCAATAACAAAAACTTTTTTGGGTGGATTACATAATGAGAATAAAAGCTTCATTTTGGTTGGCCCCATTTTTGTTCATTAGTGATAGGAATAGGATCCTAAATTGAGTATCAGTAGCTCGCACTATATCCCAAGCCCCTAACCCTTTGAGGTTTTGGCATCTTGTAGCACTGTTTTGGATTTGCAAAGGACATCCTTTGTTTTCTTCTTTCTCAATATTCTGAAATCTCTCCTTATGGAATTATATGATGTCAAAAGGTACAAGTATATGGCTGGCTGCTGCTGTTTCTAACTGTTTAATTGTTGAATAACTGCCTGGAGGAACTAACATGTGGCGTGGATTTTGTAAACCTGGTACACATCCCACAAATCTAGTGCTCATCATAATACCATAAACTGATGGAGCAAAGGTAGAGAAATATTTCTGGTCTGAGGACTGAACTGGCCCTAGTCCAGGATGTTGGGGACCACATGCAGCTGTTTGTGGGATCACCACTCAAAGTGGGCATAGCAGTTTCTGATATGCATCCCCACACACTATTTTAGACACACACACAAACCATCTTTCCCCAGTGCGCGCGCACACACAACAGCACTTGCACAAATACATTAATACATCCCTTCCCAGCCCTACCTCACTTAATCCATGCAGATCTGCTGAATGGGAGAGGGGTTCCTTGTACATCATTGAGAGAGATTACCTTTTGTTAATACTAAATAGAGAATAAGACTGTTTTTCAATCTGGATCAAAGTGTCAATAAACACTTTCCCCATCTTCCTACTGCAGCACAATGAGAAGTAAGTCCTTTTGCTATCAGGTCACTCTCAGTGCTGGGGCAAGAGGGCATCTTCTATACCCAACTTGGACACAGATTCACTTTCTCATGACTGAGTCGGAGAAAGGGCTTCTCTCTGATTTACTGCTGATTGGAGATAAGACCTTGATCCAAACTAGACTGACCTTTATGTGAAAGAGGATGCCTAGCTAGATAAATGACTTGTTCAACCCGGCAGAGATTACATTCCTATACATTTATGTTTTTACTGTTTGTGTTGCTATTATTATGTACAGTGATCTTTACTGTTCTCTTAAAACATTAAATCTGAGTCAGTGCTTATTAGTTTTAAATAGAATATGAAGCAAGAAGCAAATTATCAAGTCTCAATGATTGTGAAATAGTAATTCAGTTATCATCCTCAGGAGTTTTTATTCTATCCTAGGAATCCAACCCTTTGGAGGGCTGTGATTGGCTTGCACAATCGTCATAAATTCAGTTCTTATACTGTAAAACGCCGGGTCAAAACTATCATGATCCATTCTAATTATAGTTGGGATACCAATGAAAATGATGTTGCATTATTTATGCTAATAAGATACATCAAATACAATAAATATGTTCAGCCCATCTGCTTACCTGACACTCATCTTTTGGCTAAAGCTGTATACCCCTGTTACATCACTGGCTGGGGAAGTACACAGGAGAAAGGTAACTTTTATTTTTCTTTTAAACTAAACTATTGTTAAGATTGAAAATTAATCTAGAGATTTCTTTACTACATCCAGAAGTATTTCACATATTGCATGGAAGGAAATGTAGTTTTGACATAGAATGTAAACTCAAGAGAAGGTTACTCACTACCATGATGGCACACCTTTTTCAGTCAGTTTATATTTCTAGATGTACATTAAAAACATATATTCTTAAAACTATGTGTATCTTTTCTAGTCACTGAACGTTTAAAGGTTACCTCTTTCCACCACTTCTTGATAGCAATCAGGGATATCAACCATATTGTTGGAGTTTCATCTTTGGGTAACAGTAGTATAAAGTTCAGCCCTGTTTTTACTTCATAGAATGTGAGACAAAGATGAGTTGCCTTTTCTTGGGGCATGGAATTCTATATTCATTTATGGATGTTCGTTTGTTTATTAGATTTACATGCCACATTTTTTCATACAAAGAACTCAGAGCTGCTTACATAATTTTCCTTCTGCTTTCTGTCTTATCCCCACAAAAACCCTGTGAGGTAGGTTGGACTGAGAGTCTCTGACTGGACCAGAGATACCCAGTTTGGCTCCATGGCTGAACAGGGGCTAGAACCCAGATAGCCTGAGTCCCAGCCTCTTAACCACTGCACCACACTGACTCTTACAGTAATTTTAAAAAATCATAGAGTAGTAGAACTGGAAGGAGCCATGAAGGCCATCGGTTTCAGCCCCTGCTCTTGCAGGTCACCATCCCACTCAGATGGCTGTCCCATTTCTTTTTGAATGTCTTTAGTGTAGGAGAGTCCATGATCTCTCTAGGCAACTGGTTTCACTGTTGTATTGCTCTGACAGTGAGGAAACTTTTCTTGATATCTAACCTGAACCTATGAGAGCCAGTATGGTGTAGTGGTTAAGAGCATGGGACTGGGACTCAGACGATCTGGGTTGTGGTCCCCGCTCGGCCATGGAGCCAACTGGGTGACTTTGGGCCAGTCACAGACTCTCAGCCCAACCTACCTCACAGGGTTGTTGTTGTGGGGATAAGATGGAGGAGGAGAATGATGTAAGCTGCCTTGAGCCCTTTGAGGAAAAAGGCAGGATAGAAATTGAAAAATAAATAAAATGTTTTCCCAACTTGAGTTGATTATTCTGTGTCCTACACTCTGGTATCAGCAAGAAGCGATCTTAACTTTCCTTAAGGACAGATCTTCTTCCAAATTGGAATATGGACATTACTTAAAATGTAGCTTTTCTGGAATTCACTTTTGTGTAACCTGTTGTGCACAGTTTAGAAGGCCGGATACCTGAAGAAACCTTGAACTGAAACAGAAAAATAACAGGTAACCTATGAACTACCAATATGTATGTATGTATTTATTTATTTATTTAAAGTTTTTGTATGCCATCCCCTTGCTATATAGCCTCGGGACAGCTCACACAAATAAATAAATATAATACAAATACAGTTAAAACTCGGAAACACTCTGGCTGCACAATTAAAACCTATAAATATTATACGTTGTTAAAATATTGTTTCAATAAAAAGGTCTTAGCCTGGCGCCGAAAAACAAATAACGACGGCACCAGGCGGACCTCTCTGGGGAGCACATTCCACAGATGGGGCGCCACTGCAGAGAAAGCCCTCCCTCGGGTACTTTGCTTCCTGGTGTCTCTCATGGAGGGCTCCCGGAGGAGGGCCTCTGCTGCTGATCTCAAACAAAAATAAAAGGTAGTAGCTAAAATAGATATTAGCTAATACTCTATTAGCTAGAAACAATACAAAATTACAATAAAAATGAAGGTACCTGGTTTGTGTTGGCTGCCAAACAGAATGTGCTGCAGCTCCAAGAGAATGGTTGGATTTTCGGGTTGTAGTATGTGATCCTGTGCATGTCTAGAGAGAAGAAAGTCTTACAACTGTCAACATGCCACAATCAGCCATACTGGGTAGGGAATTATAGACATTGTAGGATTTTTCTGTTTAAAAATGGATATCTATTTGCCCTTGGTTTTCTAAATTGCATAGAGGATATTGGCATAGTTTGTTAAGTTTAGAAGAATTGCACTGACTTAAGTGCTGCTAGCCTCCTTTAGCTTTGTACACGATCTTGTTTCAGAATGTTATCAGTATACTTCTAGTATTTTGTTTTCCTTGCAGGTAGAGACAAGCTTATATTACAAGAAGCTCAAGTAGACATTATTCCACTAAATGTGTGTAATAGCCCTAACTGGTATGGAGGACAATTAACACTGAATATGCTTTGTGCTGGCTCTTCAAGTGGACATGTTGATAGCTGCCAGGTAAAATGGAGATAATTCCACTTAGGTCACCAAAACCTACACTCATACAGTTGATAGGGAAAAGTAGGGTAACAATTGAAGTACCAACAAATTAGTAAATTCGTGAAACAAAAGTGAGTAAGATCAACATTAGAAATATCAGGAAATGTAAATGAATTCAAAATTCAAACCATAATTTCATTTTCCCCATAATCAGTCTGTGATAGTAGAAGAGAATGTGTATCTGTCTGTCAGTGCCAGAGCGACAAAATTGCAAATTTTGAAATGCCTGAAATTTGGCTTGCATAATAAGAGTCTCCTAAAGTGATTTAATTATTTTTAATGTATTATATGGGACTGCAGGTGACGCAGTGGTTTAAACTGCTGTGCTGCTGGGCTGGTGATCGAAAGGTTGCCAGTTCGAATCTGCACAACGGGGTGAGTTCCCATTGCTCTGTCCCAGCTCCTGCCAACCTTGCAGTTCGAAAGCATGCAAATGCAAGTAGATAGAAAGGTACCACTTTGGTGGGCAGGTAACAGCATTCCGTGCACTTCGGTGTTTAGTCACGCCGGCCACATGACCACGGAGACTGTCTGCAGACAAACACTGGCTCCCTTGGCTAGGAGATGAGCACCGCCCCTTAGAGTCAGGCATGACTGGACTTAATGTCACAGGGAAACCTTTATCTTAATGTATTATATGGGTGAATCCTGCAGTAATGTCTTCAGCCACTTTGTGCACTTATCTCCACTTTCCTCAGCAGTGGGCCCATTCCTCACTGTCATACTTCTGTGGTTGACTGCCTCTTCCAGAAGAGTTGGCCAATCATAAGAAAAGAGATTAGGAAACATGGAGGGGGGCACAAAAGAGATGCCAGCCACTGTCTGTTCCTTTAGTTGGCCTTGGGAAAGATAGGCTATGACGCCTGGGGCTCCAGCAAAATTAGTTCTAATTAGAACACCACAGGAAAGTGGTTGGAGGCTACAATGATAGAAAAACGTTGAAAGTTAGTTGATGATTCGAACAAACTTTTACTTTAGTGAGAAGGCTGTTCCTGCAGCAAAGAAGTGGGTTGTGCTGAAACTTTTTGTTTCAGTGGCAACAGGAAAAAATGTGTTTAAATATGTACCCAGGCCCAGAGAGAAGTAGCCAAGTTATGATTAGCCTGGATGAAAATAAGTGACGGATGAGCAAAACAGCTGCAGTAACCTTGAGCCCATTCAAGGATTTCTCTCTCTGGGTCTATCTCCAGGAAAATCCATTAGGACTCTTGTGAATGAAGCTGACAAAAGGTATACAATGCTGGTATATAAAGAATATAGGTATATCATGCTGAGAAGATGATGTGGTATGAGCATGTCACTGCAGAAGGAATCAGTCAAATTGGTACATTTTATTTCAGCAACATGGAAGTTTTGCCTAAGCTGTTGAGTGAGTTCAGCAACATGATTCACTGATCAAAATCCAGAACATACAAATCTCTTGTATTTTTAATAGCTTAAACAAACATACCATTGGTATGACTACCACATGAAAATGACAGGAAAATTCTTAAAAGTATTGGGCATTCCAGTATTTGATTATTAGAGCAGTTTTCAGTAACTATAGTTCTTTGAAGGATTCTGTGTGCAGTCAAACCGAAGACCAGCACAGATTTCTCACTGGAATTTTCTAAAACAGAGAAGTTTAAGCAGGAAGCCCACCTATCCCTTCTTGGGATTTTCTCCTTAGGTTCTCTGTGGTACTGCAGCATCCCAAAACTAAAAAGATTGGTGGAAAATATGGAAATACCTGTAGTTGGTTAGGAAGGCAGGTTTTATGACTGCACAGGTGACCAAAGATCTACAGCTTCAGAAAGCGACCTTTTCAGCCTCTGTGTGTCACCATAATCCAGCATGTCCTTTGCCTTATGGCCCCTCGATAGCTGTTGTCCCGCTGGCTTGGTTACACATAAGGCCTCTCCAGCTCTGGTTCCTTGTGTCATTCAACACCAGAACCAAACCTCATTCTACCAAACTTCAAATCCCTGTTCGGATTTATACCTCCCTTCATTGGTGGACAAAGAAAGCCAACACCTCCATCAGGGTCCCTTTCTCCCCATAGGAAATGCAACTCATTATAACCACTGATGATGCCTCCTCCTCCTCTGGAAGCCCACTGCAGTTGTTCAACAATCCAGTGCAAATGGGGCCCACAAGAAATTTCATGTCATGTTAGCTTCTTGGAAATTCTAGCTATAAGGAAAGCGTTCCCCACTTTTCAAACCATAATCCCATACTTGCACATACAAATAATTACAGACAACACCACAGTAGTTGCCTATGTAAACAAACAAGGGGAACCAGATAAGGCTCCCCCATGCTTCTCACCAGCAAGACCTGTCACTGGTGCACCAGTCAATGCACCATGCTCTCTGCGATCTAGTACCGACAATAGCCAGTACCAACAAATGTCCTAGTGGACACACTCGGCAGGACTTTTACACAGTGTCACACATGAGAACGTCACCCCACTGTGATGCATCTGTGGAACTGATGGGCATCCCCCAGACAGACCTGTTTGCCACACAAGTCAACACTGCTTTCAGCCACTTCTGTTCCAGAGCCAGCATCAGCTCCAACTCAGTGGGAGACACCTTGCTCCTTCAATGGAACAGGAACCTGTTCTCTTTCCCCCATTTCCTCCGATTCCAAAGGTTCTAGCAAAGATCCATCGAGATCACACAGACTCCATTCTCATAACGCCTTCCTAGCCCAGACAGCACTGGTTCCCCCATCACCTCAACCTCTCCTACATTTATTTGCCTCCCCCTCCGACCTGAACTCATCTCCGGATCAAGGGATAGTCCTCCATCACGATGTGAACACTCTCAGATTCACTACATGGAGGATTTGGCCATGCCCTCCTCTCTAATGGACATGCCCCCTGAACTTCAGCATATCCTTGATGCTTCTCTGAATTATTTTTCATGTAGATCATATGATCCTAAATGGTCAGCTTTCTCAACTTTCACTTTATAGCATAGTTTTTCTCCAGACACAGCTTCTCCTATACAAATTCTATTGCTTCTCAATTCCTTGTACAAGAAAGGACTCAAAACTGCTTCTATTCATGCTTATGCCACTGCCATCTCTGCATTTCACACTTCAATTCAAGACCATTGATTTTTTCTCATTTGGAAGTTTCTTAAAGGCCTCCTTAACCTGGCCCCACCATTCAAACAACCCACTTCTTCCTGGAACCTCTTCATTGTTCTCCACACTCTCACTAAGAAACCATTTGAACCTATGGCTTCCGCACACCTCCACCTTATCTTATGGAAAACGGCTTTTTGATAGCCATTACATCTAGCCATTACCATTACCAGGCTAGTGAACTTACTACTCTTTGCGGATCCCCATCTCATCTTTCATAAAGATAAAGTGATACTCAGCCCTGATCCTACATTCCTCCCAAAAGTAATCTCTCCTTTCCACATTAATGAAACTCTTGTCCTCCTTGCTTTTTTCAAGCTCCTTCCAACCCATCAGAGCTAGCTCTCCATTCCTTGGATGTTCACAGGACATTAGCCTTTTACAAACCCAGAAATCAGTCCATCAGACTGTGCTAGAGGCTTTTCATTGCCTATGGAGGTCCACACCAAGGCTCCCTCATCTCCTCTCAAAGATTGTTCAAATGGATAGTTCATACAGTATGCTTAGCATATGAATTGTCTGGCCTCCAACTGTCAGGCCCAGTCAGAGCACATTCTACCAAAGTGATGGTGACCTCCACAGCCTTGTAAGCAGGAGTGTCCCTTACTGATCTCTGCAAAGCAGCAACCTGGTTGAATTCCTTGACCTTTATCATTACTGTCTCAGTGTTGGAGCCAGAGAGGATTGTACCTTCAGCAGAGTTGTTTTCTTTTCTCTAGTCCTCTGAGTGACACCACCCTGCTCCAAGAGGTAAGCTTGTCAGTTACCCATGTGTGAGACCACAAAGAATAAAGGCAAGTTGCTTACTTGTAACTGTTGTTCTTCAAATGGTCATCTATAGATTCACACATACCCACCTGTCATCTCTACTAGTGTCACTTTTTCTAACATGAATTTGACATGTCTCCTAACAGCGTTTACTGAATGGCTGTCTTACTGTTTCAGAACTGAGGTCTTGGTGAGAGCCCCTCCCCACATGCTGGGCATGACCAGGGGCTGGGCTCCCACCAAATCTTCCTGGAACAGCTCCATGGATGTGCACAAAGCCCATATGTATGAATACACAGATGATCACTCAAAATGACAGCTACAGGTAGGCAACCTGCCTTTCTCTCTATTATTATATACAACAAAGTCTGGTCATAAAATTATCCAATCTGGTATATTAAATGTAAAATTGTAGTTTATTCAGATAATTACACATTTCTTTCCCTTCAAAGTCACACCCCACTTTTTCTGACATCCCACCTGATTGGAAGATCTTAAAAGTTTACACAAGTGTAGGTTCTTTTGTTTGACCTAATAAAGGAACTGCATGAATTTCAGTGTTGGAATGTGTTTATCGCCAGCATCGCCATTTTTAGGGTGGAATGGGGGTGGATGGGACAGAATATGAGGAACATTCATCTTACTGTATTATATTTTTCATATTCCAGGGAGACAGTGGTGGACCTTTAATGTGTTATTTTCCACATACTGCCAGGTTTTATCTCATAGGAGTCACCAGCTTCGGATATGGTTGCGGCCGACCAAGATATCCAGGAATCTATGTTCATATAGCTCATTACAGAAGTTGGATAGATGAACATCTAGTTGCTAAAACCACCATTGTGAACTTTCAATATTTCCTGATCCTGTGGAATCTAGAATGGATAATATTCCATATTCTATAAAGGATTTTTTTTTTCATTTCATTATACTAGAATCGTCTTGGATGGCTATTGAATAGTATTGTTACAAAGTATCTTTACCAGTATTTAAGAACAAAAGATTTTATTTTCTTCCCCAGGCTACTACATCCAAAACTATATTGCATCTTTAATTTAAAAATCTAAATCCAAAAGGCAGCCATTAATTACACAGGTATGTTTTATGGACTGTAATGACAATCAGATTTTTCAAAGCAAGTTAAAATATGAGAATGAACATTTTAAATAAAACACAGAGAAAATTAATTAGTTTATGATATAAATACTTGTCTTCTGAAACTGATATATAGAATGTCTAAATATATTTTTAGTATGTAAAGGAACTACATGCATGATACATGTCAATTGTTGCCATACCTTACATAGCATTTTTGAAATATAACACTTGTTCAGTTCTTTGTTCAAAGTTGATTGTGCCTTAGGGAAGAAAGTGTGGGAACCTATAAATGAGGAATTATTTTTTAGGCATTCATCCTGGCAAGTAATACTGTAGTATTTGAAAAACAAAGAGACTGGGCATTTGGGGGCACAGGGCAGGAGACTGCAGGAGACAGTTGGCTTCCACAGTGGCAAAAGCATAGCGCCACTTCAAAGTGCCACTGGAAACAGCATGGCATGATGCCCTACTGCCAGCAAGTTACCATTGCTGCAGCTGGGCATTAGAAAGCTACATGCCAGCGGGTAAGACAGGGAGTACTGAAAAACCAATCAGAGCTCAGCTGCAGTTGGTTCAGCCATTGCTAGGCTGAACAGGACAATGAAAATGAAGCCTGGTACATCTGTTGCAGCTGTGGCCACTCTTGGTGTGAAACTTGATGGCAGAAACATGAAAACCATAATTCTCAATATGCAGAAACAATGTGACTGGGATCACACATAACATGCAGTGGTGAAGCATGGAAACCTTACAACAGATGGTTGATTCTTCACATGGTTTCATGGAAACCAAACATGCCTGCACAGTTTCCAGCATGACTTGTTAAGTATGAACACAGCCAGTATATTTTAGGCAGTTACTAAGACTGAGCCAATTTGCCAACTATTAACATTTGACCAAGAAAAAACACCTTTTCTCCTTGGGACTGCTCAAAATGGTACATTGGGTTCCTTAGTATCAAGACTTATGTGCAGCTACTTATTTAAGAAGTATCCATAAATCTTAAAACTCAGTCCTATGTATGAGCAATCAGCAGTAGCTAAAGATACATTGTCTGTTATCAGGACCTGACATTTTAGTTGCCACAAGTCAGAATGGAAAATGTTATAAATCTTGCCCTTGTCAAGTACTGAAAAAATATAGATAACAGTACCTCTTTCCAATATAATACTATGCATCTACAGTCTGCTCCAAGGTGTTAATGAATTTTAAAAAGAAAAATTATTGGTTATGCCATTGGATGGGGGGAACAGAATCTAGTACTTTTCATAGCCTCGTAATATATTTTTGCCTTTTGTGGAGCCAGTGTGATGTAGTGGTTAAGAGTGTGGAGACTTGGACTCAGGCACTCTGGGTTCTAGTCCTCTTTCAGCCATGGAGCTAACTTGGGCCAGTCACAGACTGTCAGCCCAAGTTGTGTACAGCACTAGCTACATCCTATATATATACATCCTGTCAGAATGAACTCTCATTGAATTCATTGGGATATACTACAAGACTGCAACCTCAGTCTCAGATTGCAAATGAATAATTTGCGTGGTGCACAATAGTTGTTTTTTTCAGGGACTTTAACCCTCAATTAGCCAGGTTTGTTTTCTAACTGCTAGAGTCAAAAAACCCTACCAGCAAGGGCTACCTGAAAAGCTCTTTACTGAAGCATGCACACAGCAATACAGAGCAGCCTGCTTTTCTGACCCCAACTAGTAATCCAAAGGTTGCTCTTAGGTATAATCCTAAAAGCATAATCCTAAGTGCAACCCCATCGATCATTGATCATTTTGATTTTCCCTTTGCTCTTTCCTTTTGCCCATTGTTAATCTTTGAAGGTACCACATGCTGTTTTACCACATTCCACATTTCTGTTAACAGTAGACAAGCAGACAGCTATCACTATCTTGTTCAGTAGCCAGATTATAGACAGGATTGCAGTTTCAGCTAAACAGTTCGTTACACTAGCATTTCATTTGTGCACACAGAAATTGTTGATTTTTGTCAGCTACTGACAAACTTGAGGGGTTTACAACTTCTCTCGCTTTTCTGCTCATTGAAACCAGTTAAAGCAGCCCTTCAGGTGCCTGCCTCAGCAAGGTTGAACAGTTCAAGCACAGGGAATCAGAAATGTCCTATCATCTGGATATGGTGCCGGTGGTGTGGAAATGAACACAATCAGTTATTAAATCCAGCAGGTCAGATCACTGCAAAAAGCGAAGGCTAGACGAGTTAGACATAACGTGGTCAGGATGTGCATTCCCATCCAGTACCATTGACTGGTGTAAACCGGATGAAACAAAGGGGCCTTGTTTCGCTCCGTGTCAGCGTCGGGGTGCGGGGCACCTACAGCGTCGCTGCTGCCCATCTCGCCCTGCCACAGCTCCTCAGCTTCAGCCTCGTTCGCCCGAGAGAGAGGACGGAGGCGGACGCGAGGGAGGACGTGGAATCATGCCCACGTGGAAGCTCGGCGTTAGGCGGGCGGGTGCAAAAACGACGAGATGGGAGGAGGGCTGGCGGCCATTTTGTTTCCTTGACAAGCCATGCATCTTCCTTCCGTCCCGGCACCTGACTTCTGGGCGCTGCTTGTGCTGCTGAGTGGAACCCCCTTCAAAGTTCTGTCTTCCCTGCTCCCTATAAACGGTGAGCAGGGATTCCCGACGCCCGTCGCTGTATGCTGAGCGCTCCGGGAAAAACAAAGGAGGAACCCGGCATGGGCTGCTTAGCTCACCCGTTTGGGTCAGCACGCCGCCAAGACCAGAAGACAAACTGCGCCTGCGCATTGAAGGGGAGCGGGAGCCCTCACAAAAATTAGATCCGGGTAGTTTCTAACAGATGTGGGTGCCGTTGGGTGCGTCTGCAAGGCGCGTTGCCGACTCAAGGACGAGCCAAATGCGTTATGGGTGCGAAGGCGACGGGCGCAGAGGGTCTCCTCCGAGGATCATACCCCTAAGACTACTGGGAGCTGCTCCCAAGTTGGGTTCCCTCCCGCCGGGCGTTTTCCCAAGAGGTCGAGGCACGTGAGCCGCCTTTGAAATCCGCCCAGGCCAAGAGGCGGCGCACGCTGCTGCTTCTCTGGGTACAGGGGTAAGCAGAGCACGTGTAGCATTTAGCCCCAAAGAAAAGGACCTGGGGTTTAAGCCTGCTTCGAGGCCACGACCTCCCACAGAGAAAGTGGCTCAGTGAATAGGGTTGCTTCACGGGAATTGCTCAAGTGTTCACTTTGCCACGTTTTAGACGAACAGGAGCCCTTAAGTAAGCGCCTCAGGGTGACAGCACTATTAGCTCCATAAGAACATGAGAGCAAAGTTCATCTTGCCCAGTGTCTTTCACAGGGTAGGCCACCAACTAGTCACAGGAGCTCACAAACTGGAGCGAAGGAAATAGTGTCCAGCCGCTCATGTTCCCTAGTTGCTGGTATATGTAGGTATACCGGAGATAACATCCCAGTAACCCATCAGGACTACTAGCCACTAGTAGTCTCATATTCATGTATTCTTCCAATCCCTTTTTAAAACCATTCAAATTGTAGGCATCACTGGGGCTTGTGGAAGTGAATTCCATAATTTATGTGCTTTGTGAAGAAGTACTTCCTTCTATCCAGCCTGATTCTCAACACCATTCAGCTTCATGAGATAACCTCACATTCCAAAATTACAAGAATGCAAAAAACAAACAAACCACTTTCACCATGCATAATTTTGTAGACATCTATCATGTCTCCTCTCGCCTTTTACTAAGTTAAAGCCTGGTGTAACCTTTCCTTCTGGGAAGTTGCTTGAAGCCCCGTGATCATTTTAGTTGTCCTTTTCTGAACCTTCCCCAAATCTTTAATAACCTTTATTAGATACATTGACCAGAACTGTGCACAGAATTCCAACTGTGGTCACACAGATAATATGTATAAGAGGAGTACAATCTTGACAGTTTTATTTTCAGTTCCTTTTATTCCCTTTATTGGAAACTGTCCCAGATGGCTACTGCTATCATGCAAGCTATTCAAGCAGCAGCAAAATGAGGTAATTATTTCTGGCTTTTAAAATCATAAAATAATGCAAGCTGGCTGAATGTTCTATCATACACTAAAATGTAAACTAGAAAAACTGCAAATATATTTTAAAAAACCGACCATAAAGAGTAAAAACATTACACAAACAAGAAACATTAAAAGGTTAAAAGTAGCTAGATGTGACTGCTAAAATCAAAATGCATTATTATCCTACCCACTCAGCATTTCAAACAGTCATGTATTAATAGTAATCTCTTTTTTTAAAGTTTGCTGCATCAGTGCCCATTCAGTAATGACTATAATTGTTACCAGATCCATGCATGCAAATGTATCATTTCATGTTGGATCATGCATGCAAAACATGTATTAATCAGTAAGGGCACAATCCTACACATATTTAGGCACATTCTATCTAAATGTACACATGACTCTGTAAATGTACAAATGATTTGTAAAATTCAGTATTAAAAGGCCATTCTGATGTAATATAAATAGAGGGAGGAGCAAACACTCTCTTCACCTCATGTAGGACTAACCCTCTTTTCATTTTTTTTTCCCCAGCTTCTGGTTTTATGGTAGTGGGATCCTGGTCCCCCCCCCCGCCCCCCTACCACGTTTTGAATAATACAATATAACAAGAATAAGGTTGGGAACAAAAGGGAGGAAGAGAAGATGGATGCATAACCTTAAGTGTGCTACATACAGCAAAACTTTCAGGGAGCCTCTGTTACACTGTATCAGTTGTTTGACTGTCAAAAGATGGCTCCTAAAATAATAAGAATGTGGTTTAAACATTTAATGTAATTGTTTTATTTATTAGTCAGATATATTCCATATTCCATAATTTAGGACATGCATGTGCCATCAATCTTGATTTCACAGGTTGCAATCTTAACCACCATTTACAGAGAAGTATTTTACAGTTATATTAGATATTAAATAATGTGAATTCCCTATCCAAAAAAATAAAAAAATAAAAATCCCATTGATTACTCAGTAGGTTTCAAGTTTTAATAACATCCTTAGAGCATTTGCTCTATCATCCCTTGAATCAAGTAATCTCAATTCTTTTGCACCAACATTTAATAAAGATTATGCATAATAGTTAGTGGTTTACTGACTAGTTGAGACTTGCTTTATTTCTGCAACAGAATGTGGCTCAGTATCAGAACTGATCTGCCAAACTGATCAATTTAAAATAATGAGCAAGTAGACAGCATTTAGTTCAAATGCATAATTCCTGAATGTAAGTTGCATTATGCTGCAATCCAGTACCCATTTACTTGAGAATAAGTTCAGCTTGTGCAGACATGTATAGGATTGTCCTGTTACAACCACTGAATTTCACCAATATAACTGTGTTTTGATTTCTAGAATGTGGAAAAAGGCCTCTTATGAATCAGATACCAATAGGGACGCGGATTGTAGGTGGACATGATGCTGAAGTCGGCGCATGGCCGTGGCAAGTTAGTCTTCAGATTTATGAAATTGGCCTAGGCTACTATCATATATGTGGTGGATCTCTAATTAATAACAACTCAGTATTGACAGCAGCACACTGCATTAAATCATCTATGTATGTATTTTTCTCTTTTCAATCTTTTCCTTCCATATGAGGTGTGAGAAAGGTGTGGTGATCAAACAAGCATTGGCTTAATTTTAAAATGTATGCAGTTCCCTCATCCTTTTTCCGTTGTCATGCCCTTTGGCCCTCAACGGACTGTGCTGCAACATTTTATTATGAGCCCTAACTTGTTCTCTGACTACTACCCGTTATGCTCACACTCCAACCTCTCCCCCTATGGGCAATATATGGGCAACTATGTTGGTGATGCATGACACAACTATGGGCAATCATGCTGGTGATGCATTTTCTGGAAAAAGTAGAACTGGACAATTTTCCAATGTTTTTAACAATTAATTCCACCATCTCTAATAGCTTCCTGTGTGTGTCTTGTACTATTCCCAGACAGTTTCTACATTTTGTCAAATGCTTCTTCATACTGGTTGCCTTGTTAGCATATTCCTGCTCACAATATTTAGAGTTATCGATTTATATGTGACTGAGCAGGACTTTCAACTTTCTTCACCCTGACAGAAGGGTCAGTACGCAGGAATGTGAACAGTGCTTCCAAAAATGGAGTGGAGTCAGGGAGCAAGTATGCTACTGACTGAAAGTTGGATGTGCTAAAATGGCAGGGCATGAAAAATGCTTTAAAAACAATGCCAACTGCAGGCCAGAGAACTGTTTGGTTTTGCCTGGATGGAATGCACCCTTAAACTGTGATCTTGATTGCATAAAAGTTGATGTCATTCCTTTCTCTCTCTTGTAGCTAGAATGAGCCCACCCAGTGAAAAGTGAGGGCTTCTGAAATGTGGTCATACCAACTTTCAGCTCCAGCCTTGCCTTCTGCTGGAATGTTGCCTTTGAAAGTATTCAAGAAGGGAATGCAGTCCCTTGGCTAAAATATGTTTTCCCACTCCTGTACTGGAGTATTGTGTAGTATTAAATAGATCAGGTTTAAAGCTGGCTCCTAGCACTAAAGATGTGTAGCAATGGGAAGCAGAGGTTTTTGTGGCATACGTCACCTCAACCTTTCAAAAGACCATAAACTGTTAATATAGGTGGGGAAAACCTGCAGGCTGGATACAACTTGTAGAGTTTCCTGTTCAGGCCTTCCAATGTCTTCTCTTTGGCCTTTTCTCTTGGCATGGAGCAGCTGTTCTCTTTGTTCAGCTGTTAATCAGAGGTTCTCAGCAGGGATTTTCAATCCCAGTGTGTCTTGGTAGGTGGAGAGGTTTAAACCTCACCACTCAGAGCATCATGACAGGAGTGAAAATGTGGCCCCTCCACTGATTTGCAGAGATCAGCTAAGGAGTACAGGCAGTTAAATCCCCCAAAGGCTGATTGGTGTTGATCCGCCAAGAAAGGAGAGCCTGGGAATGGTCTGTCTGAATAAATGGGGTATGTGAGTGTCAGTGAGAAAAAGAATGTTTCAGGGGCAGGGATGGCCGCTCCCACTTTTGACATGCAACTCAGATTTCTTGCATAGAAATTTGGTCCTTTGGACAGAAAAAGGTTCCCGGTTTCTGTGTCAGAGGTTCATGAATGCTGTTGGTGATTAGGGTTCAGTATAATATCAGTAGTTACCCAGTCCTGTCATTCATGTCTATGGAGGCATTTGCAGAGGTGATCTACCTTGACTCAGGGGATTTCAGTGAGTTTTAATATGAGAGTTTCCTTTTTGTAGATGATACTGCTCTGTCTATTTCAAACCCAGGTACTGCACCATCTGCAGTTCAAGACCTACTTAGAGAGCATGATACAATGTTAGTGTATTTGATACATTATAGTAAATCTGAATGCATTTCAATATTTCTAACAATCTATTAAAAGTTTCACATTTGAGAATTGCACCTGGAAGCATTTAGATGTACACATTTTTATTTAGATGTACACATTTTTATATCTCTGTTACAAATCTTAGAATGCAGGTAACTTTACTCCTTTTTCAAAAGGGTTCTTCCCAAAAATAATTTTTGATAGGCTGTTACCAAAAACTGATTGCTATCTAGGTTGTCCATCTGTGTGAAATTCTAAGTAGTATTGCCAGGAACTCTTTCCTTCAGCTCAGTTCCAAAGAAATAATAATAATTTGCCTCAAAATAGCCAAAAATATACAGGAAAATAGAACCTTGTGAGATATTCTAAAAATATAAAAGGTAGCTTAGCAACCATGCGGTATAGCTCATGGGGAAGGTTTTATTGAAAACTTACCTTTTAAGTACAAGGTAAACATATGTCCAGATATAAAAGGGAAGCTTATTTGGGAGTTAGAAGGAAAAGGAGTAAAATAAGAAAAGGCAACGATCTCACACAGAATTCCTAATAAAATGAGTGATTTTAATCTTATTTAATGAAGTGTTTGGGGGTTTTTTCCCTCCTTTGAGAAGGGTGCTTGGGAATATAACTCCCATGATCCCTGTGCACTGGCCATGGTAGATTCTATGGGAATTGTAGACTAAAAGGTCTGCAAGGTACTTGGCTGAATAAGGCTATTCTTCACCATCTGGATATTAACTATCTTTTGGCACCAGCATGGAGCCAAATGATCACTTTGGTCATTTGAGGCAAGGATTTGGCAGTTAAATACATTTTGTTATTCCTTTAAGCCTTGTAGTGGTGTAGATAGCTGACTTGCCAACTATGCATACTTGCTCTGTCATATGTGACAGCTCACCTGCTTAAAACTATGAAAGTTTTGTTTAGTGCACAATGGAAAAGCATTAAATCTCTGTTGGTAATAGCATGGTTTGATAAAGCATGGGAGGTCTAAAAATATGACAAGCTGTTTTCTTAAAGGCAAAATTAATTCTATTTGCAAGGATGCATTTTTGGAAATATGATTGTCATTCGCTTTCTTAGAACAAAACAGAATCAACATTCCCAGTCTCAAAGTTCACAGAGTTTCGGCTACAGGCAGCATAGAAATGAAATAAATAAAGCCATCCTTATTTTCTGTCAGGTATAATATAGCAGCTTCTCAATGGTTCTGATTACGTAAAATGCCTGATACCCGGCTTTGATTAGCTGTTCTTCATCTGAAGGAAGCTGGTTTCTGTGCTGTTTTCCCTGTATTCTACATTCAACAATACCTTCATGGAATTCTAACTATTTTCCTCTTCTGTTTTTATATGCAAATAATTTTTAAAACCCCACCTCAGTCAATTGCAATAGGACAGGGGTATTGAAACTCAGGTCACAGGCAAAGCCACCCTACTCAGGGTTCTACTCAGGTTTGCCAGGTTGTGCTGCATTCCCTGACAGATTTGCATATTTCCCCCATTCTAAATGGTTGGTTACTGGCAGTAAGAGTTTTAAGCTACATTGGTTTGGCCTACCCAGTTTTGCCTTTGACCCTGTTTACCACTAGAATATGATTTCAAGAGTGTCTTTGAAATTGAAAGTGGCTTTCTGGCTGAAAGAAATTCCACATCTTGTTATGGAAGAACAAATTGTTGCTCTGGTCTAGCCAATCCTAACCAGGTGCCCTCCAGATGTTTTGCATTACAATTGCATGAATCCTGGACCACAGGCCATGTTGGCCGGGATGGATGCAGGGTACCTTGTTGGGAAAGCTGCTCTATTATACATTTGATTAAAACTATTTTAAATGTGGGAGAAAACTGTAATCATGGAGAGAGGATGAAAAAGTTCCTCTGTTGATTGGCAGGATCAAAACATCATTCAGCTCCCACAGTTGCTACTGAAAAGATCTGACTCCTGTTACTTCAGACTTCAGTTTTCACTGTATTTTCTGATTCATTTATTCATTCATTTTACTTTGCTATCATCCAACAGGATCCAGCATTCTTTCAGGCCTGGAAGAAAAGCAAGGAAGAATATGAGATGTATTTAGGTTTAGTTTCAACAGGGTAAAGGAATGACACCTGCTGTAAAGGCATGGGTATTGAAAAGAAACACTGAAACCAAGAGGAAGAGATGCCATGGCATTCTGTTTGGAACTAGTGGAGTGTTTTAGAGTGCTTCTGTAGAACTCATTAGTCCTTAAAACAAGCCCACATCTGATTCACCCCACATTCCAATGCAGTTACTAGAAAGGCTGGTGGACTGAGGCTGAGAGTGGTTTGAGTATCTCAGATGAGAAATGAGGTACAGTGCAATTACTATTTCCAGCCAAATCAACCACTGTTACCCACAGCTTGGGTACTTAGTCACATCTCTAATAGCCCAAGTTACTGTTAAACTAAGAAAAACACGTAAGAATTCCACATGTAAAAGCACAACAGGACTCAGCAGCAATTATATTCATTTTTTGAAAATGAGCCTAGCGAAAGGTTTTGAAAGTTTCATGGCATGGAAGGTAATATATTCCAGTTTAGGGTATACATGTTAACATGGGATTTATTTCATTCCACTTCCAAATCATGGCATACCCAGTGGGATTTTTTTTTAACTTTGGAAAACAATTACCAGTGGCAAACCCACAAACTGCTCAGTTTCAAAAGAGGTTTGCCATGCAGCATTGGGTGGCTACCGCCTAAGAAACATGAGCCTAAAGTGTTGGTGTACATAAGTATTTTTGCTTTGGATCGTGGGGTGCATCCAATCTGTTGGAACTCTTACGTTCCTACATGCATTACTAGTACACTCTTACCATTTAATCTGAGTTTGGGTTGGTTCAGGTTTAATTGTTGCACATAGCATGAAGCAAGAGACAGCTTTCAAATCTCCAAGTTTGTAAAATAGCAATTCTAAAATTATCGTAATTGAGTCTATAGATTTTTTTATTCTATCCTAGGAACCCATCTTTTTGGAGGATTACAATTGGTTTGCATCATCTTCATGAATACAACTCTCGTACTGTAACACGCCGAGTCAGAGCTATCACAATTCATTCTAATTACACGCCACAAAACTATGAAAATGATATTGCTTTGTTTACACTAATAAAATCTATCAAATACAATGACTATATTCAGCCCATCTGCCTACCGGATATTAATCTTTTCATTAATTCTGAGTACCCATGTTACATAACTGGATGGGGAAATACAAAGGAGAAAGGTATCTTATTTTTCATTTAAGCTAAACCATTAGTTCGGTGATCTCAGACACAGTTCTTTGCTGACTGTATCAGGGCTACTTTGCATATCTTGTGAAAGGAAATCTGAATCTGCCACTATAACATGCTTGCAGCGACAGTAACATTTTATATTTCTGGGGATACTCAAACAGAAAAACCATGGTTTGATTACAAAGACTTGAACCCATCTATTGCTTAGACCAGAATATTTGTTCCATCTTTCACATTTATCATGACAAAAAATAAAATACATTAAAGCTTTACCTTAAAAGATTATAAATCTCATTGGATGTGGTATTTGCCTCATCTGTGTAAGAATTTTATCTGAATAAAACCAATTTGTAAGCCAACATTTTTGTCTAGTCTTAGTAAAAAGTCTGGTAGGTTAGTTCCAACTGAGTACTACTCTCATAATGTAGGCTGAAAAACATTGTTAACAAAACTGATGGCACATACCACTAGATTTCAATCTATGAATTATAATTTAAATAAAAATTGTGGACACTGGTCAATCTAGAAAAGATAAATTTCCTTCTTCCAAACAGGAATATTAAAATTACTTTAAAAGTAGCTTCTCTAGATTGGGCTTTTGTGGAAACTTCATTGTGCACATTGTACACTTGAGTAAACTGTATTTTGAGCTGTACATTTTCTGAACTACTATATATAACATTTTGTTGTGGTGATGGGTGAGCAGGTAAACAGAATAGTTTTTCTAGCTACAAATTCTACAAAAGGAAAGAATAAACTCTTTCTATATGAACTAAATAATGGAACTACACATGTCCACACCACAATATGCACACAGTCTGTGTCTGCTGCTAACCAGAATTTGCTGCAGCTGCAGAACAATGGTAAGATTCTTGAGCCTTACGCCACAATCCTGTATGCAAAAAGAAAACATGTCTTAGACTTGGGATGCCCTACTTAGCCATGCTGGGGGCTATAGGTCATTTTTCTTTCTAAATATACAGTGGTACCTCGGCTCACAAATGCCTCGGTTCACGACCAAATTGGGCTGTGAACAGAAATTTCATAAAAATTTTGCTGCACGTTGTGAATGCTGCATCAGGTGACGATCGCAAGCCCGCCTTCCCTGCATAGGCATGATCAAGGTCATGCTGAGGGGGAGATGGCCGCATTCGTGCTGGGAGGGAGATGGCCGCGACTGCGCCTGTGTTCCCTGCCCGAGTGTGCCCACACCCACCTCTCCCCGCACACATGCCTCCCCGCTACGCACCCGCACCCATCTCCCCCCACCACTCCCCACATGATCACAGAAGGGGAGATGGCCACAATCTTTGTTGTTCTCTGTTACTTTGCTTCAAATTTTTGTGAGTAAAAAAAAATAGTTGAACGGATTAACCTTATTTACATTGACCCTTATGGGAAAATTTGACTTGACTCATGACCAATTTGGGTCACGACCAGAGTTCTGAAACAGATTAAGTTTGTGAGACAAGGTCCCACTGTATATAAGATTGTGCCCTTAGTTTGTTAACTAATGCAGGTTCTCTAAACTGCATAGAGAACAAACCTCATCTGTTAGAAGAATTGCAGTGGCAGAAGTGCTGCCCACATCCTGCAGTCTTGCATACTGCCTTCTTTCGGAGAGGTATCAACATACTTCCATCAGTATTTTGTGTTTTCCTTGCAGGTAGAGAAAGACTTGTATTACAAGAAGCTCGAGTAAGAATTATTCCACTAACTACGTGTAATAGAAATGACTGGTATGGAGGAAAAATAACATTCAATATGCTTTGTGCTGGTTCTGAAAGTGGACATGTCGACAGCTGCCAGGTATACTGAATCCATTTTGGGACTTGTTATGTGCTCCCCATGCAACTGTTTTTTCGTATTATGTAATCTGTTAAAGTAGTTTAAACTTGGGAAACAAAATCTGGCTGTTACCACCTTAAGAGATAAAAACAGCATTTGTTGTGTCATAGTAAAATTCAAGAGATATGATGATTTTTATCACTGATCTGCACACACCTTATTTGCTCTAATCTTTGGATAAAAATAGAAAACAGAATTCCCAGTCTGCTTACAATTAAAGAAAAAAGACATTTCTAACTCAGATTTGAAAGAATATGAAAGTAACATTAAATAATTCTAACTTAAGTTCAAAACAGCCACAAATATTTTAAATTGTTGCATCACTGAAGACCTTACTATTGATTGATAAATGGATATAGAATATAAAAGCAGAGGAGTCTTACATAAAGGGCAGGGCTTTTGTTTCTATTCCAATCATTTGGAGAGTTTGCTTCTATTCAAAACCAGCAACATGGAAGTAAAGGGTAAGGGTGTTTCTTCTTAATAACTGTGTACATAATGTATTGTTATGATAACTAAGACTGGATGATTCTGTCACATAGTTTGTAGTGTAAACATATAGAAATAGTAGCTGGAAATTCCAGAATGCTCATGTTCAAATAAAATTCTGTAAGAATTCTGCTATTAGATGCAGTAATCCAACCAAAGTAACATTACCCAGGGTTCCCACATTTATATGTTTCCTGTGTTCTTTTGTTAATTTATGGAAACCATAACTCAGATTTATTGCATTATGATCTTTCTGCATTTTAAAACTCCAGATCATTCACACCATATAGCGATACTGTATTTTTCACTTTCAGGGAGACAGCGGTGGACCTCTGGTGTGTTATATTCCAAAAACTTCCAGGTTTTATCTCATAGGAATCACAAGTTTTGGGTATGGTTGTGGCCGACCAAAACATCCAGGTGTCTATGTTCGTTCAGCTAATTACAGAAGATGGATAGATGCAAATCTCCTTGCTAAAACTACCACTGTGAACTTTGGATTTTTCCCAGTCTTTCTGACTGTTGGATGGGCAATCTTCCATATTGTTTCATAAAGAGGCAAATTCTCATTTCACTAGAATGATTCAGTTGCTTTTATATCATAATGCTTTTGCACTGAAATGAAGTTTCTTTACTAGAATTAATTATCATTAACACTCAGTAGACTTTATCTTCTTTTCTACCTGACTACCTCCAAAAATGTTTCATGTGTAATTTAAAAATCTAAGCTAACAAGCAGTGGTTGCATAGGTATATTTTATGGTCTACAAATTACATAATGACAATCATATTCTTTGGCCAACTTTTGAGAATGAATACTAAAAAAACTTGAAGGTGGTCATTTAGCATATGATGAAATGGTTGTCTTCCAAGTGAAGATATAAAAAATAAGGTATAATTTTTCAAGCATCGGTCTTGCAAGCATTTGCTCATAAGTAGTTAGTAGTATTGGGGTTTAAATATGAGAAAGTTTGATCTTAATAATTATTCACTTTGCTATATGTTCAACACACCATATTAAATCTTCCAAGTGGAAGAAAAGATTTGTTAATTATTTTTTAAAAAGCCAATAACTGACATAGGCAAATGTCCTAAACCCATTTATTAGGGGTATCATCAAATTCAGAGTAAACATATATAGCCTGCACTAGCAGTATTTCAATTCCCCCATTATTAGGCCTAAACAAATCCTGCATTCACATAATTTTATAATACTATAGGGTAAAATAATGAGACCACTTGAAACTGTTATTTTGGATTCCTCAGTTATCTTATTACTGAGATAAAAAGTACATTTTAAACAAAATAGTTATACATATTTTAGCTGAGCAGCTTAATATGAAGGTAACAAGATAAGTGGTCACTAATGTTTACTACAAGATAGAACAGTAAATAGTAAATAACATGATGGGGAAGAGCCATGCAGAGAAGGAAGCTGTGGCAAAAGAAAAGCCATGTGTAAGGGAGATTGTAAAAGCATGATCAAGTAAACTTTCCATCAGTTTCTTCCACTGCTAGCAGATGGAACATTTTCAGGTATAATTGCTGGAATGATCCATTGAGATGGGATTGTCCCAATCTGTGTGATTGTTGCTGAAACAGACAGATCATATACTAGTGGTGCCAACCAGAAAAGAATACTTGTTTTTTAGGCATTTCTGCAATTGTGCTGATTTGGAAAGTAGATAAGAACCTAGCACTGAACCTTTTGATTACAAAGTCTCCTGTAATCAGCTTTTGAATCCCCCCTCCCACTTTTTGCTTTAGATGTGTTACTTAGATGTGACCGTTTAAATCCTTGCCATGGCAATGGATAATACAGGGATCTTGCCAGGCTAGTGTCTTGCATCTGGCATGTGTCCTTTCTTATTGTCTGTTAATATGAGGAACACCCTATTTTCAAGACTAAAGTTTTCAGGAGAGTTATTGTTTTTAGTAACTAGGTCATTATATTTTTTATGTCATACACGGATTGATGTATTTTCATTTGTCCCCAGAGAAATATACATAACAGTACTAAAATAATTAAGAGGCTGTTAAAATGCCATTACTTTTTGAATTCTATTTCACATGAGAACAATCTTTCTTCTTGTTTGATATTCTTTTAAAAATGGAGTCGCACACTCTAATTTAGTTGATATGCTGATGATGTACAGTATTTGTCTGAAAAGAGGAACCACTGTTATGTATATCACACAAACATAATATCAGCATAGATAAATTTGTAAATTAATAAGAATAAAAACAATTTGTATTAAGCAAGAATAAAATTCTTATTTCCTCTCATAACCTTTCTTTCTCCTTAATACCATAAGCCCTTGTCTTCATAAATTTGAAAATAAACTCGATTGAACTCAGTAAGGCTAACTGCCAATACATCATGAATATAATGTATACTCATCACCACAACTGTGTAGGTTAAGCTAGAAGTCTATGACTAGTGCCAAGCCACTAGCAAGTCATGGCTGAGTGGAGATTAGAACCCAGATCACCCCAGTCCCCTGTACCACACTCAAACCATCACACTATTGCGATTTCTCATGTTTTATTTTAAACATGTATATACCATTCAATAGCCAGCGGCTCTCTGAAAGGGTTCACAGAAGGCAGAAAAAAATGTCTTCACTGGCCAGCCATTCTAGAATACTGGGAATTGGACTTTTTGTCTGTAATGCATGAGATTGTATCCTGAACAGTTTATAACCTAGATCCCTAGGGGATTGTTTCCACCTCTATGCAGCCTATGAGGAACCCTGACATGGTCAACTGAGAAGTATAAAGGATTTTTATAGCTGTCATTAAAATTTACTGGTTCTATGCCAGGACTGTGCCTCAACAAGCCCTGGTTTGTCTTCCGCAACAGCTGTCGCTTGTACTAGAGCTGACCAAATCAAGCTATTCAAACAGAGGAGTTTTGCACCCAGAAAAATACCACGTCGTCCATACCCTCTGTGCCTACCCAGCCTCACGAAGTTCCTCGATTAAGAGCTGTAACAGCGATCCTGAAACGTACAACGTGAAGCTGCGCGGCGTGATGTTCAACGTCACCTGCCCCGAGAAGGAGAAAAGGCGAGCCGGCCGCCATTTTGTTTCCTCCAAAGACAATGCGGCGGCAATGGTTTCACCCCGCTTCAGCTTCCTTCTTGGCGCTGTTCGTTCTGATGAGTGAAGCCCCGCCGCAGAACTTGCTTTCTCTGATCCCTACAGACGGTGAGCAGGGCTTCGTTCCGCACTGTCAGAACACGTCGAAGGGCCCACGCTGAACAGGCTCCTTGGCTCGTTAGGCACGAGCACGCCGCGAAGGCGCGGGACGAAGTGCGCCTGTGCGTGGAGGCGGGGAGAGGGGAACCCCCCCCCGAAAACTACTAATCCCGGCAGCCCCCAGGACAAGCGGATACCGTGGCGGGCGTACAAGTACTCATAGCGCAACTCCAGCGCTACCCCGGTATGCTTGCAAGGGCGCCTTAGAGTTTTGGCTGGATATTTTCTGGCAAAGGATTCTAGTCAACCACAGGACATGGTGGAATTTGAATCACACAAGGGAAAGTTTCAAAGATTCACGGCTGGCTGGAAGCTTCTCCCAGCTCGGGCTCAGTTGGTTGTTCCCAGCAGTTATACGAGCGTAGGAAAGTAAATCGTTCGTGGTCGTTGCTTTATTGACCGTTTTTCACAGGTCAGACTAGCAGCAGCCCTTAAAGAAGCCCCTATGTGTGGCAGCAGCAACGCTTATTTAGAGGCGCTTCCTGACATCCACTATTATTTATGCATGTATGATTGCCAAATATAAAATTTCCAGGGGACAGTGATAGTTTTCATATATGTACTGATAAATTCTTAGTGGTAGGTGACATCTGTTATGCTCATGCTCTTTAATATTTCATATTAAACCGTACTTCAGTACAGTTTACCTAAAATAGAAGAAGGAAGACTCTGCTATATCAGATAATTCAACAGGCTGTCATCCCAACCATATTTGCAGCAAAGTAACTTCCATAGATAGTACATATTTGAAATTTCCACATAATGTGGATGATAGAGCAGGGTGTGGTGATCGGGTTATAGTCACACATTGGACTATGGGAAGATCTGGGTTGAAATCTCCACCAAGGCACCGTTCTTGTAATTTTGTGTAGCTCTCTCAGCATGGCAGTTTGTTGTAAGGATTATATTGTGGAGTGGGGTAGCTTGGACACTGGCTTGGACACTGCCCTGATTATGGAGGAAGGGTGGAAGGAAAACAACAGTCAGCAATTATGCATCCTGTGTTAAGATAGGGTAGCATCTTTAAAGCATATATTATTCCTTTGCATCCTGTAAGCTGTAAATTCTTTTGGAACAATTTTAGATGTTAAGAATACTTTTGAATCATTCAGGCTTGCTTCATCTCTCTAACAAGTAATGACCAAGTTCATATGACATGACAACCTATTGTGAATAACTAGTCAGGATGGGTTGTTATATTGGCTGGACCTGGACCACTTATTGCAGGATGGCTTATTTTCAGGCAAAATGCTATCCTTAAAACACATGGCTTGTTCTACTGGTTTGTTCAACACATGAAGGGTTGTTGTGCCATTTAAACCCAAGAGGTTGTCTCCATCTTGGCTTTCAGGGAGCAGCCAGTGCACCACTTGAAAATGTTACAGAATTCAACCAGTCAACAGCTAGGGCAAACCCAGGTGGACCCCAGACCCGAGTCAATAGGAGGCTGAGATGAGACTTAGAGCTAAAATAAGCTTTATTCTAATGCACTATAGAATAAAGGGAGACAAAAGGTGACATTCAGCCCAAAGCAGTGTCTCGAAAGTTGCACCCTGGTACATGTGTTTTATACCCTAAGTAAGCAATTAGGTCACCTAATACACATCTAATGCATCAATACATCAATGTACCTGCATCCTCACTGCTGTTAACCTCAAAGAGTCTTTTCTTCTGTCAAGGACCAGACATTTCCCATATCTATTTCTTATCTGCTTGAGATTCACACAGGCTTGCCATGTTCTTACTCCCTGCACATTTGCAACTTTCATGGCGGCTATCGCCAGTTTCCACCGTCCCTTTGAGTTCTGTATTCGAGGTCAGACTAGCTTGTTAGCTGTGGGTTACACAAAGTTCATTTTGTTCTTCTCCCCCCTCCCTTCTGGAACAGTATAACTGTGGTGTTTTTACTCTGTGGCCTCCCTCTGGCCAACTATTCTTGGGGCCTTCCTCTAGCCAGCTACTTTTGGGGTGCTTTGGGGTGCTGCAATTGGCAACAAAAAGAACAGCAGAACTTATACTTTGCTGCTGTTTGCAATCCCTCCTGTGGCACTTCCAGTGACAGCTCCTCCACTAATACCCAAATGGTGCTTTGCAATAACTGTCAGTGATATACTGCCATATATGCCTTGCATATATTTCTGCTCTATTTATTTTCTAGCCATGGAATTTTTGTATATTTTGCAGTCAAAATATTCACAAATTTGATAGACAGTTAAAAAAAACCTTAGAGATGGCAGAATGGGGTGCCAACACTAGTGCCCTAACATGGCCCTATCCAGCTGCCTTCTCAGGCTGGGATGGGGTGTTGGGATTAGAACTGTCAGAGAACTGCAGTAACCACAGCAGAAAGTGTTCTGCAAAGAAGGGGAAGTAATATCTTTCCTTTCTGAAGATACTTCCCTTGGATACAGGCGCAGAGAGCTTTCAGGTCAACAGCTGAATTCCAGAGGACTACATCTCTAAGGGGAACATGTTGTCACCACTCCTTTTTACCTTCTTTTTTCTCCTTTAATGGTAATTTTCACTTGACAGTTTGGTGGCTATAAGCAAAAGAGCCTATAAGCAATCTAGATTCCTCAGTTTCTTTTTAAGTCACCAATTGTGCTTTATTCACAGTAGCAGCTGGAATTTACAATGACGCTGAATAGGCAAGAGTCTGCAGAATATTAGCAGTAAATGTGTACTTCTGTACCTCTGAAAGAAAGACCCCCAGTACACAAAAACATCAGAAAGATGTGTGTGCATTACCGGGACTGAAAAAATGAAAGAATCTGATTCCAATTGTACATTTTTGAAGCTTTGGTAAAAAACAAAAGTTGCATGAAAATGTGTAGCAATCAGAGGGGAGGGAGGGAGAAGATGGGTTCTGCCAAAAAGGACACTCAAATACTAGTTGGAGGACCATGGGGAAGGGAGGAGGAGAACAACCCATAATGAGCCCAATCACCTGCTCCATGAACAACTAAATGACTGTGATGCGTATACATAATGGCTTAGTATGTTCTGTGAACCACCACTGTGGTTAGAAAGAAAGTTATGCCAGACTGATCAATTTAAATGTCTTCTAGCATCTACTTTAAATATGTTGTTGTTGATTGCTGGCTTTGTTGTTTACAATACATTTAGAAGTTCCATCTGATACTGGTATTCTGATTCCTAGATTGTGGAACAAGGCCTTCTGTGGATGTGATACAAGCAGAAAGTCGGATTGTAGGTGGACATGACGCTGAGCTCGGTGCATGGCCGTGGCAAGTTAGTCTTCAAATTTATCGTGTAGAATTAGGTGGATTTCGCCATGAATGTGGTGGATCTTTAATTAATCACAACTCCGTGCTAACAGCAGCACACTGCATTAAAAAATGGGTGTATGTATCTTTCAATTCTTTATATTTTTCAGTAGAGAAAGTGCTGTAGTTAAGGAAACATTGGCTGAATTTTGAAATCTCTGCCTTCAAGTCATGGTCTAATACAGAGATATATTAGACAGTATTTTGCCTAAACCTTCTACTCCTGGAGATGTCCTTCCTCAAAGGCATAACTGTACATTTAGCAGCCTCAGATAGCAGTAAGAACCTCAAAGGCAGTGCAGCATGGCCCCTGGGAGCACTCTCTCCACTTCAGTTTGCCATTACAAGTTGGAACGATATATTGACAAACATGTCCTTTGGCCAAAGGGCCCTAAAGCTGATCTTGTAGATTGGGTTTCAGAATCTCAAGTCTGCAAGTTGGAGCCATCCTGCAAGGTGCACCAAGCCAACCTGCAGATCCTCCTAGGGTTCCTCCAGAGGATGGGGTTTAGGCTCACCTTGGAGCATAAACCCCACTCACTTCATTGTTATGTACAGTTTTCAAACTGGGGCTTGCCTGAATTGTCTGCTTCACCGGCCTGCAGTAGGAGATGGGAATGGAGTAGACAAAGCAGATGGATTCCTCCTCATTCCTCTATCAGGGAAGGGAATCTGGCCACTTCTGCTTTGCCTGCTTTGCCTCCTTCCCTGACTGGGGGAAGATGGAGGAGAACAGACCTGGGCTCATCTTTCCTCCACTGAAGGAGCAACAGGGAGTTGGCTAGCTCAGCTTTGTTTGTGCAGGACTTCCAGGGAACTCTCTCTAGGATATGTGGAAACAAGAAATGGATTTAAATGAGAATAGATCTCTTCTTTTAGTGACTTAAATACTTTGGTATTCCTAGACACCCTTGCCAGTATGCCAAAAGTATTGCTTTATCTTTACTTCCAGGATGGTGGCACTCAGCCACCCAAGTTTATTATTAGAGGGAATTATCCTGAGAAAGCTTTGCATCTGTTTAAACATTTACTTTGTCATCGGAGTGGCTTTTCCAGGTCAGGTAGGAGGGATTTAGAAATCAGAAACTGGTTGAGAATCTACTAGGTACTTCAGATATTGGTTGTTCTTGTTTTTTGCATAAAACCCACATAATGGCATTGCCATTCAAAAAGGCTATGGGAAGAACCATAGGAAGATTATCTGAGTGCAATTCATATGTACTTTGGTCACTTCAGGCCAATAGATCAATTCCCTCCTATCTATACCTAGCTGCATTATAGTAAATCAGGTTCCAGTTTAGTAAAACTGGAGTTTAGGACATGCTAGAAAGAGATGTGCAGGTATTAGTAGAAAGCGAAGCTATTTGAAGACCCCCTGAACAATCTAAGAAAGAAAAATGAAGGTGCAAGGAAGAAGGCAGGAGCAGAAATGCTCTAAAGAAAATAATAGATTTGGGTGTGGGAACATAGGCTGTGTGTGCTTTTCGATGAAGCTTTTCACACGCAATCAGACTGCATCATTCACATCACTTCATCACAGCAAGCACATTACAGATATGGAATCTCTGCACAATGTATTTGATGGGTAGTGCTAGAAGAAGATGCCTGTCTGGAAACACCTTAAAAGAAAGAGGGGAGGGACTAAGGAACACATGTCTGACAAGGAAGGGCTGGAGGAAATGAATGTCATGGGGAAGGAAGATGCGGCAAATTTAGCTGGTTACTGAGAAGGGAGTTTAGCATTGGCATTCAGCTGCATACTGAGCTGCAGGCACATTCTTTTGGTGGGCCTTCCACAGGTCAATCTCAGCAATAGCATTGCTTTGTGAGCACCACTTTTGAAAACTTATAGAGGAAACCATATTTAAATCAGAGGCTCAATGCTTTAGGACTCAAGGGTAGCTGTGGATAATGCATTTCTTTTGTTCTTGCAGATTTTTATGTAATCCACAGAGAGGAGTGTTGGGCTAAGAAGTTGTAGCAAATACTGCTATCACAGTTTCTTTCTTTCTTTCTTTCTTTCTTTCTTTCTTTCTTTCTTTCTTTCTTTAAAATGATGGGTGTCAGGTTGAAAAGGAATGTGAAAACTGAGACTAGTATCAGCAGTGATGGTAAACTGCCAAACTGTTGTACTCAGTTTCAGAAGTGGTTTGCCATGGGACAGTTGGCATTCAACAAACAGAGTTGAAGAGGCCCTGCTGGGCATGTAAAATTGTTGCTGTAGTTCTTGGATCCTGGCCTTAGCATTTCTGAGGCTGTTTCAGTGGAACATCTTCTATTTTATTTCCTTGTTGATATTCCATTTTCCAAAAAGAACAACACTCTTGGATTTTCAACAGAATTTACATGAGGAATACATAGTATCCGGAAATCTCCATATAGAGGAATCTCTGTATAGGCATGTCCTTATAGTAAAACTTATTTTAACATTGCTATTTCTATTCAGCAGGCTAAAAATGTTCCTGGTTGCTTGTCTGGGCAAAATTATATTGAAGTGTAATTGTTGTTGCTCATTTATAGCTTGCTTTGCTGTTGCTCTCATGTCGAAACATTCTCTGAAGCAGCCGTTTCAATAAGTGATTCTACAAAGGGTCTTATTGTCTTAGGAACCCAGAGTATTGGAGAGCTGTGATTGGCTTGCATCATCTTTATAAACAGAACGCACATACTGTAAATTGCCGGGTGCGAAATATCGTGATCCATTCCAATTTCAAGACGGGCAGCTATGAAAATGATATTGCTTTGTTTATACTACTGAAAACTGTCAAGTACAATGACTATATTCAACCCATCTGCTTACCTGATATTTCTCATCTACTGGCTGATGAAAACACATGTTATATAAGTGGATGGGGAAAGAAAGAGGCGAAAGGTAATTGTTTCATTTTTCTGTCCTTAACTTAGGATTCTCAGAAAACTTCCTCACCAAAATTCATGTCTCATGTAGTGATGGAACTTTTAATTGTTCTGAGAGATAAAGTTTACTGTTGTGTTTCTTCTCAAAATGAAGAAAATATATCTTCATACATTTAGATTATATAGTTATTTTAAATATTGGATCAAGAACTGCTTCTGGATACCCAAGTAAGAGTGAAAAGTAAAGGTATGTTTTGCCATCATGGGGTCAAACCACAGCTTATTTAAAATGTATTTTTGACTAATAAAACAGCTGCAGGACCCTCCAGTCCAAATCAGTGGTTCCCCCTCTTAAACAGTAAATATAGAATCTTCTGATTACAGATCTTTTTGCTTCTTGCAGATTACCACATAGCATGACCAGGAAATTCAATTCAGATTGTGACATCTGCTTCATAATGATTTCCCTGGTCTTACTTCTTTTGCCCCTTAACAGATTTTTTTGTGGAAGAGCCAAAAGAAGCACAAGGGAGAGTTACAGGTGCAAGCCTTGAGTTCTTATAAAATACCTTGACTGTAACAGGATAATTGTAGAAAAAAGACTTGCCTGGGAGCACCCAAATTTGTTTGGTAACATTTAAATGTGTCTGCCATGTCTGGCATATATATTTGCATTAGAAAGATATAAATGGTATGGAACATAGGGAAGGATAAATGAGGCTGCATCTGGAGTTCTTTGTGTTAGCTGACAGATAACAGTTCATGCATAGCCCAGAACTTTGAAGGACTTGTGAACTTTATTCATTTAAAATACTTGTTATAACACCTTTCCAGGAGAAACTTCTTTAAGGAAAACCACAAAGTAACATTTTAGGACAATGAAATCCAAAATAAAATTAATTGAATTATAAAAATGCAAAACATAAATTAAACAACAGCCTAAAACATTTAACATAATGGCAACCAGAAAAAAAATGCAATGCTGTTTGTTACATTCCTTTACCAAACAGTACCTGAAACTCTCTGGGCTGTATACAAAAACTAAAACATTAAAAATACATCACAAAAACCGTAAGAATACAAGCATGAAAACATACAGTACACTGAGGAACACATATATCTAAAAGAAAAAAATAAGAATAAAACAATTTGACCCTTAAACTAGGATGGACAACACATGTCCCATGGGCCTTTTTTCAGGCCCCTGCAGTGATTTGGCCACTACCAGCAATTTCAGTGACTGATTTTGCAGCCTGACAGCTGAGCTTCCATATCCTTCTGGTTGAGTCCAGGGAAGCACAAGCAGCCGGGACATCCCCCCTTCATGTCTTTGTTTCATTCATTTGTTGTGAGCAACAAATGACTCATGGACTTCATGCAGCCTGCAGGGCCACCTAACTAGCTTCACAAGCTGCCAAATTTCCCCTCTTCCACTTAAGCCTGCTGCTCAAATTTAGAAAAACAACCATTCATTTAATAGCAAAATGGAACATTCAAGTCTTTTAAAGCCCGTTCAAAACACAGAAAGGGCCTGCATGCATATCCCATATTCCCATATGGGTGCTGTTGCTTCAGAAGAAAAGTTCTGTCCTGTCCTTGTGCTGACCAACCTCGTAGACTAACAGCAAGCATATAAGGAGGGCCTGGTCATTGTCATATACATAGAGAGGTCCCTTCAAACAACCTTGTGTAGGTTTTTAAGTTATTCAGCAGGACTTTGAGCTCAAACATCCTAGCACAGAATTGGGAGTTTCATGCTTTGATCGCCTGGCCCCTTTATATTTAAGTAACTGGAGAGCTTCAGCTGTTGGGTGGTATAGAAAATAAATCAACAGATAAATAACCAGGAGCCCACATTCAGCCAAAGTTTCCCAACTCTTTACAAATAGCCCTGCATAGTGCATGTTACAGCAGACTTATCTTAATGTAATCATAGCATGTATAACTCGAACAGGCACTACGCTTTCCTGGTAGGAGTTGAGCGTGCAACTTGTGAATCAGCCAAAACTGCAGTTTGAACTGATTGATGACATACCTGGCATTTCTCAGCTGGCATAATTTCTTTTAGAAAACTGGACCCAGAGCTGTGACTACCCTACAGTTTTGAACATAGCTCACTTTGTTATAGAATATTGAACACAAGCATATATTCCTCATTATTTCGCTTTTGCCTTACAGGTAAATTTCAAAAAATACTACAAGAGGCTGAGGTTGAAATTATTCCACTGTACATCTGTAATGGCCATGACTGGTATAAAGGAAGTATATCAAGGGATATGATTTGTGCTGGCTCTGAAAGTGGGCATGTAAAGAGTTGTGAGGTAAAATTTTAAACAGTTCAATTTTGAAACATTTTACAAAAGTAGATTCCACACTTTGTATATGTATTTAAAGAACTTTTATAACACTCCTCAGACAAAAGGCTTCTAGAGTCGCTAACATGGACTCTGTGCAAGACCATGTCTGCTTGCAAACTTACCAATTAACAGAGAATATAATGGGAAAAGGATGAGAAGAGGAAAAAACCAAGTAGTCTTTTAGTAGAACTGGAAGAATGCTCCTCCTCCTCCACTCATTTCCACTCTGTATGTCAAAGTAGCTAGTATATTTGATAGTGGAAGGGGAAAGTATTATTTCATTAGAAATGTCAAAGTACAATTCAAGAATAGTGTGTTCTTACACAGATAATTGCAGACAGGTCATCTGTTCTCCAAACCACCTTTCCAGACCCCCGGAAATGCTACAGTTGGGAAACCTGGTTGATGTGGATCAACTGTAGTGTAATCAGAGGGGATGGATCTCAGAAAATCAACTGGTGGCACCTCCTGTGAGTAGAACCTGGTCTCAAGATGGCAATTCTTCCATCCAACCCCATAACTTAATATTTTTCAACATAGTTTGTTATGTATAAAAATGTGTAATATGCACCAGGTGCTATACAAAATAGAAAATATGGCCTTTACAGTAAGCATAGTGTTTAAAAAAGGAAAGCATGACAGAAAACTGTAAGCTTTATTTCTAAGATAATTTAGGAAAAAGCATGCAGATAAAATTAAATTACCATTCCAGTTGAGATTTAAAATGTCACATTATTTTTAATACTCGTCTTTCCATCAGTGAAGTAGGGGAATAGTGGAGGTAGGGGTAAGGATACAAACAGAGGAACTTTATGAAAAAGCAATGGTGTTTATTTCCATTCAGAAGACTTGATCCACTCTGCTTTTGTCAAAAACAACCCACTTGGAAATGGGTTTGAACTTGTCTGTTTCAAAAACACCAGTGCTTGTTGTGTTAAGTCCTGCCTTCTTGGATTTATAGCTTAATGCAGTGTTTCCTAACCCCGCTGCAGATGGAATTCCTAGAGCCCTTTTCATCAAGTATTGTAAGCAGCCTCTTTGTAGGCATTATACTAATGCAACCAAAGCAAAATTATCCATTTCAAACTTTACAGATTTATCCACCTTACCTAGAAAGCAGTCTTTTCCTTTGATGGTGAGAAGTCTAATGTAGACAATCCTGCTGCATCCCTAAATATTGTGAATTACACTCTCAGTTTGTAATTCTATATTTTTCATGTTTCAGGGGGATAGCGGTGGACCACTCATGTGTTACTTCGCAAATGCATCCAAATATTATCTGATAGGAATCTCCAGCTCTGGTACTGGCTGCAGCCAGTACCCGGTACCAAAGCATCCAGGAATCTATCTCCGGACAGCTAATTACAGAGATTGGATCTATTCACATCTATGTGCTACAAACTCCACCATGAGCATTTGGCATATTCTCATGATTTTGACTGCAGAATGGGTAATCTTTCAGCCTCTTCTGTAAAGAGGCAAGCTCTTCTACCATGCTAGAATGCTCTGATTGCTTTTTCAACTTAGTGTTTCCTCCAGAAACTAGTATATTTAATAAAGTCCAATATTTTAACAATAGGCTTTTTATTGTTTTATACCTCCCAGTGAACAATCAAAGGTCTATTTCATTTGTAATTTTAAAATCTCATCCCTAAGAAGCACTTATGTATGGGCTTTAAATGAAGGTAGTCATGACCTTCAAAATGAATGGAATGAATAAGGAAAACAAGATTTATAAAACACACACACAGAAATTGGGAATTTAGTATATAATGTTTTTCATGTCAGAAGAGAAGTTAATCACTACAACATTAGGGTGAATCCAGTTGTTATCCCATCAGCAAGAGCAACCTGAGTGGAGTTCCATGTATTGAACAGCTGAAGTAGAGGTGGAAGAATATTCTCCAAATATTCTCCACCCTCCCACCGCAGCCCCCTGCACCATCTCCTCCACTGTTCTGGAGGGGTTTCCAATTCTTTGGAGCATATAGGACAGGGGAGACAGGAGTGGAACTGAAAAAGATTGCCTTTCTCTTTTAACTAGTAGGATACTTTCAGTGATTCAGGAGGCTTCACAGATTAAAGGAACCCATCAGTTCATGGACAACGTATTCTGGAGACAATTTCCAATTTCTTCATTCCTTCAGTGTCTCTTGATTGTGGCTGAGAGAGGAAGTAGGACCAGTAAGTATGCTATTTCTTTTCAGGTATCTTTCCTGCATGCAAAACACCTTAAACTATATCCATTACCAGCTGATAATCTTAGCAGGAAACAAAGCAGCATCAAAAGCTATAGGAGAATTTGGCCTAGGAGGTTACAAACAAAGCAGGAGAATGACTCAGAATTCTGTGAAGCCAATAATCTGTCCATTGTAAACACATAAGTTCAAGCAGCTGCTAAGACAACTGTGTGCATGGATATCATTAGATGGCCAATACAGAAATTAAATAGATGATGTAATTTGAGGCAGGAGATGGAGAAGCTGTATTCTTGCTCCAAAAACAAGACTGGGAGCAGCTTGTGGCCGTGACCACAGACTCTTAATATCAAAAATCAGAGTCAAGCTGCAAAAGGTTGTTAACAGATAGTGCCAAAATACAACTTCAGTAAAATTACTGAGGAATTTCAAGTCCACATAAAGAACATATTTACATTACTCAAGTTGATGTGAGCCAGAAAGACTGAAGACTGAAACAAGAGGCATTATTAGGGAAGAATGTGAAAAGAGGATTCCTGTAGCAAAAAGAAAGAAAAAGTCTAGCTGGGTGACAGAAGAATCATAATTGTCAAGGACAGGCAAGAAGCAAAAGCAACAAGTGACAAACATAGGGTCAGAATCCTGATACAACTTTTCAGCAACTATTACATAGAGGCAAAAAACAAAAACTACTGCAATGGCCAGTGCAAAGAAATATAACAACAAAAGAGGAAAAACAAGATACCTCTTCTGGAAGATCCAGGAAATAAATGGAAAACTCAAACCTAGAGGAGGAATGCTGAAAGTCATATAAGGGAACATACTATCTGACCAGAAGAAAATAAAGAGAAGAGGAAAACAATATACAGAACTATAGAGAAGACAAGTTAAAAAACTGAAGCTGTCATACTTAGAACACGTCTTCAGAAGGTAAGACTTACTGGAGAAGACCTTCGTGCTAGGAATGCTTCCCCTTTTTCTGCCTTTGATTTTCCTTATTAGCGTCTTCTCCAATGAGTCTTGCTTTCTTATGATATGCCTTACATACAACATCTTCAGTCTCATCAGTTTTGCTTCTAAGTCACGTTCTAGCTTGATTTGAACTAAGGCCCACTTGTTTGTCGTTCTCTTGGTCCAGGGTATTCACAAAGTTCTCTTCCAACACCATGCCTCAAACAGATCCATTTTCTTCCTGTCAGCTTTTCCACTGACCCGCTCTCACACCCATACATAATGTTTGGGAATACAGTAGTTTGCATGATCTTGGCCTTGGTCTCCAGTTAAATCTCCTTACACTTGACATATCTAATTCATTGCTGCCCTTCCAATTCTCAGTCTTCTTTGAATCTCTTGGCTGCAGTGTCTGCTTGAATTGATGATTGAGCCAAAGTATGTGACATCTTAACTGCCCCTTTGTGGACAGTGTGATTACCTAATCAGGTAATCAGACAATGATATCTGAAAGCCTCTATTTCACCACATGAACCTGCCCATAATTTACAGTAATCACTGTAGACTATGTTATTCTGTCCTGCAGAGAGACTAGGTTATTGGGGACCAAGACAGGGTCTTCCCTGCAACACTGAATATTGTCAGCCTGGATCCAGTCCAAAATGTGCATAATGGTACTTGTTCTTCAGATTTTTGAGCACTCACTTTAAAAATAGCATGCTTATTGTCAGCCGTAACAATTACTGTGTTCTAGTTCAGTGGACCTCCTTTCTTGAGAGCAGTTGATCAGCAGGTGGAGAAAGAGATCCACAGGTAGAGGAGTTCTGTCACAGGGAGCCTCTGGCATGGTGAAGTCACCACTGTTTTTCAGCCAGCATTGCTCCAACAGCTGTGGAATCAACATGAAGTGTGTCAGGACAGCTCAGGGAAGCCTTGGATCCCAACATCTCATGTTTTAATCTCTCATCCAGAAAATAAGCCAGCCAGTGGGAACAGAATCTTTTTTAAAGGCTTTTTTTTCAACTCTGCACTGACCAGCAGAAACTGGTAAGCTTTAGGAAGTGACAGTAAATTTGCTAAGTGTGTTGATGGCAAGAAGTTGCATGCTGCTCCTATTCTCCACTGGATGCTTGTAATCCTCTAAGTTTGGAGTGCTACAAACAGCCACACCAGATGGTGCTCTTTATGTAACATGTAGGTGGATCTCTACTTTTCCTCCTAGTGGCTGACAGGATGGAAATAGCCATACACTGAGAACAAGACATCTAGTCTTACAATTGAGCTGATTTTCAAGGCTTTGGCATTAAGTACTTGGTGAAAATTGCCATAGCCAAGGAGGCTGGTAGCAAGCATGAGCTTTTTTGAAAAAACAGTTCCTATTTTTGTCAAATACAAACAGATGGGTCTAGGAATTTTATTCTTTCTTATCACAACCCTTTTTAGAAAGACTCGCTTAACTTTTAGAACACTACATATGATTCACTTCTATACCTGTGTAATGATCCTTTGACATAAAATCACATTCACTCCTTTCTGTTTAATGTGTTTAGTTATACTTTTTTGCATACATTTTTTAAAAAATTAAAATAAAAAAGATTTAATTCCAGGAAATACATGCATTGCTAGTTGTGCAGTAAAGCAGTAAGAATCAGAAGAATTTTAAAATAATATAAAATTATTCAATACTTTGCTCTGCCTTTGCTCCACAATTTCTTGATCAATTGGTTGCTGTAGCTGGAATTGGCAGGGATCGGATCCCATGTCAGTCACTGATGTAGAAAGGGCTGCAACACTAATAATCATATAGCCTGAAAAACGACCAAGTGTAGCTATTTCCCCCTCGAAACCACTATTAAAAGGTAACAGATCCCTTCATTTGCATCTGGCCCCTCCGATTGTATTGGCCAAATGTAGTGTTGTATATTGAAAACAAAGTTAACGTCTATTTTAAAAAAGGGTGGAAAGGTGGGAGCAGATTTAATAAATGGATTATTATAAAGAAAATCCATGAGGTTGAAAGTGCTGCACGGTTAAGAATAGACAGACCCCCGAACCCTTTCCTGGAGCTTGAAACTGCATTCAGTCAGTGCTCACATCATGGCACTGAAATCGGGCGAAATGCCTTTTCCAACTCGTTCCCGTCACCCAACCTCCCTGTTGCAGTTGCTATTTTGCTTTGCCATTGCCCTATGGCGTTGCCAACGCGGGACGCCCAAAGCAGCAGCGGCCGAGAGCGCGGTTTCACCCTGGAAGAGAACGAAAGCGCCCGGCCGCACGCGCCCCACCGGCTTCGTCCCCGCTCCGCAGAGCCAGTGCTCGCTCCGTGGGCGCGCCCAGCCTCCCTCGGGAGCCGCCGCCGCCGCCTCCAAGGGCTGCAAAGGTGAGCCGGAGGGCACGCTCGCAACGTGGCTCGCGCGCCCGCCAACCGCCCGCCCGCCTTCCCCAACGTCCAGCTGGCCGACGAAGGAAGCCCCGCGGGCGGGCGGCCGAGCGGCCGGGTTTTACGACGGGCGATGCAGCGGCCCCGTTGCCGCCCTGCTGCCTTCTTGGCGCTGCTCGTTCTGCTCGGAGGAGCCCCGCCGCGAACCCAGTCCTCTGTGCTCCCTATAGACGGTGAGCGCGGCTTTCCCTCCGGCGTGTCAGGCGCTGCTCCGCCTTGGCAGTTCTCTCTCACACATGCACACACTGTTGGATTGCTTTAAGCAGAAGGATCATTCAGAAGGTAGCTGGAATTTAAAAAAAAATGTCTTTAGGAAGCTCTTAACAACTTCTCAAGACCAAGCTATAGATAACTCCCTGGAAAGTGAATTGCCAAAGGGATGGAGTGCAGCAGAAATGCGCCCGGGAGAAGGGCGGGGACCCTCGCCCAAACTACCGATCCCAGCAGCCTCTAGTCCACGCGGAAGGCGTTGTGGGGTACCGGGTGGGACGGCGACGGGCGCGCGAGCCGCGGGGGCAGAGGCTTTCCCCGAGCCCGCTCACTGACATGCCTGGGCTCTGCTCCCACGTAAGCGAGCCTTGGGTCTCCCTCGCCCGCTGCTTCCCCAGGAGGTCGTGGCACGTGGCCGCCTCTGAAAACCCGGCTAGGGGGACAGGCTTCTTTTCCAGGCGCAGGAGCAAGCGGGACGCGGGTGGCATTAAGCCCAAAGGAAAGGTCCCGAGGCTCAAGCCGGCCGGAAAGCTTCGCCCTCCCACGTGGTAAGTGGCTCAATCAAGAGGGTTTCGACCAGGAGGGCAAAACAATCCGTCAACTATACCGCGTTTCAGACTCCCTCAGAATTACCTCAAGGTGGCACCCGCTGGTCACATTTGCAAGTGCTGTTTCAGTGGCACCTTCTGAAGTAGGCTACTTCTACCAGACTGATAGCTGGAAATAATACGAGGGGTCTTCAAAAAGTTTCCGCACTTTTATATTTTATAAATGCATTTTCTAGTTTTTTGCTGGTGGCATTAAAAAGTTGGTATGACGCTAGGAAAAATGCATCACAAAGGAAGGTGACTATGTAGAAAAGTGATGTAATTTGTTCTTGAAATTCTTAATAGAGTTTTTAAAAGTGCAGAAACTTTTTGAAGAACCCTTGTAGTTCTCCCATATGATTCCTATAAGTTAGTGCTGATAGATCATCCGTCGTGAATGAAAATTACTGTATATGCTTCAAAGTACTCTTAGCTGAAACAGGTGGATCTAAGCATTACAAGGATGGGGTACTAGCCAGCAAAAATATTCACCATGGTTATTTACAGTATAAGAATATCATAAGTACAATGTCCAGATGTTTCAGCTTCTGCAAAATTAGTCATATCCATATTTGGTGTACAGAAATAGTTACATTGCAGTAAACATTCTAAGTGAGCTATTTAGCTAAGCAAACTTAGTTTGTTTTGCTTCTTTGAGAAGTAGCACCTTCTGATCCTAGAACACATTTGCCTCCATGAACTGGTCCATAAAAATAATGGATCTGGCACTCAGTGCAGTTACAACACAAAAAAATATGAATTCAAGGCACAGATCCTCATGAATTCACATGGATCCTGATTTATCCACTGCAATTTTACAGAGGATCCCCCACTCCCAAACAATTACAGAATGAGAGGAGATATCTGGACCTACAGACTAGATTCTTTTTCCTTTCTATTATGATCTATCCTAGATACTGAAGATGAAACTCAAATACTAATGAGAAGGAAGGACTCCCTGGAGAAGAGCCTAATTCTGGGAACAGTTGAGGACAAAAGAAGGGGACGGCAGAGGATGAGGTGGCTAGATGGAGTCACTGAAGCAGTCGCTTAAGCAGACTCTGGGGGATAGTGGAGGACAGAAAGACCTGGAGGAGTGTTGTCCATGGGGTCGTGATGGGTCAGACTTTGCAACTAGCAGGCAATGATCTATCCTACCAAATGTGACCTATGATTATATAATGGTACTTGATCAGAGTTTTCTCAGCATGCTGGATCCGTGCTGATTTTATAGTACAATCCATTATAAGTAAACTGTAACTTAATATTTGATTTTAGGTGTTGAGTATAAAACCCGTGAAGATTCATGGGGCTCCATTTCTCACTTAGGCTTATTCAGTTGTTCCACTGTAACACCTTGTTCCAAGGGGCATGTGCTTCTTATGGACTGGTGGTATAGAGGGATCTGATGATGGATTTAGGGGAAAAAAAGCTGGGTTCACATTTTGTAACATCCCAGTTTTTCTTTTAAAAAAAACCTACTCTGAGTTGTAAATGTGGCTATGTGCTGATGCACAGAAGTCAGTCACAACCATTCTGAGTGGAAGCACCTAAATAACCCAGGATGATTGATCTGCTTGCTAGCTTGTAAGCTTGTAGTGATGTAAAAACAGAAACTCTGGTTTGTCTCTTCCCCAACAAGCCAGAAGAATATGCCCTACCTTGGTTTGGACTTGTTTATGGGGCCTGTTGGGGAAGAAACAAACCAGAGTTCCTTGTTTGCCTATCTAAACAAACAAGCCAATGATTAAACACCCCTACGTAATTTAGTTGCTTTCATTTACGGCAGGAGAGATCAGGCAGTGAGAACTACCATGATCACCCTTTCCAAAAAAATATTTTTTCTAAAAGCAAAGCAATTGTTAACAAATTTGTAGTAATTGTTACTAATCTGAATTTTAAAAACGTATTTCATAATACATAGCCTAACATTCAAAGTTACTAAGGTGCCTCACAATAAGACAGAAATATGTAATTATATTATAAATCATAGCAATCATAATTCCTTCCATTCTGTGGTCTCTGAGAGGGTGTCCCAGGAGTTGAACATAAGAACAAATCTCAGTTTTCAAGATTGGAATTAGAGGTTCTCCCCTATAAGCCCCCTTGTTGCTAGCACAGAAACCACTGCATTCCCAGCCCCTCTTTTTGTTCCTGGGAGAGGACAAAAGGGGATATGTGAAAAAGGATGTGGGCAATCTTCCTGCTCCCCTGACCTGGCTCTTGAGGCTGTGTAATTAATTACAGTATGGGAAGCTGCATAACAAACAGAAGATGGAGATAAAGGTTAATCCCCCCCTTCCACGTTCCATCCTGCTTGTGTGAGCCCAGTTAACAAAAGGCAAATTGTCTGCTTTCTGTTCTCTCACACACATGCACACACTGTTTGATTGCTTTAAGTAGAAGGATCATTCAGAAGGCAGCTGGATTTTTTTTAAAAAATGCCTTTAAGAAGCTCCTTGTTGTTGCTAGTCCCAAAGTTGTGTCTGACCCATTGCAACCCCATGGACAACATTCCTCCAGGCCTTCCTGTCCTCCACCATCCCCCAGAATCTGCTTAAGCTCACGCCAACTGCTTCAGTGACTCCATCTAGCCCCCTCATTCTCTGCCATCCCCTTCTCCTTTTGCCATCAATTGTTCCCAGCATTAGGCTCTTCTCCAGTGAGTCCTTCCTTCTCATTAGATGGCCAAAGTTTCATCTTCAGTATCTGGCCTTCTAAAGAGCAGTCAGAGTGGATCTCTAAGACTGACTGGTTTGAACTTGCAGTCCAAGGGACTCTCAGGAGTCTTCTCCAGCACCACAATTCAAAGGCCTCAATTCTCTGACGCTTAGCCTTCCTTATGGTCCAACTTTCACAGCCATACATTGCAACTGGGAAAACCATAGCCTTGACTATACGCACTTTTGTTGGCAGGGTGATGTCTCTGCTTTTTAGTATGCTGTCTAGATTTGCCATAGCTTTCCTCCCCAGGAGCAAGCGTCTTTTAATTTCTTGGCTGCAGTCCCTGTCTGTGGTGATCTTGGAGCCCAGGAAAATAAAATCTGTCACTACCTCCATTTCTTCCCCATCTATTTGCCATGAAGTGATAGGACCGGATGCCGCAATCTTAGTTTTTTTAATGTTGAGTTTAAAGCCAACTTTTGCACTCTCCTCCTTCACCCGCATCAAGAGGCTCTTTAGTTCCTCTTCACTTTCTGCCATGAGAGTGGTATCATCTGCATATCTGAGGTTGTTGATATTTCTCCCAACAATCTTAATTCCAACTTGTGATTCATCTAGCCCCGCCTTTCTCATGATGTGCTCTGTATATAAGTTAAATAGGCAGGGCAACAGTATGCAACCTTGCCATACTCCTTTCCCAATTTTGAACCATTCAGTGGTTCCGTGTCCAGTTCTCACTGTTGCTTCTTGACCTGCATACAGGTTTCTCAAGAGACAAATAAGATGGTCAGGTACTCCCGTCTCTTTAAGAACTTGGCACAATTTGTTGTGATCCACATAATCAAAGGCTTTAGCATAGTCAATGAAGCAGAAGTAGATGTTTTTCTGGAACTCCCTAGCTTTCTCCATGATCCAGCATATGTTGGCAATTTGATCTCTAGTTCCTCTGCCTCTTTGAAACCCTGCCTGTACTTCTGGTAGTTCTTGGTCCACATACTGCTGGAGCCTAGCTTGTAGGATTTTGAGCATCACTTTGCTAGCATGTGAAATGAGTGCAGTGGTGTGGTACATAGTTTGAACATTCTTTGGCATTGCCCTTCTTTGGAACTGGAATGTAAACTGACCTTTTCCAATTCTGTGGCCACTGCTAAGTTTTCCAAATTTGCTGGCATATTGAGTGTAGCACTTAACTACATCATCTTTTAGGATTTTGAATAGCTCAGCTGGAATACTGTCTCCTCCACTAGCTTTGTGGTTGCTCAGACTTCCTAAGGCCCATTTGACTTCACATTCCAGGATGTGTGGCTCGAGGTCAGTGACCACCCCATCGTGGTTATCAGGGACATTAAGATCTTTCTTGTATAGTTCTTCTGTGTAATCTTGCCACCTCCTCTTAATCTCTTTTGCCTCTGTTAGGTCCCTGCCATTTTGGTCTTTTATCATGCGCATCTTTGCATGAAACTTCATATCTCCAATTTTCTTGAAGAGATCTCTGGTCCTCTCTATTCTATTGTTTTCTTCTATTTCTTTGCACTGTTCATTTAAGAAGGCATTCTTATCTCTTCTAGCTATTCTCTGGAATCCTGCATTCAATTGGGTGTATTTTTCTCTTTCTCCCTTGCCTTTCACTTCCCTTCTTTCCTCAGCTATTTGTAAAGCTTCCTCAGACAGCCAATTTTCTTTCTTGCATTTCTTTTTCTTTGGGATGTTTTTAGTTACTACCTCTTGTACAATGCTGCGAACCTCTGTCCATAGTTCTTCAGGCACTCTATCAGATCTAATTCCTTAAATCTATTTGTCACCTCTACTGTATATTCATCAGAAATATGATTTAGGTCATACCTGAGTGGCCTAGTGCTTTTCCCTACTTTCTTCAATTTAAGCTTAAATTTTGCAACCAGAAGCTCATGATTTGAGCCACAGTCTGCTCTTGGTCTTGTTTTTGCTCACTGTATAGAGCAGGGGTCGGCAACCTTTAACACTCAAAGAGCCATTTGTACCCATTTCCCACAGAAAGGAAAACACCGGGAGCCGCAAAACTCTTTTGACCTCTAAAATAAAAATAATACTGCATATATCATTTTTTACCTTTATGCTATTTATAAAAAAACCTATAGTGTGTTGCATTTATGAAACAGATTGGGGGCTGTGCTGTGCTGGCGCGTGTCGCAGATCGGGGGCTGTGATGCATATTTTGAGCGACAGAGCAGCGGCAGAGGGATTCAAGAGCCACATGCAGTTCCGGAGCCGCAGGTTGCCTACCCCTGGTATAGAGTTTCTCCATCTTTGGCTGCAGAGCACATAGTCAATCTGATTTCTGTGTTGACCATCTGGTGATGTCCATGTGTAGAGTCATCTCTTGGGTTGTTGGAAAAGAGTGTTTGCTAAGACCATCGTATTTTCTTGACAAAATTCTACCAGCCTGTGCCCTGCTTCATTTTGTACTCCAAGGACAAACATGCCTGTTACTCCAGTTATCTTTTGGCTTCCTACTTTGGCATTCCAGTCCCCCATGATGAGAAGGACATCATTTTTTGGAGTTAATTCTAGAAGGTGTTGTAGGCCTTCATAGAACCAGTCAACTTCAGCCTCTTCAGCACCAGTGGTTGGGGCATAGACTTGGACTATTGTGATGTTGAATGGTTTGCCTTGGATTCGAACTGAGATCATTCTGTCATTTTGGAGATTGTATCCCAGTACTGCTTTTCCTACTCTTTTATTGACTATGAAGGCTACTCCATTTCTTCTGAAGGATTCTTGCCTGCAGTAGTATACCTGATGGTCGTCTGAATTAAATTCACCCATTCCTGTCCATTTTAGTTCACTGATCCCTAAGATGTCGATGTTCAGTCTTGTCATCTCTTGTTTGACCACATCCAGCTTGCCTTGATTCATGGATCTTATATTCCAGGTTCCTATGGAGTGTAGATCTTTGCAGCATCGGACTTTCCTTTCACCACCAGATACATCTGCAACTGAGTGTCCTTTTGGCTTTGACCCAGTTGCTTCATTCTTTCTGGCGCTACTAGTACTAGCCCTCTGCTCTTCCCCAGTAGCATATTGGACACCTTCCAACCTGAGGGGCTCATCTTCCGGCATCATATCTCTTTGCCTGTTGATATTATCCATGGGGTTTTCATGGCAAGGATACTGGAGAGGGTTGCCATTTCCTTCGCTAGTGGATCAGCATTTGTCAGAGCTCTCTGCTATGACCTGTCCGTCTTCGGTGCTCCTGCACGGCATAGCTCATTGCTTCATTGCGCTACACAAGCCCCATTGCCACAGCATTGCAGTGATCCATGAAGGGATCACTAACAACTTCTAAAGCCTCCGCCCCGAGGCTTCGGCGATGGGTGCGGCATAAAAATGTTATAAATAAATAAAATAAAGACCAAGCTATAGATAACTCCCTGGAAAGTAAATTAGAAAAGGGATGCAGCTACAACAGAAATGCTCCTTCACCTGCTGCTGACCTGCTTAGTAGTTCTTGATGAAGGCCCAAAATATAGGCTGCATCTGTTATGTTATTAATAGATATAGTTAGATGGTATGAATACAGTTGCCCATGAAGTAATCAGGAGTTGTCCAGGTGTCCCTGAAAGGTATTTGGAGATGTAAATTCTAGAGATCTTTTCAGCTGTATTTCTATCAACAAAGACATAGCACAGAACTGTGTGGAAATGGTGTTGGAATGGAATTTATTTATTTATTTATTATTTGTATTTGTATATCACCCTAGTAGCCCAGAGGGCTCTCTGGGTGATTTACAAACTTTAAAACCTACCAATCCTAAACAAATAAACAAATTGGCTATACCATGACAGTATAAAATAGCTTAGTTAAAATGAATTAATTAAGTAAATAAATATAGCATTAAAATTAACAAACTTTAAAATATAGGTTAAATAAAATGGTCTTGACCTGGTGCCAAAAAGCATATAATGAGGCGAATCTTTCTAGGGAGCACATTCCATATTCGGGGCGCCACTGCAGAGAAAGCTCTCCTCCAAGTACTCTGTCTCCTGACCTCTTTCAAAGAGGGTTCCCAGAGGAGGGCCTCTGCTGCCAATCTTAGGGGGCGGGAGGGCATATAGGGAAAAAGGCGTTCTTTAGGTATCCTGGTCCCAAGCCCTTTAGGGCTTTATAGGTAATAAACAGCACCTTGAATTGAGCCTGACTTCAATGGGAAGCCAATGGAGCTGACAGAGGACTGGAGTTATGCAAGAATAACGACCAGTCCCCGATAGCATCCTGGCAGCTCTATTTTGCACCATCTGAAGTATCCAGACCATCTTCAAGGGCAGCCCCACGTAGAGTGCATTACAGTAGTCCAAACGGGAGGTAACCAGTGCAGGTGTCACTGTTGCCAGGCAGTTCTCCTCCAGGTAAGGATGCAGCTGATAGATCAGCTGGAGCTGAAGGAAAGCTCTCCTCGCCACCACTGTCACCTGGGCTTCCAGGGACAGTTCTGGGTCGAGGAGCACTCCTAAGCTGTGAGCCCTGTCCTTTAGAGGAAGTGCAGCCCCATCCAGGGTAGGGCCCACGTCACTTACCCGGAAGCTCGAATCACCTACCAACAGAACCTCCATCCTATCTGGATTGAGCTTCAGTTTATTGGCCCTCATCCAGCCCATTACCTCGGCCAGGCACCGGTTCAGTGCAGCCACTGCCTCACCTGGATTAGTTGAAAAGGAGAGGTAAAGCTGGGTGTTATCAGCATACTGACGACTCCGCAGCCCAAACCTCCTGATGACCTCTCCCAGCGGTTTCATGTAGATGTTAAATAGCAAGGGGGACAAAATGGAGCCCTGTGGTACTTCATGGCAGAGTTGCCATGGCACAGAGCCAAAGTCCCCCAGCACCACCTTCTGGAATCAGCCGGCAAGGTAGAAGCGGAACCACTGCCAAGCAGTGCCTCCTACGCCCAGTCTCGACAGCCTATCCAGAAGGATACCATGGTCGATGGTATCGAAAGCCACTGAGAGGTCCAGGAGAACCAACAGGAACACACTCCCCCTGCCCCTCTCCCTGCACAGGTCATCATACAGGGCAACCAGGGCAGATTCTTTTCCATAACCGGGTCTGAAACCAGACTGAAATGGGACCAGATAATCAGTTTCATCCAAGAGTGCCTGGAGTTGTCCTGCCACCACCTGCTCCAACACCTTGCCCAAAAATGGGATGTTGGCCACCAGTCTATAATTGGTGGCCATCTCTGGATCCAGGGATGACTTCTTTAGGACAGGCCTGATCACCGCCTCCTTTAAAGAAGCGGGGACCCGGCCCTCCCTCAGTGAGGCGTTAATAAGCTCCTGGATCCAGGAACCAATCCCATGTTTGGCTTTGGTAAGTAACCATGAAGGGCAAGGGTCAAGTAAGCAGGTAGTTGGATGTACTTGCCCAAACACCTTGTCCACCTCATCAGGCCTCATTAACTGAAATTCATCCAATAAAGCTGGACCAGACGGTGTTCTGGACACCTCCCCTAGAGGAACTGTATCAACTGTGGAGTCCAGCTCGTGATGAATCTGAGCAATTTTCTCCTTACAGTGCTGGGCAAAGTCGTCACAGTGGGCAATTGATGGTGGCACAGGACCTTTTTTAGGGCCTGGATGTATTAGCCCATGTACCACTTGGAAAAGCTCCGCTGGATGGCACTGTGAGGAGGCAATGGAAGTGTCGAAGAATTTCTTCTTCATCACCCTCACTGCCACAGCATTGGCTTGATAATGAGCACATAAGCATGTTCGGTTAGATTCATCCCGTGATTTCCTCCACCTGTGCTCTAGTTGTCTACCAACCCGCTTCATCGCCCGTAATTCAGATGTATACCATGGAGATGAGTAGGCTCTGCCTGGCAAAAGAGAATGCTTAGGAGCGATCACATCAATAGCTCTGGTCATTTCCCCATTCCACAGCTCAACCAGAGCATCAACAGGAGCGCAAGCTTTGTCAACCGGAAAATTCCCCAGAGCCCTCAGGAATCCATCTGGATTCATCCGGCTCCGAGGGTGGACCATCGTAATGGGGTCCGCACCCTTTCAGAGGGAAAGGCCAGCTCCGAGCTCAAGCCTCACGAGGAAGTGATCTGACCATGACAAGGGAGTCAGACACAGGCTCCTCACTTCCAGATCACCCTCTTCCTGCCCTGTCGAGAAAGCCAGGTCCAGAGTATGACCTCATTTGTGGGTTGGGCCAATGACATGTTGAGACAGCCCCATGGCCATCATGGAAGCCATGAAGTCCTGACCCACCCTGGTCAGAACAGTCTCAGCGTGGAGATTGAAGTCCCCCAGTATCCTAGTATAAACAGTACAAAAGCTGAATAAACCGTTTCTTTAAAAAAGAGAACAAATATTTCTAAGTTGAACAGGGTTGATATTTTTATTTTCCTAATTTTTATTTTAAAAGAAACCAATGATTCATTCTAAATTATCATTTGGAATACAAAACTGAACTGTATTTTGGAGTTGGGGAACAGTTTTGTCTTAATCATACTGAAATTATGCATGGAGTAGGTCTACCCCATGCACAACTATGTTGGATCTGACCCAATGTGTTTTACAAGCTGAACCTGTGTACTCAGAAGGATCACAGAATTTGATGGATTTTAGTTCTATTCTTAGGATTGCAGTCATGGATTAGTAACATGATTGTGATGCTTTATTAGTGGTTTGTTAGTATGTTTGTGTATTGTGTTGAAGTTTGTAGTCAGAGTGTTAGCTCCTTTGAGTATAAATAGTAGAAAAGCTAAGTATACATATATATTCTGGGGGCATGAGCATGGGTTTTCGTTGGATTCAGCTTTGGAGGCTGTCCTGATATGCTCTGCACTTCCAACAGCTCCCAGGACCATCTGGCAGGGAATAGCTAGCTAGAACTGAATCTGGGCTGTAACACATTCAATATGGCCTGCCGGCCTGTCCACCTCCTCCGAGCTCCACTGTGATCTCTTCGGCTTCTCTGGTGACCAGCATTGCTAGCCTTCCCAGTGTTGCTGTGCTGCTTCTTCAAAAGAACTTAATTGTTTTCTGCACTCCCTGCAGCACTCTGTCATTCTCTCAAGTGCTTACAGATCAATAGAAGTGTGGGCATTTTTGGCAGCACTCTGGCATTGCTGAAGCAGTCACTGTTTAAGATTCTTTTCAGCAGCATCTGAAATCAGCTTCAAAATCAAGAATCAAAATTGGTCAGCCTCAAAGGCTATCACAAAAAGGAAGGTAGGACACAGAATAATCAACTCAGGTTGTAGCAACCCAGATTCATGCTAGATATCAGGAAAAGTTTCCTCAGAGCAATAAGACTCTGGAACCAGTTGCCTAAAGAGGTCATGGGCTCCCACACTAGAAACATTCAGAAAGAAACTGGACAGTCATGTGAGTGGCATGGTGTAAACGTCTGTCCTGCAAGAGCAGTGGGTTGGATCCGATGGCTGGCTTAGCCCCTTCTAGCTCTCCTATTCTATGATTTTATGTCAGGAGCCATGGCAGATGGACTGAGTGACCAGGAGGAAGCACTGCTTTTGTTCCATGGTGAGGGAATTCTGGCTTGAAGGTTTCCAAAGCTTAAGTGAAGACCAGGACATTGAAACAAGGGAGAAGGCAGGCTTCACTGAGAGATGCTGTGAGCTATGGACAGGGATGCTTCTTTATGAAAATGAAAGATCAGTCTTACTTTGTGAGGAGGTGCTTAGTGTAATGAAAAAATGCAAATTTGTTTTCCTTAAAAGGGCAGGCAGTTTCAGGAAAGGGGCAGCATTAAACATATGTGTGTTTAGATGGATGTGTTGGCATTGCACCAACCCCAATTTTGATTTTTTCATTGCTCACTTATGGCATTAGACTCAGTCACCTCTGGAATGTGATGCTTGACAGACTTCAAGGGAATGTAGTCCTCATGGTGGCAGTGGTGGTGTTACTGGGGGAGATTCCCTGCCCCAACTTTAAAAAAGCAAAAGAAAATAAGGCTTGGTTCACAGATAATATGAAATGATGGTTTATTTAGTAATTGGTCCTTTATATTTGTTTCAAAGACTGTGTTGTTATTGAATGTTAGTTGTGTTTTATGAACACAGTCAGACAGTACATTTCACCAGTAAACCTATGTTTTGATTTCTAGAATGTGGCACAAGGCCTGTTGTGGACGAGATACCAACAGGGAGTCGGATTGTAGGTGGACATGATGCTCAGCTTGGGGCATGGCCATGGCAAGTTAGTCTTCAAATATACCGCTTTGGTGTAGGGTATATGCATATGTGTGGTGGATCTATAATCAATCACAACTCAGTACTGACAGCAGCACACTGCATTAAAAAATGGAAGTAAGTATCCTACAGTTCAAAGCACTTTCTCCAGTTTAGGTGAAAGAAACATGTTGATAACCCTGCTTTTGCTGAATTTGGAAATGTGTAAAATACTCAGTGTTTGTACATAAGTCTGTGGATCCAGTTTGTTCTCCTGAATGTATTTGTTAGGCTAGGCTGGAAAAGTACGTTATAGTCAGTATTGTGGCATTCCTATCTTTTACTTGGGAAAAGACATCGAAAAATGAAAAGAGAGTAGGATCGGCCATGGGAAACACAGGAGAATGGCTGTTTGTGTACGAAATCTGCATGCTTGTGATGTCAAAAGCTGCCTCACCAGTTTCTTCCTGATATTTATTTGCACAGTGGTAAACCATTAGGGATAGGTCAGAGGTGAGGAAAACCAAAATGGATTAGGAGAAGTAGTGATACAGGTCTTTCAAGAAATGTTGAACTAGGTTAAGTTGCATAGGATAATTTCCATCAGAAAAGTTTCTGATGCCTTATTTAATTTAACATATTTATTTTATTTGTACTTAGTAAACAAAGCTCTTAAAAGGTGTTCCATATTAGTTTGTTGCCCTAATGCATTACCAGTATTTGACAAGAAATATTTGAGGGGGAAATTAAAACCCATCTAATGTGATTTAAATATTCACATGTGTAATTTTTATCGGAATGCTTGTAAAGAATATGGCCTGTGCATCCTTTGCATTGATTACATTTAAGGAAAAAAATGAAGGTACTGAAAATTATTGACAGAGCAGCCAAAAGAATTTGGCACAAGAGGCTGACAACCACTCATCTCCAACTTTGACACAGCCTAGCTTGCCTAATAAGATCTTCATAGCTAGCAGCCTTTCATTGTTGCTAATAAAGTTATGAAATGGACGTTCTTCCACATAAAAACAAGCACTGGCAAATGTTCCACCTCGCATTGGAGGGGAGGAGGAAGCAGGCAGGCAGGGACAGGAGAAGGCAAATAGATGGAAACCAGAGCTAGACCACCTGGAGATTGTAAAAGCAAGCAGGGAACAAAAAAATAACAGGCTGAAGTACCTTGGGGAGGAAGAAGAAAAGGAACAGTTTAGGAGATGGAAAGGAGCAAGAGCTAAGACAAAGGTGGGCCCACCACATGTGGCCCCTGCTACTGAATTTCACAGTGGCAGCAAAAAATTTGGCAGTTTGTGGGACTGCTAGAAAGGGTCCAATTTAGCTGAGGAGCAGGCTAGCCTTGATATTTTTAATGCTCTGTAGAGGTTTGTTGCTAAAATGTGATGGCATGCGTGCAACTTTTCCTGCTGCCACCCTGGAATTCATTGGTGGAGGAGCAGGCGCACAGCAGATACTACATTCAGGAGGGTCAGCCAGGATCCCCAGAGCCCCAAATGTTCCGCAACCCTGAACTAACAGAGACTGAGGAATGCAGAGCCTGAGAAGGGAGAAGTGGAAGAAATGGGAGGCAAAGCAAAGGAAGATGAGGGCAAAGCCAGTTAGCCAGCCTCCAGGAAGGGAAGTTGAGGCTTCGGTATTCACCTTCCTGCTCAGCTACAGTCCTAAATTGTGCCAGTGAGCTGCATGAATTGAACATGATGTTCAATTGATTATACATCAATTCACGTATAAGCTACACTGAATCCCAGTGTCGGTGTCCAGGAAGGAAAACCTGTGGCTCTGCTGATGAAATGGGACTCCTGTTCACAACAGTTCCAGCCACCATGGCCAGAAACACCTGCAAGGCCTCCACCCTGATTGATTCAGCTATACTTTACAGGAGATTTAAAAATAATCTGCTGTTATTTTATGTGCATAATGGAGTGTCTTGAATGTGATTTTCTTTTACAAGTATAAAATAGATCAGTATCTGTACAAAAACCGAAGCATGCTTTGTTCATAGCTATGCATATTGCTGAAATTAGTTCAGCCTTGATCCAGAAAGCATACAGTCCTGCTTAGAGTGAAGATAAGATCTTGGTTCCCCTTCTGCACTGGTTTTGCAGTGCTGCCTGTGTCCATCTGGGTGTCCAGCAATTCACAGTGATAAACTTGTCTGCTGAGACCGTGCTGGCTGAAGGTGCTGTAGCGGTTTGTGCCAAGGGGATGATTCCACATTTACAGGTCAACTTTGTGTCCCTGGTCCATGCTGGCGCTCTCAATTTTCATTACCCCAACAAGTGGGCACCTCGTTTTCATTTTTGCTTTCAAGCTTCTTGTAATATGAGTAACACTTTGCAATATAGAAGTAAGTTCAGGAGTGCACAGAATGGAGTTGTGAAGTACTTCATCAGTAGCAAGAGGCGCTCAAGCACAAGTCTTGGAAGCAGCTCCATTGCTCTGGGTGTTAGAGGCCAAACTAGCAGAGATACCATTCACGCCGTCTGAGTGCATTTGTGAACCGCGTTTGAAAAATGAAGAGCAGGTTCAGAGCAGTAGGGAGGCTTTAACCATTGGTCCTCTGCTGCACTCCCAGTTCAGTTCAGGGAGCCCCGTCACTGACTCTCTGCACTGCAGCGGGGAAGCTCCCATTCGTGCCAGCGGAAACGGTCCTGGCATGAACCCTCAGTCGATTTCTGACACAGGCCATATTAAGCACTTCCCAGGGCATGCAGGTGGCCTGCTTCCACCTCCATTCATGGCTTCCCTTAAATGGAACCTGAGGAACAAGTCTGTATGAGACAAGGCTTTGGCCAGGATCCAAAGAACAGGGAATTGCCAACAGCTTTGGCAGTTTTCCTCGCTTTCAGAACAGAATTGCAGTGCAACCTGAGGGGGCTGCTGCTCAAAAACCACAAACCCTTCCCAGGTCCACAGGATTATTCATGCCATTATTTGAATGCTGGCAACATAACTGCAGTTCTGACTCTCTGCTTCCATGTTATCTCTTGTCCTACTGTCCTTATTTTCCAGCTTTCAAAAACGAATTATCCTGTCAAATGTGATAAACCTGCCTTCATGCCCAAAATAGTACTCAAGTAACAATAGTAAATTCCAGGAAAAAACAGAAATGCTTTAAAAGATAAAGTATATTAAGAACACAACAGTATGATCTGATGTAGCTGCCCACAACTCTCTGAACTCAAGAGGATTCTGCGCCTCCTAGCAAGGGAGGGAGGAGAGCAGAGATGAAGGCGAAGGTTGCCCCCATGCTTCTCCTGCCCTGAAAAGACCAGAATGACCAATTTGGCCCTCTAAATCCTTTGCCCCTGCTCACGAGGAGGATGCGTTGAGGCCCCAGCAGGATGCATCACATCCTGGGGCAGGTTTGCGCTACCAATCCCTGTCTGCCAGATTGCCCAGTCAGTACAAGCTGAGGGCAGTTTTCTGACTTCATAGCCAGTATTGGTGCCGTTCTTCCTGTGCCAGCTGCAGTGGCAGAGGGAGGGCACAGCAAGGGCAGAGCCCCTGCCCCAACTTTGGAACATATTTCTGGGGTTGGTGCTGGGACCCTGACCTTTTCTGCTGCCCTCCACAGTCTGTCTAGCAGCCATTGGATTGTGCCCTGAAGTGCAGATTCTGAAAAGAATTTCTGTACACAGAAACTGGCATAATAAAATCATAGGTCTGCAAAGAGAGAAGAACTACTTATAATGTTGCCATAATTACAGGTAAATTTCTAGACAAATACATTGTCATGATGAGAAGCTTGAGAAGCTACAATTTTTAAGGGGAATTCTTGAATTGAAATTTAAATATGATAGCACACATGTTGAACTTGTTCCACAACAGGTCACCTTTGTCTGTGTATGTGGTTATATTATGCTTATCTGAAGTCACCTTAACCATTATTTCACCATTCAAGAGAGCCTGGCTCTGTGCTTGTCAGTTTTGCTCAAGGTGAGAAGCAAGAGAGAGAGCTCTCAGGTGTGAAGCTTGTGCAGTGGCTGGTCACTTTGAGGCTTGCAACCTACCAAGGGCTTGATTCTACCCAGGCTTTTATTCTGTCCTAGGGACCCTGCATTCTGGAGGGCTGTGATTGGAATGCATCATCTCTCCAAATTCCAGCCTCATACTGTAAAGAGCCGGATCAGAGCCATTATTATCCATTCCGAATATAACAAAATCACCTTTCAGAATGATCTTGCCTTGTTTAAACTAATACACTCTGTTGAATTCAATGACTATATTCAGCCCATCTGCTTGCCTGACACTCCTCTACCTCTAACGGAGGACTCACCGTGTTTCATAAGTGGATGGGGAAACACAATGGAGAAAGGTAAATCTTTAGCTTAGATCAATCTGTTCTTAAGAGTGAAAAAGGAATGCTAGATTTAACCAAATGTATACTCTTTGCAGTGGATGGGAGCTATTTTGGAGGGAATAATTTCACCATGCAAAGGTTGTACAGCCCCCTCAGTGGGAAGCCCTTCCCTGAATCTGGGGGTCAAGGCAGCAGGTAAAAACAGAACTTGGAACCCAGACCTCACGAACTTCTGTTAAATCTGGATTCCAAACTGGACTGTGTATGCTCAGGGAAAAAAATGCAGGAGGTAAGACAGAAGGACACAGGTAAGGTTCCGTCTATTTGGAAGCATTAGCGCTGGCACTCTGAAACACTGGCTGCCCTCCACTGCAGTAGCAAGACCCCTCTGGAGTTAATTGAAATGACCTCCATCCACTGAAAGCAACCCTGCTCTTCTTTTCTCCTTTAGAGGGGGAGTCTGTGCAGGAGTGGGATGTAAAATATTAGGATGGCCATCCCAGATGAGGCGCTGCATTGTAGAAAGTTGCACAAAGGATTTATTTGTTGGAGCAGCCACCACGTGAAGCCTGCCATGGAAGAGGTGAACAGCTTATAGTTCTGATCAAAAAGATTCGACTACCCAGGTAGCTACTCTGTAGGGATTGTTTCCCACTAAAGGAGCCAGAAGCCACCCCCTGGGAAATAGGCAGTGAAGCTGGGTGATGGTTCAGCAGGTAGTGCCTCATGAGCTGGAGAGATGTCTACTCTACCTATCTTGCCAAAAATGGCTTTGAAATTTCTTTGTGGTAATGGAATGAGAGGTATGGAACTCTTCCATCTATTTCATGTACTGCCTATGGTTCTTCAAGTATCAGATGTGCCATGCATCAGGATACAGAAAGATGTTTTACTCCAGGTCAAATGGCTTGTCCATCCAGCCCATTTTTGTGGTTCCTCAGGGGTGCTGATTGTTCAAAGTTTTTCTTAAACTAGATTTCTTAGTAGGATTTAGACTACTAAATCCTTTTAGTGCAAGATACCAGGAATTGAAACTGGGATCTCTTGCATTCAGAGCTTTTTCTCTACTGCTGAGCTCTGGTCACCTGTCATATTGTTCCTTTAGGGCACTTAAGCCTGGGACAGAGAGAAGGTAACACTGTTTCTTGGCCATTATGGAATAGTGAGTGATTCTTGGAAATACTCCATAACTGCACTTGAAAGTTTGCGTGATGTTTCACAAATGGAGAGGTCTCAAAGTATGACCATTTAAAATAAAACTTTGGGCCCAGAATTTCCCAAATTGGCATGCTGATTAGGATCTCTGAATACCATGTGCAGATTTCATTGAGGAGAACTGAACAATAGAAGTCTAGCAGAGAAAGATCCTTTAAGGAAACAGATCAGGTGAAGATGGCTCTGTTCTCTAACATCTTTGGGCTGGTGGGCAGGTTTGAAATTTCAGATGTGCAAGGCTTCAAGCTTTGGTGGTTGCCAGTCAGTCCCAGACACTCTTGAATGGGATAGTACTTAGCTCTATTTCTGTCACGTGTTCTTCTGGATAAGTTGCCTGGGTTGAGAGTTGGGGGCACTGCACTGCAACCATTCTGCTCCTGGTTGATTTCAGAAGGTGATGCTGAGGAATGTTTGCTCTGTCCCTTGACAGCTATGATATGGGGTTCCACATAGCTCTTTTTTTGTCCCCTCTGCTGTTTAATTTTTCTGTGAAACCTTGGGGAGAGGTTATCCAGAGGCAAGGGCTGTGTGACACTCTGCTCTCTCTTTCCTTTTCATCAAATCCAGGTGAGGCATCTGAATCAGTGCTTGGCCATTGCAGTAGATTGGAGGGAGGTGAATAAGCTGGGGCTTAGTCCAGAGAAGATGGAGGTACTGTTAGTGGATGGTTCATCCATTCAGATGAGTGATATTTGGCCTGCTGCACAGGGGGTTGCTCTCACCCTGAATGGTTTGGCTTCATAGTTTGGATGCAGCATTTGGTTTGTCTGCTTCATGCAGGGTCCAGCATTGTAACAAGAGGCCCAGATCACCTTTTAACTTTTTAGGTTGCAGTTTAGCTTGTTAACATTGAGTGGCCACCGTGATCCTGTCAGGCCAGTGCTTCTCCAGTGCTTGTCTGGGCCCTGTTCACGCCTGTCTCCAGGAGCCCCTGCCAAAGGAAGTGGGGTGGTTGGCTACAAAGAGATAAGCCTTTTCTGCTATGGCACTCCAGTTGTGGAATGGAGTTCCCTGATGCACACTCGCCTGGGGCCGACACTGTGCTATTTCTGGCACCAGATGAAAGTTTTCCTGTCTTCCCATTTTAGCCTTTGATTTCTGTCATTTTAAATCTTACTATATTTTAAACCTTCACATTGCTGCTAGGTTTCACTTTAGTTTTACTTCTATTTTATACTGCAATTTTAAACTTTGGCATTCTCTTTTTGTATCTAGTGGTTTTGATTCCAGTGAACTGTCAAGAAAACTTCAATTACTGGATAGTTTAGAAATGACACAAATAAGCTTGCCACTTCTCTCCATCAGACAAAATATTATGAAAAGTTGCTGCAGCTATTTTTGCTTTTTCTGTGACACAGAGAATACCCAATTGATGGAACCTCATGTTGGAGGAAAATGATTTTCTATTTCTATTAGTCTGGGCTTTCATAGTTCAGCCCCTCCAGCTGCTAGGCAAAGCTACCTTAATTGAGCTTCTGTTGACATTTTTTTAAAAACTAGCACGGCATCCAACATAATCTCCAGTGTTGTTAATATAAAGACCACTTAGTTTTTGTTTTAACACCAGAAGAAGATATTTCTGAGTAAGAGCTGAATTTTATATTTTTATATTACTTGCCTTTCTTGCTCCCAGCCACCCTGTTGGCAACTCCAAATGAAAGATGAACCCATCACATCATTACTAATGCTGTTCCCAAATGCTTGCAGTCATTTCCTCCCGGGACTGTGAGCATGCAAACATCATCTCTCCACCATCATGTCAGCTCTTCTCTGCTTCCCCCCACCCTCACTCACCTTTTTAAATTTTTTATTATTTTTGGTAACCTCTTGCTCAATGAAGAGATCTAGAGAGCTTGAAAGTTGTGTATTTTGAGAGAGCTTTTCGATGGCCTAATCTGATATTACAGCAATGCAGATTGCCAGGCAGGTTAACTTCCATCTGCCTGCAACAATGATATAAAGTTCAGCCTTGCTTCTGCTCTAGTTAATGAATTGGCATGAACCAATTGGGAAGAACTCTCATCTTCAAAGCATTTGCTATTTTAAGCAACAGAATTTCGAAGATGGCATGTCTTTAGTTGGGCTGATTAATTCTGTAACATTGTTAAATATATTTGTTGATCCTCAAGTTAAAAAGAAATCAACCAGGCCTGTGCATTCTGGGAAAAACAGGAAAAAAACCAAATTGAAATCCTGCTCTCAGGCATTCCACAGTCTAAGAAAAGCTGCCTTCCACAATCTGCATAATTTGAGCCCTGCAGGTTTTGCTAGAGGGGATTTCTAACTGGTTTAGTGAGGACACTTCAGTAGGAAAGGGAAGGAGGCTGCAAGGGACTCCCACTAACACACATCCTGGCCTCTCCAGTTCCCCCCTCCCCTCCCCTCCTCCAAATGCACCCTTTCATCGTTGAGTTTCCAACCTTGGGCAAGCAGGCAGCCTGGTTCTTTCCGTGTCACCAATGAGGGGTAAGGGAGTGGGTCAGCACATTGACTTCCCCTTCTGAGGTGAGAGCGCTGCCTGTGGCTTCAGGAAAAAGTGTGAGCACACCTGTGGTCCCTGGGACATTCTCCCTGGGATCATAGGATTGCTGTTCTACTCTGTTTTTGCTCTTTCACTTGCTGAAAATTCTTAGGAGTTAAAGCGTACACACAGCCTTCAGCAGCAGCATCCATATGGGCTTGATTCCTGGTGGGTGCCTGCACGAGCGTGTGGCATGTGCGCCACCAAGTTAGACTCAGGGCTGCAAGAAGCAGGCTAGAATCTGGGGAGTCAAACCAAGGGAACCCAATGGCTTCCCAGCCCTCAAATGGATTTCTCACACATCCTTATTCCAGAATACTGGTTAGAAATACAATTTAATTCCCGCCCAAGCTCCAGGAGTTAGTAATTACACTTAAAGCCTGGGATCTTGATATTTGAGCAGGTCCTTCTGCTTAATGCACCCTTCCAACTTTCTTCTGCATCCTTCCATCAAAAGCAGTGTGTGGGTATTGCTGAATGTCACGAGGCTTTTCCTTTGGCCCTGCTTAATGCACTGCCCTCTCAAAAGCTTGTCCTAAGACAAGACAGTGTCACCCTGATGCAGAGGGTTTGCCCATGGAACAACCCGGTGGAACATGTTTCTTCAGTTGCAGCTTCTGTCTTGAAGATAGGAGATTGGAGATATTTCCACTCACTTGGCCACTCTATCGTAAATAACTGCTGTCAGTAAAATTCTGGCCAAATTTCTGTGCATTACAATGAGTGCACGGAAACAAATGATGTTTGTAGGTAGCCTGTGGGGGAGGAGGCCACAGTAGGGTATCTGTGTACAGTTGTATGGTTGAGTTGAAGGTATTTATACAGCTATATTTTATTTTGTATACCTCTGGCTGACTATTCTTATTTTTGGTCTGTTGACTACAGTAAAAATGCAACATTTAGACTGATTGCACCATCTTACACTTGGTCACACTGCCTAATCATATTGCGGTTGCAGAGCTGGAATGATGAAAGGAGAATGAGATAAACTTAAAGGCTATGCCATGATATGCAAAGTTCCAGATGCACCTGGGTCTTTGCTACCAAACACAATTTTCCACAGTTTCAACATTTTGGAAAATACTCTGGTGAGGTTATTTTGTAACTTAAGGGAGCAATGCTATAGCTCCTGGGCAAGCATCCCAGGAAGCATGGGATGGCTTGGGATATCCCTGCTGAGGTGGGAGCCCTGATCACAGGAGGGGAGTCAGAGAGCCAACCACTCTCCCTCACAGCCAGCACAAACAGAACCATGCCAGCTGCCTCTGGAGGCTGAAAAGGGGAGCATTCCAGTTGGAGCCTCCTGCTCTCCCCTCTCAAGTGCCATTCCTAGATACACCAGGATCCTGTTAAGCGAGGAAAGAAAGTTGGAAGGCAGGGAGGCGCAGATCACCTCTGCTGTTCCTTCCCCACTGCCAGATAGCCTGGCAGGGTGTAAGTCTGGCGGTTTCTGAGCTGCAATTGTGCAGTCCAGAGGATAGTGCCCTATCAGATTATCTGGACAAGACTGACATGGTACATTAGATTTTGTAAAATTGTGGCCGTTGAACTGTCAGAACACAGTGTTTTGGCTTATTGGCTTGTATAGTAGAGGCTGTTAAACAAGAGGGGCATACTTTGTGTTTTTGTTAAAGGTAGAGCCAGAGACATGTTACAAGAAGTACAAGTAGACATTATTCCATCTGAGCTTTGTAACAGATATGACTGGTACGGAGGGGCAATAAGAGAAGAGATGCTTTGTGCTGGAGCTGAAACTGGAGGTGTTGATAGTTGCCAGGTAAAATAGAGAAACATTATCTTCAACACACGCCTAGATTATATATACTGCCATATAAACACACCGTGTCACATAGAAATCTTGTCAAGTTATGTTATTTCCTATCATTCAGAACTCTTGGACTTCCACCCAGAACAGGCAGTTTAAAAATTCCTTGTTACAACTGCTAACATTGAATGGATTATCATGCACCCTTGGAACTGTACACTGAACTTCAGGATTGGCTTACTGAACATGTAGCTAGAAGTCCTAGAATAGCTATGATAAAACAATGAAAAAGATCTACTTCTAGGTACAGCAATCCGAACAAAACTGGATTGCTTCTAGCAACAGCAATCCAAACAAAACTGAACAAAAAATCCAATTCAGAATTTCCTGACTTATTTGTATTTTCAACAGCACAATATTTTCTTTTGATGACTCTTGAAGTGTACCATTGAACTACAGCCAATCTGCATCCTAAACCTTCAGAAAACCATGGACAGTATGTACATTATTGTCTTTCTGTTCCATATTCTAGGGAGACAGTGGTGGACCTCTCACGTGCTATTTTCCAGATGTCACTAAATATTATCTTGTAGGAATAACCAGCTTTGGCTTTGGCTGTGGAAGACCAAAACTTCCAGGAATTTATGTACGTACAGCTAATTACAGAAACTGGATACATTCACATGTGATTCTATATGACCAAGCCATCACTATGAATATTCCACATGTACTTGTCTTTTTGACTGTAGGGTGGGCTCTCTTCCATAACAATTTATGAAAAAAAGCAAACTTTTCCATTGTACGGGAATGATTATGTTTTAAAGTTGTTGTTTCCTGTTCTTAATAAATGTATTTAGCAACATTTATTATGTTTAACAATTAATAGGCCTTATCATTCCCACCCTAGATTATATATACTGCCATTCAAAGAAACAGTATAATTGAGAAACGCTAAATGACAAAAGGAAGCCATTTGGCTAACAGGGAGGGCTAGAAAGTTGATAGATAAATAAATGTTACCCTAACTTTTCTTTAAAAAAAAACATGTACAGACAGATTTTCCAGTACTGTGCAGATGGCACGTTTGAAATGTAGATATAGCACTTCTTCAGTGCTTCATTACCATTTGATTGTGCCTTAGAGGAAAAAAGCATGAATGTCTAGAAGAAAAGTTATTTTTTCAGGCATTAGTGTTGCATGAATTTGCTCACAAGTAGTTTTTAATAATTGCATATTCTGCTGTTTCTCTTGCACTACAACAAAGTGAACATACCATCCTTTCCATTTCCAAAATACAGTTATAGACTCTTTAAAGGGGGGGGGGGGGTTACAGGCTAGAGTATGCATTCACTCCTATGTTCAAAATGAACAAATTGTAAGGTATTGCCATTTTAACAAGAAAAAACATTAAACCTTCCCACAGAATGAATGAATTAGGTAATTTAAAACTTATTTGGTGAGCAGGAGTTATTGCTGAAATCGAGTTCCACCACCTACTGGCAACTATGTTATATTAAGCTGTTAGATTTGAAGATAGTTAGAATCAATGATAACGACTGCTATTTTACCTGTGCTCCCTACCTTGCTTTATGGTTACAACAAGAGAGGTTGTAAACTATTCCTCTAGTTAAATTACACAAAATGAAATAGATATCTTCTTTATATTTTCTGTGATTATATGCACATATGTTGTTCTTCTTTTAAAAGAAATAGTGCACATCAATGGGATAGCAATTGATTTAACAGATTTTACTCTTAAAACAAAACCATATTAAAACAAGCAAAAGCCCTGCTCTACTCTTGCTTTGAAATAATAAAATAATTTTTGAACATCAAAATCCATTTTGCTTGTGACATTTGCACGGACTTCTTCCACAGAAATGTGGGCTGGAATTAGCAAACTAAAATAAAGCTTTTAGCTGTACTGAAACTTATACAGTGCTCCTAAAAGCATCAGTCCGCTTCTTAAAGTAAAAAAAGACTGGGTTTAGCCAACACAGTAACCCACAGTCCGGGACTGAGTAGGGATTGAGTGAGGGGGGATTGCTGAACCATGGACTGTTGTTGAACATGCATTATCATGTTGCCTGAACAACAAACTATTGTTTAACTACAAACCACCCTTGAAGTTTATTTGTGGTTTGTTTAACTGTGAACTGTGGGTTATTCACCACTGTTTGTTGACTCAGGCAACACACTATTCAATGTTTAAATAACAACCCATTCAACATTAATCCACACTCAACCCATATTCATCCCTTGTATGATGTGATTACCATGCTATCTGAACCCCATCAGAGAATTAACAAGTTTACAATACACATTTACAAGATTCCAACCTTTTGCAAGATTCTCATTATGCAGATCACACTTGTTAGTTGCAGCGACAAGGAAGGCTAAGCTAGCTGCTTGAGCAAAACTCTTGTTTGCTATAAGCCATGTCACTGAACATTGTTGAAATGGTGGTTTTCAGTAAGCAAGCCTAAAGCAGGTTTGCATATGAATTACAGATATTCTACCCGTTTGCCACTTCTTACACTCTATTGCAGGGGTCCTCAAACCTTTTAAACAGGGAGCCAGTTCACTGTCCCTCAGACTATAGCTTGAAAAAAAATGAAAAAATTTCTATGCACATTGAACATTAAAAATTAATTTAAAATGTTTGCTCTGCTCTCTCAGTGTTACTAACAAAGGGGTAAGTGTTCTTTAAAATCCTAAATGAAACTCTCAACTCAGAGATCTCTTTTCAACATTTTATTCAATTACACAAACAAACAAGGCCTTCATGCACTCTCACTCTCACTCTGTAATCACATTCTGGCCCATCTCCTGCAGTCAGTCAATCTGAGGCAAGGGTATTGGGTGACCAGGGTGCAGTGCTGTTCTGGCACATCAGATGCTGGATTTTGACTCCTTTATACTGCTCCTTGTCTTGTTCTCAGCCCTTTTCCAGTTGCCACAGTCTTGAGACTCCTCCTGTACACGTGCTGTTTTAACACTTCTCGCCCCGAGTCATGGGTATATCTCCAACCACATCTTTATGCCATTAGCGGTTTAGTTCCTGGCCACATTTACCCAGTTTCGGTTTTAACTGTCCATGCATATGGAGTACAGCCTACACATAACATCTACAGCCTTACTCTTTCATACCAGGCCTCAAGCCTTGTGCTCAAATCTGGCTGCAGCAGAAGCCCAAGATGAGGTGGGGAAGAGCATGTCCATATTCAAGGGACATGGCTACAAGACAACCAAGGCACCAAATATAGTATTTTGCATAATGCAGCTGATGACTACAACTGGCATTTACAAAGAATGAGGCAAAAAATACTAAGGATAAATACTGTTAGTGCCACTCTTAGTATTTGAAGCAAGTCAGCCCAGAACAATTCCCACGATAGACAATGGCTGTATTTGGATGCAGAGCTAATGACTACCATATTTTAGTGCAACCTTGGTAAAACTGGTACTGTCCAGATGAGTTGGACTACAACTTCCATTGGCCATGCTGGTTGGGCATGATGGAAGTTGCAGTCCTCGCCACCATCCTGGTTCTAAGGGAGCAGCAGCGGGAGTGGGAGGCCAGAGACGCAAGCGCAGGGTGGCTCCCCCGGCTGGGAGAGGGCCACGAATGAGGTAAGGGCTTCTTTCTGAGGCGAGGGGAGGCAAGGGATGGGGCAACGGCTGGCCGAGCGGGGCACCTCCTGCCTCTCCCTGCCGCAGGGGGAAGTATGGCAGGTGCTTGATGGGGCGGCCTCTCTGCCTCAGCCTATCTGTCCCCAGGCTTGATGAAGCAGCTGCGGCTTGGCCTGCAGCCTGGGGACTTGACTCACATATTTAAACATGGATTTAAAAAGTTAGATTTTTCTTACCTTTAATCCTTTTTTTTTTTTAATTGTCTTCGTCTCTCTCTCTCTCCCCCCCCTTCCCCCTCGTTTCCTGCTCCATATTCCCGCTCTGTATATAAGTGCAGTAGAGCTGTTACAATTAGGCATGTCGCTGGCTCTCCACTCAGTTTCAAAGATCACCTGCACCAGCTTAAAGCTTTTGGACTCAGAGATCATTTTCTCCAAGTGAGTCCAAAAGCTCTAACGCAGGCCAGATAAATGAGCATGGTGGGCCATATGCAGCCCATGGGCCTTAGTTTGAGGACCCATGCTCTATTGCCTTGTTGATTTTAACAGTCAAGTTCATAAAATGCATTTTTAAAAGCAGCTAGAAGTAATTCAAAGGACTTGCATTTATAAGTCTTCCTATAGTGTTTATTATTATCTTCCTAATTAGTGTTTATTATTATTCAGCAGGAGCACAAGACATAGAACTGGTGGGAGGATAAACTGTCTAAATTGCAAGACTGACAGACATTGATACTAGTAGACCTAGAACTTACCCTCCCCAATCTGGTGTTATGGGGGAAGTGCCCTGTAGTGCTTGGTGCTGAGATTTCATGCTAGGTGGAAGAGGAAGCGGTCCAAGCCTGTGCAGTACTATGTGCCTCAGCAGCAGTAGCATAAAATTTCCCAACAATTCCAAGAAAGCTTGCTTGCTTGCTTGCGCGCGCGCGCACACACACACACACACACAAGTATATACACTCTTGGAGTCACCAACTTACTCTAATACATTTAATGGCAACATTCAAAAGGGCTCCATTGGAATGATTCAGTATTAACTAGGGTAAAACTTAATTTGATTTAATGTTCATTGTGTACTCAAGAATCCAGTTAATGTCCAAAGTTCCTTCAACATTTCTCAAATACAACCAACGAAAATGACATTATTATCCCTGACATCTTATAATAAATTCAAATACACAGTACTTTTTCTGTGAACAATACCCAATATTTTTTTTTTCAAAAATAATCTTCAAATTTGTTCAATAAATTGTGTCAAATGAAATATATAGAAATAGGTTTATATTTTCTTGAGCACCTCATAAAAATATATAGCTAATAATCTGAGAGGGAAAAAATATCTCTGTTTACTGAAATTGTATAAACATTTAAAATATCCATATAAGCTCAATTATAGAATTTGTGAAAGTAATACTTCAACTATAAAAAATATATCAGACAACTGGATTACTTTCTTATAAAAATTGGAATTACTTGAACAAATTACTGTTGATTTTACAAACTGAATCTTATATTCGAGTATTTTAATATATATAACCATATTAAGTTTCTTCCTTTGGTATGCTATTTGTTGTATATTAAAACAGGGCAGCACTAGGGAATGTGCAATTGTTCAACATCTATGGAAGCAAAACAAGATCTTTAGACAGAATATCTGTCTATGCCTGTTCACCTGAAATTTCCATTGAGATCAGAGATTTTTTTTTTCTACCCAGTGACCAAACTAACACAAAAACCCTTTGAAAATATTCTCCAGCAATATTTGGTCTGTTGTATAAAGCATATCAAAACATTAGTATCAGCAATGATGTGTTATCCACTCTATAAGAAGTTTTTATGACTCTATCCATGTGTCTCTGGTTACAAAGAGTTCACTGTCTTTACCAGCACTTGAAAACACAGCACACATTTTTAAATTAGATTGCTTGAAATAGCTATTTGCTTTTAACAACAGGCAAAGTAGTAGCCCGTTTTCTCAACACACAGGTTAGAATTTACAGTTTGAAAAAAATATATATACACGTAACTGAAAAGCCTGCATCATATGTTAAGACTCTTTTCTATGTATGCAGTGAAAACACAACTAGTGACTAGCAATAGGTCCTGTCCTCCTGTATTGAAATGCCAGTATTCCATGGGGCTGGAAACCCTGCAAAAGCAGCATTCATAATCAGGTGGAAAGCTGCATGTGCTGGTATGCCTCAGCAGGGGGCAGAGCTTGCTGCAACTTGTATGCTTACTTTCAGAAAAGAGCCCTAACGAGGAGGAGGCTGAAGAAAATGGAATAGCAGATAATTAATCAAATTGAACCTATGCTGGTTAAATACATTGATAGACATTTACAGCCAAAGGCAAATGACTAAGCTCTTTGGCAATTTAACTGCAATCAAATGTTACACGCATTTAAAGATTCAACTGTAGCTCAAGAAATTCAATCTCTTGATTGACAGAACGTGGATGTCCATTTACCCTGATTTAATAAAGGTTCCAGTTGTGCCAGCAGAACTCTTTATGAAGTTTCATACTTCCTTTCTGAACTCAACCATCAAACAAGTTCTAAACAAAATCTTAACAGTCTTTAAAGTTGTAGCATTTGAATAGAAGAGATTCACTTTTGACCTTTCATTTTAATGTTGAAAAACTAATATGAAAATTCCCTCTGGAATTCTGATGTTCACCAAAAAGGCCTTTTCTTTACACATTTTTATGGCAGTAAAGATCTTTCAAAGTTTTTAGCTCTTCAATTAGAGTTTTGTTCTGGTTTTCAAGGACAGCAACTCGGTTTTCAAGACACTTAACGTATTCTTTCTTCTTTCTGCGACATTCTCGAGCTGCTTCTCTGAAATCCAAAAGCAAAAATGTGTTAATTACTAATTTGGAATCACTGACACTTTGCTTTTGCTTCATAGCTAATGTATGCTCCCAGGATATGGTTGTACTAAGTGAAGCCAATCACCACTCTGGGATACCTGATAGATATCCAAGGGGCAGCAGGACTGGAATTTTGAAGGGGAATGGAGCCTTGAGACAGAAGTGGGATTTTCGGGAGACCAGGCAGAAGCTCAGGCCTTTGAAGCACCCTCAAGGTTGCTGCAGAGGCTGCCAGGGTGGCCAGGAGAGGAGACATGTTTTGGAAGGGATGGATGGGGTCGACAGAGAAGAGGAAGAAGAGCCATTGCCTTGCCTGGTCCCTGACCCCATGACAATGCATTAGGGGAAACAAGCTGCCAGTTAGAGAGGCTTATGCTGCTCTCATCGACTAGCCTATAACAGTGGGAGTCACCCCAAGAGTGGAGTTCCAGGGTGACTCAAAGGGAAGGTTTGTCTATATTACACACTAAAGGAAAAATGAATCCAAGGACTGCAAGAAAGAGAGCACAAATGATCTAGTACCCTGATGAATAAAATGAAATGCACATATGTAGTATAGCAAGAGTATGCCTGTGAGGACCATGGCCTATTTACACCATTGGCTGGGGCTGAGGAATCAAACAACAACTTTAAGCTTCAGTGTCCCAATATTATTATAATTTCCATAAATTAGTATTAGAATTACAGCAGCAAGTTCAAGTTCTCACCAAGCGAGTGGAACATGGAGAAGAGGTACATGCCATCAAAAAAAGGGGCTAAAAGGGGGCTGTTTACACATTAGGCTAATGGACGACGGACATGGGTCTTAGCAGAAGTCACTCGGGAGAGTAAAGGAGGGGCTTAGACTTTCACAAATATGCTTACTGTGGCAAGTGTAGTGCCACATCTTCCTCAAGGGGAAGGCTAGAGTGGTTGAAATACACATGCTATTGGGCACCACTGTCTGAAAGCTCCTTTAACTTGGCTATCTCTTTCCAAAACGCCTTAATTTCCCACCCCGTTTAATAAAGGTGTTGTTCTTGTTTAAAACATGAATTAGTCTCTCACATCTTGCTTCTTGAAAAATTCTTAAAATTCTGGAAAACATTTCAAATAAAGTGAAATAAGAAAAAATAATCCTACAGTGGAAACAAATATTTAGCGTTGGAAGAGGAAAATGAAATTGTTCTTGAAAAAAAATGAAACATAATATGGAAGTCTGTTGCTTAATCTCTCTGTCACACAACTGTGACCAATAAATATAGGAAGGACAAAGTAGCCTAGATAAGGACAACTGGGAAACTTAATTGGGTAGGTATGCACAGCACACTAAGTCACCCAGCAGTTAACTCATGGTGCATTGGTTGACAGGTGAAGAAGCACTCAAGGCCAGTAAAGGGCACAGGTATAATTTTTTTAAAGAAATTATGAACACAGCTGCACAATTTTCTGGGACCAAAATGGGTGGGGAACCAGTGATGGTTGCCTCACCAGACCACTTGGGCATCAGTGGAGGAGCAGTTCCTGGTGGAAGCACAATGAAATCACAAATAGCAGTGGGGTGGGGTGCCACTGTTGTGAAGTAGATCACAAGCAGACCCCACAAGCACAGTGAAATTACACAACACAACTCGTATGAACAACCCTTTAGAACACAGGATGTGTTGCCATGTTGTACAAACCAGGCCAATACCTATTTTTCATCAGCCGTATTTCTCGCTTCAGCTGTGGATCGTCTGTCTTTGTTGACTGAGATGTCAAGGAGACAGGAGTTGTCATCACAACCGTTTGTGGAAGGGAAGTGGTGGTTGGTGTGCTGCGTATCTGGTATGTCTGCATATCACCTGATGCAGCTGTTGAGGGACCAGAATAAAGAACACTGTAACAGAAGGAATCCCAAGGAGATCTTCACTTTTCTCTTGTGTGTACAAATACAAAAATCACATGAATTCCATCAGTTACTGAGGATACATGTATACAAAAGTGGGAACGACTCTTTAAAAGGCTGAGAGGCAGCGGTCAGACAAAGGATCTGAATATCACTTCCAAGTTGTTTAAAGGGGTGTGCATTTTCCACATTTTTAATAACCATTTTGTGCTTCTATTCCTTCAGAATATACTTTAACAAAACAACTAAAAGTAGCAATGGGAACTAGATAATTGTGTTGAGCATAAAAAAACTAATTCATTACATCAGGGGTCTCAAATTCAACTTACCTGGGGGCCGCTGGAAGTAGAGTCTGGGTGAGGCTGGGCCGCATCAAGTATTCCACCGCCGCGGTGGTGGTGGGCCGCTCATCCCACGGCCGGCCCGGGCGCCGCTGGCGCTTTGAAGGCCGCAGGACCCCTCCCCCGTGCCCCGCCCATCCTGGCAATGGGCCCGCGGGCCGCGAGTTTGAGACCCCTGCATTACATAATTCTGCGCACTGCCTTGCCAAGCTCTAACTGAGGCCCAATTTAAATGCAGTATTGGCCAAACAAAAAGGACTTACCCACACAGGATTCTACATGGTCAGATTCCTAGTAAAGCTGGACCCTCAGCTGGCAAAGAGGCAATGCTAACTCATCAGCTCAGACCAAAGAGCCTTAGCATACTGAGGTGGTATATGCAATTAAGGAAGCCTTGCTTAAACAGGGCTAGGGGTCACATGGATCCCTTCACAGCTATTTTTTTTTAAGCCTAGTATATTTGAATCAGGCCTTATACGAATGTATTAAGAAATGCAAACAGGGCTAGGCAAGCTGGTTTCTTCCAGATGTTTGGGGTTCTAACCTAGCATAAGCCCCAGCTAGCATGCCAATGAACAGAGAGAATGGAAGCTGCAATCTAAAAGCTTTGGAAAGCACCAGGTTGCCTATCCCGGTATTAAAGTAATAGAACAAATGAGAATAATTCTTGACAAGATTGCAAATTAATATGAGTTATGCATAATTTTGAGGCATCTCAGCAATCAAAATTCATGAGATAAATTTTAAATTATGTTGAACAAAGGCTCCACTATTTGAAGTTTGCAAGCTATAGTTTTATTTTTGTGCAACTAAACCAAAAACTGGCATCCGCATGACAGGGAAATTCCAGAGAATTAGTCCTCAGAAAACCACAGCTGCATTAGGCAGGGATAAGAGATCAGCAATTCTGAATTCTTTGAAGTATATACTTACTCTGCACGACTACCTGGTTGCTTGGCACAAGTATCTGTTGACCATCAGATGTCTGTACATACTGTAAAAGGGGAGCTCCACCAGCATTTGTAAATGTTTGTAAACCTTGCACACTTTCTCCAGCTGGGTTGCTCAGCTGCAGTGGTCCATTTGGGGCAAGGGCAACTTTGAGACAAGGAAGAATGAAATGGGGAAGATGATCAGTGCATAGTATGGGATGTGCACCACAGGTAATGTTACCTTTCCCAGGGCCTTGAGCACAATAGCTTTCATTCCAAAACCAACACCATCACTTGCCAAGCAAATGCAGGACAAATGCACTGTCCTGCATTTGACAGTGCTGGGCTGGCTTGCTGGACTGCAACCTTTGATTCATTTAGTTATAGATGAAAAGAGAAAACATCCTCACAGAAATAATAATCTGAAAAGGGGACTCTATATTTCATCATTTTAAGAATAAATACAAATTTAACTTAGAATATATTTTAGCAGCAGCATGTCCAAGTGCAGGCTTTTCTTATTAATACGTACTATATTTTCCAGTGCTGGTTTGGTAAATGGGTGTAGGGACAGACACTGATGTGACAGGAGACACACTAGGATTTGCTTCATCTCCTTTCCTATCCCGTGCATCTTCAGATGAAAGATCATTCAAGATTTTTCTATGAAAATAAAAATATTTCCAATGCATATTTCTTTGGGGGAGGGAGAATCATCTCAAAAAGTATATACAGTTCTTTTTTCAATGTAGAACACTAAATATGAAATTTCTATCTAATTTCCAAATCAGATAGAATGGAATCCATGCAGGCACAAGTGTACTGTTTTGTGGCCTTGGAGAAAATGAAAATGCTTAATGGATCTTAAATTATAAAAATATCTATTCTATCTTTCAAATACTCAGGGTTGCTTATAATAAAAGCTTTGAAAAAACAAAACAAAATAGTAATCAAAAGATTAGATAGAAAAAAGTCCCACAATTCCCAGCATTCTGTAATTCAACATGGCTGGCTGGAAATGCTAGAAGCTGTTGGACTTTGTTCCCTGTTTAAACATGTTAAGATAGCATCCTAAAAAGGGAGTAGCAGACTAAGAAATCTAAGGGAGGGTAGACTTTTGTAAAATCAAGAATAAACCAGAATGGAACTGTATTTGGTTACTATCTAAAATAAAACAGTGATTAGTCCAGACAAACTTCACTTCAGAGGCCATTCCAAATCATGGGTGCCGTAGCTGAAAAGGCCCAGTCAGTGATACATGACCTTATTTCTGATGCTGCATATACTCAAAGTCAGCTATCAGTAACAGACATGTGAATCCTGAGATATTCTCATGCTGACACTAATTTCCCATTCAGACTGTGTGGCTAAAGATGTGAAAGACAATGTTGTTTGATATAAGCACTCACCTATAAGATGGACGGCGTGCGAGGATACCTCTGGCTTTTTGTGAAGAGTCTAAACTATCTGAGGAATCTTGTGACTCCTCGCTCTCTGACAAAGACACCTGAAAGAAACGGACTGTGTCATTGTCTTGAGCCATCTAAGAGACAAGAGCAAGTACAACTGTCCAATTATCAACAACCTGCAAACAGATTCACTACAAGGCTGAGGGTTAACAAATTTTGTCCAAGTAGTAATTTATGCTTTGTTTTATACTTTTAGGCTACAATCATGTTGGGATGACCGGGAGCCCCCAGACTCAGAGGCATGTATTCACCCGATGCTGAGCAGGAAGAGTGGGTAAGGCAACCTTTGCCTTCCTGTCCTTCTACCCTGCATTTTTGCAAGACAGGTGTTCTTGCCCACCTCATGGCAGCCTTTCTGAGGGAAAGGGAAGGAAGCTGGGGGAGGGGGGCACGGGTTCGCTCATATCCTGGCTGCTCCCATTTTCTTCCCACAGCAAATCTCGTACCCAGGTCTCTCCAGTCTCCTCCCCACCCACTGGAACACCCAGTTTTTACTCTCTCCAAGGTCACTTCCCCTACCTTGGACAGCAGGTGGTACAGTTCTTTCCATTCTTGCTGTGAGGGAGCAGGAAAGAGGAGCTGAAGATGCAATTCCCAGCTTTGAGATCTGCCTGCTCCCTCTGACCAAGTAATCTGAAATATGCAATGCCCCCTCAGACCTTGTCTAGAGGCCAAGATTGTTTGCTTGCTCTTCTGATGCACAGTTTCTGTTTGCTAATAGAAATTCTGGAAATTATCTTATTTTATGTACTTTGCTCTGATAGTCCCTTAGAAATAAATAGAGCTAATTATACTGATTTATTATTTAACTTAAAATTTAAGTATGATCCAATATAGACAAAGTACTGAAGTAATTCTTGTTATCATGATGCGGAAACAAAAAACTAGGAAAACAGGTTTCACATTTATCTGAAGGCCCATGAGAATCAGATATGGATCAGATATGTTTGGCTCAGATATGTTTAAAACATGACATTTTATGTCCAGAGGAATAATGTCAACACCAGGAGGTCAATTCTCCTTAACATTCAAAAACAAGCACATATGATGTGGAAAGGAATCAGGACTGGCCAATGCTTACATAGGTCTGCTAAGGGTTAAAATCAGAACAGCACTTTTTTACAGCAAGGTCTGTAGCGATGTAACAATATTCAAGGCTGCAAACTTTAAAAACCCCACACTTTAAGATAAGCTGAACTTTGTGGAGAAGGATAAAGAAACAAAATACAAATGTAAAGGCTTCTCTCAGTCTCTAGGTTTAATTTTCAATTGATTATTTTCTTAAAATAAACAGAATAGAAAAAAGAAGAAAAGTCAATGTAAAATAAAGTAAAACAGAACAGTCTCTAGGTTTTTATTCTTATTTCTATTTTGCCAAATTGGCAACTAATAGTTTCACTAATGTTCCCCTGAAAAACACAAAACTTAACCAAGTTCCTTTATTTACAATTAACTGGTGATGCACTAACTTAGGGAAGCACACAGTTCTTGAAAGCCTATGTTGGTCAAATCAAGTATTAAACTCCATTTACTGTTAGTAAACAGAGTTACTCTTACCCTACATAGGTCTTACCCTACATAGGCACTTTAAGTAACCAAACAATAATAAAAAGGTATGTATATTACAAGAAGGATTATAAGTTTTCTGTACACAAAATCCCAGAATGATCAAAAGATACTGACATATTAGTTATGTTTTTTCTTCCCACGTTAGTCATAACTTCTTTTGTCTGGGTTTTATTTCGTTTTAGTTTGATATCTTAATATAAACAAAATATCAATCAACCTGAAGACTGGAAATACTGCATTTAATTCATCTGAGGTCTGACAGGTGTGAGCATCATTAACATTTCATGTCTCCAAAAGGCAGAGGTGCTACATGACCCATCTACCGTATGTTCCCACCCAAACCCTCTCCTATTTGTTCCACCCAAGTTCTTTCAGGCATAACAAGTGTTGCGCACTCACAGCCTCCAGCAGGCATTTGCCTGCTCAGACCCACAGCCGGTCCAACTGCAGCTTACAGGATGGCTAGTTCCAGGAGGAGAAAATGAAAAAGGTTCCTTCATTTTCTCCCCTTCTTACAGGGCTTCAGGACTCTGGTTCAGTGGAGGCTGGAGAACATGTTTTTGCCATATAGTAGAAGGATAGAAAAGTTTCTGATCAATGAAAAGAAGTTTTTATTTGTTTCTATTCTGCCTTTTTTACTTTGCAAAGAGGTTTGCACAATTCTCCTCTCCTTCATCCTTTCTCCCCTTTTATAATGTTCCCTACCAGCATTCAGAGGATGAATTTTTAACTTCATTGAGATACCTGCTTTAATCTTGCTCTTTTCTCTAGAATTGACATATGGAGTCAATTGGGTTTTGTGCTAGTAGGAAAAGAGAAGAAAGATACCCTTTCTTCTTTCATCTCATAAAATTTTCCTATATACTGCAAAGAAAGAGAATGGGTGCTTTGTTTTGACACTTTTTCCAGTGGTGTGTAAAAAAAAAAAGTTTCTCCTTGCAGTAAGACTTGTGGGGTCACATTGTCTCCCCAGATTTAACTTTTTGCTAGCTCTGAAATGAGGGGAGAGGCAATTTTTTCTCATTCCTCCTTCTACCTGCAACTCAGCCCTAGGGGGCTGGGGACTCCCGGAACAATACAGGTAGCAGTGCAAGGGTCTTGCAGAAATTTGCAAAATTACCTCCCCCTCTTCTGCAGGAGTTTCTGCTGCACTGCAGTCTCCTCTGCAAATGGAAGGAACCCTTTTGTTTGCAGAAGGACAACCCGGAGTCCAACTTACAGGATTCAGAAATGGTACAACATTTCAAGAGGGCAGCTGTTGTCCAGCTAGGGGCTACAAAGCATCCTAGCTGGCTCCATTACATTACCACTCCTCCAAGTGACAGCAACACTGTCAGTAGTGCGATGTTCCAGCTTCAGCCAGAAAGGCACACTGGAACTAACTAAAGAAAACTTTACACACAGGCTACTGCTCTGTCCCTGTCCTGGGGCCTTAAAAGAAAACTTTAGGTGACCCAATATACTGAATTCAAACATTACAAAATTCAGCTTGCTACCATCTAAAAGGCTAAATAAACAGAATTTACTCTTAGGTGGTGGTTTGGCATACCTGGCTTACTGATTCTAAATTACTTGGGCTTGCATAACACAGCAACCCACCTGGGTAACTAGGTGTGGTGGTTCATTATGGTTTGCAATTCCTGTGATTTCTCACCATCAGCTATGCTGATTAAAACATCCGGAGGGCCACAAGTTGCCCTCCCTTGTTGTACATCAGTAATGGCTACAGGTGGATCTGTCTCCACCCCGAGTATGGGCAGGAACATTAGCTATCACATGCCAGGCCCTCATTTTGAATAGCTGGGCTGATGCTAAGAGCATAGGAAGAGCCATGCTGGATCAGAGCAAAGGCTTAACTAGTTCGGTGTTCTGTTTCCCACAGGGGCCAACCAGAAGCCCAGGGCAGCCCCATGCAGGGCGTAAGAGCACTAGCACCATCCTGCCAGTTTTCCTCCACCTGGCCCAAGGCAGGCTGCTTCGGACACTGGAGCCAATCTACAGCCATCACAAGTTGCCAGTGGGAGTTTTAACCTCCAAGACAAGGATGCAGGTTAATGGTTTTACAAATGTCAATTATTTGCACTTGCTCTGAAATATGTGAACTCATGTTGATATTATTTTATACTTCCTATAGTATAAAAATCTTTTCCAAATTCTGAGAGCCAGTGTGGTGTAGTGGTTAAGAGCGCAGGACTGGGACTTAGGCAATCTGGGTTCTAGTCATGGAAAAGCCATGGAACCGTCTGGGTGACTTGGGCCAGTCACGTATTCTCAACCCAACCTACCTCACAGGGTTGCTGTTGTTAAGGATAAGACTGATAGCAGCAGGAGGAGAATGATGTAAGCTGCCTTGAGTTCTTTAAAAAAGAAAAGGGCAGGATATAAATCTAATAAAAACAAACAAACAAATATCCTTTCCCTTCCATTTATTATTCTTTTTGCATCTAATTTAGTTAAATATGTAAGCTATGAAATAAATAAAAACAATTATTCACACTTCACATGAATTGGTTCTGATTGGGATTTATTTTGCTAAATTGGTTTTTCATTTCTCTTGTCTAACTTTGGAACACATCGCGTTATTTTACTGGCAGAACTACATACACTAAAGTTGCTACATTGAAATTCAGAAAGCTGACAGACAACATCCAAAGACAGTAACTTACCTGCACTGACTGCCCTTGTGGTGAGTGAATTACAGAGGAAGTCTGAGCTGTATGAATGACTCCCTGGACCTGATCCCCAGAAAGCTGTACCACGGTCAGTGGAGCTGGACCTCTAAGGGACATCTAAAATAAATGAGTTGAGATTTTATTAGCCAAATAACTAGATATATCACATAGGCAATACATATATAAGCACCTACTTATGCATTATATTGAGGCTAACATCGGGACAGCAGAATAGAGGAGATTACCCAAGCTAAGGCACCTTTTAAAAGCAGCTCTGTTTAGTAAAACATCATTTTGAAGCTTGAGAGACATCAGTCACTGTATGCATTTTACATGAGGTCACACTAGATGTCCTCAGTGCCCATCTGTGCCAGTCCAAACATCCGTAACTTTCAGCACTAGAAAGCTCAATTTACCACAACTTACAGAGCAGCGAAGTTCCGCTTTTGGAAAGGAAAACAAAAATGTATGCACAGACATGCAGACCTTTCTGAGGCAAAGCATGGCATAGGTAGAGCCAAAATGGATTTTTTTAAAGTTACTGTCCATTTCACCTTCACAACTACCATTAGAAGTCATGCAATCACTGACTTGGTTGGATAAGTTCTGAAATTCAAACAAACTCCAACGGGTTCTGTTATCCAGCTAGCAAACCCAACTACTGCACAGCCTCTGTTCCTTTCAGCACAACAGGGGATGTGCCACAGCCCCATTACAATGAATGGAAGCTGTACAGCATCAGCGTGTGATAGTCTGCACCCTCCTCCCTGCCAGAGCCTGACAGAGAGGCTCTTGGAAGCAAAAATTTAGCAGATTAACCATCTTTTTTTAAAAGTTAAGATTCTATAGATAGAAGACAACTTTTTAGAAACTGCAATTCTAAATTTTTGAAAAAGGAAGTGCTCAGCAATACTTAAAAATAATGACCAAACCTTCCAATTTAACTGCTGAGCTAATCAACCTACATGATCACTGAAGAGGATCTAAAACCAAGGAATGTTCGGATTTTATGGAACATGCCAATATCTAATGTATCTGAAGGCATGGTTGATTTTGTTCAGGAAGCACATGTTTAACTAAAATCCCTGGAAAACACATTTACTGAATTGATAAAAAGTGGCATTACACAGTGAATTGCAATTAACCTACTTAAAAAATTCTCAGAATACCTGATCTTATGTAGCTTTCTTTACCTGTTGGGAAATACGAGAAAGCTGAGCTGTCTGTAGAGCGGTACCTTGTAAAGATGTTGCTTGGGGGGATGTTGTTGAATTGTTACTATTCCTTTTGTGCGCCTCTTCCATATCAGCCTATAAGAAACCAAAAAATAGAGCAAAATTTGCATTTTAAGATTACAGAGACATTGATGTTTTTAAAGACACACTGGAGATCCTCGTAACAATCTACTGCTTTATTGGCAAATTGTCCCTTGGCACTATCCACAGGTCTATTTTCCAGTGGGTACTGCAATAAAAGTGCTTGTCTGTTTGGTAGGTCCACGGTGACTTGGTGGAAGGGACAACAGAAAGGGTGGTGTTTTTGCATTCATAGCTGTACTAAACAGGAAATCATTTTCTCTCTATCTTAACTTTAAAAAAATTGGGGAAACATGAAAGTCTCTCTGACATGTATGGATGATATACATAAGAAATGGGCATCCTGTTTTCCCTCTGCTTTTCTCAGGGATGCAGCAGGATGGGACTCCCTTACTTCTCTGCCTCTCAGGTTTTTTCTTATCTCACAGTGGAGAAAAAATAGGATAAGTAAGCTGAGTTCCTTATGTTCCAGTTTGTTTCAGAACTTTCTGCACCTACCATTTGTAACTGTCATGCATTTTATTAAAACTGCAGCACAATTAGGTATTTCCCAGTCAATAGCACTGCTGTCTCCAGACAAAGAATTCCAATAAAAATAACTCAGAGGCATTCAAAGATGACCTGCTAGTTCTGAACATATTCTTACGCAACATTTGAAATAGTTGCAAAGGCTGTTACGGAGAAACTGGAAATTACATTTCTCTCAATGGAAATATGAGTCATTGATTCTTCCCTGCTGAGATCAACCACAGGAGCTCAGTCCTAAAACCTGAAGTTTGCTCTAAGTATAAAAGTCACCATAATAAAAATGGTGCAGGGGATTCTTCTCCTTTCTTAATCGGATTAATTGTGTGACTCTTGTCAGACTGCTCTCACAGACTTAGTACCAATTAATCATGTACTGCTTCAAAGTATTCTTATTTCAGAGCCATCTTCTTCCTCCTATCATCTATTTTATATCCAAATTTGGGGGCAGGGGGTGAACACAAACAGGTTTGTAGCCAGGACAGAAGAGCCTACACACAAGAGGGGCTCAGGGGAACACCAAAGTTTGCAGAAAAGAAATACAGACATGATTCCACAAACACCCCAAGAAATCACAATGGCATATTGAGAGACTGAGGTTTTTAAAAAATGACAACCAAGTGGACAGAGAAATAGAATGTAGAAGGACTGGGAGGAAGAGGTGCAGAAAGTTAAAGAGAACAGAAAAACTAATTTTAAAATGTCTGCAAGTAATGAAAAGACCCATTGAAATTAATGGAGAAATCAAGATTTTAATGTATCTGGGACTGGATATTTGGTTGTCCACCCCACCCCACCCCACCCCACCCCACCCCACCCCACCCCACCCAAACCCACAAGATAGCATCAAAGCAAATAGTTCGTGTTCTGTCCAACTGACTACTTCTTTAAACTCCTTTTTAAAATCCTACTAATACAATTCCAAGTGTGATTGTTGCAGGATGGAAGGAGAGGAGATTGAGAAAGAGTCTCATCTTATGATATCCCTCTTCTATTGCCCGATAATATTAAAACCATATTGCAGGTTGGGCTGGAGCTGAGAGAACACCACTTTGCAGTATTGTTCATTGCATTGATCCCTGACTGCAACTTGGGCTGAAGGAGTTGTACATAACATATTTGCAGTATTCACTGTTACACCCCTATTGCAGCAGGTTGTAGGGCTGTGCTGAGAGAGAAAATTGTCCCTACAATGTTGTCCAACTGTCAATAATGTAGGTGAGCAGGGTGGCTAAGATTGGTTCTGGTTCCCAGTCAAAAAATCCCCTGGTGCCTCTGAGTGTGCAGCAAATGTCAGTCAGCTTGCCCCTTCAGACCTTTTCTTGGGCCAAATATAGCATGTATTTGCATTCAAAAGGCTAGTGGGAATATCCATCCATCCATCCATCCATCTCTCTATGCATGCTCATGAAGTAAGATTCCGCTGATATTAATTTGTGTTTTTTCCACCTCTTGTCCACAGGCTCAGGAAAAACATGGAAAACAGGGACACACTAAACCCTTTTGCTGGTGACGCTGTTTGAATATTCTAAAAGAGAATGAATGGATGAGTTGTGGCAACTATGGAAGTACAACAGAGATACTGAGAAACATGAGGGAGGTATCAACATGCTCAGGGGAACCACAGAAATTGCAGAAACAGAAAAAAATCTGCAGGGGGGGGGAAACTTACAGAAGCAACCCCTCAAACAGCCCAGTGAGGCCTAAGCATACTCACTGGCCAGAAGATGTCTGGGATGGGAAACAGAATGGTGTATTCCAAAGATGGCATGGCATGGTTAGCTGGCCCATTGAAGAGGAACGTGCCATAATGCACCATTTTGTGGAGAGTCCCACTTTAGCACAAGTGCTACTACTGTGGCTTTCAAACTGGCTACATTCACACGTAGTCCTAAACCATGCCGTGTGGTTTGCACATGGTATGGTCCCTTACCTGGTTGAGGCTGTTAAACACATGCATGGTTTCCACCCTACTGCCATAACCTTCCTGCAGGCAGCATGTATCCCATCAGCCTCTGCAGCTGAAATTCAATCCAAGGACACACCACTCCTGCCTACACTGCCTGCCTTTTCCTCACTGGTTTGTATTTAGAGGCCAAATGGCTAGAGTTGCTCCTGCAATTGCCATGCTTTCCACCAGACTCTATGGTAGCTGTATGGAAACCACATTTCTGGGTTCAAACAACTGAATAAGCCACAGTGAACCATGGAAACCAAAGCAAATACAATTCTCTCCATGGGTTCCCCAAAAACCAAATGTACCACGCAGTAAGTCTATAACAGGGTTCAGGCAACACAACAAACCTCCCTGTAAGGGAAACCTTCAAGACTTGTTGTGTGTAAACCAGCCACTGTCTCCCTCAATGAGCAGATAAGTGCAGATAGATAACCCTTCTTGAAAGTAAGCTGGCCCACCACACCTAATCATCCTATGCCACGTGCAGCTCAGACCTCACAGTTCTTGGTGAGAACAGACCAAAGTAAACCCCAGGATCTTCTGCAATGGCCAGAGATTCCTTGACATACAAGTGAGTGTGGAAGAGGTTCCCAAAAAGGAAAGAATAAAACTATGCACTTGTTTTTTATTGAAAAGGAAAATGGTGAATACAATATTTTCATACACATACATGCTTATAGACATATACTCAAGGTATTTAAAAACTAAAATGGGTTATAGTCTGGAAGGAACAATTTCCTCAAAGGAAATAACTTTTTGCAAAAATGAATATAAAGGGACTCTAAAACATGTGGCAAAATGACACCAGCATTGCTAATTGCAAAAAAAGAACACAGGAGGTTGTTTTCAGCATTAGTCTAAGTTAAGGCTCATTAATTTCAGTGGGTTAGCTATTAGTAGGACTAGCATAGAGTTAACCCACAGTCTGCATTTCAGAAGGCTAAAAGGCAGAAAATCATACATCCCATTGTTTATCCAGTTTGTTTTACTAAAACCAAAACTCTAACCAGAGTCAACATGCTATTTTCACACTTCTGAGGTACTTACAAATGTAATGCCAAAAGTACACAAAATGTGACCATACGACATGCTTTTTCCTTGGCACATATTTTTGGCAGAGAAAATGAAATGCAAGAGGAAGTTAAGAAAAAGGGAATGAGAAAAATGATACCATAATGCATTCTACAAATTGTCTATTGCATACACTCAAATCTAAACCCACCAAATTATGTAGATAAGTCAGGATTGCAATTCTAAAGACTTGCATAATCTTTTCCTTCTTAAAAATTTGTGATGAGCTAAAAATTTTGGATTAGAATCACATAATACAATTACACAAGAAGCAAGTTTATGTATCTCTGTTCCTTATCTCTAGCACACCACATTCATATGCTAGATTTGACAAGAAATCACCTAATATTAAACAGGTGCTAGATGAAATCTGATTTAGTATAGACAGCTGTTACTACATTTGTAAACAGATACAGGTATTGATATTAAGAATGTATGTACTCTTTCAAACTTCCTTAACTCTTCAGCAAGACCAGAATGGGTGCTCTTCCCCACTTTTACTTTTCATTTACTACTGCATTACGCTCAAATTTAATGACAGGGAAGTAAATGGAAGGGAAATGCCCGCTCTTAATTGTTTGGAAAAGGAGCAGTGAAAGATGTGAAAGAGTTAATATCTCCCTTTTCTGAACCCCCAAATGAGGTGAGGAAAAGGGCCTTCTCTGTTGTCACATCTCACCTTTGGAATTCCCTTCCAAGGGAGGTGTGACTGGCACCCACTCTACATTGCTTTTGGTGCCAAGTATCTGTTTTAAGATTATGGTTATTGATTTTGCTGCTGGTTTATTGTTTTATTGCTTGTTGCTATATTGGTTATAGTGTATGTATTTCCTCCTGCTGTATTTATATTGTATTTTTATTCTATTATGTTCTGCTCTCTTTTGTGGTTTTTGTTGTTATTGCCATTTTTATCTGTATTTTTATGATTGTGCTGTGAGCTGCCCAGAGATAGATAGATAGATAGATAGATAGATAGATAGATAGATAGCAAAAGAGACTTTTGAACATTGGATTTCCTGATTTATACCTCAGTTAAAACACTCTGGTAAAAGAATTGTTATTAAGATCATTCCTGAATAATTAGAGAAACTAAAGTGTTGTTATTGTTATTATACAAGAGAAAAATATTTCTGTCAATACTGTATAAGCTTTCCAGTTCTTTGGTATTTTGGAAAACCATAATGTGGGAAGAGAGCCACTACTGATGCTGAGAAAATTCTGTAGTCAATTGGAAAAAAATACATATACTTCAGCTTTAGCCAAAGCTGTTAAAAAAAACCCCTCATGGAGAAAGCTTGAAACATCCTGAGCAAAATTGTCCAGAGCAGCTTCATAGCTCTCCCTAACCAAAGCAGCTTGGGTTCCTAAGCATTCAGAAATGTAGCTTGCTGTTACTATTACAACACTTAGGACAGATGTAATGTTATACAGAATAATGAAACTTTTACTGTTATCCATGATCTACCTGATACAGTTGTAGTCAGGTAGTCACTTATGTTGGTCCCTAGAAATCTGAAATGTTTATACAGTGCTTTTTACAGAATAAGGATAGCTGGCAATTTGCCAAAAATTACTTGACTAAAGGCTTTTACAAATAGCCCATTTAGGTATACTCCAAGAAAAGATTGGGTCACTGCCTATAAAAGAGGGAAGTAGCAATGTTATACATAACTATTTATATTTTTTACTATGGATTTGGTATGTATATATTCTGAAGAAAAAAATACTTAGAAATACCTTTGCCCCATCAAAAAGTGCTGCTTGGATTCTGTTAATAATCTCAGTTCTAGTGTTGTATCTTTTTTTTCTGTTTGACAGTGATAAAATTGTTCTTTTCGTTATGTTTCCCCAACACAAAAGTGCTTGTTTGGCCTTTGATATTTATCACCTTTGTTACTGTAATTTTCTAGTAGCTGGTCTTCCTCTTTACCTTTTAAAAACTGTTATAATTTGCCACTAACTTCAGAGAATAGCAACTGCACCTGTACAAACACTCATTCAAGTTATATTGCTCCCTGCCCCAAACTATACTCTCCTCCTCTTTCCCACTCTTAAAGTCAGATTGAGTCACACAAATACTCAGACAAAGCCTAGTTTATAACGTCATCATTATCAAACCACTAAGAGCAGCAATGCCACATGTCAACTTCTCATGCAATACTTGGAACCACTTGGTAAACTGACTGGCTGCAAATCTCACCACTTGCTGAGGATAATTTTGCTACAGATCTGGTCTCACTTACAAATCCAGGGAATCCAGGGTGTTGTAAAGGTCTTCTCACTATTTGGGAGGATGCTACAGATAACCAGCTAACCATGTGCTCTGCTTGGTAAACACTTGGATGTATTAAGCCTCTACAGTCCCAATCTTTGTTCTTCAGATAAATCCTCCTGTGAAAACCTCTTGTTCCAAACAAGAATCTTTGTGTTTTTGCTCTTGACCTCTCTGTTTATCTGGAATGTTCTTGCTCTACTTACTCAAAACTCCTCGTTTAGGAAATGGTCAAAATGTATCTCTGTTCCTTTGGTTTCCTTTCCTTCCTTTCCTCTTTTCTTTTTCATCAATTTCTTAACATTTAATTTTGTAAAAACATTATGTAATTTGGTTTTTGTATATTTTTGTAGCGTATAAACTACTTGGGCTGCAATCTATTGATTTTCTTGCTTGTAAAAGTATCCAGTGAGCACACAGATGTTGTAAATACAGTATTATTAGTACTTCCAGTGCAAAATCAAATGTGCACAGCATTTTATGCAACTGTATAAGCAGAAATGATGCCCCTGCTCCAAAATGTTCACAAATATAATTCCAGCAGTAAGGGAGAAAAAATGAGAGGAAGAATGAGAAAAACCAAGAGTGGCAAGAATAAATGCAGTTTCACATGGTTAGGTTATATTTCAGTTGGCAATGAAGAGTTATACCAAAGGTCTTACACAAACAGTGGGTTTTGTAGAAAGGTTTGGAGGAAGAGAGATGACATAATAATACTGGTAAGATGAAACAGACTGAAATGATATGCAATATATATATTTATAATAAAAAGTACAATTTCTTTCTATAAATTTAAAACATTTATACCCACTTTTCTGCAAAATGATACACCTTGAAATTCGTTTATAATAATGATGTTTTAAAAACAATAAAATTAATATAAGATTCTTTTTAAAGCTATTATGACTAACTGGAATCTTCTGCAACATAAAGTATAGACATTGCATTAAATACTACTTTGATTTCATAATGGTACAGCTGTATGATGTATTTTTTAAAACTAAGAACCACAACCCTACCTAGTTTACATTTTGCATATGTGACATAAGAAGTGGTCCTAAAGCCGAGGGTTGGGGGAAGATGCATTTTTATTATTCTGTTAACACCCTAACTTAGTGCAGGTGATTTAAAAATTAGGCTGGCAGATGAAATCTAAAGTATCTATTTGGTTTTTCACTAGAAGCCTAAGGATCACCAACTGGAACCACTGAAAAATAGTGGCTAAAGGAAATAAACACAAAATCACAGATCAAGATGCCTTTGGGCACATGCTCAATACCAGAACTGAGGCCTTCATAACAATTCTTAATTGAGAAATCCTACTATTTTCTTGAATTCATCAGTCTAATTTAGGGGGAAAGAAGTTCCTTTCATGACATTACTACTAAAGCACTGGAAGATGAAGCTCTTGTGATCTACTGCAAAGCACACAGGAATCTACCAGTTGATCCCAATCTACCTTCTGCTTAGCCATGGGAATCTATCTAGGTTTAGATTATTTTGAAAAGATGCAGTCAGATTTCAGATTTCACACATCACTTGGTTCACTGTCAACTATATGCTCAGCTGGAAACCACAGTCAATCTCTGATGAGGATATCTGTATGATACAGTCAAACATCTGCTTGTCACATTAGCATGCTTTTTTTTAGGTATATTCATATTGTTTTATGACTTTGCATTCTGCTCTTTATCATAAAACCATTTCCACAACTGCACACAACTTTAAAACAACTTTAACTATGTTAAAACAAGATAGTAACATCAACGTTACGTCAAATCCAATTGTGTGAGCACACTTTGGTGCAAGCAATAGAATTTCCTCCTGCATTCTATACCCTTGCAGATAGGCACATATTCCTAAAATCTACTCTGGAGCGTATGTGTGGACCCTCAGGGAGGAAGGGGAATTTTGTTCCCCCTCTGACCTCTGTACCAGCACTGGATCTAATTTCATAAACAGAAGAATAAAAGTAACTGTACTTTAATTACTGTTGTGAGACACTTTAAATATTTTCCTGGAAAGATGCTTAAATAAACAAATGATTCTAGCACACATTAAAAATTAAAAGCATGTAGAAACAAAGATTTTTTTCACCAGGAGTCAGAAGAGAAATGAGTCCTGAAAAGTCTTACAGATACGTTTTTAAAACTTCACTATGTGTAGAAGGCCTTTCCATTGAATACGAGCCCACATTATTGGCAACACACAATTTGTAGACAATCTTGTTAAGAAACATAACACCAAAAGCTACAGAATAGTGATCTGTTTATCAGCGCCACCCAAACCATAACTATGTCGCAAAGAACTCGAAAGTTTGCTTGGGAGTTGAGCAACATTTCGGGGGCCCCTATTAAAGAAGTGACCGACCCGTGGCTTTGGCACCTTTTTTAGGCTCGAGTCCCTCACACCAACAGTACAGTAAGCTGAGGAGCGAGCACTGCAAATACCCCGCCGCGTTTTATGGGCTGACAAGCAACTGGAGGGAGGGAGCAAGGGACTTGGAAGGGAGGAGGGAGGATGTCAGTGGGCGAGTCCTGGTGCTTGTGCAACAGCTGCGGGCGAAGGTCTGGGCGCTGCTGCTCCGGCAGCGGGCAGCGCGTCGCTTCGGACCCTCCCGCCGAATCCCTCGCGCCTGGAAAGCGCCGCGGGAGTCGCGCGCGCCGCAGCAGCGCGAGCGCCGGAGCGCCTCGGCCACGTCCGATCGCCGCCGGACTCGCACGAGCCGCGTCCCCCTCCGCGAGGCTTCCCCCCTCCCCTCCTCTCCCCACTCGCGCTCGTTGATTCGGTCGCGTCCGCTTCGCCTCGCGCCCTGATTGAGTCGCTGGCGGTCGCGCCCGCTTTTACCTCAGAGGCACCGCCGGCTTCGCCCTGGCCTTGCGTTGCGCCGAAGGGGAATCGAGAAAGGGTGGCACCGCCCTAACGCCTCAGGAAACCGGAGCTGCCGCCACCGCCAGCATTGTCAGACTAGGCCCCGCCAGGGAAACACTCACGCTCTCGGGGTGGGCGGGTTGTGACTATAGAGTGCGCCGGAGGCCAGAGCTAGAGTGAGCCACCCGCCTATGACAATAGAGTTCTTCTATAGTCTAGAGTAGCCCCGCACATAACGCACTCACAGAACCGTAGAGTTGCGCTCCGTCAGATGCTAGAGTGGCCGAAGAGCAATTTAGGGCGTGCTCCGCCTAAGCGGTCTATCATGTTTACCTACAAGGAAGCCTTGTGACATCTAATGAGCGCTCTGTTAACTGAAGGTCCGATAAAACTTACTTTCATTTATTTAAAATGTACAGTCCGGTTTCCTTATGGACTACTACACAAATAAAGCATAAGAGATCCTGACATTTTTCTGGACAGCAAACATGTTGGTCGTAACGGCTAACTAGAAATCAGCAAATGAACTTCGTCTTACCATATGGAAACAGAAAATGTGGGACATAGTAATGGGGAAACTCACTCCCCTGGTATAAATGGGTCAAATAGAAACCGACAAATTTTGTGGAATATTGTATCCATCTGTTTACTGAGAAGAATACAGGACAGCCTCCTAAGACACACGGAATGCATGTGAAGACGATGAGTGATAACTATTAGATAATCTTGCTTGTGCCGGAGATTCTGAGAGAGCAGAAAGACTGTAAAGAACTTACTGATGTGCGGTGTGCTTAAACGGGTTGCTGGACGTTGTTACTGTCAAAACTTTAATAATACTGATGAAAAATAAAAGCACCCAAGCAGCCAAGAGAAACATAAAACAGCTGAAGCATTAAAGCAGGAGGCAAAACTATGGGTTATGTCCCACATTAGCCCTATTTAGAGTAGATCTATTAAAATGAATGGATAACAGTCCGAATAACCATTTGACTCAGACAAAAAGTTTAGCGACATTAAGGACGTAATCTTTCAGTAAAGAATGGCGCATGTTGGGAGTTGTGCGCCTTTTTCCGTCTAAATATGCATAAGATTGCGCCTTCCAAGGCCCGAAGTTCTCCCGATCCCCAAGCCAGCCGCGCCCGCCGGGCGCTCTCTGGAAGAGGTTTCACGAGCCGGGCGCTTCGATGCAGAGGAGCCGAATGAACCCTGGGGAGCAAGGAAGCGCTGCAGGCAACCCCGCTGGCGCGGGAGGGGCTGCGCGAGAAACGCGTGCGCGGAAGGGGAAGAGACAACGGCGGGGGGGGGTGAGCCATGGAGAGCGAGCGAGCGCGCGAGCTGCGTGGGGGGCGCGGGCGCATGGAGGATTTGGACCTCTGTCTTTTTGATGAGTGGTGAAAAATTTCGTCCTGTAATCCCTATTGCCAAGAGCGGGCTGTGATCTTTAGCTGAGCCATTCTATTTCTTCCCTTGGAAACGAGCTGCTTTTCGAAGTCATGAACTTAAAGGTGATATTTTCACATGCACTTAAAAAAAAAAAAAAAGCACAAGTCTTGTCCGTGTTAATATGCCGTAGTTTGGCCTGAATTCTTTGCCTAGCGGATGCTTTGTGCTGTTACCCCTCAACAACTTAGACTACAAATTTATGACTGTTGAATTATGCCATTAACTATACGCATATTTGCATTCCGCCTTGAAAGTTCAATATTGGTTGAATAGTAACTAATCGGGATCTCTGGGTTTTAAATTACCAGCGGCTTAAAAAGTAAACACACTGGAGTATATCTGAAAGTAATTACCAAATGTTGTCACGGTGGGTATGTGTGTAATGTAGCACTCGAAAGTGAAATTTCGGCCATAATCGAACATCCTGAAACAAGCCATGGCTCCACCTGAGTATTGTCACTGCCTGGCAGCAAGTTTCCAGGTTATCAACAAGCCTTTCCCAGCCTCGACCTTTAGAAAAGGGCAACCTACGGTCCTCAGCCTGTTTCAGAAGCTCTCTGCTGTTCACACCTTTGAAGGCGTGATCTGCTCCTTTCCGGGCAGCCTGCTGAGAGGGACAAAAGGTCCATAGGAAACACGAGGGAAGATGCCCCTAGACACGGAAAAAGGTCACCCCCTCTACCCTTCTTTTTGCCTTCAGGGATTGAACCCTTAACCTTTTACATACACTTTACTGCTAAGATATAGCACTTCCCTCTAAGGACATTTTGTCACACAAAATAGAAAGGATGATTATTTTAGCTGGCTAATTTTATAGGGAAATATTTGCACAATTTCTTATGAACATTATCTTCAGCAACAACAAAAAAGGCTCTTACCTTGCCCCGTTTGAACCAAGGGAAACTATAGTTTTGATCAGACATGTTTGCTCTGACATGGTGTGAGAGGGAGTCTCAGGCTTACCCACACACGACACACCTGCATGGTATCCATCCCACATCAGGTAAGGTGAGAATGATGCATTTGCCTATAGGGGACTATCCTCCCCTAAGACCCATTCTCTCCTCCTCAGTATGACAACAAATAGTGATGCTTCTACCCACATGCCAGTCTGGAAGACATGCACTTCCATTGTCCACAGTGGCTGGGGAGAAACCTCATTAATATGTACAAATATAACAAAATGTTAATTTATGTTATTGGGTATTTCTTTAGTAAGTGATGTGGGCAGAATATTTTCTAGTGCTGTATTTTTCTGCAGAAAATCTTCCATTCTGAATGTTCATTAAAATGAATTTAGGCCAGTTGCTAATACAGTATTAGGTCTTAAGTCTCTCAGTTTATACTGTTTTTCCCTAGCGTGTCAGAGAATGCACATGTCACTGAAACCTGTGCAACTAATAGTGAAAGCAAAACTGAAGATGCCCCAATAACCTAGTGGAACAAAGTAATGCATGATAAAATAGATGAGTAGTTGCCAGTGCATCATGCGTAGGTCTTTGGGTTGCTAGAATGAATAATTATATCCACAGATTTCAGTATCTTTGGTCTTTTCTTTTCATAAACAATGCAAGGGAAGTAGATGCTCATGTCTTAAAAAGTTTAAAAGTATCCAAATAAAATTATACATAATATGCCATTTAAATCTCATTAAATGCCCTTTACTCTCCTCCCTCAAGTATTTCAAGTCAAATATTTGTGATATGTTAGGACAAAAATGACATAGTGGGTTTTTTTACTACATACAAGTAAAATAAACATGCTCTCTAGGACAGGGGTGAGCCCTCCAGAGGTTTTGCCAGTAGTTTCCATCAACTCTATGGTATCAGTGATGAAGGATGATGGGAGTTGTAAGCTGAAATATTTCACCTTATGTAAAATAATCTAATTGGGAACGTTTCTGGAAAAATTTCCAGATCACTTTCTAAAAAGAAATCTGCACCATTGATCTTACTGTCCAGTATCAGCATGGCAGCACGGCTACTGGAGCATGTTCCTTTCATCTTGTCCTTAATGGAATACAGATGGATTCACTATAGGATGCTTTCAAATATTACCTAAAAGCTTTTAAGGCACTGAAAACTGTTGACACATGAGTTCATTTTAGCAGTTGTGAACCAGCCAGCTGTTTGGCAGTATAAAAATAAAATGTAATGCAATAAAGATGTTTTCAAAGTAAAATATACAGTCATCTTGATTTCTTATCTAATGTGTACTTATTAAGCAAATGGCATTGACATCAGCATCTCAAAAGAAATACTTTTAATTCATGCAAAACAAATTACTTCTCACTTAACTGAAACATTTTCAAGTTAAATAACCCCAAAATGTCCATGTTTGAACTACACTTGCCTCTTATGCCTCCAAAAAATCCATTTTATAATTTTAACAGAGGCCTATTTATTGCAATGATGCTAACATAATGCTTTTTCATGGTTGGCCTGCCCCAACCTAAGTACTGATTTGCTGCTGCAATAAATCTTAGGGCTGGGACATAAATTACTATCATGTAAAACGAAACTATACGGCCTTGAGGCCTCCTGCCTTTGATCTGATCAAACAATGGGTTCTACTGAACTTTTAATGCAGTATACACTTCCTGAAAATGTTCCAAGTTCTGAAAAGATTGTTCATGTACAGTTCTAAACTAGGACTAAAAGTGCCCTGTTATTAATTTCCTTTCTGCACTGCCCAATGGTCAGAGCAGCATCCTTACTGTTAAATGGAATTAACAGCCACAGTCTCCCTATACCAAAAGCCATGGCATGGAGGTCACTAACAGCACAGAGTTCTCCTTCCTGCCACTCCATGCATTTATATGAAATAAGATATGGGGTCAGGCGGGGAGGATGCGTCCTGCTAATTCTTACCCTCTCTAAATGTAGCCCAAATGAGAAATCCCTGCCTTGCTTACAAGGTCTCCGCACATACCAGGAACATTTTGGATGCTTCTATGGCTCTTTAATGGACATTCCTTGTGCCGAAAGTATAGCAACATATGGTAAACCTCAGGCTGAAAAGCTTATAAAATATTGTGGAATCAACACTGGACTCTCCTTTGTCAAGAGACCAGTATGCTTGGCATGATGATCCAGTTTCACTCAAACCATAGCCTTGCTTAGCTGCTTGTACTATTGTCATGTACATCATGATTTAGAGAAAGGGGAGATGACAGGGCACCATGAAGACCAATGCAACATGTTCTGCATAGAGCTTGCTTTTAAAATGGTCGAAAAAGATAGCTACTGCACAGTGCTACTGAGGGGAGCTGACTTATTCAGAACATGCATCTTCATTGGTTTTCACTCTGCCATAGCCATCAATCCGAAGTGCTTTATCACCACCTTTAAAGCCCCTAACTGCATTGGGCCAGGAGACATGAAGGTCTGCCTGCTCCTACATTACCTTATCTTCCTGTTGATATGCCAAGGACATCTTTACTGAATATTCAATTAGCCACCTGAAACACACTTTGTGACTACACAGAAGTGGCCTTTCTTGTCATATCCTAACACTGGAATTCCTTTCTTCCAGGAAGCTCAACTAACCCCATCCCTTTCAGTTTCCTACAAACTAGTGAAGACTTATACTTAGGTAGACAGTCAACTGGATTATCCTGTACTTGCTAATGGGTTAGGGTTTATTATCTGGCTTTCAGTTGTTCAACTGATGATGGTTCTGTTGTTGGATTTCATTACAGTTTATTTCATTACATTTTATTCTCTGCCATTTTTAAGGCTGCTTTGCAGAAAAGCAGTTTAAAAGTTGGAAAAAATGAATTAAGTTATATATACCACTCTGAACTCCTTGAATGAAGTGTGGGATAAAGTGTTTATGATAATAATACAATAAAAATAGCCAGGCATCATTATTTATTAACACAAGACAAAGGAGACACAATCAATGCGTTAATGGAACACTGTCCAGCCAGATGTTAAATTTTTTAAAAAAGTATATCTAAAACCTAATTTCAAATAAATAAAAAAACTTTATACATAATTACATTGTTGTAATCTGAATCTGGCAATGGTAAACGTATTGACATCAAAGAAAGGGAAAAAAAGCACCTTTAGGGCTAAAGACAATGAATGTTGTTTTGTATAACTGTATCTCCAGCACACTTAAGTATGGACTGTCATTCTTGACTACACAATCAACTAAAATCAGAAAACCAGTGTAAATGAACAGGGCTGGTATAATAGCTACATCAACATACTTAAGAGCTGAAATTCTCTGAAAGTAAAACATGATAGTTCATGATTATGTGTTCATAGTAGTAAACCAATTCTCAGGAAAACAGCTGTTCCAAACGGCTTCATAGCAATGGATACTGTTGAAAACCTAATGGCTTGAATCCAGAGTTCTCATGAAGTAAACTCCACTAACAGGATGCTCCTGTTAGAGGAAATGGAGGAAAGCAACTTTTGGTGATTCCTCCTTCCTCCTGCAGCCCTCTGAAAAGCTCCTCTGGAAACTTGGAGGTCAACCCAGAACAAAGTGGTAGGTTGCATGGGTGCTGCAGGGGAATGAAATCAGCAAAAAATTCCCCCTTCCTTCAGGTGCCTGGGAAGACATGCCAGTCATCTCCATTCACAAAAGGGACACTCTTGATCCATTCTCTTATATGTATGTTCAACCTCACCTGAGCTAATAAGGAAATCCAAAAAACCTGGACTGGCAACATTGGCTCTATCTCTTTGGATTTATTACAAACCACCACCATCACTACTTAGGTGGCTATGTGAAAAAGGAAGGGCAAGCTAGTTTAAAATAGATCACTTAGTAAAACCTATGGAGAACTGTATCCTGACTGAATCCCATTTATAAGCTGCAATATCTCACATACTGATGGAGAACATGGAATAACATACCCAAAGCTACACAGAGCAAACCAGTGTCAGAGCTCAGGTAAAGATAACACTGATTCCACAGTCACTCCTTTGGAATCTCAGCCACTTTGTACACGTTACCAGAAGGCAAAGAATTGTGCAGCACTGAACAGATCCTATACCTAAACAAGTAGAATTGAAATCCTGGGAGTATTAATTCTATAACCTTAGGAAGGAAAATACTCTGGATTAAAATTACACTAACCTGGAAAGAAATGAAATGCTTAATAAGCAAATCAAAGGGGCAATTGGAGATTGGCAGCATTGCTTCCCCCAGTATTTGGAATACAATTGAAGTCTTCTAGGCTGGAAATTCTAAAATGCTACCTTAAGAAGTACTCTGTTCTGCACATAAAATTTCTATCAAGTTACACTGGGCAAGAATTTATGGTGTAAAGAGGTGTGGGGAGGGAAAGTGTCACAGAGCTATAGAAAACACCACACTTGTTGGCAGAGGAACATTCCGCTTAGTGGAAGGACATTAAGAAAGTGGTTTGTTATCAAAATTGAGACCTCGTACTAGCCAACATTGCAGTTAATAAATAAGGGCTGGAGTGCATGCGATATTTGGATACTGAAGCCCATCTGTACTATGCTGTTCACATGCCAAATACCAGTAACTGCTTGGTGGGGTGGGTGTTTTCCAAATGATTGAACATGAATTAAAACTACTTCAGTATGGAGGGTTTTTCATTTATGTAGCAGCACCATACTGTGGAAATACTGATAATGCAAAATATTCAGACTGTCTCCACTAAAAACCAGTAGTTATTATTTCAGTGGTTTGAAGCAATGGACTACCTCTAGTTTTGCCATAAATCTTTGCTTCAGGATATATGCCATTGCTTTATGTATGACCACAGATGATAACTGTGAATATTTTTGACATATCCAAACACACACTGTCTAAATTTCAATGTGTTAGGCCATTAAAAAAAACCTTGAAAGTTTGTACAGAAAGGTTTTCAAGTATACATTTGGAATTTGTTTTAAGGGACAGTTGTCAAAGCTGCACTTAGTATAGCTGCTGTTCTTGAGGATTTAATCCAAGTTTATATTTATATCTCTCTTAAAAATGTCTAAAAACATTAACTTTGTTACAGGGTAGGTAAACAGATATTATTAAAATATTCTAACTATTTACACAATAGGCCACAAATGGCCCAAGAAGAGTTGTCACCATTTCAGGCATCTGCTTTCAGTGTTTTTTTAACAAACATAAGGGGAAGTGGGGGAAGAAGAATCTAAGGGTGCAATTCAAAAAACGATGATCTAAATAAAAAGTTGAAATCTTGCTTCTCCTAGTGGAGATGGGGCTGCAAACCATTCCCAGACAATGGTGGTTCCAGCACATTTTAAGGCATCTATTGTTAGCAATTCTTTGAAGAGTGGAATCATCCACTTTGGATGGACTAATCACAATATCTGGAGAGGTATTTCCCCACACTTTCAACAGAATTGCACTGTCCTTGCTCTGAAAACATTCTGCCAAAGCTCACTCTCTGCAGTAGTGAGTCCCAACCAGAAAGCAGCAAGTGCATCATAGGGATGCCAGGGCTCTTTTCCAGTTTGAGTGAAAGTTGCTCTGGCAGTTGCATCTGTACTGTGCACAAATGATCAAGGAACAAAAGGAAGGAATCATGACCTAGACCATGAATTGAGTAGTTCTGGTTAACTGTTGACCTGCCTACACACAATTTAATGACAGGACTAAGCAGAGGCTGTACAGATTATATTAAACATTCCAGAGTTGCAGAATTTTCTTCTTGTTTCTAAAATGGTTTTAAAGCTTATGGACTTCAGCCTCTTTTATAAACATGTGACTTAAAAACTTCAGTTTCTACATGCTATACTCTGGCCAGCAACACAACAGTAAAAACTGAATGGACAGCCTTATCTTCATTTCTTGCATTAATTGCCTAACACACACAATTTAAAGACTTCGTTAAAATCCGTAGATAATGTCTACCTCATATGCCATCATTATTTGAGCCGATTTTCTAAATAAATGAATTATGCATATTAATATTTACATATTTAAAATATAAGCAAAACTTCTTTTAAATTCAAGAAATATCTATATGAATAAGTAATTCTTCAGTTCAGTGGATTATTGGATTTGGTCATGGCACAAGTTTAAGTAAGCAGTGTGATCCCATATTAACAGAATACTACAGAATTAAGCTAACTTACAGTTGTGAAGCACACTGTTTAGGGGAAAGGGGGGATTAGCAGGACACACATGACCTCATTCTTACACAATGACATCTTACCTAAATAAACCCACCCCTCATAGGATCCTAAAACAGTATTAGAAAAAATACAAATATGTACAATAGATGAAAAAGTTAACACTACAATAAAGGCCTTAGTAATTGTTTGTTTTCTCATGCAGGCCAATTTCCACTGTCTGTAAAGCTAGCATCCTGCAATACAGTGTCCTTCACTGGCTGTCATCTTTTGCTTTCTGATCAGTCCATCTTGCTGTTGACCCAGAGAGCAAGCGAGCGAGAGAGAAAAAGTGGGTGGGGGAGGAGGAGAAAGAGAGAGAGGTTGAGAAGAGGAGAAAGATAGCTTCCCAACAGTCAAGCTTTGCAACAGTCACCACTAATCGTCAAATGACTTTTTTGTTTCCGCAGTCATCACTGGTCCTTGAAAAGTTTGTAAATGGTGCCGCGACCTGCACTCCCAAAATTACATGTTGTATGCTACGTAGATGGGATCCAGTTGGTCAGCCAAGAAACTATCCCGGAGATGCATGCGCTGTTTTTCTCCTCTGGAATTGATTGGAATCACCCCAGGATCAACCACCACGACAACTCCCACAATCAGATAATGTTCCTCCAGGATCACGTTGGTTACGAGAGGGACTAGGTCAAGGGCCTCCTGTTCACAGCCACAGAGCTCCACAACCACCACAAGCAAGTTGGTCCATGTGAATACAGCACTGGGGGAAAATTAAGAGAGCCACTGTTTATTATACAGATGTGTATGTGTACATATATATATATATATATATATATATATATATATATATATGTATATATCTAGGTGAACATTTCGTATTCAAGTCTGCAGACACTTCTGGTGCTTTCCACATGTTTATCAGATTTTCTAAAGTTCTCTAGCCATAACTTGTGCCACTGCTTAATACATCTATGCTTAAAATAGTGTCCCTTTGAAATAAGCCACCTTTTAATTTCTAGCTACTAACTCTTGGAAAACTTTTCTTTACTGAAGCCCTTTAAGTCCTCAATATTTCTTCTATAGTTGATATTTACATACCATATATGCAAATATGCCTTGCTTGTTAATTTTGTTTCAAAGCCCTTTGATTCAAATTTGCAATAGAACGAATGCTGTCTATTGTCATTTAGTGAGCTCAATTTAAAATTTAGGTACCACTTCAACACACTGCATTCCTTAATACAATGGCAATATAAAGTACAAGGAACAGTGATCCAAGCTGCGCGACCCCATGGAATGGCCCAAAATACTTTTCAGTTATTTACATATCAACACTTTACAAAAACCTGGAGCTGTAATCCATGGCTCTCAACAAATACTAGCCTCAGAAAAATACTTTTCTGACAGGCAAACAGAAAAGCAAGGATTCAGATTGTTCTGATCATGTAATCATGTTCAAAGGCCCTACTTTGTACTGCTACACCTTAGTTTAGTGATGCTGTAAGTCTGTTCCTAGGAGAAATAAACACGTTTCATACAGCCATACCATTCCGCAATGCTCCTGTGCGTTCGAGAAACTGAGGTCTCTATGTCAATTGGATGATAGCGCAACCCGCGCAGCTCTAGAGTCTCATCCAGTGCTCCTACGACATACAGTGCATCGTGGCGTTCTAAGGAGGAATGTTAAAGATTACAGATTCATCATGCTGGAGCTGATAAATTGTAGTTGCATAAATAGAAATCAAACAATGAGGCCTCTAATGAGAGAAGCTAACTGTACAAAGGGTTTCTCCTGATGTTAGCTGCACATGAGCACTATCAGAAGTTAAAAACTGTTCAAAGAGATAAAAAGGTATTTTCTGTCCTACCTCCACTGGCTGCTGTGAGTTCAGTCCGGCGTACAAAGCCAAGGTACCCTGTTCGTGCCCAAAGGGTTTGGGCAGCATCACCAAAGCTAAGGCGGGTGTTGAAATGATCTGCTTGGAGGGTTTCATTATCATAGATCGTGTAATAACCACTGGCAGTGTGGGGGCTGTTCACCCATATCTGTGAAGGTGTTAATCCACAAGATAGAAGACTTAGCAAACCAATTTTTAACGGAAATCAATATATTTAAAAATTATATAATTTTTATAATTATATAATCTCGCAACCAAACAGCTGGATATGAAAAGCAAGGCAATAAAATATAATGGATACTAAACTGTACTTCAGATGCATTTCTTTGAATTCTAACTTGACAATAATGAAGGTACAGCCTTTGGAATGTAGATTCCTTCAGAATAAGGGATCTTTCTAGGTTGTTTATACTATTCAAAAGCACTCACAAGAAAATTCAGCAAGCTGAATACACCATTAACTATGCAAATAAGTGACACCCCCTTTTGAACCGAATGGAAGTTGTGCAAGACTGACTTGGACCAGATGCACATACATAAAACAAGAGCAAAAGCAACACATACTTCTCCAAGGTGAGAATCTCCAACAGGTCCTTTGGTCTCAGGATTGACAATAATCACTTTGACACCAGGCAGTATCTAACAGAGATGAAAAGGGCAGAAGGCACAAGTTGAAAGTTTACTTGTGAATTATTATGAGCAAATAGATGTTAATGACACTTAAGTTTTGTAAGTCTTTGTAACTTCTCACAACCATGATGCCATTCTTATGCAATGCTAGCAATTTTGGAGAATTTTGTGGCAGAGAAGCATTTCCACCTTTGAAATCTGGCTTGGTGAGATTCAGTTAACTCTCACAATCCTGCTTCAATTGCTGTATTTGCACATTAAGTCCACTAATTATCATTCTGAGTAATGTTCTCCATTAGGATAAAAATTCTTGTTCATTTCCAATAGCAGTTGCCTACTTAAGTGTACAAAGCATACTGATATCTAATTCAAAAACAGTACTTCAAATCAATCTAGTGTATAACTTAAAAAAATAGATTTAAAAAGCTTTCAGCACTCAGCTAAAAAATGTAATGTGTTAAATGAAGCTAAGACTATGATTATAGTTCTAAACAGAGCACACTGGTAGAACAACCTTTTGGCTGTCACATAGGAACAATAGATGGCTAAAGAAGAAGGGGACGGCAGAGGATGAGGTGGCTAGACGGGAGTCACTGAAGCGGTCGTCGTGAGCTTAAGTGGAGTCTGGGGGATGGTGGAGGACAGGAAGGCCTGGAGGAATGTTGTCCATGGGGTCGCGATGGGTCAGACATGACTTCACGACTAACAACAACATAGAGGCATTCAGCAGTTTTCTACCCCACTCCAAATTAATTCTGCTGCCCCTGTGTTTCGCAAGTGTGCACAAAACATTTCTCAAGGATCCAAAGGCGTCTAGTTGTGTATCACGAGAACTCACAAACAGGCTTGACTTTACCTTGCCTGACTCAGAAAGCAGCAGGCTCTGGGGAGCACCTCTTTCAACTAGCCGTACTCTGGAGAAAGAGATGTATGTTACATAATAAAGGAACAAAGCCCAAGTGTGTTTTTGGAGCAACTATTAGAAGATATAACCACCTTCCACTCAATATTCTGGACAACCTTAAAACATACGCAGATTAAATTCATATCATAGCATATTAAGTTTTTAATAAAAATGAAACTAATATGGGGAACTTAACCAACACTGCTGAACAATTGTTCCTGCTGCATGTGGCATGAACAACTGAACAGAAGAAGAAAAAAACCATGGGTAAAATATCTTAATTGCCTTATGGGTTAATGACTACTGGAGAACTACAGATTCTGCAAATGCTGAGTGGGTTCAACATTCTGATTTTTGGAATACTATCAACTGGTGAGGGTGAGGCAGGGAGGTCAGACTGAGATGCTACAAAGGGGGTCCCCGTGCTGCTGTCAGGAAGGGAGGACAGGATCCAGTAAACAACTGGAGAAGAATGATAGAAATTGCATCAACCTATAATGCTTTTTTTTTTGCGGGGGGGGGGGGGGCTACCCTGTTTTTTGCCTTCCTTTCCAAGGGCCTTGATCTCCTAAAACTGCTTAGCACCACTCTAGGTCTTAATGCAAAAACACAAGAAGGTAACTATTGGCTTGGTCTGCATGAGCCATCATGCCGCACCATGGATTATTTAATCCACAATGAGCTGCAAGGCCTAAGGACACCCTCTAACATTTGCAATCACTAACTGGGGGTTGTTGCAGCAGAACCTGACCATCAGAAGTTACAATATAACCCCTGGGTTGGTATAGGGTTATGCAACCCAAGGTGTGCTTGTTTCTGTTTTAATTCTCACATAATGTTTAACGGCCAGTTGGAGATAACATGACAACTCCTGATTGAGGATTGCAGTTTCAAAAGAGTGGCCAACACTGCTCCTGGAGGGGTGGAATAACCCTTGATGGGCTGTCATGTTGCGTGAATTGCTCCATTAATTTACTCAAATCTGATCATATGTTGGTAAGATACAAAAGTTTGTCTGAATGACCTAAATTAAATGATCTACTCAGCTCACAGAATTCAGCAAATAAAAAAGTCCATTAATAAATAAACACATAAAAATAGCAGCAGTACCTGTCATGTCTTAACGATTTCAGATCGACATACACTGTGGTGGGATCAGGCCCTGAGGTTCCCTGTAATATTAACAGAGAGTATTTGAAATGTCGGTATTTCCTGATTCCAATGAGAGAAACAGTAATGATAGGCATTTCAATGCCTTAAGGGATTGCATCCTGGATGACCAAATGCCTAATGATATAACATGCAGGTCAAAGAACAAGGAGAGTATTAAAGGGGATGGTTTGTGCTTCATGCTATCCAGGAAGAATTTCTACCACATCCCACCATTCTCATTTTTTTCAGTCCACTGACCCTGAGAAACAAGATGTGGGCAGTGGCCTCTTCTCATACTTTTCTGTGTACAGAAAGAGAACGTAGCATTCAAATTTTCTTTGCATTATTAGTCAAATTAACTTTCTGCATTGGACTGATAGAAAACTTTCTGAAGCTCTTTTTTCAGAAAATATGATCTCTTGGAAAGCCACACTACACAAGTTGCCACATATATTTGCAGCACAAAAGGAACTGATAAATAAGACAACAATGCTTTTATCCCACGCAGTGATGTGATGTTTACCCCAGAGTTCGTAATGGCTGCAGGTCAGCACACTGCCTCTCACACATTTGTCAGCTGTAATCAACAAGCCAGAAACGCCCAATGGGCAATTGCTGAGTTAACTCTGGTTTGTTTAACCCCTAAATAATCCAGAGTTCTGGGTTTAGATAAGACCACAACACAGCAAGATGACTGAAAGCAGCACGGTCACTCTCTGTTGCACAGCCTCACTCATTCCTGAGCTAAGTGACCCAGGAATTGGTGTGATGTGCAAACAGTGTAACTCTGACCTATTGAGGAATCAGTGACAATATGGACCATACAAATGTTCTCTACAATCACCCAGTAAACAAGCACTTTAAATTTTTCAGGCTCATAAAAGTTTGCCACAATCTCAGCTGCGGAAGAGACTGAGAATAGCCCCCTGTACAACAGGTCTTAGGATTACCTGTAAACAGATAGCTACATTGACTCTTGACCCAAAGGTGGTGCTGACTGCACGAGATGACAGGCCAATGTCCTTGAAGAGCTTGGAGAAGGACTGAGTGAGGGCAACTCGTGGGCGCTCCTCTGCCACCACTACGCAGGTCCGAACACCTGAAAGGTTAATGCCTCTTGCCTGCCAATACACAGAAGTGAAAAGGCCTGAACATGTTTATCTTCAAACAGTTCAAAGAAAACTTGAGACAGTCCTCCATTCAGGATCCAGGGAGACAATTCTGTCCTAACAACACATAACTAGGCTCACTGTTGTATCTCCCAGCGACTAGGAAATCACTGGCATGACCACAATAACGTAATATGCCTGATCTACTCCGTAAGAAGTAGAATACAGATACAAACAAACAAAATGCACCAAGTGTACTCTTCTCATATCAGCCATATTTAGACTGATAAAGGAGCCCAATGCTCTAAGCTCTTTATGACAGAAGGGGAAAAAGTGAAGGATCAAAAGACAAACTGTGTCCAAAAAGTCAGATCAGTATGTACCATCAGAGTTGCTCGGTAATCATTAAAACAATATACACATTTGTGCAAATGGCAAGATATGGATCTGGTCACACTAACACTGAAACAAAATAAAGTTATAACAATGGGGCCCAATGACTCACCTTTCGCAACACCACTGACAAAACTCTGGCTCACATCAAAGAGGATAGGTCAAATCTCAATCCTGGACTTATTTTTACAATGCAGACCAAGTAATGTTAAGAAGCAAATACTATGCTATGATTTTCTGATTTCACCCCAGCAGAAATCATATTTGTTTTATTTAGCCAAACCAGTAGTCACAACAAGTAGCAAGCTTGCAGCAAAGATGAATTAGCAGCATTCATTACTGTTAACAGCACTATCACACCACTGTGTTTCACTCGCAAATTCTAAGATGCTGCATGTTGAATTTAAAATTCCTATGTCACTCCCTTTATGGGGTTAGATATAATTAGCTTGTAAATAGAAGAATGGGAGAAAAAAACAGATGCTTCAAGGTGATTGCAAATGCCTGGCTCAAATGCAATGTTAAGCTATGGTTCAGCATCATGAAAGCTCATCACCGTGGAGTTTGGGGCTTGCACATTCCCTTTTCCCTTCCTTCCTCCTTCATACACCAGGGGGAGGCTTAACACTTCTAATCATGATTTGAACAAACCAGTTTCCATATTTTCTGAATATAGTACACTGGAGTTTGAACAGACCAGTTCAGGAGGTCAAAGTGTGACTTAATATCCTGGTTTGTGAACTAAGGTTTGTACAAACCATGATTTATCATATGAAACACAAATTTGCAATTTGTTTCAAACCAAGATCATAATTTCACTTTAAATTTCCCTCTCTTTCTGTGTAAAGAGTGAAAAGAAAGAAAAGAGTGCATGAATCCAAGGGCTGCCATGGCTTGTGCACCTAAGAAACTGTGGTTTGTTGCTATTTAAGGCTAACCCTTTTCCATTTAGAAACAAACAAAAACAAAACAAAACAAACCAAGATTGTCATATTTCATTCTTAGTGAGCATTTTCAAGATATGTCACTCCAATATCAAAATGACAAGAGCTCAAGAAAGCAATTATCAAACAGAGTGAAGTGAATGTTAAAGTAGTGGCTGTTTCCAGAGATTCAGATGAAACTGAAGCAACACTGAAGAGTATGGATGAGTAGCCCAGCTCTCATAAAGTCCCTTTATTCACTTCATGGGGCTTATGCAGCACAATTTCTCAATTGTGCCCTATGTTTCCAAAGTGGATTGTGAAAGTATTCTATTTAAGTCAACTGAACTTTAAAAAAAGAAATAAAATTCAGTTCGAATAGTCTGAAAACCAAAACATTTGTTTTAAAAAAATATTTTTAAACAATCACGCCTGCCCCCATAACCCCATACTTCTTACCTTTAGTACATCAACCTGGTTCCCAAGCCCCTTTGTACACATGTCCATGACCGAATAGGAACAGAAAGTGTCTCGTATTTTATACTGGCTTACAGTGGACAGCCATAGGAAAAGGTTGGATTCCAACTCCATAGGAGGAATTAAAATAGACTGGTGACCAGAATATACACTGTCAAGAGATCACAGGTAAGACATGATATCAGTTCTTGGCACTGGATGCATTTTATTAACTTCATGCAGCTTAGAATGTCTAACAGGCCTCTTCTTCACCGTCCTTCCTGCACAGCACCCCATTGCAGCCCCTGCCCAGTCTCTGGCAGTGCAGGCATCCGAACTCAAGCAAATGGTGGGCATACTGGTGATCCAGGCAACATATAACCATGTGGCTGCATCACAGCTGCAGACCCGGTCCCATCTGTAGCTGGTGTAAGTAGTGACCACTGTCAGGGCATTCATTTATGAGAGACACTTCACCACAGGGCTGCTAAGAGCCCTTTGAGGATGCCCTGCCTGGCCTCGGTATTGCCCATGCAGGTGGGTTGGGGAAACTCAGCTACTTGCAGTGCTGCAAAGGACTGCACCCTTTATAGACACATTTTCTTATCACACGCAGGTCCCAGCCTTGGACTAGGCAGCTAGATCTAAAATTAATTGAAACCACTGGAGGACTAGAGGTACATTCAATTATTTGTTCCAGTTTATAGCAGCAACAGCAGCACTGCAACAAATGTCTTCCTGTGGATGTACATGAGGAGAAAGCATGGACTGCTTTGTCTGTGAAGAGCATATATAGGTGGGCGACTGTAGGAGGCCCAGACCCTCCCACCCCTGAAAAAAATTAAAACAAATCGTCATTAGTTTGCTGCCAAAATTCATCAGCAAGCAGCTGCACAGCACTACAAAGATTAAATTTAACTACATTTGATCCATGCAGTGCTACGGGTGCTGTTTTGTTCCTCTAAAAAATCTGCTTCTGCCAAATTCACATACAGCACATACAGACTCTAGGCTGCATGTTTTGTAGCTCACTGCAGTGATTCACTATAAGCAAAAGCCTCTGATGATAGCCATCTTGCCAATGAGATTGGCATGCTCTGTGGGAGACAAGTGTTTGGAACTTAGGCTCATGTGAACTGGATTCACTTCATGTGAAGAGAAAGGTCCTAATACCTGATGTGACAATCAAGCCCTTCAACAGATCGAGACCGCTGTTCTGGTTCACCCCAGCAAGGGATCTATCTTTTGCAAGCATACCAGAGAGCCTAAGTGCATCTTGTTTCCTACCTGCAAAGGCACCAAAGTGCAAAGCCGAGCCCACAGTAGGGATCCAGACAGATGGCAATCTGCCTTGAGGAGTACAGTTCACACTGGAGCTTTATGGCTCTGCACAGGGCACTGACTGCTGCATGGGACATCTGCAGTGATGGGGAGGGAAAGAGAGTGGGGGTGTGGGAGAGAGAGAGCACTGAATTCTAGTAGCACAACAGCAAGAACGTGATATACACAACCTTATCTACATGCAGGTCAACAAGAAGCCATAATACAACCCATGGATCCCATCTTCTGAGCCTACAGCCCCGAGAACAGATGTCTCGCATGCACTGCACAGCTGCCAACGTGTGGTTTTACTCATCCAGTGATTATTTACTCAGGCTAGAAAAAATCTGCCCTGTTTACATTCAAAACATACCTTTGCAGCCCAGCCTAGCAAAGAGGCACTTCAGCACATTGACTACTGAAGCACTACTGTACCTTCACTCCTGTAAGCATCCCTGTGGTAGAAACGCTAAAATCCAGGTAGGCCAACATTTCTGGAGTTGGTGGTTTGTAGACCTGAGGTAGCCGCTTCCTGGGCAAGTCATCTGAAATGAGTAAAAGGGAAAGTGATTAAAATCAGTGAGATTCTCTGGGAAATGAAACAAGCAGGAGGTTCTGGAATGTAATAGAGCCACCTTCTGCAATACAGGGATAAAGTGCACTGCCTCCTTCCGGATAAATACAACTGGCTGCCCACTATGTCTTTTCCTAAATCAGCCTTTCTGAGAAAAGGGGGAAAGAAAGCCCACATATGTACAGAGAACCAATCTGCTTGACTCACATTATCCTGGATTGGCCCCCGAGGGGCACCTACATTGCAGTCACGACACTGAAGAAATATGAAGACTCTGAGGCTGATCTGGTATCATTACCTGAGCTAATCATTGTAAATATGCAGAAGGTCATGCAACCCTTTGTAAGAAAAGCTTCTTGGGTACAGCCAAGCGTCTGATTTTTCCCATTGACCTAGAAACTTGCTAGCATGTTATGCAGACAAGGGGATTATTTGGAAGGCTTAGTCAGAAACTAAGTAGGAACTTCAAATGGCTTTGGTCCAGAGGGGTCTGAAGATGCTTGGAGTGAATGAGATGGACCAGAGGGCTTTATTACCTGTGTCAATGATGGTTGGCCAGGTTTTCACATCAACAGCAGTTGCAGCCTCCCTGGATCTCAGTAACCTCATCAAGGTCTGACTGGTGAGAATACAGGCAGCTTTGCTGACCTAAAATACATCCAACAAGTAACTTCTGTTAGGAAGTGAAGAAGTGAAAAAAAACATCAGCCCATACAAGATTTAGAGCTTAAGAACTAAGGCATTTGGTTAAATTAAGTCATTCAATAGTCACTCCAGGGAAGCAACAGAGCCAAGCATTTATGTAGGGTGGTATCCAGCGTTGGTCTGTCTTAAGTTCTATTCATATAGACTGGGTCTACTTTAAGTAGGACTAACATTCAATACAACCCATAATGCTTTCTGATTGATCAAAGTAATTCACATGCAATACTACAGTATTCCTTAGCACAGCATTGCCCTATTAGCCTAGTATTAACCCCAAACTGCAGGCAGGGGTTGCTAAAGCTGAGCAGCAGCACCTTCCCTAATTGCCACCCATTGAGTTCATGAAGTGACACTTTTCCTAGATTAAAACTACACAGTGATTAAAATGCAATTACAATGTAACACAGAAAAGGACATACAAACCAAAAGACCCATTCACAGGCCTTAGTCTGGGCATGCTGGTGGAAAGAGAGCAGAAGAGGAGTGAACCAGGCCCTCCTTGAGAGGGCGCTCCACAGCCAGCATGCAAGTGGGCCACTGAAAAGGCCCTCCCAGCTCAGTGCCAAATGTGAGTGCCTCTAAACGCCAATGGGCTGCCAGAAGATCTTAATAAGCAGACCAGCTCGCCAGGAACGGTGTGGTCTTTTGGGTAGCCTGGTTCTGAGTCACACAAGGCTTCATAGGTCATCACCAGCACTCAGACTTCAGCCTGGAAATTGACTGAGTGCCAGTAAAGCAGCTGTAAAAAGGGGCCTGCATGCACTTGTAACTGGCCCAGCTCAACAATCTGGCTACACTATTATGGAACAGCAGAAGTTTCTGAAAGGTTCTTGAAGGCAGCCCGACAGAGAGCACTATACTGCAGTCCAAACAGCGTGTAACTAAGGCATGCGTGACTATGGTCAGATCGGTCACCTTCAGGAACAGGCGTAGGTGGAGGACCTGCCTCAGCTGTGGAAAAGCACTCCTGGCCACTGCCAAGACTGGGGTGTCCAGGTTCGGTGCTGAGCCAGGAGTAAACCAGCCTGATGTTTCAGGGGCACCGTTGACTTCTAATCCCTATTCCCTGATCTGCCTTTCGCCTGGCCACAAGCACTTTGTCTTGTCTGGATTAAGCCTGTATCCTTTCCCTTATCCATTCCCTTACCAGTATCAGACTCTGCGTGACAACCAGAGAGAACATCAGGTGTCTTCAGCATACTGTTGGCAGCAAACCTCAAAGCCCCAGACACTCCCCGAGCAGTCGCATGACCCTCCTTTGCTTTTCTTCCATACATGTCTGAGTAAATATTTCGAATTCATATGAAAATCTAACAGTTTGGTTTCAATCTTCAGTTGAGAGGAATTTGGACCTTTTACTACCACTTCTTGTAAGGAAGGCAATTGTATAACCACAGTAGTATTTCTGTCATAATCGGATGAGCTGCTCTCTGCTACTCACGTCTACAATCATCCGCACGGTGGGCAAAGTAGCAGTGAGGTTCTGGGCGTGTGGCGGCCGGACGGTTACTGGGATGCAGCCAGCATACAGGCAGCCGTAAAACGCTGCAATGAGCTCGATACCTGCAGTGAAACACACACATCACTCAGCATCCCGACATCCCTCTTTTTTGCTGGGAGCACTTCAAAAAACCACAGTCCTTGAGGGCAAAGTGTTTATCTGCCGCCCAACCTAGAAATGCAAGTGAAACTGGAGGATGGGGTGGGGGCAGAGAAGGAAAGAAGGGAAAATTAAGAGAAGGCAAAGAAGCCACGATGAAAACTGTCACTGTAGAAAAGCCAGAAGTGAGACAAGAGTGATTCAAAGCAGAGTCTGCAACAACAAAACTCAGGTGTAGACTGCTCAAGTGAATGACAACTCAGTGAGCAACCAGCCAGGTATGGGGGAAGGAGAACCAGGTGCAGAAGACCAAGACAGTGATTTTGTTTGTCACAGTGAAAGGCAATTTTAAGTCACACCAAGGATAAAGCTCTTCCCAGATTCCCCCCTTCCTCTGGACTAGCCAAGCAAAGCTAGTTTAGCAGAGCCAAATTCAAGAGAACCCAGAAGGAACAACGTTTAGATGCCCATAGTCCAAATTACCACAGAACTTCCCAAATGTAGAGAAATAAATCTCCCTGGGCGAAGAAGACAATCCTACATGATTAATATTGCACTGTATTGTAACCACCTATCTACTTTTAGGATCCAAGTTAGAAGGTTTCATTTACAAAGTAAGGCATGGGAAGGAAGAGGTTTGTCTTGAGGTAAGGAAGGTTCCATTTGACCTGAGTGGAAAAGCAAATAAACAAACACCTTCAGCTTGGCTTCCTGTTTCAGCTGATAATATAATGCTCCCTGGGTCTGAATCGGTCAAGCCACCTCAGTTCTGCATACCACAATGCACTTCCCACAGTCCAGGAAATAAATAAGGCTGCCAGTTGAGGGAGGGCTGCATGCACTGAATTCCTGGAGAACTTCTCCCAACGATGCGAGACGTGTCTTACCAGGAGGATAGAGCAGCACCACATTATCCCCAGCATTGAGGTGTCCCTTTTCATACAGAATCGATGCGATTCGCTCAGCTCGCTTGTGCAGCTGCAGGCAGGTGGCTGTACATACTGGGGCCCCCTTGCAGAGACAGAAAGAAACATTCTCTGAAGTCTAGATAAGTACATGCAGCCTGAAGAGAGCGCTTTTGGAAGCCTCTAGCATGCACTGACAGTTCTCTGCAGCGCTGCTCACCTGCTCTTCCAAGTCACTCCAACTGCAGTGGGCCAAGAGTATCTTTGGGGAACGTTTTCGCAGTTCCATGACCGAGCAGATGGGACAGATTAGGACCAAATTATCCAAGGTGCTGAAATGGGTAGTCTGGGATCAAAGTCTCCAGTGTGATGCCTGTGGACCCCTTCTCTTGGCACCCACCAGGCTCTCTGTCATTCCTTTGATTCAAGATGTGATTCATTTAAAGCATTTTTACCCTGTCCTTTACTGGTACTTGGATTGTTTGTTTTTTAAACCTAGGAGGTTGCCATGCTCCAAAGCAAAGTGTTCCCTTTGAATACCACCTTCATTTGGTTGGTTTTGTTGGTTTTGTTTGGTTTTGTTTGGACCTCAGCCTCTACCTCTGTCTTGAACTTCGATCCTAAGGCAAGTTACTTTGCTTTTAGACTCACCAGTTTGCCTCAAGAGAAATGAAACCCATTTGGTTTTTTTGGGTGAGCATCATGGCAGCCATATGATGAATGAGGAAGCCCTTCATGGCAGCCATTTTGTGCAAGGGGCTGTATCATCCACCATCCCCAATGTGCCTTCCTATCAGAAAAAGTTGGGGACTTTTGCAGGGCTTAAACTGTCAGTTCAGGTCTCTACCCAACCAATGAAGCACCTAATCATTGAAAGGTCTCAGCTCTGTCTGGTCATTTTAAAAACAGAAATAATAATGACCTACCATGCATGCTTACTGTGAGTGCAAATAAGGATTGTTAGGTCCCTGTGAGTTTAAAGAATTAATATTTATACAAAGGATTACATTTGGGCACAACAGTCAAGACACTTATCTTGGTTGGGGAAACAGCTGAAAAAACATCCATCACTACAATAACCTCTGCAATAATGTCCGCAAGTTGCTACAGAGATGTCTTTTCCCCTCCTAACACAATTGAATTGTTTTGCCATGAGAAGACTTGGATTAGATGATTAAAAGTGTCAATACTTTGTCACTTCGCTGAAAATTCTCTTCAATATTAAGCTACTGAATTCCTATGCTTATGTTAATATACAGAAAAGGGCTGGTGAACTTGTTTGAAAAGCCCTAGGCAATAATTAGAGATGAATGGAGTTGAAGTCCAACCATTTCTGGAGGGTCACAGAGATGGACAGGGTCCACACAACACCCTAAGCTACAGCGGCCTCAAACCCACAGTGGTTTACTGTGTTGTCCAAACCCGTCAGCACTTCCATGGGGTGGCTTCTTTGTGCCTACAAAGACACTCTAGCAAACCATGGCTTGATGAAACCAGCCATGGCTTCCTTTGTCATTTGAAATCAGATGATACTGCAAACCCAGGTGAAGCCAAAGGCCCTGCAGAGACACTTGAGCACAGCAACAGAAAGGCTTGCCACTCTGGCCAAGTGGCTTGGGGTGTGCGAGCCCACTTGTACAGCGTTGGCAGTGGTGCCAGCTCTTGACGAGGCCCAGCAAAATGCATCTGCTCAGGAGCAGCCTAAGCACAATGCAGCGTTTCCCTACTCCCCACAAGGTCACCCACGGAAACACTCTGGCTGGTGAGGTTCTTGCCAGCCACAGTGAGAGTGGGTGCACCTGCTTTGGTGCATCACAGACGCTGGCACACCATCTTCCCGAGGTCCTTGCCAGCTAGAGTGAAGAGGCACTCCTGCAGAGAGCAGGGAGGAAGCAGGAAGATGGTTCTGGAGCCACGATGTGCCCAATCATCTGTCAGGCATTTCGTGAGTCCCTGGACAAACAAACCACACTGCATAGCTTGTGACTTGCTGTCTCCTGTGAATGTGCCCATTGTGTAATACACAGCCTTGCAATCAGCAAGAACTTATACCATCAGTAAAGATGCTGTGTTAGGTCATCTCCTGGCATGGTCATCTCCATGCCCAGGAAGGCAACTTCTGTGTTCTTATTGGTCCACCTACTAATTCAGAGTCCATCAGTAGACAAAGCTTCCTTGACACAGATACAAGTAGAGGCTTAATCAGATCTTCCATGAGCCTCTGCTGTACTTCCATCTTTTCTAACTTGCTGAAAGGTGTCCCACACTTTGTACTTTCTCAGCTTTTTCTATGATGTTAACAGCCTTCTTTGGCTGGACCAACCTCATAAACCAAGGGAATGCAATGTTCATGCAGCCCCTAAGCCTGGATGCCTCCAAAATGTGGAAGAAACAAGTTCCAATTGTATTCCCTTTCTATGGGGAGCACAAGTCACACAAACACATACTTGGAAGGTTGTAAGACCCTGTCTGTACCTTGGCATTGAGCAGGAGGAAAAGCATATGTTCGGGAGTTGCTTGTGCTCTCCACTGGAGTACCTCAGACAAGAACTGGTGCTGCAAAGAGAAGAAGCGGTGAATCGTAGAGACAACCTCAACATGGTGCAGGGCTGGTGCAGAAAGGAAGGAGGGCTCCAAGAGATCACCTCAGAATTTTTCTTTGAGACATGGGCGAAAAGCACAGCAAAGAAACCACAGGTGGAAAGGGTGAGAGCCCAGATGGGTCACAGAAGGAAAGGCTATGGGCCCAGGCTTGGTTAAACTAGCAGAGACCCACATTTATCAGCAGCCTAACAAGTAGACGTGTCCAGCGGAAACAGAACTAGTAGGAAGCCTGACCCAGGTAGCTCATGGCTATCCCTTTTTCACCGACTGTCCAGTACAGTAGAAATGGCAAACAGCGTGGGAATGGGCTTTGGAGCAGAAACCAGTGCCAGTGGTCTTAGTGCTGTGCTGAAGAGGATGGAAACCTCTCGCACACATACCTGAAGGACAGCGCATGCTCTATTGGGGGTAATCATCATCCCTGCTTGGATTCCTTAGGTCACTAGCCAGAGACCTAAGCAGAACAGCAGCTGGCCCAGGTGAATAGCAAAATGGCACACAGCACTGCTGACTGCCTTAAGGTTTAAGGATCAGGAGAAAACCATGTATAAGCAGCACCATGATGCTGTTCGCAGCCCAGCAATCAAGCCTGGAAGCATCACCGATCCTCTATTACAGCTGTGGGCAACCTCTGGCCCTAAAATACCACTTAATACCACTTTCTGTAAGCCGTCTTGAGATGTTTAGTGAAAGACGGGATAGAAATGTTTTATTAAATTAAATTGTTAAATTCATTTCAAAAGCCCTCAAGAAGTATTCAGACCTCGGGCAAGAGTAGTCTGTTCCTATGGTAGCAGCTTGATGAGCAGGGAGGAAGGAGAGGAGGCAGGCTCTGCCCCACCCAGCACCAGCATTCAGCCCTCCGCTGTTCGCGCTTGGAAAAAAATGCAGCTTTCAAAAGGAAAAAGGTTCTTGGCTGGCTCTGTTAGACAGGACCAGGAAAGCAGCTATGCACAGCCTCACTGGGATTCCAGTGCAGTTTGCTCAGCTGGCTATTTTCCCACAAACACGCACCTTTCTCACCAAGTCGTTCTCCTCTATCTGTCCGAGATCCCGCCCAGAGGCCTGTGCGATGCGCTTCCCTGCAACCAGGTTTCCCACCATCACAGAGGCAGGGCCAACACCTGTTGGCAGATACCAAGGCTTGGTCAAGGTAAGTTGTTTGCGAGCAGTCACTTCAGAGGAAGGGATCTGGACTGGGCACTACAGTTCTGAGAAGGGTGAGGCACTTTATTTATTATTATTTATTTATTTGATCTATATGCTGCCCGATTAGCCATAAGGCTCTCTTACAAAGATTAAAACAATAAGGCATGAGGCCAAGTCTTACCATAAGCATTCCAGCAGGGGGCAACGCTAAGAAGCAGGAAAGACTGGAGAGAGGAGGGCAGGCAGTTGGCTAGGAACTCATCTCAGAGACAAGGACTGGTGGCTAAATAAAGACCTTTCACATATTTCTTCTGAGCAAGAGTTAGAAAACACAACACCGTAAGAGATATTTGGGATAAAGACATGGGGAAAACAGGCCAAAATACTTTTTTGGGAAGGGTGAGCGTTGGCAGGCAGCATTGAGCAGGTGACTCCATACAGCAAGCAAATGACAAGAGAAGCCAGCTGTTTCATTTATTTATTTTAGAAGGCAGTGCCAGATTTACTAGACTTTAAAGTGCTCACTCATAAATAAAGGGCAGCCAAATAGCAGTGGCCATGCATTAAGCAGTTTTTAAACTACTGCATGGAAGAAAGTTTTACATTTTTGAGTGTGTTGATTATATGGATTTTTTATCTTGGTTACATTGTTTCTCACTTTCTACTCTAAATAAGGTTCTGTGAGGAAATGGTTGGGGAAGAAATGATAAGGCCATATCTGACAAACAATTTCAGTGGAGGAATTTCCATTAAGCTTTTGGCAGACATGGGGCACAATCCTATGCATGTTCAGATGAAGACAAAAAAGCAAAAAAAGCTCCCATTGTGCCTTAATGGGGCTATTCTGTTAAATTATTCTCTTTTAATGCAAAGGTTACCTGGTTGTTTTTGCCTGGGTTTTGGCAGATTGGTTACACATGTGTGTGGGCACATGAGGATGTTACATGGGTGCAGTGACCCTTCTAGGAAGTGTTGTTTGGTCTGAGATATATGGATCCCTCCCAGAGGAGTTTTTGGCAAAGTATTGGCTGGAACAAGAGCAAGGCAATATACTCCCACTTGATGAATGCTGTCGATCGCCTAAGAACAAGAAAACAGAGGATGGCTTTTCAGCACACAGTGTAATTATGAACAGTTATTGATACTTCATAATCTGGATAGTTCTAGAAGGGAGATGAGGCAAGTCATCCAAGTGCAGAAAGCCAAGCTGCCAATGTATCACAAGCTGTGTGGTCACCAATATCTTGCATGGAACTTAATGGCCAAAGAAAGAATGAGCACACAGCAGGCCAGGAGCCAGCAAAGTTGTATCCACACAGGAAGCTTTTTGTGCTTCCAGTTCATGGCATGGTGAAAGCACAGGAAGCAGCAATTCAAGGAAGAGAGTTATATGATGATGGAGAGGAGAAGGAAAAAGAAGAGACAAGCCTGCAGGGCTGCTTTCCCTTGGTAGATGGGAGAGATGGAGAAAGAACAGCAGCCTGTCCATATGATATCCAGATCCTGGATGCACTGAAAGAAGTTCCTCATTTCACACACTCATTCTAAATGTTCCCATCAAATGCAGCACATTTTAAAATTGACCCTGGAAGGAACTGGAGGTACAACTGTTCTTCAAATAACATTGAGAGAAACAAAATGAATGCAGATTTCTTTTGCAGTGCTCCTTGTATGTAGAACTAAGCACATAGTGGTTTTATATTTTAAAAAAATAATTACCACCACAAAAGGGCGAAGACTGTCATCCTATATACACTGATATGGGAATAAGCTCTGTTGAACAGTGACCTCTGAGAATATACATATATTTTGCTTTGGAAAAATGTAGCTGGCTGAACAATTAGTGACTTAAGAGCTTGCTTTGGTTAACTGACCCTACAAATTTTAATCACATGAAGGGAAATGTCTGCCCACCAGTGACTTTTTGAAAAACTTTGTAAGATACACCAATATTAATTGTAATAAAATTACAATTTTTGATTTTGCATGTAACAGGTGAGCCTTATGTAAGCTCTCATCAATGTGTATATCCAAAAGCATGTGGTATAATGCTTTCTAGGCAGTGCTGAAATTGTTCTAGGCCTGATAACCGGAGAAGGGGCTGATTTCTGCAAATATACACCCTCTGAATCACTGTCCAGATGACAGAGCAGCCTTCAATAAAGCTTCAAAATCCCCAGTGCATCTGACACTGACTGGTTCCATTTCTAAAGGGCTGCCAACCCATCAGAAGAGGAAGTTAAGTTCCTTAGCCTGTTCCAACCTGTAGCACACGACTCATCCATTGGAAACTGTCCTCTTCAGAGGCATCTGGCCGCTGCTCAGCTACCACCACAATCCTCTCATCGTAAAACACAGTCACAGAAAACACTGCAATCCTAAAAGGTACAAGAAACATACTGTATAGTGTGCATCTTTCCCCAATGCAACTATGCCCATAAATTAGTAGTGGGGAACTGTCAGCTCCCCAGGTGTTGTTGGAGTACAAGCTCAATCATCTCTGATCAGTGGCCATTCTGGCATGGGTTGATGAGAACAGTAGTTCAAAAACATCTGGAAAGCCAGAGGTTTTCCAACTCTGGCATAAACATGTCAGAATCCATGTAAGCTGAAAAAGGTTGGCACCTATTACCAGGCTTTTTAAGGTAACCACTAATCTCATAATCTAGAGTTGCTCTTCTCACAAACCTTACAGCTCTCCCTTCAGTACTCCCCTTACTATGGATCAGTGGCCCAAATGTGGAACATTGGCAAAATCTATGTCAGGAATTGTTCTGGCTTGTGATTTTAACACTGGTTGCCATGGACCACTGGGGAAGATTGCAATTAAACAAAATTCAAGCTGATTTAGGACATCCCAATGGCTGATGCAATTTTTATGTGCTGGAAAAATTAATGCCAAAAATCATCCTTTTGGGGGAAGATGAGAACTATACCTCTTTGGTATGAACAGTGAATCTGAAGAAAGATCTTGTGCTGTGGCTGCCCACAGAACTTAAACACAAGATCAGATGAGTAGGACAAAGGTGCAGAAGTAGGGCTTAAGAAAAATGTATTTCATTTTACCCAGTCCTCAGTACAAGTTACAAGAGGGGTGGTCCAGGAGACACTGAGAAGAAAATGTGGGCTTTTCAGGTAGGGAGGAGGACTGCTTTATATGTGACAGTTTTAGATGTACCCTGAAGTGTGACTGAGACAGGCCTAAGTTTTGAAAATGCGTGCAATAAAAGCATCTTCAGGGTGCCAGGATGTGTTGTGGTTCACTGCTGAGTGAACAGTCTGTGACTAAGTTAGTTTTGCATCCAATGTAAGGTACCCAATGATCTTTAGAGTAGGAGATGGAACTGGACTCTAAGAGTAGGAGGCTAATCCAGGCAGCAAAATGGCCCAAGGGAAGACAAAAGGAACAAACAGCAAATGTCTCCAGGACTTTTATCATATTTTCCCTCATGAGCAACTTAGCTTACAAAATAAAAATCCATGCTACTTTGAAAGGGAAAGGGAAATTTCACAGAAAGAAGGTTCTGTATTTCTCATGCTTTCCAAACAATAAATATTTAAAGCTCTGCTTGAGAAATGGTAGCTGTCCTTCATGGAAGGAATATTTTGATTTACAATTTATAGGAGCTTGCCTCTCTACAGAGCTCTCTGCAAAATGTGCAACTTTGAGGACCTAGAGTTGGCAGGTGCTATCTCTCCTACCTTCACACTGGCTGCCACTGCCACCACTGAAAGAAGCCCCTCAGATTCCCATGAATTTGGTAAAAAGACATGTTTTTCTGTCATTTCTGATGTAACTTCAGAACATGGAAAAGATGATACTGAAAAAAACCCTAGCAACAGTAATTAAGCAGCCATGTTCCTCAAAAAGCAATCAGAAGGTTTATGCAATCAAACTCTTTTCTGGAGATGAAGACTAACCTTCCTCTATAAACTGTTTTTATAGATTCAACTGCCAGTCCTGTGGCCACGATGTCGTCAGCATTATGTCTGCGTCCACTAACGATAAGCATCCCATCTATTTTTCCAACAACAAATACCAGGCTACCCTGAAAGGCAAAAATGGACAGCAACAAACAAAATCATCCTCCCCATTGCATAAAATTATATGCTTCTCCATTACTTTAGTGAATGCTTTTCCTTTCTTTAAATGGTCACACTAGGCATGCACTCCTTCAAAAAGGCCAGCTAAGAAAATTCTGAACACTTAAATCAGACTATTTACATGATATACAGATAATGGAATCAAACACCTTGTAAAGTATTTTAATACGGAGTTCTTTTTAAGAGGACTACTTCAAGTGAGCAAATCAGAACAGAAGGTTCTGAATTATCCAGCAAAGCTTATGTATAAATCATAGGAAATCTTAAATTAGAGTATCAAAAAGCAGTGTAACGTAAGATTCTGGATGCACCCACCATTTGACGTATACTGGAACAGGGAGGCCCTGAGCAACACTTTTCTCTGTCTGTCTCTGCCAATGTGTGGGCAGTGAAGGAATAAAGCTGCACCAGGACTCCCAGCTGTAGCCTCTGCTGACAGGCATCGGGGAATCACAGAAGCAGTTTTAAGCAGAAGCATCAGCACTGCCGCTAGAAAGTACAGTTTCACTGCTAAGCACTGGGCACAGGCAAAGGACAGGATGCCAGGAAGGAGGATTAACTGGGTCACCTCACAGTGGTGAGGATGCCGGGCTGCTGATTATCCTGGGAGCTAATTGAAAATTGCTGACTTTGTGTGTGCAGTAACTCAAGAATGCCTCCATTTTTAAAACTGAAGGGGTGGGGCAACTTTGAACCTCAAGTAGCAAACACTGAGAAACACAGATCTAAGCATTTTATCTATAGGATTAATGCTTGTCTCTTTAATAATGTGTTGCCATATGCAGCATCTCTTTCTAATAGTGAAAAAATGCAAGTGCATCACAGAGGACTTTAGAGGTTTGGGGGACTTTAAAAAATACATGTTTGCTACAAAGACTTGGTGGGGTATTTGTATAGCCCCAGTCTCATAACATGTGATGAAAGCAGCTGAACGTACAGGTCCAACAAAACCCAGCAATCCAGAGCGCACAAATGGTACATCACCCACAGGAGAGCCAGCTGAATTCACAGGAATGACCTAAAAAAAAAAAAAAAAGCAAAAAGACCATTGGTGATAGAAGGAACAATGCATTTTAATACAGAAGGATGCAGGAAGATTGCCACTGCAATACAGCAAAAGCTCTTTTTAGACACAAACAGTTCTGGGGGAAAAAAAAAAGAAAATCAATCCTTTTCACTGGAGCATATTTTACTTACATAACTCTAGCACTGACATTAATTAGAACTGAGTGCAAGCCCAGAAAACAAAAATCACTGACTTTCACTGACAGGCACAAGACAGTTTTACTAGTAGACTTAACAAGATTGGAAAGCAGGGCATGATCTGCTGCTGTGATTCTTAGGAGAAGGTTCTCTGCAGTGCAGAATCTACTGTTAGATGATGAAGTACATCCTCCACTTAGTTACCTCAAATTAGCCTGAGCAGAAAGAAACACTCATTTGCAAGACCTACATTGCAAACCAAGGTAGCAAGGGTTGTCTTGGCAGAATGAGGAACACTGTTCACAGGATGAAACAAATGCTGTGCCAGAAAGTAAAACACCATGTCCTGATCAACAGAATTCCTCCAAAACTCTACTCTGGTCCCTATACATTCACTACCAATGAATTCACCATGGAAACTAGAAATGTGCTGTTCTTAAAAAGTGATTTTTGGGATTTTCAGGATGCTGAACTATCCAGTAACTTAGCATGGCAATCAACAAATGCACAGGGGTAGGCTTGCATATGCCCCTCATGTACAGGCAAGTTTCAGATAAAAACATATAAATCAAGAAAAACAATCCATTTTTCACTCCTTTCTGTGTATAGTCCTTAACATCAACTGTAAGCATGTTCTAAATCTTGGACTTCAAACTAATTTCCTAGACATGAGTAAATTTAGCATGCCAGTAGAAAACCCCAAGTCAAACTGAGTGTTATGGTTTCCTATATGTCACAACAACAGAGTTTAGCCTTTAAGTTCATTGTGCATGCTGCACCATGCGACCATGTGGCACTAAAAGTGAGGCTTCCAGCATGCATGCATTCCCTGTTCATTTTCCAGTAAGTGCTTAATTAAGCAAGGATAGTCCAGGATGAAATCTCAGGTCAGACATGACCTCACAGGTGGCTTTAGGAATGCACTCTCCCTGTCTGCAACTTGGCAATATCTATGCACCTACCCAACAGGGTTGCTCTAAGAATTCCTAATAATCTCTGTGAAAAGGTGCTTTGAATACTGTAAAGTGCAATATGAATGGTGATGATGATGATAAAACCTTAACACAGAAAGACTCAGTTTCCTTCCCTCCCCACCATCAATGCAAAAAATCCAAACAATCCAAACCCTCTGCTAATTGGTTCAAACAGGACATAACCCATTTGAAAACTAGGAACAGCAGTGACATACCTCAAATGTGTTCTTAGTTACTCCAGTAAGCCCATAGTACATCATCCCTCCGGTTCTGGAGCTAACACAGATTTCACCAATCTCATCTGTCTTACAGAGCTGAGGAGGACCATCTGGTTTCACTATGCACATCATTCCTAGAAAGAATCACACGCCATTAGGAAAGCCTCCACCCCATGTGGGATTAATTCATTGGCTAACGATGCAGAGCACAGCTGTGGCAGATTGGTTCAGTAGCCACAAAGTTGTGGGTAGGTCAACACAGCCCACAGCCAGAATCCAACTGGGTGCCAGAATCTAACAGACCCTCCAGTGAGTCAGAGGGCGCTTGGACCAAAGACTTCATCAATATTTTGATGGCTTCATGTGTTTTTCCTCCACAATGCAGCCTGACATCTGTCAGAACAATGGGGCCTAGCCTACTTTGTAAAAGCAAGCAATGCCCACAGGTGCCCATTTTGTGTCCTCCTCCAAGGCCAAGGGGGCAGAGAAAACGCCTGTCTGTGGGAGGTTATTTGCTTGTATGGCAGGCACACTGGTAGAAGAGGGCCTGTAATGCTGTACACACTCAGGCAATGAAGTAATCATAAGAATCACAGAGTGAAGGAAAACAAATCATTAAAGCCAAACAACTGAGAGAATCACAGCAGATAAATAATAAAGGAAAAAGAAAAACCTCCTCAGCGCAGACAAATTATTCTTACTGAATGAAGAGGTGTTCCCAGCGAGGTAACCACAAAGCCAGCTGCAAGAGAGCTAAGGGAACAGGCAGGCGCAATGGGGCAGGGCTCCTGCTCTGCATCCTTCTGTTACTGATGTTTCCTGAATGGGGCTCTGCGAAGGTGCAGAGCCAGTAAGTGGGATGCAGAGACCATGATGAACAACATGTGCTTCTGGATCATAAGACGTTCAAATAAAAGCTAGCACTTCACTCACATTGCATTTTTGTTGGTTTCTAGCCAGCAGATTTACAGAAAACCACAGGATGAGGGTGGGGGACTAGAAAGAATTAAATACAAGAATGTGCCAAGGGGCAGCACAGGCACAGGCAGCAACTTTCCCCAGACAGAATTCCTTACCTTGAGGTAAATGCTGCAACAACATTAAGAAGAACTATTATCCCATTCCAAGCATATGCCATCATCAACAGATGAACAGGCCTGTTAGCCACACCTGGAGGATTCATTGTGCAGCAGCAGAGGACTGCATAGCACTGGGGCTACTGCAGAAGCAAAATGGCCTTCCTGGTGAACACCATGGCTGCTTTTCTCCCATTACATACTTATTTGAAACTTTTTAATCCAGCTCCTCAACTAAGAAGATTCCCAGGTCAGCTTACCTAAGGTTAATCAAATCAAACCACTCCCTGCACACAAGTTTACAATCCAAAAGACAGAACACAAAAGGAAATAGATAGGGAGGGTAAAGGAAAAAGGCAATCTCAAGCACCAAACTCAAGATAAACAGTAGCTCTTAGCTTTTAGCTCTTATAATGGCCACTTGGAACTCAAATAGTTCTGCAAGAGGAGGAGCCAAATGGTTCAAACACTCCAATAAACCATTAATAGAGCAATTCTGAGATGTCTCAGAGCTAGACTGTATTCTTCCCTTCCCACCACTATGATACTTACCACCTGGCATCACGTGACCAACATCCTGTACAGTAAGAGCAGAATTCTTATCTTCTGTGTTGACACGGATGACACTATAGCTCAACCCATTCATTGATAAGATAGCTCTTCCAGGCAAAGGTGCCCCTGGAACACCAGGCCTGGAAATAAAATGCAGATTCGCGTGCTTCAGCAGTTGATGGCTGAATGGACTGGAATCCCTTCATAGATTATGGGATGTTATGCAGTGGACTGAGAAGGATTTGCAACTCTGAACTATTTAACAATAGCAACTACAACTACAACAAAAAGAGCATATGGCCCCACCACTCCTGAGCTTCTATTTTGCATCTGGCTTCAGCTGGTGAACCTCAGGATTTTAGTGAAAATAAAAGAAAGTAAATTCTGAAAAGCAGAAAGTAAATTCTGAAAAAAATTCTCTTTACACACCTGCACTATGGCACAATAGAGGATACTGCCAGGTTCTTATCCATCATTTAGAGCAGAAGTGAGGGGCCCCGTTGCTGTCCAGGTATTTTATTTTATTCACTGCATTTGTATGCATAGCCATGAGGCTCTCTGGGTGGTTTACCGCACATTTTGGCCTACAACTCCCATCATCCCTCACCAGTGCAAGCAAGGGTTGACGGTAGCTTTAGGCCAAAACAGCTGGATGGTCAGAAGTCTCTCACCCGATTTAGAGGATACATTTATATATGAAGGTTTTTCCTGTCATTAAATGATAGTGCATCCACTGGAACTAGATCCAACATGCAGTGAGCCCCATCTGCACACTTAGTTACATTTCTTTGGGCATTTATCTGAAATGATCCAGAAAATTTTATCTGCAGTGTATCAAGACACATTTAGAAAACCCAGTTCTAGATTCTTAATCATTTTCTGTGCACCATCCTGGTGAATAAAGGGCAGCTTTAGACTTTAAAAATGTAGGTTTTTTCTCATTAATTATTTTAAAAACCTAGAAGCCATTTAAAGTCATGATTATGTTTGGATTCCAATGCTTTTAGAAAAAAATCCTCAAGGCAAAAAGCATACAACAGAGCCACGAGTGAATGAAATCCTTTTCCTATGAAAAGCAGGTTGCTTACCTGTAACTGATGTTCTTCGAGTGGCCATCTGTGCAGTCACACATATGGGTGCTGTGCCTGCGCAGTGCCTTTGGCCGGAAGATTGCAAGCTAACTGTTTTTGGCGGGAAAGCTCCGCTCCCCCTCCCCCATGGCCTATAAAGAGCGGAGCGTCCGCCATCTTGTTCAGTCTTTGATGACCGAACGTACGCCCCCATGTGGCAAAAAAGGAAAATTATCCCTACTGTAATGGCATCGGTACCAAGAAGAATGGAAATGGTCGGTACCGACGAAATGTCCACTCACTGACACTGAGCGGGGCCAGCGGGTGGGTTGTGTGACTGCACAGATGGCCACTCGAAGAACATCAGTTACAGGTAAGCAACCTGCTTTTCTTCGTCGTGGCCTCTGTGCATCACACATATGGGTAGATTAACAAGCTTACCATGATGGAGGAGGGGAGGTGTCCTCAACAAAGAACAGATGAAAGAACGGCTCTGCCGAAGGAGCAATCCTGTCAAGCCCAAACGTCTAAACGATAATGTCTGGCGAAAGTGCAAGGGTTCGCCCAAGTAGCAGCTCGGCATACATCATGAATCGGGAAGGCAAACGAGGCAGCAACAGCCCTAGTCAAATGGCTTCGAGGAGTCGTGGGTAAGTCAATCTTAGCCAGTTGATAAGATAAAGTGATAGTATGGACTAACCACTTAGAGAGTTTCTGTGGAGTGACTGGAGTGCCTTGATCTCTGGTAGAATATTTAACAAATAATCTATTCGAGCGCCGAACAGATTCCGTTCTAGATTTGTAGAAGGCTAAACAGCGCCAAACTTCAAGTGAGTGTAATGATCTTTCTAAAGGAGTTGACGGAGACGGAAAAAAGGCAGGTAAAATAATATCCTGTCCCATATGAAAAGGCGAGGACACCTTAGGAAGGAAAGATGAATCGAGCCATAGGACGACCTTTTCTCTGTGAAAAGTTAGGTAAGGCGGGTCAATGCGAAGAGCGCAGAGCTCACTGGCCCTCCGGGCCGAAGTAACCGCCACAAGAAATGCAGTCTTCCACAAAACAAGATGCAAATCGACTGTTGCCAATGGTTTGAAAGGAGCTCTTGTAAGTGCTTGTAAAATGAGAGAGAGACTCCAGGTAGGCATTACTGGCCTGATTGATGGATTGAGATTATAAAGACCCTTAAGAAACCGCTTAATAGTAGGCTGAGAGAAGATGGGTGATCCGTCCACCATGCCACGATGATAGGCAATTGCCACTGTATATACTTTAACTGAAGATGGTTTCAGTCCCGAGTGATGCAGTTCTAAAAGGAACTGAAGAATTTGATGTATCGATGACGTAAATGGAGAGAACGAACGAGACTCAGCAAAGGTGGAAAATCACCTCCATTTGACCGCATACGACTTCCGCGTAGAAGGCTTTAAAGCAGAATCAAGGATGTGTTGAATATCAGGATGAAAGGTTGTCGGATTCGATGGAGTAATCCTCGGATCCAACGGTGCTGGAGGAGCAAAAGAGGAAGCAACGCTGACTCCAACGGATTCGAAGGTTCTGAGCGCAGCAGATTCGAAGGTTCTGAGCGCAGCGGATTCGAAGGCAGGATTCGAATCATTTAAAGTTGCCGTCGGTACAGATGGAGCAAAGTTAGCTATCGGATTCACCACGCTGTTAGTTTCAACGATAGTATATCTGGATGGCGAAATGCACCGTCCTGCTGGGTTATGAGGTATGGAAGCAGTGGAAGATGAAGGTATTCCCTGTGAGAAATGTCGAGCAGTATGGCAAACCAAGGTTGGCATGGCCACCAAGGGGTAATTAGTATCCCTGTGGCCCAATCGTATACAATCTTCGCTATGACTCTCATCACAAGAGAATCGGTGGGAAGGCGTAAAAGTTCAGGTTGTTCCATGGGATCATGAAGGCATCCCCTAGGGATCCGTACCCGATTCCCGCTCTCAAACAGAAAGTCTCGCACACCTTGTTCTGTTGGGTGGCGAACAAGTCCATGTCGGGGAACACCCATCGATGAAAAAGATCGTCGCGTGTCTGAGGATCTAGCTCCCATTCGTGAGAGGTGAACATGGGCCTGCTGAGAAGGTCCACTTCCACGTTGTCCGTACCGGCCAAATAGACTGCCATTAGTGTAATGTCTCTGGAAATGCACCAGTCCCAGATCTGCATAGAAAGTCTGGCCAGAGTCGGGGATTTTGTTCCACCTTGTTTGTTCAGATAAAAGACGGTGGCTACATTGTCCGACGTTATCTGAATGACCTGATGTTGGAGAACATCCTCGAAAGAGCGCAGGGCTTTGAATACCACCAACAGCTCCAGGAAGTTGATATGATTCGTGGATTCCTGATGAGTCCACGTGCCCTGGATATATAGGCCGGAGCATACTGCTCCCCGCCCCAGAAGAGACGCGTCGGTACCGAGGGTTATTGATGGGCATCGGGGCCTGAAGGGAACCCCAACAGTCAGATTGGCCAGGACCGACCACCATAGTAGAGAATGGAGCACCGAGGATGGGATTCGAAGCAACTTCGACGGTGGATCTCTCTGTGGATGGAACATCTTGTTGAGAAATAGTTGCAAAGGACGAAGTTGAAGTCTGGCATGTGGTACCACCGCAACGGAGGAAGCCATATGTCCCAGAAGCCTCTGGATGGACTTCGCTGGAACCGTCCCGTCTTGTTGTATTCGATGGATGTGGCGAGCGAGAGTCTGTTGTCTGTCCTGAGGGAGGAAGGCCTTTTCCAACATCGAATCCAAATGGGCTCCGATGAATGTAAGCTTCTGCACCGGAAGAAGAGAAGATTTCTTGGTATTAATGCATAGGCCCAGATCGTCTAATAAAGCACAGGTTGTACAGATGGATGTGAGGAGAGCTTCCCTAGACCGGGACACCAGGAGCCAGTCATCAAGGTAAGGGTAAACTTGTATGTCCCAGAGGCGTAGGAAAGCACAGATAGGGGCCATGAATTTAGTGAACACTCTCGGAGCGGTGGCCAAACCAAAGGGTAGAACCGTAAATTCGTATAAATCAGAAGCAACAGCAAAGCGAAGGAAACGTCTATAATTGGGGTGGATCGCAATATGGAAATAGGCGTCCGTCAGGTCCAATGAGGCGAACCAATCCTCTTTCCTTAGCAGCGGCAAAATATTTTGAAGGGTGGTCATTCGAAACTTTTTTGTCACAATAAATCGATTCAGATTATGTAAGTCCAAAATCGGACGTAGGCCACCATCCCGTTTCAGGACTGTAAAGTATCTAGAGTAGAATCCATGGAGTCTGTCATGTGGAGTTATTTGACGAATCGCTCCTTTACGAAGTTGTTGTACTTCAGCGAGCAATACTGGCGAGCATGATGTAAACCGGATCAGACTCGATGGAGGAACGATGTCGAATTCTATCCGACAGCCGTGCTGTATGATGGACAATACCCACTGGTCAGATGTGATGGACTCCCAAATGGGGAGTCAGCTTCACAGCCGATCCCCAGATGAGAGGGGGGTGGGTATTGGATGGGTCAGAGGAATGGTTCGCCAGTCCCGTCAACGCTGCCTCCTATCTCCGTCGTAACAGCGATGGCCCTGTTGGTAACGTTGCTGGGGCTGTTGATGGCAGCGTTGCTGTTGCTGCGGCCAGTGCTGGGGCTGTTGCCTAGGCTGATAGGACTGTCTATAGGATGGACGGGTCCATGCCCACTTATGCCTAGGTTGAGACTGGAGCTCCATTCATCGGGCCGTCATGCGGGACTCATGGAGTTTTTTGAGCTTGTGATCAGTCCTGGAGTGGAAAAGCCCGGACCCGTCAAAGGGCATTTCCTCAATTTGGCGCTTAGTCTCCTCCGGGAAGTTGGCACTCCTTAACCACGCATGTCTGCGGAGAGAGACAGCACCGACCAAGACTCTTGAGTCAGCGTCCACATGGTGCCTCGCTGTGGACAACTGCTGGACGGCGACGTGCATCACCTCCTTTATTAGCACCTTCGCCAGGTCACCCTGGTGGTCCAGGAGAGTCGAGATGACATTGTTGAGGTGTTGCATTATGAAGTACTGGTACCTCGCCAACGTCGCCTCGTAGTTGGAAATATGCAGCCCCAGGCCTGAGGCTGCGTAGACTCTCCTGGCCAGGGAGTCGATTTTACGTCCCTCCTTATCCCTCAGAGCGATGTGGCCTCTTGCCTCTCTACCCTGGGAGGACTCCACCACGACTGAGTTCAGCTTGGGGTGGCAGAGGAGGAAGGGAATGTACTCCTCCCGAACCCGGTACATGGATTCGTACCTCCGCAACGTGGGTTGAGGGTGAGAAGGCAAGTCCCAGGGTTGTGTCATCACCTGCCGTAGGGTGGTAATCAAGGGCAGGACGATTGAGGTGTACTGCTCCCCACGGAAGACGTCGTAAAACTTGTCCGTCAAAGGTCCCGGACGCTGGATGGCATCGATATCAAGGGATTGGACAAGCCAGGACTTCAGCTCCGCGAAAGAGACATGGGACTCGTCTGGCGACACAGGGCCCTGGGAGGTCACAGCAACATCAGGAGAGGTTGAGTCGACCTCCGAGTCGTCGGAGTCTGCACCGTAATAGGGGGGAGCCGAAGACGAGGACTCCACTGGAGAGACGGACCGGCTACTTTCATCCCGAGGAGGTATCGGGGATGCGCGCCTTGGGTCCGAGGACAGTGGACGGTCGCAGGAAGGTGGTGGAGACCGGCCCCTAGGTACAGGATAGTACCCGACAGAGTGTGGCTCGCCCCAGGATGGATAGTAGGAGCGGTGCCATCCCTCGGATCGCTGTTCCCTCGAGTGACTCCTTTGGGCCCTAGGTGGGGACATCTCCACATCCGCCTCCTTCGTGGCCATAGGCGTGGGCAACCCAGCCCTGGGGGGAGAGTCTTGAATTTCCTCGTCAGAAATCGACCCCCGCTGAAGAGTTGGAAGTGGTTTGGCAGGAATGTCAGCCACACGTCGAGGGGACCCTTGAGGGGTAACCCTCATAGCTGCCTGGAGTACTGGATTGGGTGGAGTCGGTACAGTGACTGCCGACAGTACCGAGGGGGCTGTTGAACCCGATTCACAGTGCCGTGGGCGCTCCAGGTCCTTTGACTTCTGCATCGGTTTTGGAGGCTTCTCCTTCCTGGCTTTCTTTGCTGCCTTGTCAGATTCAGCATGCTTACACTTCTCACGCTTTTTTTTTCGGAGAAGCGGGTGGAGCCCCCATGGTAGACGCGCCTTCGTCCGAAGGGCATGAAGGTGGGACCACTGTAGCAGAGCCAGGCTTTGGAGCAACGACAAGTGGGTCAGACTGCATAAGAGCCCAATCCCACAGAAGCCTCTGGAGGCGGTTCTCACAGTTCTTCCTGGCCTGCTTAGAGAAGGCCAGGCAGTGGGAACATTTGTCAGTCCTATGCCCCTCCCCCAAGCAGAGGAGGCATAGGTCATGCGGATCAGTCGGAGACATCTTCGACCCACAATCCACGCATTTGTAAAAAGCCGCTCGCTGTGCCATCGCAAGAAAGGGAAAAAAGAAGACCGTGCAGAGGGTAAGAATATATTTTAGGTTTGTTTTTTGTTTTTATAGAAGATTGAAGAGAAGGTAGAACGATCAAACTATGAAAACTAACAAGAACTGTAAGAAGCAGCAAGAACTAACAGGGATATACCAACTGGGAGACTAATCGAGAATAAGAAGTAACTATACGAGTAACGGTCAGAGCGATAGACGAAAGCGGCATGAGGCACAGTGAATGGCGGTCGCAAAGACTGAACAAGATGGCGGACACTCCACTCTTTACAGGCCATGGGGGAGGGGGAGCGGAGCTTTCCCGCCAAAAAACAGTTAGCTTGCAATCTTCCAGCCAAAGGCACTGTGCAGGCACAGCACCCTTATGTGTGATGCACAGAGGCCACGATGAAGAACAAAATCTAAACTGACAAGTGTCTATTTTCACCTTTGAACACACTGTACAGATTACAGCAGAATAAAAGAGATTATTTAATTTTTTAATATTCAAATATTCTGTATAGAAGTCAATGATTTACACTACAAAACAAAACAACAACAAACCCAAAATATAACATAAATTTTAAAATCCTGAAAATGCTTTTGGAAGCCTGTAATATATCCATTTTGAAAACAGATTTTTTTTCATTACATGTCCCTTCTTCTCTGTTTGAGTGTGGACACTTTTACTTGTCCCTATAGAGCTATCAAGTGAGCATGGCCAATTTACCAAGAGAGAAGCCTGACCTGGCCCACATTACCCCTCCTTGCCTCAAGCACAGAAGCAAACAGTTATTCAATAAGGATAAAGTAGAGGTAGTGAATGCAAATTCAGCCACAGGAATCCCACGTTAAAAATAGTTTTAAAATATTTTCAAGTTGGTAGATAAACTGTAAATTAGATTACTGCGGTTTCTAATGCACAAAGGATGTTAGCAGAGCAAACTAAAATTGCCTACCTCCGAATTGCCACAGTCATTGCTTCAGGGGATGTGGCACAGGGACATATTGCTTCTGGTTTAAGCCCATGGCTCTGGAATAAACTCAGGAAAGCATCACAGGAAGATACAGACCCTGGAAGGCAATTATTCACATTTTAAATGGACAATTAGGGTGTGCTAACAAAATACAAAGCTGCTGAGAAAGCCATGATTTTTGAAATTTATATTGCATCTAAAAGTAATACAATTTCCAAAAGATTCAGTGCATTGAAGACATGCATAAGTGCTATAATAGAGTGCCTCTCTCTAAAATCTGATGGCTTCATTTAATTACAATGCTGTAATGTAGTCCTGAAACCTCAGGGATCTTACATCATCATCTGCAGTAGTTCTGTCTGTGGCTGGACTACACAGGAAAGGTTAATAAGGACCATAAGAATAAAACTTCAATGCCAGATCGTATGATGTAAAACTAGAACAACCTCCCCTGCCCCTTCAAAATCCTTTAGAGATTTTCTTCAGACATCCAAACCTGAAACAGCAATTGCCAGAACTGATTTTAATTCTAAGTGTACACATTTCTGAATGATGCTTTGCAGTATTAGAACCTTTTCCAGACACTTTGTGACTCTGAAAACATTTGTGGAAGAGGAAGATTACAAGGTTTCAGTGGTTTCCCACCCAGAAGATTAGCATGCATCTTCCTGGTGCATCCTCCCTCCTTCTGTTTCATCCAGAAACCCTTAATTGCATTCAAATCTTACTCCTTGCCAACACCATCTGGCCAGACAGTCAATTAAGCTCCTTAAGCAGCAGCACCCCACGCAAATCTGTTGCTCATTTCTTTCAAAGACCCTTTGACTCATCCCCTGCGAGCAAATTAAACATGCACCCACCTTCAAGTCTCCTCCCCTAGGTTATCAGGTAATGGAAGGGGTGTTATGCAGAAACACTGCCCTCCTCCTCCTTTAACGACACAATTCTCATAGGACATCTACACAGACCCATGTCATTTCGCTGGGGAAGCAGAACTTGGGGCCATGTCTGCAGTCCATACCAGACAAGAGATCTTCAAGAGATCAAACCAGCTCTTTTTCTACTACTATGTCACTATCACTACCTATACTTAGAACAAACCAAGAGAAAAACTACTTTCAAATCTAAAAGATCCTAGCTATTGCCATTCCAGATTGGCATATGTGAAGGGATTCGGCAAAACCATTCTTTGTTTACAGAGCAACCATACCCATTGATTATTCTTCAGTTACTTAAAATCCATTAATGTTACGAGTTTAGGTTTTAGTACTACCTCCCACTCTAAGCACTCAGGAAGAGGCAGGCTAAAAATACTGAACAAAGTCAAATGTACAGTTCATCTTATAAATAAAATAAAGGAGTCTCAGATTTTCCTTGGCACCTCACTGTTCTGTAAGACAGAAATAGTTTAAACTGCTTGAATGAAAATATGTCAAATACAACTTGCACATTACAATTGCAAAACATATATTAAAACAAGCAATCATTTTATTAACCTTAATTTTACAAAATAAACTGCAACAATGCAAACATTACAGGAAAGAAACTACACAACAAACAAACACTTTTCATCTGTTGTTGTTGGTAAAATTATAGGGGAATACTGAATAAAAAACAACTCCCAGCTGGAGCACCATGAAATGTAAAAAAAGGAACGAACCATTCCCTGCATTAACAGTTAAGGTTTCCTCTTCAAGTAAGAATACCCTCTGATACTTTATCCTTTATGGATTGTTCACTTCCATTTGTACAACATCTGAACAACAATGTCAGAATTCAACAGGGAACCTTGGAACACATGGCCAAATATGTGGACACAGTCTCAGACACCTACCATAACTTGCAGGACCCAGAAAATCAGGACCTACATGGATACTTACAGGGGTTAGCACCATCAGTTACAATCAGCATCCGCAGGGAACTTAAATTGACATCTCTTTGGTCCCGGTGAGCCATCATGGCCCAGTGCAAATCTCGGCATTTAACCAAAGCTACCTTAGCTGCAATCCAAAGTAACAGAGAAAAGGGAAGTCAGCACACATAAATGCAGTCACATTGTTTGTCCTACTACTACGATATGAACAGAACTAGTGTGAATCTGAAAAGCCACAGGGATAAGGACAAGTGAAAGGACGAGGTGGGGCTGTGAACTGCAATCGTTCCAGCTGAAAATTCAAGCCAGACTTGGGAGAGGACAATTATTTGCCAAGGGATCCAAGTGCAAGCCCACTAAGATCTCTAATGAAGGGTTATGCGAGGAGCACATGGTCTGCCAGTGTGCTCACAACATCAAAGCAAAAAGTGTTACATGTCTCTTTATTGTTTCTTTGCAACAACACCATGACCTCTGAAGCAACACTGCAGATGTTATGCACTTTTGGAAGATCTTGGCTGTCGCATATCCTCTTTGTCTTTGTAGACGCAGCATACAGAATGTGCAATAGCCATTCAATGCCCACGGTACCTTTGTGAGTGTGAACCCTCTGTACCCAAGAAAGAGGGCAGGTTTTCATCACTGAGTAGGGCACGCTGATGGTGTGCAGCTTGTTCATTACACTCTGAAAGGCAGAAAGAAAGACACAAAACAGAAATGTCAAAACAAATAAAAACACTGGCAAGAATGTGGAGAGTTTACACACTTCACAATAAATCATTTCACCACCATCACCAAGTTAGCCAGCATGGTAATGGAGGTTTTCCAGATCAGCATCTCTTTTGACAGAAATGCACACTAAACTTCCCCATATACAAACCATCCTTCCCCTGCTCCCTAGGGAAAAGATGTCTTTTCCTTAAAGATCTGGGGCAAGTAACAAAATTTCAGAAATACAGAAGCGATGAAATGTGCAAAACACATATAAGATACACAAAACTAACTACTAAGAAATTTTTATTTTATATTTTATTTATTTAACATTTTATCCCACTCCAGTAGCCGTAAGGCTCCCTGGGTGGATTGCAAATAAAAATATACAATGTAATAAAATAACAATATACAATAAAGAAGTATTTATATCTGAACAATCTAACAAGTAAAATAACATGATTTACACAAACCAAAGTGATATGAAAGGTATAACCACAGCCTATAGCCAAATCTAAAATATAAAAACTATCAAAATCATTTAACAATTTAAATACCAGGAAAATAGAAAGGTCTTTGCCTGGAACCAAAAAGAATATAAAGAGGGCATCCAGCAAACCTCTCTGGGGAGCTGATTCCAAAGTCAAGGTACCACACCAAAAAGGGCTTTCTTCTTGTAGCCTCCCTCCTTATTTCCTGTGGAGGGGACTCCTTCAGAAGGGCCTCTGATGTTGACCTGATGGGCTGGGTAGATGCATGTGGAGAGAGGTGCTCCTTTAGATACCCTGGCCCCAGGCCATTTAGGGCTTTAAACACAAGTGTTCAGTTTAGATGCCAGGAAGTACTTCCTGACAGTTAGGACCCCGAGGGTATGGAATGGGCTTCCACAGGAGGTGGTTGAGGCCCCATCAGTGAGAGTGTTCAAGGATAGGCTAGACATGCACATGGTGGGCATGTCATGAGTGGAGCTGGCTGAAGCCAGGGGTCAGACTAGATGGCCCGGGAGACCCCTTCTGTTTCTATGTTTCTGTTAACAGCTTGATTTGGCCTGGATTTCAATAGATAATCAGTGAAAATGGAAGAGGACTGGCTTTATATGATCATATCTACTAGTCCTCATAGGGCAGTATCAGCATCTTCAAGAAGCCCCATGTAAAGTGCAACTCATATATATGTGTGCTGCACGGAGACCACAATATAGAACAACACATGCTCCCACATGAGCCCACCCAAGCATTATGATCCATGAGAGAGGGCCTTCTGGCTGCCCTGCAAACATCTGAAGCATGCTCGTGGGGCAGATGAGAAGAGCCTTCTTGGCAGCTGCTCCTAGTACTGGAATATCTTGCCAGGGGAGGACAAACTAGCTCCATCTCTCGATGGCAGGCAAAGACATTTTTGTGGCAGCCAGGCCATAAACTGCTTTATAAAGCTGCTGAAACTGGTTTTAACTAGTTTCTTACTGAATTCTATCTGCCTGTTTTATTTTACTGTATCTGTATCATGTGGTAGAAGAACAGGATATCAATTTAACAAATAAAGGAACAAACATAATCTGTGTGAAAACCCTAATTCTGAGGATCCCACGATATGCTGGCAGATTCAACATGAGAAGTCCTGTTTCACTTTTCACAATGAAATTGCTGTCATGCCATTCTTCAGAGGCACTGCTGCTTCAAAGCCAAGGCCCATGTTTAAGGAACAGGCTTCCTGAAGAGGTCCAGCAAGCACCATCACTACTTTCATTTCAGTGCCATGTGAAAACTGTTCTCTACTGCAGATTTCTCAAGACCTCATTTTAACACATGATTATAAGTGCTCACTCTGCTGTAGCAAATTCTGCCCACCTCCGTCTGTACTTGTAATGTTAGCTTGTATTTTATTGTTGTGAGCCACTTAGAAAGTCCTGTCGGACAATTGAGCAGCATATAAATTTGAAAATAATGATGATGATGATGAAATTTATGAAACAAATGTTGCAGAAGTGTCCCCTCCAAATTGTGACTCACTGTTAGCATGCTGTGCCACAAGCCTGCATCCTTCTTGAAATCCAGGACATTCACTATGGTTTCACCTAGAACAGATATGTTAATGCTCAATGTGGACGTTACAATATACAATTCCATTTTTCTGAAGTATGGCTTTGATTTCTGTTAAAGAGAGCAAGCAAGTGAGTAAGCAACTGCTTCAGGAGGTCAAGGTATGTAAGCAAGCTTGGAAAGTCATCTTGTACTGGCCGCTTGTCCTACTTGACAAGATTCTGAATTCTTAAGAAGAATTAAAATCTCTCCCTTCACATACTTGCAGTACACTTTCTAATTGGAAAGCATATCTCCTTCGGTGATAATGTCACTCATGTAACAAGTCATGTGCAGCAAAATGTTCTACCTGCACATCTGAGCAGATGTGAGTAAACAAAAGGGAAAAGGGAAAAGCATTAGAACTGTTTTACTGTTGGTGCAACTGCCAAAACTACTCTGAAAGATAAACGGACCTACATAAGCAGGTTATAAAAGCTATAAATATGTACTATGAATGCTCTTTTTTGCTTTCTCTGGAACTGTATACAGTACTGGATTCAGTGCTACGTTAACAGGATGATTTAGCATGGACAGAGAGGGGACCACTGATCAAATGCACTGACCCTTTATGCCTGATGAAAGGAACCAGAAAGGAATCTGGATATCCAAACATACAAATGCATCTTCCAAAAGGTAGAAGCTACTGGCGAACTGTTTAAATTGTCAAATTACTCCTTGGGATACTTTATGAGGGCGTATTTAGAGAAAGGCAGCAGCAAGTCAAATTGTACATACAGAAAATTGCATCCATAGTAAAAATAGGAATGCGGCTACTGCCTTTCAGCATACACAATCTTGGGTCATTATCAGGCTCTCCCCATGCAGCTATAAAGCCACACTTATGCTCTCATGGAAAAAAAATAACAGCATGAACTGATCCAGTCGGCAAATGACTGCATTGATTTATTGTATGAAGCACACAGCTTTGCATCAGGGCTCGGTTAACAGCTGGCAGGGGAAAGCCGTTTCCCGGGACACGGCTCCCTCTCTGCACACAGATCAGCACCCACCTTCAGAGTAGTTGCAGGCCTGAGACAAAGCCTGACAATGAGACAGCATGGCGATTCGAGACACAGTTACACCCATCACGCTCCCTTCCTTGCTGGTCTTGTACTAGAAAAAAGGACATCTGTGTCAGCAGTTCCACATCCTGCCTGCACCAGGAAGCAATGCAACTGAGCAGGTATTACCCATTCGTAAGGATGAAGGCCATGAGGTTTTCTCCACCTCACATAAATATATACATGTGCACTCATGCCCGGAGAGAGGGCACATGTGCAGAGTCAAGCACTACAAGCTTGCTTCTTTGCAGCATAACCGTGATAAACAGAAGCTTGAATTTGTCGTCCCATGCCATCCCTTTTTCTCAAAACAGGGTGGAAAATGCGTGCACCAACACACACTAAGGCAAAATGCCATGTGTAACAAGGTTTCAACCTATAATGCTGGGATTGGCAACTTCCAGTCAGGAAGCCACACTTCCCCTCCCTGGACCCCATGTGCAGCTATAACCCTGCCCCCCAGACAAGCCAAAACTGTGCTCCCAAGACACTTCCGGAATTGACACTTCTGCTTCCACGTATTGTGCATGCTTTCTGGACATCTTTTCTTCTAGAAAAAAAGCACTATGGATTTTGCAGCAATCAGGCAGTGAGGGACACAAAAAAGTCAGGGGAGGTCACACATGGTCCAAGGGCATGTGTTTCCCACCCCCTGCTATAGGTTCGCCACATCTTAGATCAGATAAAGAAGAACTTTCACATGGTTAGTCCTATCGACAAGTTCAGGGTACAGGTAAATTTCCTCCTCTCAAATTCTGTAAAAACTGTTATGGCACTAATAGGATAAGAAGCGGGTATGCTGAAACATTCTGCAGTTATTCACCTGGTTCACACATCAGGCTAAACTAGGAGTCCACAAGACAAAGTAGTTCATTCAGCCTGATATGTGAACCTAGACTACTGGTGTCTCTCTTCCTCAGCAAGCCAGTGAAAATCCTGACAACAAAATGTGGGTTACTTCCCTGGCTTGTAGGGGGAGAGACAAGCCAGAGGTCCAGCATTCACATATCATTCTGAACAAGCCACGAACCAAACCCACTCCCACTTGCAATTTTCCAGTACACTGCTTATCATGACCTGCAAACCCTCCCATTTATTTTAAGTCTCCTAACAATCAAAGTGTGCTCAAATAGCAACAAAGGTGTGAGCTAATTCCAGGGACAGGATGTCCTCAAGTGTTTAATTGCACCAGTTCACCATGCCATGAGGCATGAGCTGGAATTTCAAACAATACACATCTTTTCACAAGCAAGTGAAAACATGAAGGTTTTGCAGCAAAAGGCCAAACATTGGGTAACAGCTTAGGGTTTGGGTTTGTGTTCGGGTTCCAGTTAGGGTTTGGGTTAGGCATAAGTAGCACGTTTTGTTTTGTCAGCTCTCATTTTCTACATACCTCAATGTAAGCCGGCTCAGACCCTGCATTTGAAATGTTGGGTTGCCAGTCCTTTGGCGACTTGGAGAGATATTTGGAATCTGTTACAACCCATTTCAGCTTAGGCCAACCTAGAACCAAAGGGCAAAAGGAGATTTTAGGTTATAATAATAAATGCAAATTTAGCTTCCAATTTAAAAAAGAGCAAGGTTTCTAATCCTCATGAAAAGTTGATTTAAAAGGACACAGGCAAAATGGCTTGGCTTTCAATTAGTATGTCAAGAGGCAGAACATTGTGGCTACTTTATGAAGGATATTTTTCCTATAGAAAGATGACTGGCATTTAGAGAAATTGAAACTCATGTATGGCTATATTTTCACAATCCCTCATTTTGAAATTGGTTTGAAGCATTGGTTTCAAAATATGTTTCACTGTGAAAAAAATAAGCAAAATGTGTGCACTAAGGGATGGGGGAAGTAAGCAGCCTGTAGGCCTCTGTGCCCACCTTCTAGGAAAATCTAATTTTGACTCTTTGGATGCTCTGTTGCTGCTGCAAACATTCATGCATGCATTCACTTACAGCAGCCTGTGGTGGGGTCTGGGAGGGGCAAAAATAGCCCCAAGGCCACCCACAAACACCCAGTCCTAACTTAAGATACGGAAGACTATTTAGAGCAGAATCTTAGACTGTGCTCTACGCTAGTGAGGATCATGAAATGTGGTCTCAGCCACAAGCATCAGGGATGGTGGGGCTCAGTAGCAGTGCCATGCTTTGCATGTAAGCTGCCCCAAATTAAATCCTTGGCAATTTGAAACAAGGGATCTCAGGGAGAACACATAGGAAAGCCCGGGCTTGAAGTCTTCGAAGCACCTGCTCATGCCAATCTGTACTGAGCAGGCAACCAGACAGGTGACTGAGGGCTTGTTGTATCCTATCCTTTTCTATAGTTAGAGGATCACTCATGGTTGTGCAACCTTAATTTATGAACAAGTGAAAAGAGGAATGTGGTGTTCCAATGCAATCAGTCCTTGTCACTCCTGTACCACCTCCACGGTCTTTCCCATTTGGGAAATTTCCTCAAGGCAACAGCTTCGATAAAAGGGTATTTGTATAAAACACTGTGTAAAGTGACAGTGTGATATAAATATATATGCCCAGCTGCCCCTTGAGATCAGCAGGAGAGGCCCTCCTCCGGGAGCCCTCAGTGAAGGAAATTAGGAGGGTGGCTACTCGGAGGAGGGCCTTCTCAGCGGTGGCGCCTAAGTTATGGAATGCACTCCCCAGAGAGGTCCGCCTGGCGCCGTCGTTATTTGTTTTTCGGCGCCAGGCGAAGACCTTTTTATTTAAGCAGCATTTTAAATGTTAATATTATTGAATTTTATTCGGCCAGGGCGGCTTATTTTATTTTACTGTATATATTTTAATTGTCATTGTTTTAATGTATTTTGTATTCAATGTTGTAAGCCGCCCCGAGGCCTTGGCAAGGGGCGGCATAGAAATATTTTAATAAATAAATAAATAAAATAAATTGAGAACAGACCTTTGAACTGAACAATTTCTCCATTCTGTGTTTTGGGGAGACCCTTCAGGCAAACCTCAGTGGTGAGGGCTAAAGCAACGCCACAACTGCCCAGCAGGAAACCAATCTGTTGACCACCAGCATCCTGTGGGAAAAGAAAGGCTTCACTGTGATTTGCAGACAGGTGAGCAAAGCCAGCTTCACCCTTTCCACAGTCCTAATTGTTGATAATGCCTTGGTAACTGGATGGTAACATTATGGACAACACAGAGGGAAATACAGACATTCAGATTCATCAATGGTTTGAAACTCAAATGACAACCACGGCAGCGAGGGGCAGAGTGAAGCAGACGTTTCACACAGTGGAAAGGCACAGGGGAGCAGAAATGGGACGGCAAATGGCAATCATCAAAAAAGGATGACGAGACAAGGGAACAAAACATAACAGGTGGAAGGCACTGCATCCATGCGATGAAGAACATTGCTTAAAATGTGGGGCATGACATTTTGGTGAACCTACAATTTAGCCAGAGCTATGCTCAATTCTGTACTTAGAAGAAAAAGAAAGAGAACTTCAACCCCACAGCATGCAGAGGTTGCACAAATTAAGCAAGTTTTCTTATTTTGCAGAGTTTATTATATCTACCAGCTACTGAAGTTCTTCACTCTTAGTCACTCAGTTTCTCAGCTACCTTACCCATTGCTTCTAAAATGTAGTCAAACATGGCCCACACAATCTCAATCCTATCTTGCTGGGCAGAGGGGATAGAAATTTGCTTTTAAAGTAAAAATCAAAACCTTAGTTTTTCAAGATGCACAATCCTGTTTGGACCCTGACAGACGGTTTGGACCACTAACTTGCCATATTACCAACCTACTCTTGCTTTAATCTACCTATAAGAGAAGTTCATGCCACTCCACCCCCCTCAGTATGTTATTTGCATTTCATGCCATTGATGACGCTAACTAAAAATTAGGCTGCTTTTTTCTCAGACAACAACAACAACGAAAATGACTGGCAGGGTACCATGTGAAAAGTGAAAAACAGGGATATTCATATTCACAGTTTGAAATCATCAGTGACTGGCTTGTGGGATGAGCACCTGAGCAGCAGAGGCAGTGGGAGTTTATGACATACCTGGACAGGAGAACCTGCAGGAGTGGCTGTGGAAAAGTGCCTGCCTTTTTTTACTAATTGCCTTAGTTCAGCAAATCAGAAGCAACCATACCAAGGAGGTGAAAGAGTGCCGAAGGAGTCAAGTCTCACACACTCATATGTTAGATTTAATTTCTGGCACACTTGTCAAAATTAGCCAATGGGCTGAATGCACGGTCTTTCAATTAAAAAAAAATGTCTAACATGAAGTATGCACATATCTAGTCATCTACTACTACTGTTATTATTCAATGACATAGTCATAAGAAGTTCTCCCTCCTTCTCCAATTCTATCATCTCTGAATTACACAAAGGAATTCATTAGGATAAAAAGTGCTGGAATGAATACATAGCTAGGACTCTACCACAGTAGGGAATTTGCTAGGACAGAAAGCATTGGAATGTACAAGCTGATACACTGAGCAAACCAGCCAAGGGTTGGTGAAAGTTTTCAGCTGTTGTATATGAGTTGTCAAGGCAGTTGTCATGTTGAAGCCACAAATCAAAGAGATGCTCTTAGGAGACCCATAGTATTACCAGACTAGCTTACCACATCATTATCATATCTCACACCATGTTATCTGCCAGCTCTCTCTTCCTAAAGATGCTCCCATACTTTAACACAGCAATGTAATTCCAATTATGGTAGGAGCAGAGGTGAGTGTCATGTAATGCGAGGACTCTGTGAGCTAGTTACTCATAACACTAAACCCTCGTTTAAGCTATGTGCATCTGCTGGAATGAGCCCAGGTGAAGCTTCAGGCTTGGATCTCCTCCTCTTCCCTCCTTGCATTCACTGAAAGGACTTCGGCAAAGTTAAGTTTCACTGCACAAAAAATGGCTTGTACATATGCACAAACTGAATATTTGGCTTAAATGGCCAGTTTCTAAGCCATGGTCGCTTGTTACCATGCAATGATAAGTCAGCTTTTCTGGGAAATGAAACTAACTCTTTTCATAGCTGTGAGGAGGAGGAGACAGCCATGTAAGTGTAATGCTTTGCTCAGGCTCATCTATGTGGAGTAAAGCCATGTTAACTTCTCAAATGAGAACATAGCAATGCCCAGCACACAGGCTGGCCTAACAATCCACACTGAAATCTATTTTCAGCACGCCAATTCTCAAATCACCTTTGGGAGACACTGATATACTCTCAAGAGTAACAAGTGTGCCCCAAAATCATTGAAATGTTTGCAAAAATAAAACAAACATCTATTTCAGGCAGAGGTGGGAACTCTGCTGCCATATTCTTGCTTTATATTCCATTTCTCTTTTGAAATATTTTGTTTTATAATGTTGGCATCTGTAGTTACTAGTAGCTATGGAACAGCCTACTTTTCAACTACGTTGTCAATTTCTGAAACCCACATTTATAAAAATCCCAAGAAATTACTGGGGATTTTCAGTGGGGCATGATCCGTAGTTCCTCTTCCTAGGCGCAGGGCCATAGAACCACAAAGTAAGTGGATACTTGAATTAATATATTTATACACCCTTAAAATATTCAGGTGCTCAGCCCTAATGAGAATGAGGCTCCAGGAAGAGAACAGAGGAAAGGTGAGATATTTATACCTGATTCTCACTGCCACCTGTTCTGCCTCCACTGAAGAGGCAGACAGAGTGGGACTGCACCCCTTTGCAATGTTGGTCTGTGTGAAAGGCAGGCCTTCTAGAACTTTTCTGGCTGAATATAGTGACCTGACAAAGCAGCACGTGAAAGCTGCAAGGTTTACAATGTATCCATGGCTGAAAGCCTGTTTTGCTCTCATCCCAAGTCCTCAGCCTAACACTCTTCTATGCTCCATCAACGTTACCTTTCGGGTTAGAGGTACCTCTATCGGCACTGGGATGACTTCTGCCAGCAAACAGCCAAAGAACGCCACCATGAACATGACAGGGTCATTGTTGGGATAAACAAGGGCTACCTGTGATTTACAAAAATATTAAGTTAGCAAAGGCAGGAGGAACAGCATTTGGGTTTGGACCATTACACTGCAAAGCACAGATCAGGTTGTTTGACTCAGCAAAGAACATTGCCAGTTCATCAGATGACTGCAAGGTAACTCTGGTGCTGCAATTAAAAAAAAAGCTGTTTAGCTTTTAGAAAGGATGAGAGACATATGCATGCACACCCTGCCACCAACGTATCGCTCTCCTTTATTGCAACAGGAACCATTAACACGTTCTTACTCTATCTCCGGGTTTCAGCACAGGTTCATTTCTGGTGCCCAGTTTATTCAGCAATGTGTAGGCCAGCTTCAGGCTTCTGCTCCACAGCTTCCCTGGAATGCAGAGAAAAGGCCATCAGGCTTCCCAGCAGCAAGACATGACGATTCCATGCTAGCACAGATGTTTGTAAAGAGTTCAAAATTCAGATAATACTAACTTCCTTCTTCTTTTTAAAATAACTTTCTCACATTTGTGGCTGCAAAAATAATATTTAACATGTGGTAAAACTTAAACCAGAGAGGGAACTAAGTTTTCCAGTGACTGGAAGGCACAATTTCATAACTACTTGTCTCTTATAACTTCAAATGAAACAAACACCACAACATAACTTAAAATAAAGGCATGTTTAGAACAGCCTTCCATTGCCTTGGAAGGCAGTTTGTTTTGATGTAAGTACAGAGTCCCAAAACAGCCCTCAGAATAGAACCTCCAAATATGAATAATCGCCTTTTATGGGTCCCTTGAGAGATGTAAAAGGGAAGCTGTGCATATGAGTGGATGCACAGAACAACCCAAGCTTGTTCTAAAAGTTTTGCAGGCATGCAAGTTGGCAAGGAAGTGGTTCACATACTTCATTTTCCATGGGGATTCATGCAAAAAGGGTTCAACTCTCAGAAGAACCCTGTGCCATTAATGGCTGAAGTATCAGGTACAACTCCTCCTATATTTCTCCTATTAGATTTGAGGTTCATTCTGTCACTACAAGCTCAGGGTGGACAAAAGAAGTATTTCTTTTATCCTTGCAAAGTACCAATTTTGCACATGAGGAAATGACATACAGTACCTTCCCAAGAATATTGGTGAAGTGTGCAACTGAAGGAAAGTTCCTTCTTGAAACCAAATCTACCACACTATCTGATGAGCCAGAAAGACTTCCAAGTGAAACTAAGAATGATCATGTTTTGTATCTGTCCAATGTAAAATCCCAAAGTTGTGCAAATCACTACAATGCACACTTCCACCGCTGAACAGGAATAGAAGTGACAGTATGGAAACCAGTTCCAACAGTGATCTTCACCCACTATCCTCACTGCTGACTTTGTGTGCACCAATCTGCATTGCCTAGCCTCTCTTACAACCTTGTCTGTCAGCACCTGTGGCCAGTTTAGAGTATACCAGGAAGAGAAGCTTGATGCCATGCAAAGTAGAATCAAAACAGCACTAGCAAATTACAATGCTTCTAACCAAGCTGCTGATACACAGAGCTAAGGCAGGCAAACAGAAAGATGCAAATGCCTAAAACTCCCTCCATGGTAAAGTGGTTACACTAGCAAGACTATGCAACTCACCATATGTCAGGGTATAGACAGGCTTCCCAGTAACATCCAGGGCTGTCAAACAAGAGCATTTGGCTTGTGTTGTTCCCCAGCGTTGCAGAGCTGCTTCCAAAGCAGGAGGCCAATTGCAAACAACTCCCAGAGGCTCTCCCTTCACAGGCGTCATCTGACGTCCCTCTGGCTTGGGCTGATTTGGGTCTGGCTGTGGAACTGTAAAAAAATAAATAAAAAGGCTTTCTCAGGCTAAATGTATAAACCACTCACAAAAGCAGGCATGCAGTACTCACTGGTGGTAAATAAACTCTATATATCACCCTGAATTACTGGTGCAAGGGATTCCCCCTTTCTTTCCCCTGGGAAATTATTTTAGAAATCAGGTTATCCAAATCCATTTTTAAAAGGTCAAAGTAATCTGAACACATTTGCTATTAAGGAGAGATGCCTCCCAGTAGGCAACAGGAAAACCATGTGCTTTCAAACAGAAACTGAAGATGCTAACTCAACTGCATTTGGCAGGAACCTACCATTACTACTGCTGCCACTATACAATTATGTAGCATCAGCCATGCGCCAGGTACAATACAGAAGACAGACGTGACAGGCCCTGACCATAAAGCCTAAATATTAGCCAGCCCGCCTGACAAATGAAAGACAAAGATGAAGCTTGACAAAGACCCACACCAAAGACAGTGTAGGGAAGAGGGGGAAAGAGAGAGAGAGACAGAGAGGGATCGCACAAGGAGATAGAAAGAAGAGGAAAGTGAAGCCATACTGGTTTAGGAAAGAATTTACAGATGGAGTTTTCAGAAACAGAGGCAGTAATTAGATAAGATAAAGGAGTAGAAGCTATTTCAGGCATAAAGAGCAGCAGGGCAGAAAGCTCTAAAGTGGGAGTGGATGATGGGAACAAAGAAGCCAGGGAAGAGAGCCACTTATAGGCACAGAAAATCAATTAGTGATTAAACCCAGGAGGAGGAGAGAAGATCCAGATGGGTAGACCTCAAGAACAAGTTGCCGGATAGGGTGAACATGCCATTTAGAAGTTGCCTGACCAGTATTTTCAAGCATCTGACACAAACTACAGTCCTAAAGAGAGTTATTTGAATCCTATAGTCAAGACCAGTCCAGCAGTACAAGCAAACATCAAGCAGTCTTTTGGGGAATCATTAATTTTAGGGGCACAAATAAGGTGGTATAGAAAAGAAGGGCACCCTCCCACTGTACTATTGCCCAGAAAGGTGGGGCACAATTGTTGTTGTTATTTTGATTTCTATACCACCCCACAGCTGAAGCTCTTTGGGAAGTTTACACAATCCATAAAGCAAATGATAAAAATATAATAAAAATCTCAGAAAAATCAGAACTATTCAGAGTTGCAATTTGCTGCTTGTATCTTGGCGGAAACTGACCATTCCACACAAAGTTTTGGAGGGGAATGACAAGATACACAAACAAACCAGGAATTAAACTCAGGTCTCTGAGTTATTTTTCTCTCTCAGAGCGACAACCATATGATAAAGCAGAAGTATAACAGGGAATGCATGGTATATTCTGTACTAAGCAAAAGAAGTTTTTATTTTATCAGGGGGAAAAAACCCTTATGAACTTGGCACACAAGTATCAACTCCATATGGCATAGTTTCAAAAAAGGACAAAACCTGAAATGGATAGGTGGAACTCTTGGCCTGTTTTGTACAAGAGGCTAAGTTACAAGGTTGCACTGGTTTTCAAATCCAACTTGACCTGACCCATCACATAAAAGCAAAGCATATAGGCAAGAGAGAGGTTTCTTCATTAACTATCAAGGCTTAACAACAATTGAAAGCAGAAATTGAAAGCTAAGCAATAGGGCCATAAGACACATTGGATTTTATGTAATGCCAGCAGTGGCAAAATACACAGCTCAGATACCTTCCACGATTTCTTCAAAATCATCCACAAAAAACTCCTTCAGAGGTGGCCGCTTTGGTCGCTTCAGAGTATTGAGCAGCTGCTGAATTTTTGTGGAGACTCTGCTATTTACAGGGACACCTGCAAGGTGGGAAATTAGTTCAGTATACAAGGGATGTGTCAGATATGAGCAACTATTATTCTACATGAAGGACTGTCAGAATGAGGGTCTTTCTGAAGCACCAAGTTACTATGTAAATGAAACGAAACACTAGCACTAAAGTCCAAATGTAGATAATTTAGAATATTAACTAATATACAGGCAATTCAATGCACATAATACTCTGAACACAAACAAAATGACCACCCATCACCCAGTATGGTGCACAGTATAAGTGTACTGTGGCTTTTTAAAATAACTTTTTCATCTTTAATTTTTTTCCATCTATTATTTTAAAAAACATTTTAAAAATATTAAAGGTATACACTGGGTGAGCTATTAGTGACAATCTTGTTTGTTTTTGGAGTACAGAACATTAAACTAGATGCATCAGAAGATGCTGTTGCTAGCAAGAGACAATTTCCCTGCCTTTCAAACCTGTTATAAACATCTGTACGACACTGGAAATACACATTTATTGTCCCCTGAGACCAGCTATACAGCAGCTCACCAAGGCAGAGATTATCTTTATATTTCTGGACTGTGTTTGTTAAAACACTTTTCAGGCCACAAAAAGGTTGACTTGCTCAAGAAGACTACCTTGCTAGCAGTATCTTAGGCTTGACCACCAGATGGTGTTACGAGAACTTCAAGGCTTGGGCACGTTTTTGCACACACTCCCACTAGGTAGTTAATCCTCAAGGTTATTCCAGCAGCAAACTCTTGTAGTCACCACAGTTGGGTGCTTCCCTGCCTGGCAAACTTCAGGCACAGCAGACGTTTTAGAGTATGCAAGTTTAGTATGTGGGCTTTTTTTGAAAGCTGAAAATAGTGTTATCAGCAAATGAGACAGATGTCTCTTCTTCAGGGATAGAAGCTCAGTAAATTAGCAATGTCAAAAGCCTGTTTCCTTTTTATATTATCAAATTCTGGCTCTAAGAGTGAAATCTCAAGGTAACACAGTTGTACATTCTCAATAATAAGAAACAAAATTCTCCAACCAAAACATGTAAAATTGACTCATTTATGCAGTTTTGATAACAGACATTGATTACTCAGTTGCAAACTTATACTTTCTAAAACTGAGGAAGGAAAAGGAAAATAAATGGAACAATGCAGTGATAAACAAACATTTCACGGAGCAAACAAGAGCTCTGTGGGAGGCTGGGTGCTGGGAAAAGGAGTCATAAAAGCTATTTTTGCTTCCAGTTCTAGCACTTACCATTGTACAGCCAACATACTTGTTCTACAGACGCATTATGAAATTATATGATTTTGAGACTACAGGACCTCTGACTATTAAATAAGGAAACAGAAAGAGGTTCTGCTGTACTAAAAACAGAACTTGTTTTCTTTTATAAAACAGTAATTTTTACAAAACATTTTAGTAACTTTTCTGGTTTTATTTAGAACGCAGTTCTTTCACCAGAATTCCAGCTTCTCATTCCTTAATCTATATTGCCGTTAAATTCACTCTTTCTAAGGCCAGTCACCTGACAACAACCCATTGCAAGGTGATGGGACTACAACAAGCCAAAATTTAGCTCACAATCATAGCAGGGACCGTTGTGCCACTTGTAGTTGTGACAAACAGCTGCTTGGGCACCCAGAGCTTAACTCGGGAATTCAGGGCTGAGTAATTCAGGGCTCAGTGGAAAGCACAAGCCATTTTCACTTTTCATTAAGAAGGAAGACCCTGCTCTTGGGTTACTAACTAAAAGCAGAAACAACTGTTCTGTTTCTGTGTGAACCCAGAAACCCTGAGCTGTTTATGGGTTCAACAGTTCAGAGTTCACCAACAGTAAGTGTCGGGTTAACTGTGAGTTTTTAATATGCATAGTTTCTGGATACACACATCATGAAAATTAAAAATCAATAGCTAAAATTAAGTGCACTATGTGTTAAGTGATCCATTTGCCCCTGAATTTAACCCACCCTGAAGTACCACCCTGACAAGGAAACCCATTTGCATTCTTGCATCTCTTCCAAGTGCAAGATCAGGAAAGCTGTTCTATGTAATTGCACTTTTTTAGTTCCTTACATAAATGCTTCAAGCGCTGGTTCCTTCTTACACGCAGTTAACTTGCAAAGTGTTATTGTATCCTTCCCTCAGTCATTTTTTCTCAAGGCTAACTATACCCAGTTCCTTCCATCTTTCCTCACAAGGCTTAGTTTCCAGTCCCCTGATCACCTCCATGATTCTTCTCTGAACTTGCGCCAACAAATAATTCATGTTCTACATCATCTTTTTCAAGAAAATTCAGCTGTTAAGACAGAAACTTGTTACACTCCCATTTCCTATGAGGAGCTATTTGGTCAAAGAGGACTACGACACAAGCCCCTCAATGCATGCCTCATGAGGAGAATGTAGAATGTTTTTGTCTAACTGCTTAGAACATCCTCCTGATGTGGTTAGTCCAACACATTGGAAATTTACTCATCAAATAACTACCGCAACCTTGCTAGTTTTGTCTGTTATATACTCTCTTTCCATCCCTCTTTCCATGTTGCTATTATAGTAGTAAGATTACATATATGAATGATGCATCTGATAATACCTTCAGAAATCAAACTGACATTGCTCTCTTTTTCATGGCCGCCCAAGATATTTTGCAGCTTGCAGCAAAAGATAGGACTGCATTCCACCTTGCTCCATTCCATGCACCAGAAGCAAATAGGCTATTCTCAGCACCAGAGGACAGCATGGCAGTCCATGTGGCACACACAATTCTGTTCTCCAACACCTCACTACAGCCTAAGGTAGGGCCAAACCCAGCCATTTTCACACAATCATGCATGTGTGTGTTCCTTCCCTTTATATGGGAAAAAAAGTCATGTGAAGCATCCTTGGGATAGGTCTCAATAGTTTTTGCCTATTCCAGCAATGTAAAGAAGAATACAGTCTAGCCAATCCACAGCTGAAGGTTGGAGTAATAACTGATGGTCAAGCTAGGCTAATGCTTTTGCTCCTAAGCTTAGGTACAGACTGATACCTCTTATCCTGGAATGGGCAAAGTGTTTTCTTCACAAAAGTGGCTCTTTGCTCTTTGACACAGTAAGGCATGGGGGGCGGGGGAACTTATGCGTGAGAAGCTTCTTTTATAACATATACCAGAACATCATTGTACCGTAGCTATCAACTGGGTATTAGACATGGAAGACCATAGCATAAATAGCTCCCACTTCCCAAACTAGCGTTGGTCACAGTTTTACAAGAACACAAACAGCAAAGGATATTTCTGTTAGAGACGTCTCCTTTCCAACTGCTGACGTGGCAGCCATAACAATGGATATGTGCTTTGCAATACAGCACTAATGTCCTTTAAAAATAAACAACTTGCTATTGCTCCCCTATTTGGCCCTTTCTCATAGTGCGGATCTGTAGAAAATACCATCAGCTGTGTCCATAAGGCTGGACCGGTTGGATGCTTTGTGCATGCCCTTCACTATGCCCGATGGAGGAAGGTCAATAGCAGATGGGCGTGCAGAAGAAGCAGGTGTGGAGGTAGTTGCAGTAACATCCGGGGGAACTGAGAAGTTTTCTGAAAAGAGGATGAAGAAAAAAAATTGAGATTCGGGTTACTTCTTGCAACCAGATGGCCTAAGATGCATATCATAACTAAACACCTTTCTCTGCTCTGATGCAAATGCACTTGCTTTTTCTTGACATAGAAAGCAGTTGCACAGAGGAAAGAAGGAAGGACAGAAGGAAGGAAGGACGGAAGGCACTGCACACTGAGATTGGTTCTTACCTTCCAGTTTTGCTACAGAGCCATATATCAATTCATACTCTTTGGGTTTTTTCAAACCAACAGGTTGCACTACCAAAGGTTAACTAGGCTAATCAGTCTATATTTGGGATGCTCACTATGAAGTATAAGGTCAACAAAACTGTACTGGTACTCCACACCATTGACCCAAGGAAGTAGGCAAGCCACCTATCTCCTCCTATGAAAGATTTTTATCTGGAGAAAAGAACCACCAGTCTAAACATTCTTGGAGTTTGGCTAATGGACAAGCAGCTTGACCAAGCATGATGGGAGAAACTTCTACAGTCTCAGAACAGACTTTCTGTTTACTCAACCTTTTGTCTACCAGCAAAACAGCAGTACTGCTAGCTGACACTGTACTACAGGGACAATCTATAGTATCAGACTGAGCCCCTTCCTCAGCCCTTTTGCAAGCTCCCAGATTTTGAATATATTTCTGTATCATAACAGAAATGGTGGCACTGATACTGTTGGCTGAAATAATCCCATTCTAGGTAACTGCAAGGCCTCTCTGCCATTTTAATCAGATACCATGTCAGAATACTCTCTGTCCTCTGCTGAACTGCAACGTAATTGGGCCTTTCTGAACAAGCTGCTAGGAGGGGCCATAAAGCTGCAAGTTACCTATTCTGATGTGAAAAAAAATGTAATTGAATTGTTAATATTCCAAGCAAATTAACTTTAACAGAGCTAAGGCCATGGGGAAGGTATTCCAAGGGCAGAGGAGTAAGAGGACATAGAGTATCACAACAGATTATATAAGAGTTAGCAGTCAAATATTTGATTCCTGCAGGCAGCACATTCTGTTTATAGCACTGATATGGAAAGAAACTCAGCACACGTTTACTTAAACTCACATACATATCATTAAGGCACACAAATTGGAAGGTCAGAAGTGTATCACATATCTTCAGTGAGATTTATGCACACCAATATCATTGGCTAAACATATGACCATTCAGAAGAATATTTATTAAAAGCATCGGGCTCAGCTGTCTTCTGCCTTTTAAAAGATGTATTAATTTATTACTGCATTTTTAATGCTTAGGGTTTCGCCTCTGAATGCAGAGGTATACTTTGATTTGGGTAAGGAATTCAAGGACAGTGAGGTCTTTCCCAATGCATGCACTAAGATGTACAAAACCGAAAGACCCCCCCTTTTGAAAAGCAGGATAGCATTTCCACTCTTGTACATCTTCAAAGACATGCTAGACTCAATGACTCCAGCTCAGCTCATTTGACCAGCGAGAGCACATACTTCAGTTTTGTCCAAGAGCCTCGTTTCACTCAAAGTGCAGTGGCCGCAGGAAAAACCTCAGCAAATGTTAAAATCTGATGCTGCTGTTGTACACTCGCTACAACTAACCAATGCATTAAGTCTGGGTTGATCCATGCTAAATTTGGTACATAGTGGCTGCAAGCACTGGACACTTTGATGGAGCCGAAACCCAGCATACACAAGGCCTTTTCACATGGCCACCAGGTACTAAAGTAGTACAAGAACAAGCTCCTAAAAGGTCCATGCAAGGTTCACAGATTTCACAGCTCATTTGGAGACCTTGGTATTAAATGTTAGCAGCATGATGACCATGGGTTTGGCTTTAGTCCTATATGTCCAACTGCCTTCTTCCTCTGTGCTTATTAAGTTTAGATAAATAAAATTCAGTTCTGTGTTGAGTCTATTCATGGGTATATTTTAAAAATGTGGGAATGCTGTAACATTTTAGGGGTGGCCTTATGTTTGTTTATCGTGCCCAGTGTATCTGTCTCTGTGTCAAAAATGCAATGGTACTAGAGGAAACACTGCTCTTAACTGTGCTTGATATTCCCAAGGTTTTACTTACAATAAAGAACTGCATTTTATAGCACCAATTTGACATTAGCTATTCAGCAACTGAATAGCTGGCAGTTCCAATCTGAGAGCGTATTTCACCATTGCTTTAACGAGAATCTCTTTGTTTGAAGAAAGCATTAATTATGCCAATGGCATTTTAAATAGGTAAATCTCCCAAGTTTTCCATTTTAGAAAGTGAGTTGCATCCCAGTAAGAGACAAAGACACCAGCAACACACAGGTTAAAAGAAATAAAAAGAAGCAATTAAGAGACACCAAACATCTACACACTGCTGGCCTGAAACCAATTAAGCAAAAGCAGAGAGCACACAGAGACACAGTTACCCCTCTGGGATGCAGCAGTATCCTATGGAACACATTAAACAAGAAAAACACACACAATGGAGCCAAACAAACCCTTCAGAATTTCATACAGCAGCACCAGCAGCAGGGAGCACCTCAGAGCACCAAAAAACTGAGCATGGGGTATCCAGATCTTTAAATCCCCCAACAATGTGTACCACTGAGCAGAAAATGATTCAGGCCTTCCAAAACAACTACAGACCATCTTACTCTGGGTTGGGGGTACAGAAGGGGAAGGGGCTTAAAGAAAGGGGATGGGCTTATATTTAGCCCTTACATAGTCACCTATGATAAATAAAATCTCTTCTGGGTATCAAGGTGGTGAAGCTTTTCAAAAACTGTCTCTTTCTCCCCTGTCCCCCACCAGTTAAGCCATCATTTGGAAGGCTGCAAGAGTTCGTTCTGACTTTTACAGGACAGGCTACTTCGAAGCAGGACAACCCTTCTGGCTGGTTAGGGACAGACATCTGCAACACAACACAGGACATGCAGGCTATGTCTACACCATTTGCTCACTCAGCAGTGAGAACACTTGGTGTAAATAGTAACTGCAAGCATAGGCAACACCAATGGACATAAAAAATGCCAGGCTGCTGTGTGTAGCTTCCCTGGCGATAGTATCACTAAGATTTTTTCCTATCTAGGCTAATAAGCTCTTTGCTCTATAACTGCTTCCAAGTTTTTAAGTCATGCTCACTACTGGTAGATTTCTACTTATAGTGAGCAAAGTTTGAAAGTAATTTGACAGTGGGAAATTTCTCAACTTTTACAGAAAGGCTCTTCAAGTGCTTAGTTTTGCTGCCCAAACCCACAGCTCCTACCTATTCGAGTACTGGCAAATACATCAGCTAGTGACCCACTGGTCCCTTTGCCTTCTCCATGGGATAGTGTAGAAGATGCTGATGAAGATGTGGATGACCCCTGAATAGATCGGTTGATCCATGACTCAGCATTCTGTAAGCTCTGATGCAATGCAGCAGATAGAGCAGCCTGGCGCCTGAGCGACCCTTCATCTTCGGACGCAGAAGACGTGTCTGTGTGGAATCAGAAAAGGGAAGCATACCGCACTTAGCATGCTGTCTTTGCAGCCATGGAAACACTGGCAAAGGCTCCGTATCACCCAATGCAGAGTGCATTCAAACATGGGCCAACATGGAGGGAAAGCTGGTAGCGAGCCCTCCAACGTGGACCCGCTTGTTCCTTCATACAAAGGACAAGCTAGTAAGAACATTCAAAGCCCAGTCAGACAATTACCCACCCAACCACCCCTTGCAGGTCACAGCCTAACTGTTTGCATGCTATGGAACCTCCCTGCCACTTCCCCCCAATCACCAGCAATTCTGAAATGGAAAACATCAGAATCAACCCATCTCTGAGGAAAGTTTTGGGAATAGGTGTTCTGGGAAATTGTCAATGTTCTGCGACTGCAGATTTTCAGGAAGACACAGATGGAAGGAAACGTCTTTACTAAGTCCAAGGCGGCATGTGTGTGAAAATTTCTTTTTTACTGTTGTTCTATACATAGAAAATCAGCCACAAGTAGAATAGAATCCTGGTTAAATCAGACTACTCTAAATGTTACAAAGGAAGACCTGTACTAAAGCTTCAGCTACAAACAGTGTCACTGATGTGAAGAAATTTTCTGTTTGCACACTGGTTTGTATGTGTACCCTCATACGTATGTGTGCCTTTACATAAAGATCATTCCATTTGCTTTTGAGTATTTCAGTGACTCTCCTTAACAATAGTTTTGCAAAGACCTCTAACAACTGACTAGCAGATACTGAACACATTTGTCTGCAGACAATATATTGGCTTCAGCATACCATGGTCTATGAGGAGATCTCAGAACTGAGAGATGGCACCCATTTGAACATAGACCCGGAGGCTGGCAGCCATTTAACTTACAAGAAAGGAAACCAGGCATCACTGTACAGCCCATGTGGGGTGAAAGACAAAGGTAAAGTGGAAGGTGCCTAAGCAGGCTCTATCAATATAAAACCCTGACACCCCCACTAACATAGATAGAATGCAATGGTCTTGTCAGACTCAGTGATGCTGAAGGTGTTTTTGAACAAGTTTTATGATCTCTGTTATTTATATTATCAAAAACTGATGTGCACATGGTACAAAGCACAAAGTGAAGATCAAGGGAATCTGCAGTTATAAATGTTTGACCATGAACTTAGCCATTGTATGACTGTTGCAGTCAGAAAAGCATAATTCATGCTAACCCAGTGTTGCCTGCTCTGACTGGCAGTAGCTATCTAGAATCTCTAGGTGGAGCCCAATCTCTCCCATTACATTTCAGCTGAGTCTTTGACTGGAGACAGAACCAGATTGAATGTGGAGCCTTCTACATGAATAAAGTTATATACCACCAAGCTATAGCCCTTGGCGTTGGGGTTAGGGTTATGGGGATGATTACCATATCTACATACCCATGTGAATATTAACATTCCCAAAGAATTTTGAACATGTCTTAAAGTTCAATATACATACCAATGAATTCTTGCTACAGTCACCTAAATGGGATTCTCTCATAGATATCCACATTCAGCAAATTTTCAATATTCAAGGTAGCATAAGCAGTTTCTTTGTCAAAATACTCAAGAAAGAACCCAAGTACATCTCGGGCCAAGAGCACAGCACCAATAATCTGAAATCTTGTTTAGCCAGCACCCACACAACCACACTGCCCTGTGACTACTACATATTACTCTCTGCATCAAGCACAGCCAACAAAAGTCACCTGGCAGAGAGAACAAACAACCAGGGTACAAGTAACAAAGCAATTCACTGAATCTGCACCTGTAAAAACAACAGATTGATACCTTCAACAAGTTTTTGAGAACGTTGTACATAATGGAGAGGTTATAGGTACAATGTAAGTTACAATTTTTCCAAGTTATTTTCTGTGAAGTGAGGGAAGTATTGACCAAACTCTCTAGATCTGGCTGTTGCAGCTCTCCTTAGACTATACAACTCATGGGGTGGGTGGGTGAGCAGATAGAGAAACAGGACTTTCTTTTCTCATCTGATGAGGCAAACACCCTGGGAAAGTCAGCACATGTCACAAGGGCTGGAGCAGCAGGGGTTTTACCCCCTTACACTTCCCTCGTCTAGTTCCAGCAATGAGTTGGGGAGCAAGAGACACAGTGAGCTTCTTCGCTTCCCTCTTTCTCCTTATGGCTTCTGAAATGAGTGCTGAAAACTGCATTCATTCCAAGCCCAACATACTCCCATCCATTACAGGAAAGAAAGGCCAATATTCCCTTCAGTGACCCAAACCGTGAACTTGGCTGGCCAAGGGCAGTGCTTGCAGACTACTCTGCACTGCCAGGGGTTTTCTGTGGCAGTTATGGGGTTCTTGTAGGGCTTCTTTCTACATCTCTCCACTCTTACATGCCACTGTGGGTGCGTGCTGATAGATGATCAATGATGAAGGGGCTCCAGTATGTTGCATTATCTTTATAGATGAAATTCGCCATTGTTCTTTGCTGGCCAGGTTAATATACATGAGAGCCAGTCCATTTTAGTTTTGGAATACCACTCTGAAGCCAGCCAGGCTGAGAGAAAATGGCTGGCCCAAGGTCACTCACTGAACATTATGGAAGAATCAGCACTGGGATCCACATTATCAAGGTCTAAGTAAACACCCCACACCTCTCTGGGATGATTCAGGTAATATACCGGGATATACAGAATGTCCTGGGTTCTGGGTTTTGCCACTAAATACAAATGTTATGATTCAGCATTAGTGAGGCTACCTCAGACCCTTGGATCAAGAGTCCACAGCAGTCTTGGTCAACTAATGCAACATGAAAAAAGGTTCCCCTGCCCTTCTCTAGCATATTAAACCCACATGCTGAATACTTATCCTAATTCACTCTGGGGAATGCAAGGATCTTTTGGCATGCCCAAGAACTGCCTCTGCTCAAAGAATCAAGCAGTTACTGGTATACTATTTTAAAAATGTTTTGTGTTCTCATTTGATATATTGTTGAGGAATTGGGGGCCAATCATGTGCCTCAACAGATTTGTCCAAACCAAGATTCATAGTAAAAAGGTGGAGGGGAAGGGGAATGGGAAGAAAAAGACTGGCGTTGAAATGGAATGTCACAATTAATACAGATATAAAAAATAAGTGCTTAACATATTCACTGTGCAAAAGTGAAGCGATAGATGTTAAGCTTCAAGGCTGGCAAAAGCCTTTGCAAAGTTAATTCCATATGCATCTTTTGCAGGATTATATAACCCAGCTGCTAAAAAAAGAGACCATATAAATAATTAAAACTCGAAGCAGGCAGTGCTGTTGAAGGGCTGGCAAAGATAATGTACTGCTGGACATAAAGTGCAACTACCTCAAAGGAAAAATGTTGCCAGGCCAGGCCAGGCCAGGCCAAACTGATAAAATGTTATAAAAATACTTGAATCATTAAAAGCATCCCATGTTCAATTTGGTTTTTAAATAGTGTACAAAGCATTCAGATTGCTTGATGTGGGTAATTCCATATCTCCTCTACACTTCTAGTGCTATATGGAAAAAAATGGGGTGGTAGGCCTGTTTTTGAAAAACTGCTGTTATAAGACAAGTAAGGGAAGTATCCATACCCAGTAAACTGATCCTTAAGATCTATTATAAATGTCCTAGACTTCCCTACAATTGAGATGAAATGTGTGATTTGGTACTAGGTTTTGAAACTTTTTGCTATGAATGTCATTTCATCAAATTTTACACTAAAAAAAATATTGTTCAGTCTTAATGTTTTAAACCAAGGAATACCAACCATGGCTCAGTTATCTTCACGTGGCAGCTGCTCATGTTCCCAGATGGGTACGCAAGGAACATAGGAAGTATCCATGACAAAGGAAGATGATCTTTCTCTCTCTGCTTACATGTACACTCATTCTACACCAACTGTACTCTGCATGGCCAGCTTCCTGTTTAGATCCTGTGCCCTATCCCATAGTTACCCCTTTAAGTTTTAAGAAATGCAGGCTAAAGCTATGGGAAAGTTCTAAACCCCAATGCCTTTAAGTCTTTTCGGGATCCCAGATGCATGCTTACCTCCACAGGAACAGATCTTGGTCTTACAGCAACAGGATCAGGACATGGGATTCCCTCCCCATTCAGCCAAATTTAGGCTCACCAAAATAATAAGGAAAAATGTTCCAGGAAAAGGCTCTACGGTTCCTGACAAAGAACAGGAACTGTCTTTCAAAGCATGAAAGAACGTGGTCAGGAATATTCAATCAGCGCTTTCTGGAAAGTTCTAGGAAGCTCTTGGGGGCTTGCACATTTGGTTGAAATACCAGTTTGTAATTCTCATAGGACCTACCAACAGTACCTTAGCACCTTGGGAGCCATTGAAGTATTCACACCCCTGTGCTGCTCAAGCAACACACTGTAGTAGTTCCCATGCTGCTAAGGCAATGCCAGAAAGATCTGAAATTGCAGAAGTGTGCAGGCAAAAGTATAAAGCTTACGAGATAACACACTGCAAGTAACATGAAACCCAAAACTGGTGTATATGTGTGTGTTTGTGTGCAACTCCTATTATTTCAAATATGTTCAAAGGCAAACTCAGGTTTTATGAGAGTGTAAGAGGGTCATACATGCATTTCAGAAGAATGCTGTAAAATAGGATGTTCATCATTGTACCCTCCGCATTTCCAACAAATGTAAGAATCAATTATGTGACAATGAAACTAGAAAATTAAAATTAGATGGATTCCTCTCAATGGATACAGTTTCAGGCCAGTTTGCAGTGCTGGAACATTCTCCTACTATGCCTGTGTCCAGTTTAATTCTGCACCACACTGGTCCACTATGGGAGACAGGCAACAGAATGAGGTTAACAGAATGTTTAAAAATGCAATGTTTTCTGTATCAACAATCTGAGGAAAACAAACTGTCTTAAAAGCACCTGGCCTGGTAAAGAAGATAAAAATAATGCCTGTGCACACCAAAGCAAGGACAGAGGTACAATCTTAGAAATCAACCGTGTCAACTTTAAGATGCAGAGAAAGT